TTCTCTTTACATAGCTTTACATGTAGAAATGAACAATATTCAGTGGCGTAAAGAGCATGAAAAAGTATTGTAGAAATTCTAGATGGGAACCTTATTTCAGCCCAAAGTCTGCATTCCCTGCAGGACAACCTTCCAGGAGCCAAATGCTGTTGGGTGAGACCAGAGGCAAGCATGGGTGGAACAACGCATGTATTTTTTACCTTTGAATTATGGTGCTGGTAGAGACTCTTGAGAGTCCCATGGACTGCAAGAAGATCAAACTTATTCATTCTGAAGGAAATCCGCCCTGAGTGCTCACTGGAAGGACAGATCCTGAAGCTGAGACTCCAATACTTTGGCCACCTCACAAGAAGAGAAGACTCCCTGGAAGAGACCCTGATGTTGGGAAAGATGGAGGGCACAAGGAGAAGGGGACGACAGAGGACGAGATGGTTGGACAGTGTTCCGAAGCTACAAACATGAGTCTGACCAAACTGCGGGAGGCAGTGGAAGACAGGAGTGCCTGGCGCGCTCTGGTCCATGGGGTCACGAAGAGTCGGACACAACTAAACGACTAAGCAACAACAACAACAAAAGCAGGCTATTTTCTGCACCCACTCCACTTTATCCTCAAGGTGAACAAAAAGCATTGTCTAAGTTCAATGAGTTCAATGGCACACTCAATGGCAAGGCCAAAATACCCAAGGAGGGTTTGATTTCTTTTACAAAATTTATGTACTGCTTGATAGTAGTAAAACCTCTGAGCAGTTTGCAAGAAATATTGAAAATCACCAATAAAGAAACTGTTTTAAACATTTGAAATTAAACATAATTACAATTAACAATAAAGGCCATTCAAACACATCGACTTATATGTGCCTGAATAGGTTTTCCTAACTTAAAACGTTTCAAGCAGGTGCCAAAAAAAGTACACTGAAGGCTCTTGATATCAATGGGCAGGGAGTTCCAAAGTGTAGGCACCACTGCACTAAAAGATCAATTCCTTACAACTGTGGAATGGGTATAATGTGGACCTGCAACAGGGCAGTTATTAGGGTTGCCGTATTTCAAAAAGTGAAAATCAGATTTTAGCAAAGTTCTTGAGCTTTGTAACCCCATGTAAATTGGATGCTTGTGAGCTATTTTAGATGGAAATTGGCAAAATGACACAGCCAACATCTGTTGCCATCCCTGATTGTTGTTGTTGTTTAGTCGTTTAGTCGTGTCCGACTCTTCATGACCCCATGGACCAGAGCACGCCAGGCCCTCCTGTCTTCCACTGCCTCCCGCAGTTTGGTCAGACTCATGTTTGTAGCTTCGAGAACACTGTCCCACCATCTCGTCCTCTGTCGTCCCCTTCTCCTTGTGCCCTCCATCTTTCCCAACATCAGGGTCTTTTCCAGAGAGTCTTCTCTTCTCTTTTTTTTTTTAAGTTTTTTATTTATACAACAAGAAAAACAAACAAACAAAAAACACAAATACCAAATTACACACAAATTACAAAAATAACCATAGACACTTAATATTCTTAGCAAACAATAAAACATCTATTGGTCTTAACACTAAAGACCCAACCTCCCGTCTATTCCATACTTCAAATTCATATTACTTATTGCCAATACACTTTTTTTTTCATAATTAAACTTATTCTCATTAAATCTAATTTCTTATATCTACCTTGCAACTATTACTGAAGTTCCTCGAATGTTGCAACAGAATTTAAACTACTATATTTATTTTTCAGATATTCTTTAAAAACCTCCCATTTAGAAACAAATTCCTGTTTTGATTTATTTTTTATTTTTTCTGATAAACCATCTAATTCAGCATATTCTGTCAGCTTTTGGATCCAATCTTGTATAGAGGGGATTTCATTACTCTTCCATTCCATTCTTCCAGGGAGTCTTCTCTTCTCATGAGGTGGCCAAAGTCTTGGAGCCTCAGCTTCAGGATCTGTCCTTCCAGTGAGCACTCAGGACTGATTTCCTTAAGAATGGATAGGTTTGCTCTTCTTGTAGTCCATGGGACTCTCAGGAGTCTCCTCCAGCACCATAATTCAAAAGCATCAATTCTTCGGCGATCAGCCTTCTTTATGGTCCAGCTCTCACTTCCCTGATTACAGGACGTGAAACGTAGCTGGGGATGCATGTTGCCTCAGGAGAGGGAGACTTAAAGGGGCAGAAAAAGAGACTTAGCCCTGATGTTGCTAACCTTTGCTCTGGGTCTTCTAGTGACAGGACACCACCTCCTTTAACCACGCCTATTCAGCACCACTTACTCTAGCTGTGGTAATGCCCCCACTCTGTCTCTAGACTTAGATAAACATGCCCACACTAGAGTTGTCATATTTGAAATATGACAACTCTAGTGTGGGCATGTTTATCTAAGTCTAGAGACAGAGTTGTTGTATTTCAAAGTTGTTGAGCTTTTTTGGATTGATTTTATGCTTTTGGAGCTGTTTCTGCTGCTTTTTCCATCACATTGACATACATCCAGTTCGGTAAAATTTCCCCAAAGCCATTTTTACATCTGAAAACCAGGATGTGTTAGGAATTTTCCTGAAGCCAAGGTCAGACAGTTATTGACATTCACATGTATTGCCCTGTCACACAAAGATAAATACAAAACACAAAATTATTTTAATATATACTCTGCTCGATTCAAAAAAATTGGTTACTCCCAAAAGCTCTTCAGAATTCAGCAGCTTATCAAAAATCAGAAACCACATTATATTTTGAATGAAGCAGAGACAGGCAAGAATAAAATGAGACGTTGCAGAAGGATATATGACTGAAGGGAGTATTCTGACACGTATAGAAAACTCATCCAATTTAAGCTTTCAAACAAAATGAATGCAACCAAAGTTGGGTTGGATCTGTTGGCTCAGTGCAGAGGACCAGAAGCCATTTAACTCTCCCTCTTTCCCAACTGTTTTCATTCAAGGTGGTCATTATATGCAGAACTGTGGAACTTGCAGAATTGCTGCCCGAGTTTTCGTGTTTTCATCTTCATGTTTTCAGCCTGTCAGGATTAAGGATGAAGCATGTGTGTGCAGAAACAGCCTACTGTACAAAGGTTAAATTGACATTTGTTGCTCCACCTACTTTGCCTCTAGCCATGTCCACCACAGGCATGTGGCCGTTCCGAAGGTTGCTTAGGGAATGCTGCCCTCAGACTGAAAAAAGATTCCCCACCTTTGTCTTGGGACTGTATCCCTGCAGGCAGGGTCAGCCTTGTACAGCCCTAAGTAAATTTTTAGGCACTTCAGAAATGGTGAATTACAAGGAGAAAAGCACAACTGAGCGTGTACAGAGTGCCTTTCCCTCATCACCAGGCACCCACCACCTGTCCTAACAGATCTAGAATTCGGGAGCAAGGCTTCCTCCCTGAGCATGTCTAGTGTAGACACTTTAGACAGTCTGCCTGAATAGCACAGTTGGTTAAAGTGGTGCTGATAATGCCAAGGTTGCAAGTTCGAACCCTGTATGGGACAGCCACATATTCCTGCATTGCAGGGGGTTGGGCTCAGCCCAGTATACCTAAAGAAGCGTCTCCATCCACAGCATCCAACCTGGACACTGAGGTCCAGCTCCGAGGGCTTTCTGGCAGTTCCCTCCCTGCGAGAAGTGAGGTTACAGGGAACCAGGCAGAGGGCCTTCTCGGTAGTAGCGCCCGCCCTGTGGAATGCCCTCCCATCAGAGGTCAAGGAAATAAACTATTTGACTTTTAGAAGGCATCTGAAGGCAGCCCTGTTTAGGGAAGTTTTAATGTTTGATGGCTTATTGTGCTTTTAATTCTGTTGGGAGCCGCCTACAGTGGCTGGCAAAACCCAGCCAGATGGACGGGGTATAAATAAATCGTTATTATTATTAGTAGTAGTATTATCCTCAGGGTCTCTTCCAACTTTACAATTCTAGGATTCTAAATAGGAAATACACTTTCAATTATAATAATTTTTATTTATACCCCGCCCTCCCCAGCCAAGACCGGGCTCAGGGCGGCTAACACCAGGTATAAAAACAATTGATTGAACTACAACTTAAAAACAAGATTAAAATAGAACATTAAAATGCAGCCTCATTTCAGTAGGAACTCAAATCAAAAACTTTTAGGGGGATAAAAACGTCAAGTCTTCACCAAGGCCAGCTATCCAGACTGGTCCTAATTCCAGACTGGTTCTAATTCTTGTTTCACATTTTCTGCTCTAGGAGTCAGCTGGGAACGGAAGACAGAAACCTCCACTAACTTTAAATCTTCGGGGCAAGGAGCCTTTAAGGACACGTAAGTTACTGGAAAGCGAAAGCAATAAAGTTGCTCGCTCATTGGCACATTTGCACAGCTAAGCAGGGTCTGGTATGGTTTCAAATTGGATGGGAGACCACGTTTCGAGATTCTTGCAGGGGGGTTGGGCTAGATGACCCTCTGTATCCCGTCCCAACCCTACAATTCTATGACTGACAGCCCCACGAGTGAGCGAAAGCAGCTCAGCAACCCCTCCTGCAACAGCGCCAGGGCAAAAGGCTAAGGCCAGCTGCGCGTGCGCAGTGCGCTCTGCTGCGGCGGGCGAGGGACAGAAAATGAAACACTCCGCGAGCTCTCTCCTATGGGGGTTACGTCAGGGAGAGAGAAGAGAGCAGCGATTGGCCCGCTCCCTTTAAAGAGGCCGGCACCTCCCTCGCCCAATCCAGCGCCGCGTCCCGGGGCGGCAGCAGCCGCAATCACGCCTTATTACACCTGCGCCAATCCAGGGGGCAGAAGAGAGTTGATGGCGCTTAGAACTCTATGGTTGAGATGAACGGGGTGTGTGTGGAGAAGGTAAGGGGCGCGGGAAGCGCATGCGCACGCCGCCGTCGGCCCACGCTCCTGATTGATCCGCCCGGCTCCTCGCTCCCTCGCGCTATCTCGCTCTTCCTCTCCTCCGCCGCCGGCAGCCGCAGGGTCCACTTATTAGAGATACAGCGGAGTGAGGGTCAAGAGAGGGGGGGCGGGCCTTAACCCGGAAGTGGTGTCGCAGGGGGGAGGGGGGAGGTGGTGAGGGAAAAAGAAGAGGACGAGGAGGGACCCGAGACGTGATGGCCGCCGCCGGCAGCTCTGTGTGAGAGCCCTCATTCGACCCCCCGGCCTCTCTTTCTGCCCGAAGTGGACCTGCCCGCCTCAGGGAAGCAGCCGCGGCCGAGCGGGAGCGGGGCGACTCTCCATCCCCTGACTGACAAGCAGACACTCAGACTTCCAGCTTTTCCCCTGCGGGCTTCGGCCTTCTCCTCCTGCTGCTGCTGCCCTGCTCTGCTAGGCGTCCCCTCGAGGCCTCCGTCAGTGTAGGGGGAGCAGTTTGGAGGTCGCGAGCGTGTGGTTTGTGGCCTGGTTAGGTCTTCAGTGTGGGGAGGGAGGTGGAAGGGGGGCCTCCTAGTGAGCTCAGGTGTTTGGTGAGGCTCTCCTTTGAGGAGGGAGAGGCTGAGGGGTCTGCAGGAAGGGGGGGGAGGTTCTCCCTTTTTGAGGTTGGGCCAAGTGGGCTTCAGCCGATTAAGGGGCGAGGCTCCTTAGAGACCCCATGGGACTCTATAGAAGGGAAGGTTTTCAGAGTAGGGCTAGGTAGATACTGGGAAGAACTGGAAAGGTCTTTTTTATTTGGAGGGTTCATGGTCTTCTGTTTGAAGGGGAATTGTGTTTTTTTTAAAGTGGGGGAGGACCGCGTATTTTGGCTGAGCTCTGGGAGGGGCTTCTTCTACCCATTCAGTTCAGATAGATCTGTATAGCACAGGTCGGGAGAGCAAATCCTTGTGGTGCGTTTCGGGCTCCTTTGGTGACAGGATTGTATTGGGGTCATGCAGGGTTTCCAAATCTGGGTTAGGTGACAGTTTTAATGCTGGGAGGCGAGGAGGGCCTGGTAGCGCATGAGGTGGAGGGTCTTACAGGGTGTAAAGATTGAACTTAAGCGGCTTCACGTTGCTGGAAGAAAGAAGCACTTTGTGAGGGCTTGAATGGGAGGCAGTTTTCAAGGAGCTATAGAGAATGGTGTTGAATTTTGGGTGTCATATTGGGTTTCCCTGCAGGTAGTTGACTTGTTGGGTGTGGAAGACTAGTAGTGGTCTAGTAATTAGACTGGTAGTTAATGAAACGGGTTGCAATTAGCCTGTGTAGCTTGGGGTGAGACAGTTCATCCCGTATCCGCTGTGAATTTCCCTCCATCTCTCCTTGGTGCAGTTCTCCATCAAGCGCCTCTGATGCCAGAACAAGGCCCCAGAATGAACGGTTTCTCTCTGGGCGAGCTATGTTGGCTCTTCTGCTGCCCACCTTGCCCCAGCCGCATAGCTGCCAAGCTGGCTTTTCTGCCCCCAGAGCCCACGTACACTGTGATGCAACCAGAACAGCAGGAAGGTGGGGCTGCTTCAGTGGGGACACCGACAGGTAGCTGCAGCCTGCACTTGACTGAGCGGGCGGACTGGCAGTATTCCCAGAGAGAGCTGGATGCCGTGGAAGTCTTCTTTTCACGCACAGCCCGAGATAACCGGCTGGGATGCATGTTTGTACGCTGTGCTCCTTCTAGCCGGTATACACTGCTGTTCTCCCATGGCAATGCTGTTGACCTGGGCCAGATGTGCAGCTTCTATATTGGTCTAGGCTCCCGCATCAACTGCAATGTTTTCTCGTATGATTACTCTGGTTATGGAGTGAGCACTGGTAAACCATCTGAAAAAAACCTTTATGCAGACATCGATGCAGCTTGGCAGGCCCTCAGAACAAGGTAAATGGCTGTTGGGTAAACATGCCCATGAAAATGGTGGAGGGTATTTCTAATTTCTTTGGGGCTGCTTGTTTGACCCTATAGTTTTCCCTTGTTGTGGAATCACTGTAAACTGGCCTCCTTTGATGCAATAAAGTTGACCACTCCACCCGTTTTTTGTGATGATGAGTTACATGACCTCAGAATCATGCAAGCTCCTGACATTCAAGGGAGTTTACGTTCCTTGAACGGCAGCCCCCCATGCTTTTTAGCAAATCTCTCCTGAAACTGAGAGGGTGTTCAAAAGCAACTTGTAGCATAGCATTGCGAGCTACAGTTGGAGTGGTGGGGAATGCTTGGGGTCTTAATTGAACCTAAACTATCTTTAGATCCTAGATTTTGGAAGGTGGTGGTATTCTTGACTTGCTGTTCTGATCATGGAGCAAGAAATGCTCATTGTAAAAACATGGCGTTAAGAAACATAAGGAAAGCCCTGCTGGATTTAGGCCCATCTAGTCCAGCACCTTAAGCCTTAAGTGTGATAGCCACTTGTGATTTCTGGCAACCGCTATTCAAATGCATACTGCTTCCAACAGCGGAGATAGAACATAGCTTGTTGTATGTACTCATGACAGCTAAATGGTACAAGAGAACAGTAATGGCTAATTATTATACATCATGGTTTCTTTGTATTCTTGGACAGTGCAACAGGGTAAAATATGACATTTTAGAATGCTAGTAGCATTACCAAGGATTAAATGTACCAGTTGCATCATTGCATACTATGATGAAGCTTCAGCACTAAGGTGAGTATGGGAGTACCAGAGCTGGTGTGCTGCACTCTTCAGAGTTCTTAATCTATTTAGTACGTGATGAACTTATGCAGAGACCTTTCACCCACACAGTCTATTTTTAAAAGATCCAAAGTTCAGGTACATTTGATAACTACCTATAACAAGGAAGTTTCTATCAGTGTTTGTTTCTAGGGCTTTGTCTTTACTTTAGATTTAGTTCTTGGCAGGTAGTTGATGGTTTCGTTTTGAGTATTTGCTCCAACGAAGCCAAGATGGATCTTGCCCTCAATGCAAATTGTTTGATTTGGGGCTAATGCTGAGTAGATACTGTATAGCTTTGAGCATAACTGTTGAACGGTTGTGCTAGATTGGCTGCTGGCTGAGAAGACCAGTTACTTCGAGGTAGGAGTCAGGGGCAGTATGCTTCGGATTACCACTTCCTGGAAAGTTCAGGAGTGGCAAGTGCTGTTGTGCTCAGGTCCTACTTGTGGACTTTCCATAGGCATCTGGTTGACCACTGTGAGAATATGATGCTGGAAAAGAAGGGCCGCTGGCCTGATCAAACAGCCTTTTCTTATATTCTTATGTGTCTTACATGTTTCTTTGCAGTTTCTCAATACTGTATACAGACTTTTCCCTTGCAAATGGAATCCAGTTTAATGTATTGTAATTTTGTTCTCCGTGAAAAAAATGAAAAAGTTCTTGACTTTGCTTTGTTTACTGTCCCAAACATTTAAATCAGGTAGGGGAAACCTGTTGCACTCCAGATGTTGTTGGTCTCCAGCTTGCTCCATCCTCAGCCAGCATGGCCAATGGTCAGTGATGATGGGAGCTGTAAGCCCAAAACACCTGAAAAGCCAAAAGTTCCCCATCTCTGATTTAAACTCAGTTAAACTGGGAGGCTCTTGAACCCATCATTGCATGTGGAAACCCAGGTTGTATAAATGACTGAAAGTGTTCTTCTTCCCCATTCCTCCCTCCAAACAAACATACTTATCCTGATGAGACAACTGTGACCTTTCAGCTCAGAAAGATTTGTTTTCACCTTTATGGGCTTGAGATTTGACTAGTGGGAGAGGTTGTCTTCAAATACATGTCATTTCGTCTTTAGCTTGCTTTAGGATTGACAACAAACTTATCTAACCCAGGAAGCATGTTCCCCATGAACAGAATAATCAGTTATGTAATTAACACAGGTTATGCATGTGTTTGATGTAATAAGAAACACTGATAATCCATTCAGTTTGAGAAGAGGCTAACTGAGCTAGGGAGGCTCTGTGTCCTAATTGAAAATGAATGTTCAGGGAGTAGTCAGGGAGGGATGGAATTTGAACAATATTAGAGGGCAGAAAGGAGCCCATAGGGGATTTGGGACTGGATTCACGAGGAAGGACATTTGGCCACTGAAACATCTCAAATCTGTGCAGTCTTGTCTTGAGTATTTGGCGGTTGGGTGTATTAAAACAATTGTGTGTCACATTTTCCCTATGAATGGCATGCAAGCTGACTACTAGCTAATGACAGAGGCTGCATTCACATTTTTAAAGAAAGCTATCTTGCTAATATGGCCTTTTTGTTTTTATATGATTCTTTGGCATCTGATGAATGTACTGTTAGAAGCTGGTTTCTGAAATTTCTAAATTTGTTCTTTTGTAAAGTTCTATGCCTAATTTCCGCTAGTCATTCTTGGTACTTTATTTCAAGATTCCTGAATGGGTTTGATGGACCCATGTACTGTTCATTGGCATCAAATCTTGATCTGGTGATTTAAAGTGGCCACACACCTTTCTGGCTTAAGCTGTTTAAAGGGCCACCCTTGATACTAGCCTGCCTGTGCTTTGAGATGGGCCTTGGGGGCTCTACTGGTCTGCCAGCTGGTGAGTTCTCATTGGGGTAGATGGACATGAGAGAGATGGTATTATCAGCAGTAGCCCCACAGTTACGGAATTATCTCCCAGGTGGTGTATATAAGACACCTTGTATGCAAGCCTTCAGGCAGGCACTAAGTTATTTCAGGTTGCATTTTCTAAATAAGTGCTGTGATCCTATTGATTTTTAGTGATGTTTAAATGGGCTTTAAAAGCAATGGTGTGTGACTGGTTTTATGACTTAGCTGGGTTGTGTTTTTTTCACATTGTAAATTTTGGGATTTGTAATTGTATTTAGTCTTGTAGAAGCCAATTTCTGAGGACATTTATTCTAAAAAGCAGATTATAAATGTTGTAAGTGCATAAATAGAATGTAAATGCTTTCCCACTGAAAGTTCCTTGTCTAGCAACCTTCACTTGTGCGGCATTAAAGGCTTAATTTAATTTGGGTCACGCTGCCTCGATTTGTTTCGAAGAATGGAATACTTGGGTATATGAGTTTAAATAGTATGTTTTGATTGTGTGAGGAAATTCTTGATATGAAAAGTAATCTCATAACAAAATTGCCTGCTGTAATAGATTTTTGTTTGTAGGCTTATGGTGTGTTTCAATAATACCTCTTAACGACATTATGTGAACAAGGGAAGAGCATTTCAGCCTGACTTGGAGAAAATTAAATCCGGCTTTTGGCCAAGGTGTACAGTTAACTACAATCTACTTAGGATTTTTTACATTGCATTCTTGAATGCATTTGAATTCTTTGGGACTTTAACAATTGCCTCTTTCTTTCTACTGCAGACAATATAAAATGGCATCGTATTCATTATTGGAGATTGTGATCTTTAACGTCTTGACTAAACTCTGCATCTGGTTTTCAGTGAGTGGAAAATAATTTTGGTAGAAATATAAAAGTACCTTAGGCTAGCTGTGTGTTATTGTGCATAAATGATGGCTAAATAGGTGCCTATCGCCTATTCTTTGTCTCCTCTCACCCCTCGTAGTAGAACAACAGCTTGCACTTAATTTTCTTCCATACTTAGCATTTATATATAACACAGATTATGCATTTAATTGCTCAACTAAATTTCCAGAAATTCATTATGCGTGTAATCATTCCATTGAGATCTCCCAAGTTGAATAGTAATAAATAGAAGAGTGATAACCCCTTAAGACAGCTGGCCTATATTTTTGTTACAGTTAAAGCTGCAGTCCTGTATACACTTACCTGGCAGTAAGTCGCATTGAATTCAGTGGCACTTAGCTTCTTCTGTGAATATATCTATAAGATTACACTGAATATGTGGGTTTTAAGAAATTAAATGCACGTAGTTACTTGGAGCTGTACCTAGTTCCCTATGACTAGTAACAATCTCTTGCAAGCAACCAAACAGGGAAACTTCTGCAAATCAGAGAACTGGTTCTTTCCCCCCTTTGTGGCATCAGTCTGTCATAAATCACTAATATAAGTGCAGGTGGGCTAGTAAACCTTTGTGGAATCTTTCAAGGCTGCTTGATATAAGTGCTAACAAAACTTATTATAAAGTTAAAAGTAAACCACCAGCCATTCACATTGTCAAGGCATTAAAACAGGTGTGGGGGACCCTTGTAGTCCTCAAGGTGATTGTTCATCCCAGATCATTGGCGAGGCTTCCTAGGGTTGATGAGCGCTGGAATCCAATAACATCTGGAGTGCCACAGGTTTCCAATTCCTGCAATAGAGGGAGGAAAAGCCTTAACTCTTCTTTTTAATGAACCGAGAAAGGACTTTAAAAACAAACTCAAAATTTCCTAATTAAGCATGATACCAACTGGTTGCTTAAACAACACATTAGCCATGTCTAAATAGAGCATTTATTTAGGGCCATAAATAAGTCCTTTGGTCATAAAACTTAAAAATATTCTTTAGTGCAAGGGGAAAGATAGCAAGGCTACTAAGGAAGGCGATTTGCTTGGAGTACAGTTTTAAATTCATTTATTTGGAAATGTCCCATTTCAGAATTGCTGCCAAGTAAACATTCATAGAATTCTATTGTAGGTATTCAGAACTTTCCAGTAGCAAAGTCTGGTGGTTAATGGACAGATCAGTGTTTTCCTATGAGATGGAAAGAAAACGATCACCATGTTATCTGGTGATGAATATTTATGATTCTACTTCTATGAAATGGAGTATAATATAGAGCTCAGGTAGTTCAAGGTATAAAATAAATGGAACCAGGACTCTTTGCAAGTCCTGACTAGTGGTTACACATATGTTTGGGGTCAGTCTAGCTCTAACACTGCACCATGGTTAACTGTAAGCAGGGAAGAGACTGCAGCATGTTTCCCATTTCCTAACCATGGTTAAATGGTAATAGAATTGTTGGAAGGGACCCTGAGGGTCATCTAGTCCAACCCTCTGCAATGCAGGGATATTAACATGCGGTTCCCTATTCAATTCGAAACCATACCAGACCCTGCATAGCTTTCCAAATGTGCTAGCAGTTTTATTGCTGCCCCATAGCCTATTCTCACATCCACACACCAGACCTAAAAAGAAACACGACAAGCAAGCTCTTAAGTCATGTTGCAGCAAAAACTTGTTTGCGTGCTAAATTAGTAGAAAGGCTAGTCCCTGTGGTTTTTTAATAACAGGTTTGTGCCGTAGCGTGTTAACCTGCCACATGCCAAGAGGGCACAAAACAGTTTTCAGAAGCACTTGAGGTTGTGGCATGGGGAAAAACAGCTTCATAATATCCCTTCCAAATGATACTGAAGGAGGTTACGGCCCTTAAGTTTGTGGAAACAAAAACTAAGTTTTAGTCATTTCTGCTGGTCTTACTTTCGAAGTACCAAGAGGTTGTTAGAAATCAACATAGAAACAAATACAGCTTGCAATATTTGAGTGTTGTAGTGTGTTTCAGATCTAAGGATTTGGGTTCAGATGCTACCACAAAGGCAACTCAGCTGAGTGTCCTTCCACAAGCGCAGTATGGCTGTCAAAATACAATACTGTAGTGGGGAAGAAGAAACACCATGTAGCTGCCGAAGCTCTTTTGCCATGGTCCCATCCATACTACCGTGTGTCCAAGTGTTGCAAGCTAAATTAGACATTGCCAAGTAGGGTAGGCTGTGCATGTTGGCATAGCCATGTTCATTTTAATAATAAGTGTTTCATGTGCCCCTGTACCCCTGAAGCGCAGTACAGACAGGAATATGACCATGTTGGCACCATGCCATCCTGCCTAAAGCTACACTAGTAGCCACAATTGTGGAAACGTTTTGGAGAAAGTGTATTTCCAAAGCTTGATGGCTCATAACACCATTTTCTTTTGGAGTCATACCATAAAATTATATATCAATGGAAAGATAGTTTAATGAAGAATGTAATGCAATGAAGTTTGTTTAATTACCTGTATTCTATCAAAGCCAGATGACACCTGATTGGCTCTCTAAACACTCTTGTTTCTGGTTATTTGGCAATATCTTTTGAAAGAATACAGATAATTGAATAAACTTTGTTGCATTACATTCTTCATTAAATTATCTTTCCATTGATATATAATTTTATGGTTTTACTCCAAAAGAAAGTGGTGTATGAGCCATCAAACCTTGGAAATACATTTTTTTCAAAAGGTTTCCACAATTTTGGCCACTAGTGTAGCTCCTCTCTTGTGGGTGCCTTACTGAAGGGAACTTAATGATCTCATGCATCTGTTTTATAGACGGCTTTAAAAAAAGGTGCTGTTTGTTCACTTCTAGGAATTAAGTACTTATTTTCTTCCAGACTAGTCTTGTAGCCTTTTTATTCATCATGGAATAAATTGATTGTGTCGTATACACAGTAGCTGACCATTAAATGTACATCAGGAAATAGCTGAGATGGCTGGTTTTAGGCCTGAGAGAGATGGGTCCTATAGAGTGAACTTTTGCCCTTCCAGCTGGTAGTAGATCTCATCAGCTGAGTTGTAATTGTTTATAGCTGAATTTTGTTTCTGTTTTTTGTCTAGAGTCCTGGATTGGGGCTCATCTTGTTTCTGCTCTGCAGACTGGGCGTTGTCTAAAATCTCTCAACTGCACCTTGCATACAGTAACTCACTAGAAATCTGCAGCTGTAGTACAACAGCCTGCAAACTGTAGGAGAGCCACGTGCTTTTGACCAGCTTGATTCCTCAAGCATTCAAGTTGCCTAGATAAAAGCTTCTGAAAATTGCTGGATTGGATATCTTGGCGAGGTCTGCATCCGGTTTCAAATGCCTAAATACTCTAGGACCGTAACTTCAGATTGCAGCCAGGCTGGCTTGACAGCACCAGCGTGGTTTTGTTTTAGGGCAGCTTGACGGGAACTTTGTGTAACTGAATACACTTCCTACCTGTAAATACCCTTGCTGGCTGCTGTGAGCCACTTAAGGAAGGCAGGGGAGCTTCAGAGATTGCCATGTGAGTGCAGTTTATGACTGCAGAAAACAACACTGCTTTGCAGGTGGCAGAGGAAAGTAGGGACTGCCATTAGCTGGTAGGCTACATTTGGCTTGTGGGCAACAGGTTGGGCAGACCTTCTGCAGCTTACTTAGGATTTCCTAGTACTTGTATGGAATGTTCTGAAAATATGGATGTCTGTTCTTTTCAGGATGTAGTAGGCCCCCATAGGAAGACATGGGCTCCAATTTTGAATAGCAAAGTGGGATGGATTAGCACTTTCTGATTAACTGGTAGGATTAACCAGTCATATATTATACAGTGGTACCTTGGTTCTCGAACGGCTTGGCTCCCGAACAAATCTGCTCCTGAACTCCACAAACCTGGAAGTAGGTGTTCTGGTTTGTGAATGTTTTTCAGAAGTCAAATGTCCGACTCGGCTTATGCTTGATTGCAGGAAATTCCTGCAGCCAATCGGAAGCCTGGTTTTCAGACTGTTTCGAGAGTCAAACGGACTCCTGGAATGGATTAAGTTCGAGAACCAAGGTACCACTGTACAAGTAATCAAGCTTTACAGTAAAGTGAATCACATATTGGTGATAACTGATGTCAGAAATGTTAATATGACCAACAAGCATGGCAAGGGTTGGTAACTATTGTTATGGATGGGGGTGGGGTGGGAAAAGGCTTGCATGTTGCCAGAGAGAAGGGGACTAGCACACTAGTCAAAATCTACTATAGTGAGGGTGAAATACTACTAGCAGTACTAAAGGAGATTTGTCCCAAGCTTCTTGCATATGATTATCAGCAGTGATAGATTAACCATAATTGTTCTACAATGCTTGTGTTGGTCAGCTAACGTAAAAATTCCTGAAAGTATACTGCACAACCAGTGAAGCAAAATGATTCAGGCAAGTATATTGAATGTTATAATTCCAAATCAGTTCTTTAAGTGTCATTGCTTTAGTAGCTAAAACAGCAAGAGCCCCATATGAGGAGATATCAGTATTGTTATTGTCAGTTAACTCTTATTTTGTGTTGTATTTATATACCTAAACCTAGATTGTGGATTTTTCTTCTTGTAGCATTGAATATTCTGTGTTTGTTGAATAGTTGTGTTTTTGTTTTTTCATTTTTGAAAGTAAAGTGGTACCTAGGTTTACGAACTTAATCCATTCTGGAAGTCCGTTATTAAACCAAAAGAGTTCTTAAACCGAGGCGCGCTTTCCCTAATGACGCCTCCCACCGCCGGTGCCCTTCGACCATTCGGCTTCTGTTCTTAGACCAAGGTAAAGTTCGCAAACCAGAACACTACTTCCGGTTTTGTGGAGTTCTTAAACCGAATAGTTTGTAAACAGGGCAGTTCTTAAACCAAGGTACCACTGTATTTTTATGTTATGAATGTTTGCTGTAAGCCGCTTTGGGCACAGCTCATTGTTGAAAAGCAGCATATAAGTAAACTTAATCAGTTTGCAATAGTATTAAAAAAAACTTCTGGGTAGGGGGGCGAACCCTGCTTAATCAGAACTGAACAGGTTGGCTGACTGTTGTATGGATAAAAACTGAATGGGAAGGAAATCCATCATTGTCTGGATATATAATTTCCTGGTTCACACTGAGAGAAGTTATTTTTAAATGTCCTAGGGATAGAAGTGGAAATTTTAATTAACTGGGATTGGGCACTTCAGGACAGAAGACTATCTCTTCCTGGTTTTAGTCTGTTAAGCACCACATTTAGTGGTGGTTGTGTTCTAAGAATAAAAAATCTACAAAAGTTGCTAGTTCACTTTTAAAAAATAATAATCTGCCCACTTAAACAGTCTTAAATTGCTGTCACAATACCATCTATCTGAAAGGAGAAAAGGCAGCAACTTTTCAGTTGGAAAAACTGAAACGTTGATACATTTTTTGTTTTAGGCAAATGATCTGGTTACAGAGACTAAGACTGCTATGCATAGGCAGGTTACTAAAGATATTGCATATACATGTGCTCAAAAAACCCATTCTGGTTTTCTGGAGACCCTTGATTTACTTCTACAATGCTTTTTATACTTCTAAATCAAGGGAGAAATATATTCTCAGAGCACTATTTACCATAGGTGTGTGGCGACTTAAAAGCCAGAGAAAGTGTATTTTTATAAGGAATCCAAATAGCAAGACTATTTAGAGACACATGTTTCCTATTTCAGAAAACATTGTGAATTCTGTACTTTCCTAAAGATCAGGGAAGATAACTTTGTCCGGGGGTATCTGTTGCAGAAAAATTCCCCAGAGAGTAGCTTTGTATAGAACTCATACACCAATCCAGTTAAAAGTATATAATGGAATGTAGCTCAGCTCTTCTGAATTATTGATACTTCGGTCAGTGAAGGGATTCCTTAGTGACCAGCAAATCCTTGCTGCCTGTGGTAAGTAAGCTTTTCTGTTTCTAACATTCCTTTGCTACAGGGCATGTTTAATTAAATGCAACTAACTCAGTTAAAGTGAATTTAGTGCTCCGTGTGTGGTTTTCTAAATGAAGCTGCGTACATTGATATGATATTAGACGATGTTTATCTTCTCGCCGTTCCTTGGAAAATGAAGCCATAACGTTAGGGAAGTCGTGTAGTAAAAGTTAATTCACAAGACATGCACAATCTCTCTTCTCTTTGCATTTAATTTCCTTCTGACCTTCCCACCATCTGCATAAATGCCTGCTAATTTTGGAATACACTTCATTTATCTGAATTGGACTGTGGTCCTTGCAAGTTTACGCCACACTAAATTTGTTAGACTTTAGGGCAGGAGTGGGAAGCCATTTTCACCCCCAGGGCTGCATTTCCTTTTGGGCAGCCTTCCAGGGGCCACATACCTGTGGTGAGGAGGGCCAGAGGCAGAACAACAAATGTGAATGTTATCTTTGTACAGTAGGTTAATTTCTGCACACGTTCCCATACCTCTGTCTGCCCTCCATCCAGACAAGCAAGAGGCATGTTCAGAGTTCAAGAATGCATTTACAGTCAGGCAAAAACATTAATGGAGGGGGGAAAGCAGTACCTGTGGAAGGCATGGCAGTTCCCTTCTGTCTTGCTTATACCACTGCTTCCTCTCTGCTTTACTGTACAACATCTCAGCTAGCTACTTGTCTAGACTTAAAGGGTTAAATCTCCAGGTGTACATTTCACACATAAGACAGGAGTCAAATGAAAAGAAAGTAAAATGAGGGACTCAACCATTGCATCCTTATTTGTCTGACTTGCAACTTTAAGGAAGAAAATGCTTTGATGGTCTTTCCACCGGAGTCTCCTTCATAGCAGAATAGACAGTCTTCTGGTGTCTCTGTAGCCTCATCACAGCAGGGTTACCTGGTAGCACCAGCAAGGATATTTTTCTTTGAAGCACACAAGTATATTTTGTAGCAAACCAAACTAACTCTTCCATTCATTCGTATCATTAAGGAAAAAACACCCAAGCACCGCAGTCATAGTCGTAAAGCCATTAAGCTCTGCATTTACTTCCTAAATAAGCAGCTAGTGTAAATGTGTGTGTTATGCTAACTGCCATAGAGCAAATACACAGGAATTGAGCGCAGTACGCCAAGTTCCGTTTTAATATACCAGTGCAGAAAGAACAGCTGTTTTCCATACTTTCTGGTTCTCCCCTGATCTTGCCATGTGAACTCTGCAGATCTGTGCTGTGCATTCAACACAAGAGAAGCTGCTTGCACGGTCATAGGTTTTTGGGGGTGGGGAGGGAATTCACTTCCCCCTGGTTATTTATAGCAGGAGGCATTCCATGTTTTTGTTCCAAGTCAGTTTGTGGTTTCCTTCTGTTTCCAGCCAGTTCCAGACTTCTGCTTGCTGACATACAGGTTTCTACCATGGTGTCATTGTGCATCCCCCCTACTCTTGCATTGGTAGGTGTGATAAGTGCTATGCATGGTGCTTGTGGTGCTTGCACTGCCACTGGACTCTCTCGTAGTGGTGGCGGTGGTGGTTTGGACATCATGGTAAAAAGAAGGATTTTCAGGCCTAAGTGGGAACTGTGTATCGTCTCTTTTCCTCCCTCTGCACTATGGACCAAAACAGGTTCTGGGCTGCAGCTTTCAATATTAGCAGAGCTTAAGCTGTTTAAACGTCCTGACCCCTGTGCTTGAGTAGGGCCAGCTGAGGTGGGCTCCCCACTAAGATAATTATTGTTAATGTTTGCATTTTTCTGTTTGCCAGTTAAATGAATCCATTCAACCTAGCTCTCTAAAACCTTTGGAGTACAGGTTAGTTTTGTTGTACAGATACAGTTGAAAATTGCTGTAGACTTTTTCAAGATTGGCTTACTTTTCAATGAAGAGCTTAACTTAGTGTACAGATTTGACTGGCTATTTCCTGATTATACATTTTCATTCCCATTCCAAGGATTCACATTGTGATAGTACCTTAAAAACCTATGGAGGGTGTGGACAAAAGACACTTGCCTGTGGCCAGTTCTCTATGTCATCAGTAACTAAGTCAAAACAGCTGGGCTTTTTTTTATACAAAGAAAACATTGTTGTGGCAACAGAGATGGCATAGACATTTGAATGTGGACATTGTGTTTATGCTCTCTCAAGGACGAGGATGGTTCAGCAAGACAACCTAGTAATTTTTAAGTTTAAATGCTGTTTCCATTAACCCATGGGTCACAAATGCTTTTAAAACATACAGTAGGCACCGACAACCAGTAGATCCAGGGCTAAATCTGACCCACCTAAGAAGTGCTGTCCAGTTCCCTTAGCCCAGGGCTGGGAAACCTGTGGCCCTCCAGATGTTTTGGATTAATCCAACAAAACCTAGAGGGCCATGGGCTCCTCATACTTGCCTTAGCCAATCCAGAAGCATGTGTTTTTGTGTGGTGGGGAGGGGTCTTTTATATATATATATATATATATATATATATATATATATATATATATATTTGATTTATCATAAGCATATGCACAAGCACATAACCGTACAAAAAATAACTGTACACAGAGCATAATTCGTATTAAATTAAGATGAGTCTATATAGCCCACAATGAAGAGTCAGTCATGGGAGGAGTATTAATGTGATTCTCCCTTATATATAAGAACCAGAAGCTCAGAACCAGAAACTAGACCACGTCAAACTGTCTGATTTAGTTTTGCCGCAAACTGTGCATTAACATCTGTTCAGATAAAGCAATGTCCCATATACAGTCGTATTTTGGATCTTGAATGACTTGTGAATTGAACATTTTGGCTCCTGAACACCACAAACCCGGAAGTGATTGTTCCGGTTTGCGAACGTTCTTTAGAACCTGAATGTCCGTTGTGACATCTGCGGGTTCCAGTTGGCTGCAGGAGCTCCCTGCAGCCAATCAGAAGCTGCGTCTTGGTTTCTGAACTGTTTTGGAAGTTGAACGGACTTCCGGAACAGATTCCATTTGACTTCCAAAGTACGACTATTAGTAAAGCATGCTTCAGGCATAGGAACTTTAGATGGTTTTCAATCTGGCTGCTGATAGTAACATAAGTACTAGACTTTTATAAGTTATGGGAGAATTAGCATAATTTGATAAAGAAAGAAGGGATCTGAAGGCAAATGTTGTTGAGTAATAGTCACTATCATTGAGAAAACCCAGGTCCAGAATTATTGACTCTACTTACATTCCCACCACAAATGAATGAATGAACCCTTTCCCCACACCCCATCCAACAAGAAGGAGACACGGTATTCATAATATGGAAAGGTGTCTAGTGCCGTCACACAATGGCTTTAAGAATGGCCAGAATGGACTTAATAGGGGGGCTTCACCCATAATCAATCCCATTGTGCCTCATTGTATGGGTTCTGTGGCCATGAGACAGACTATAGCAGTCTCTTTTGCAGAGATGGCTCTCCCCCTGCTGTGACTTCAGTAAAACTTGTTTCTGACTCGGAGTAAATAGGGCAGAAACACTGTTTTTCAAGAGGAGGATATGAATAAAGGGTATGCTACTCTGAAACAAGCTGTTGATAATTCGTGAATCTAACCAATATCGGCTAGCAACAAATATTCAGATTCGCAACTTAATCTCCATCAGAGCAACGTGCATTAGGACATGGCTGGAGGCTTCGAGCTGAATTGCATTGAACCATTCCAAGTGCACCAGAGAATCACAGCAGTCTCTAAACTGAAGAGTGCTTCTGATATTTCTGCAGTTACGGTTCTCAACACCTATAACTTGTGGATCATTATTGTTTAGGGCTGAAAGAGTAAACATTCTTCAAGTGCATTCCATTGAACTTGCTGAGTTTTAATTACACCTGGGGTTAGGCTATGTGATGGTTATATGTAGATTTGTGGGGTGGTTTATAGATGCTTGTACACCTCTTGTTGATTTCTCTGCAGTTGATGATAGGCAGCTGAATATGTGAACCGTCACTCCATTGAATAGCATTGCATTTGAGAAGAGGTGCCAGTTCTGCTGAGGGTTGTTAGCTATGTGACAACTCCCTCAAACATGCAACTTATCGCTTGATATGACAAACACTCAGTTTGTGCACCAGACCAATGCTTCTGCAGAATTGTGCCAGCTGACCAGTTCCTTGTTTTTTGTAATATAAAAAATGTGTTCAAATGCTGAAAAGAATTATTAGAGGAAGCAATAAAGTACATTGGAGCAATGAACCTTTTGGACCTTTTCCTTCACCCCTTCTACTCTCTGGCTGAACTATGTATAAATAATACCTTGTTCGTAACTGTAGCCAGCCTTTCTCAACACACTGTTTAGGATACAAAGCTAAAGAGTAAACTGTAGTATCTTTCCACTGTGCTCCTCCCCCCTTCCATATTTTTTAATGTGCTCTCCATCTGTTGTTTTTGGGACTGTTCTGAGGAGATGATCTTTACAGGAGCAACTCAGTTGCATACCCATAAATTTCAACCTGGACATTCCATTGGGTTTTCTGTTTTTCTCAGAGACAACAACCCTGTTGATTCAAGGAAGGTATTTTTAGTAGCTACTCAGTAAGTCTCCTTGAAAATGCACTGGACACTCTCTCTAAGATAGACCACCAAAGAGCTGACTAGGACAGTCTGCTTCAAGCTATACAGCGGGTCAAATGTTTTTGTACAGGAGCAGTGCTCTAAAACTTCCTTGTTGAATATTCAGTAGTATCTGGGAAGCTGTCTTGTATACCCCCCCCCCAAATCCTGCATTATTGATTATATAAGATATATTTGCTACAATTTTGTCCTGCTTATGGCTATTTACTCTTTATGTAGAATTTATGTAGTTCTTTCTTCACAATGTATCTTCACAACAGCCTTATAAAATGAATAGTGGTTTCCATATTGCAAGCAGGAAACTGAACAAGGAACAATTATTTGTCCAAAGCCACTCACTGCATTAGTTAAGAATTCTGAGTATTGCTTCTTGATCATAAGTATTGAGAATGGAAGTCTATGTTTTTTAATGCACTTGATTCCCGGAACTTTTTCTTATTGTTGCACTAAGTCAGTTCGCTGTCAAGATCTCCTTTGCTTTCTTGCTTTCCTTTCTTTGCTCAGCTCTCTCTTTGTTTTTCCACCCGCATGTGGGGCTTGGAAACTCCAACAGCTGTGGGGGTTGACCATGCAAATCTTTTGCACTTGGCTGAAACTAAACATCTTTGAGCAGCAGCAGTGCAGTTGGTGTCCCTGACCTCAAATGCATTTCTAGTAATGTGGCTATATATTAAATTTGTTTATGCAGCAAAGCAGCTGCTTTTCATGGTCCAAGTCAAAATGGCAGGTCTTGTCCAACGGCAGGCTTGATAGTCTCCCACCGTATTTGCTTCCCCATCTGCATTCCTGTTTCTGTATCCCAAGTGGGCAAGTGGGTATTTTACATATGAGCTCTCACGCAGAACTGAAAGCAGTAATAAGAGTATTAAACACTTAAAATATCATATATCCAGACAAGTATTCCATATTCCATACAAGACAGGAGTAACCAACATGGTATCCTCCAGATGTTGTGGACTACAACTCCCATAAGTCCCAGCCAGCAACATCTAGAGGGCATCATGTTGGCTGCAAGGACCTTCAAAGTCCCATGAATTGACAGCTTGAAAAAAAAAATCTGAATTTTACATCTAGAGAATAAAAACGCCAGTTCCCCTCTCCTGGAATACCCTTTTTTAAAATAAATGCAAAACAAAGACAAAATACACTTCTCTTTTCCTCTTTTCTGTGTTTACAGGTATGGGGTCAGTCCTGAGAACATCATTCTGTACGGACAGAGTATTGGAACCGTTCCCACTGTGGACCTGGCATCTCGGTATGAGTGTGCCGCTGTAATCCTTCACTCACCCTTGATGTCTGGGTTGCGGGTAGCTTTCCCGGACACTAGGAAAACATACTGCTTTGATGCTTTCCCAAGGTATGTGCAGAACTTGTTCCCAGGAAACCATTGTTCATTTATAATACTTAAATTGGACATGTACCTTTCAAAATGACAACAACTAAGCAAAGGCCATGGGTACATTACTTAGCCAAGAGTAGATGTGGTGGCCTCAGGAATATCAGCATATTAGAGGGTAAAAAGCCCCCTGCTCGGTGGTGCGTTGAGGGTTTTTTCTTCTAGATATATCCTCCATTTAATGTTTATCATGAAGTATGTTGGTGATGATTTAATGAGGGTGGCCTCATTGGGAGACAGCACCTGCAAAGCATGCCAGGAGGGTTCCATGTTCACTGCTTGGCACCTTCACGTTATTTATTAAATTTATATCCCACCCTTCCTCCCTGAAGGGTGCCCAGGGTGGCAAGTAGCATAAAATCTGCTGAAACCATATCCAGCATACAATAATGAAAATGATCTATAAAAATCACAGTGCCTAGGTGCAACTATTCCCTTCAAAAGGCCTGGGGAAATAAAAGTGTCTTAAGATTCTACCTGAAAGTAGTCGGGAGAAGGGGACTGCCAGATTTTCCCTGGGAAAGGAGTTCCAGAGGCGGTGAAGAGCAGAAAGTGACCTCTGAGACTGTGGGAAGACGCTGGCAGCCAGAGTTGATCATGCTTGGCAAGATGGGCCAGCATTCTGGGTCAACAGAAATATCTTCAAATGTTCATATATTGCTATATACTTCTTAACTTGAACTGGCATATTGAGTGTGGATCCACTGCTGACCTTTGCAAACCAAAGGTATTCTGTGTTTCTCCTGTAAATGCTTTTTGCGTGTTCTTTAAAAATATTGTTGGGTGTGCCTTTGTCCCACATTGGAGGGAGTGGTGACTGGACTGTACTGGAGAATTGTGAAGGAGATATGTAGTTCAACTTGTATTGACCTTGAAGGTGAGAATGGTGGGTGTAATTGCATACAACTTGTAGCGGTGGTTGAGTATTAGTCAATGACTGGTTACAAAAACCATTTCTACCTCCATAGTAGGCACCCACTTCAGTATGGATGTTCTAGTTCTACCCCCACCAGAATATGAAAAGTCACTTAGCTGAACTGGTTTCCTGTGTCTTGTTCTGAGGGAATGCATAGCACTTAATAGACTCTGCAGTTAGCAAGTTTGAAATGGTCCAGAGCGCAAGCATTTTGGTGGTACAAGATCCACTGAAATGAATGGGCCAAGCTTTGAGAACCGGAGCTGAACTGGAGCAGTTCATCCATTCTTGGAGGGACGTTTCTGGTGGGTTGCGCTGGAATTATGTGCTTTTGCTATCGTGTCTTGGTATAATTCCTCTGCCCTCCTGCCTTTCTAACAGTTACAAATATTTACTATATGACAAATTCTTCCTCTGAACATTCAGGCTTTAAAAAAGTATTCACAAGGTTTGGAACAGAGCTTGGATGAAATAGGCCAAGTCAAATAGGAGGTGAAAAACATCAGGGCAGAGACAGCGGAGGTATTATATCATTCACTTTCTCTTTTTGCTTTCTTGAGAGCTGTTTCTTACCAGTGGTCTGAATTCACTTGATCTGTTAAATGCTTTGGTACTTGAACGAATGCCCCCCCCCGCCCTTGTAAGAGAGAGAAAATTGTTCATTGCAGTTTACACAGAAATCTTTTGTGTTTGCTGATGTCCGATAGTCTCTGTAGATTTCTCTAGCTGCAGAACGGTGTGGTTAGGAATACCAAGTGAGGCTAATGTGCTTTCTGAATGCTGCGTTCCCAAGCAGCTGAGCTGGCAGTGGGATGCCTTCCAGTGGTTTTGCAAGCTGTAAATATTGTTTTGCTGAAATGCCTGATTAGGGATGAATGACACTAATTATGTGAGCACCACAATGGAGAGACTTCCCCCCTCAAATTTCCTAAAAGTGAGGACTGACAATCTTGCTGTTAAGTCTTTGCATACATAATTTCATTAAGTGTTATTAATACATGTATGGGAGAATCCCACTTGTGGCTGTGTCAAGGATTCCAAAACATAAGTTAGCAAGGGTAAGATACATTTTAAAAGAAATATATATTTGGAGAAGGATCCCTCTGAGTTCTCACTGAATCCTCACACCAGTTCACTACCCTGTTAGAAATAAAAGACATAGAACAGTGGTTCCCAACCTGTGGCTGGCAGACCTCCAGAGGGCTGTGGGGTTATCCCAAGGGGTCAGTAGCAGTGGCACAGGACAGTGAGTCCCTTGAGTGGCAGGGTGAAGGCTAGAGCCTGGACAGGAGGGCAGAACCTGAAGGCTGGGATGCCAGCAAGGCAGAGGGATGGTGGCGGCTAACTTTGCCCTTCATCTGAGGTGTGTAAGGCACTTGAGTGGCAGGCTTTTTGGTGCAGGGCGTGTCCAGTGCTGCCGTCCATTGGAGGCTCCTTGACCTCCCCCCCCCCGCCCAGGGTTTGCCCTGCTTGCAGAGTGACTATCCTTCCAAGATGAGTGCAACCCCCATTCTTCATTCCCTTTGGCTTTACCCAACTGCTTCCATGCCACTGGTGCCTCCAACAGAATGATGCATAGTGAAACCGGCTGGCAGAAAAAACGAAAAGGAGCTGCATGCTGTGGTATAGCAGGGGTAGCCAGCTGGCATCCCGGGTCATGGCTTGGTGGTAGAGAACATCAGAAGAACCTGGCTGCTGGGTCAGGCCAATGGCCAATCTGGTCCAGTGCCCTATGGGAAGCCTGAAAGCAACGTGTGTGCTTTGCATGCAGAGGGTCCCAGGTTTAATCCCTGGTATATCCAAGGAAGGCAGATAAAGTCCCCTGCCTGAAACCATGGAGAACACGGCCAGTCAGTGTCGACAGTACAAAGCAAAATGGGCACTGGTCCAGCATGGTATAAGGCAGTTTTCTGTGCGCACTCTCCCCAGCACAGCTCCGATCGAATTCCAGTGTGTCTCAACTGTTCACTCCAACATACAGGCAAATATCCTGCTAACCCCCTCCTCCCTGGTGGGAACAACATCTAAAGTTTTGGCAGAATGCTTGTCTCGTTTCTTCTGTTCTTCCCATTTTCTTCTTGCATGGACATCAGCTGCTGAGTTGCACAAAGAGAGACTTCAGACAGAGACTTTGATGTTGTGCACACTGGGACGGAGAGGGTTAAATGGCCCCTTCCCTGTTCCCCATTTCCTGTGGGAGTCAGGAGGGACAGCCATTTCTGCCAGCACCCTTTGCTCAGTTCAGAATATGGCCTCTCCTTAACAAATGCAATAGCCGTGAGCTGACATCCAGCCCTCCATGCTGTACTCACAGAGAGGGCTGAACATAATATTTTGCTTTCTTCCTCTTTAAAGATTCACAAGAGGTTCTTGCATCTCCCACAACAACTGCCCTTGGTTGCCTCAGAGAGGCCTGCCTCAAAATCTGAGAACTGTGAGCCTCCGATGACCTCCTTGTATTAATTCTGTTTACTTATTTACATTGTGAATTTCCAAAATCCACTGCGAATCTCCAAGTGGCTTCTTAGAAAGAGCAGCTGTAGCCTTCCTGCCAGGCACAGTTGGACAGTGTTGGCAGAAAAGAATGAACAAATGGCACTTTCTTTTTCGGGACATATTGATGGAAAGACACAGAGCGTAAAGCTCTGAACATGAGAGTAGTCTAATTTAACAACAGCCGCATGAATGCTCATCCGGGCTTTAGAAGCTTCAGAAGTGGCCAGGCTGAATTAGCCATTTCTCCTTCTAGAATGCTGGAAACAGATGACAACAATTGTGACTTGTGTATCCCTCTGGCTTTTCAGTTACCTGCCAGGAGCCCTTTTCACAAGAATAGTAGATAAGACCAGTCATTGAATTAGACCACCGTCCTGCTTCCTCATAATGGTCCACAAGATGTCTCCAGAAAGCAGGGAATGAAGACAGTTGCCCTCTCCTGCTCTCTCTTCCTCCCTCCAGTTGTTTTTTAGAGGTTGTCTACCTCTGAAATATTGAGTTTATATATAGCTGGGCCCTGTTGCCCCATATTGTCTCAGAGCAGGGCCATAGAACATACCCAGTGCTCTCCTGTAGCTGTTTGTTGCGAAGGAGCATCTGCAGTGGAAGATGGAGTTATCTTTCAGGTGCTGCTGATGAGGACCAGGTGCACATCCCGGGAGTCATTTTCGACTCACAGCTGGTCCGAAATGGAGGTGCAGGTCAATTCTGTGTCCAGGGCAGCTGTCTACCAGCTCCATCTGGTACGCAGGTTGAGACCCTACCTGCCCATGGACTGCCTTGCCAGAGTGGTGCATGCTCTAGTTATCTCCCACTTGGACTAGTGCAATGCGCTCTATGTGGGGCTACCTTTGAAGGTGACCCGGAAACGGCAGCTAATCCAGAATGTGGCAGATAGACTGGTGACTGGGAGTAGACGCTGAGACCATATAACCCCAGTCCTGAAAGACCTACATTGGCTCCCAGTACGTTTCCGAGCACAATTCAAAGTGTTTGTGTTGACCTTTAAAGCCCTAAATGGCCTTGGCCCAGTATCCCTGACGGAGCGTCTCCACCCCCATTGTTCAGCCCGGACACTGAGATCCAGCGCCGAGGGCCTTCTGCATGGTTCCCTCCCTGCAAGAAGTGAGGTTACAGGGAACCAGGCAGAGGGCCTTTTCGGTTGTGGCGCCCGCCCTGTGGAACACCTTCCCATCAGATGTCAAGGAAATAGATAACTATCTGACTTTTAGAAGACATCTGAAGGCAGCCCTGTTTATGGAGGTTTTTAATGTCTGATATTTTATTGTGCTTTTAATTCTGTTGGGAGCTGCCCAGAGTGGCTGGGGAAACCCAGTCAGATGGACGGGGTTTAAATTACTTGTTATTATTATTATTAATCTTTCCCAGAGTTTTCCAAAACAACTATGACAAACTTGGTTTTCTCTGGTTACTGAACTTAACCAGTAATGCTTTTCTGGTTTTTGTCTTTTACATCCTCAGCATTGACAAGATCTCTAAAGTAACCTCTCCTGTCCTGGTGATTCACGGTACCGAAGATGAAGTAATAGATTTCTCGCACGGTTTGGCGATGTACGAGCGATGTCCCCGGGCGGTGGAGCCCCTGTGGGTGGAGGGGGCTGGCCACAATGACATAGAGCTTTATGCACAGTACCTAGAACGACTAAAACAGTTCATATCTCACGAACTCCCCAATTCCTGAAGAAACCTACTTGATCTCTTTTCCTTTTCTTCTTCTTTTTTTTTTACCTCAGTTAACTGTGAATGGAAGAATTTACCTGTTTTTGCACATGCATTAACTGGCTTAGCTGTAATAGCTTTATACTATGAATAAATGCCCTCTCATTAGGGTTTATCCAATCAGCTCTTGACTGTCTTTTTATATCAGGAAACTGTTCTAACAGTCACTACTGTAATCCCAATTGTTTTTTTACCTTCAACACGCTAGAAAAGCTGGGAGTTTTAGAAGGGGTGCTAGCTAAACTTGAGGGATACTACTTAATCTAGCAGTTATAATACTTCCAACTTTTTCCCTACCCAACCCTTCAAGTTGCTTGTCTTATAATGTTTTCTTTCTCTTTGAGAAAAAATCTTCCCACAATCTGGAATGCAAGAAACCTGGATGATAGCTTCCTACTGATTTATGGAACCAGTCTAAGAGCATTCTCCATGTAAAATTTCTAGCTGTGCTATTGTAACTGGAAAGGTTTTTTTGTGGTGATTTCTCATTGTGTTTTTTTTGTTTGTTTTTTGCCAACCTTCCCTTCCTAAGTAAATTAATTAATGAAAATTTCCCGGGGTCACAGATTTCTAAATGGGGCTAATTCTGAAATGACCTTTCACCAGTTTTCTGCATATTTACAAAATATTCCTAAAGGAATAATGACTGAACGGCTAAACCCTTTAATTCTTTTTACTTTTTAAAAAATGTGTAAATTTACTAAACCCAGTTATTCAGATGATGTTTACACTCTGAATAGAAGCCAACTTTGGCATTTCCTTGTGTAAAGCATTCCTTATAGAGGTTTTTAAAAGTATTGTACATAAGTGTATTTACATTTATGCATAACTCCTGATTGGTAGTTTAAAATTTAAGTCTAGTTAACAAATTCTGGTTTGTATATGAATACATTTTGTTAAAGTTTTTATCCCTGCATTATTTTGCTATTAAAAGTTTTATAAGATTTCCAGGACAACTAAAAATATTTACACATTTGTTTTTGACAAATTTATGTAAGAAACTTTCATTGAAACTGATCCTTTTTGTTTAGGGGAAATTTTTCATTCTCTGACACTGGAATCGCACAGAATATGCAAGACAATTAAATCATTACACTAAGAGGCCTGAGGTTTTTTCCCAAATTGTACGGCCTTAAATGTACTGTAAGCCTCTGATTGTTGTAAAAATGGATTGCGATGGATTATGGTTTGTGTTCTTGTTGCCAGAATGCAACAACAGTGATTGTAACGGAATAAAGGATGCATGGAATAGAGAATACTGGACTTTGCTTCACTTTGTCCCATGATCAAATTGCACCAAAGGCCACACAAAGGTCGTATATAAGTTTTATTACTGACACGAATCAAAGGAAGAGGTACAGACAATATTGTGCTGCAGTGTAAACCGGAGACTGTTAGTGTAGTGTAATGACTGTGATGTTGGGCTTGAGTCCAGTGGGTTCTGCATTCAAATCTTGACTCCCCATTAGTCACCAGTAGCCTGCATGCTTTTCATATTGAAAACCATCTCTAGCTTTCTCCCTACTGCCGATAGGCTATTCTGGCCTAAAATGATGGGCCAGTGGCGCAGGCCCTCCCAGTGTCCCTATTTTCTAGGGACAGTCCCGGATTTACAGAAGCTGTCCCAGAATGTCCTGTTTTTCCATGGCCATCTCTATTTTCATCAGAGGAATGTTGGGAGGGTTATGCGACCCCCGAGCCAAGGAGATAACTATACAACCTTGAAGGCTTGGGGAAGCTTTTTAATGTCAGCTAGGTGGGGTATAAATAATAAAATTATTGTTATTATTACTACCACTATAGAATAGGACATCCCTATTTTCATCAGAGAAATGTTGGAGGGCATGGTGATGTGACTCAGCCGAAGGCATCTTCATCTTCAAAGTTAAACTTGTATCCCAGTCCAGGGGCATTCAGACTTTGCCTTCCTGGACCCCTTGCACATCACCAGAACAGATTGGCCCTTTCCAGCACATTGCAGTCTGCTGCATGTTCTAGGGGCTGTTAGGGGCAGTGGCAGTTACCGCATTTGTCGCTCCATAAGGCGCACCTAGTTTTTAGAGGGGGAAATCAAGAAAAAAAAAAGAAGCCAAGATGGTGAGCGGGATCCATCCCGCTGTCTTGGCTTCCTTTTTAGCCACGCGCAACCTCTCCAGCCGAGAGAGGCTGCGCACGGCTATGGGAGAAGCTTTTCCACGAGGAGGGAGAAGGGACTGACTGGCCGCCTCAGTCCCTTCTCCCTCCTGGGGAAAAGCCCGCAAGAGCCGTGCAGAACTTGTGTGCGGCTCTTGGGGGCTTTTCCTGCCTGCCTCCCCCCTGCATTTGCTCCATAAGACACACACACATTTCCCCTTACTTTTTAGGAGGGGAAGAGTGCGTCTTACGGAGCGAAAAATACGGTACTTCCACAATTTCTGTAGAAGGTCAGCAGTGGACTTGCAAGCTGTCTTTCATAGATCCTTAGCCTGCTGTTCTGAACGTCCTTGCTGATTGAGCCCCCCATTCCTTGGGACACAGAATGCAGGCTGCTGTTGGCCTAATCTACCCCGAAGGGCTATTTATGATACACCATCCTCATGTTAAGGAATGTGACCGTTACAGTACAGTACACTAAAACGGAAGCCTTCCTTTTGACTTGTGTAATGCAACTGCTTATGAGTGACACTTGATCAGCTCAGAGGGAACTATTCACTCAATGGAAATCACAGCTTGGTACTTGTGTTTCAGTTTGGCCGTCGTGGCCTTGCTTTGACAGGAATGCTATTAACTCATGTCAGTACTTCAAGTGTGTACGGATTTGATTTCATGAAACCGCAGGGGCAGAGTAATTAACATTAGAGTGGTGCTTCCTTTCAGTACCGGAACACACGAGAAGAAAATGTCTTCCTGTTAATCCACAGCATCTGGGGAGCAAGTCAATCTCTGAAATAGCCAGTCTAGCTCTAAACTTATATCCAGCTATTTTTATTTTATTTAGATTTGTACTCCTCTCTTCAAATTATTATCAACACCATAAAATAACAAGTCTTGTGGCACCTTAAAAAGATGATCCAAACTTCTTATGGCTTAAGCTCTTGTGTAGTCATAAAATTGGAAGGGACCCAAGGCTCATCTAGCCCAATCCCCTGCAATACAGGAATAACCACATGTTGTTCCCCATCCAGTTTGAAACCATACCAGACTCTGCTTAGCTTTGCAAATGTGCTAGTAGTTTTCTTGCTGCACCACTATGGAAGCTGTTTCTTTAATAAATCTGTTACTCTTTAAGGTGCCACAAAACTTAGTTGTATTTGCATGGCTAACTGGAAATAAAATGACTAATACAAGCCTATAAAAGACAAAAAAATAATAATCCAAGTAAAACAAATATTAAGGGTTTGCCTGGTGCCAGCAAAGCATTCCAAAGCCAGGACACAAAGTGCTGGAAAAATCCTCTCCCCCAATAACCACTTGCCCCAGCTCAGCGCTCAGAGAAACCCAGAGGAGAAGGGTCTGATTAGTCCCTTTTAAATTATATGAAGGCCTCTGTGGATGCAGCTCCCCTTGGCTAAGGTTCCTCACTCAATAACATTCTGTAATGCTTTTTCTTGTACTGTAACTAGATTACATGTTCCCTGTTTCAATTGAGAGAAAAGAACAGAAGGAAAGTCTCAAACTCTTAAAAGCAACCCTTTTTTGGCCAACCAAAGTAGCATCTTTAATAAGCGGATACCTGTGTTAAAAAGTGGATACCTGCAGTTCCTTTTGTGCACATTAACCCTTATTCATGAGCAACTTGTGCACACACTATGTGTTTACCATCACTGCTCTAGTACTACCTATCTATTCTGCTCAAATGCTGAATAAGTTCTCATTTGTCTCTTGGCCTTATGGGATAATTGGTCTTTTTCAGTCCACTGCAGTGAGATTCCTTATAGCAAAAATCTATGGAGGTGTTATTCTGCAGCAGGCTGGGGTTTTCCCCCTGCTGAATTTATAACTGGTGGGGAGGAATTAGGAAAAAAACAAACAAACCCAACGCTAAGTTTTCATCCTCCGAACTTGAATTTCATTCCCTTTCTACAGCCACAGTAAATACCTTTAAAAGATTGCCTACAGAAGACTTTTATCCCTTCTCACAAAAATGATATTTACATAGCTTTCAACATTTTGCTGGTTTGGGGTGCGTGATATTACATGAGTGAGTTCAGATGTCATAAATCCTTGCATCATCACAGGAGCTTCAGAGAGATGTAGCACCTTAAGGACAAACTAATGTATGGCATAAGCTTTCATGAGTCCACTCCATCATTTTATTATTTACATTTCTACCTCACCCAACGGAGTCCAGGGCAGCAAACAGCGATGAATAAATAAAGCCTAGTGAGAACACATACAAACATATCTAAAAGCATTTTAAAACACCCACATGCCCTCATAAGCTAATAATTTCAAGGTTGCCAGGAACAGTATTTTTCGGCCAACAAATGCCTGGGCAAGCAGGAATGTTCAAAAATTCCTCCTGAATGTGCATTATGAGCGTGTTATATGTGGCGAAAAGAGAGGTCAGAAGGAAATGCAATGCAAAATTCAGATGGGATGATGATGATTACAATTTGTATACCTCCCTATACAGTGATACCTCGGGTTACATACGCTTCAGGTTAAATATGCTTCAGGTTACAGACTCTGCTAACCCAGAAATAATACCTTGGGTTAAGAACTTTGCTTCAGGATGAGAACAGAAATCGTGTACCGGCAGCGCGGCAGCAGCAGGAGGCCCCATTAGCTAAAGTGGTGCTTCAGGTTAAGAACAGTTTCAGGTTAAGAACGGACCTCCAGAACGAATTAAGTACTTAACCTGAGGTACCACTGTACCTGCAGGTCTCAGGGCGGTTCATAACATAAAATCACAATATAAGAGCAAAATACATAATATAAAACAAGAACAACATGCCTCCATCATGAACCTCTTCCCACCCTGAAAATACTTCCAAACTCAACCCCCCCCCATGAAGGCAACCCCCCTCCTCACTCCCACCCTGAAATAGGGACCTGGCTGTACTTCCCAGCCAGCCCGGCTGCCCCCTCTCATGTCACCTGTCCCAATCTCCCCACCACCACTGGGGCAGGACCCCCAGTATTATGTAATTGACAGCCATTCACAAAAAGAAGTAAGTTGCCAGCAGGGGCATCTTGCCTTTGGAAAGATGCAATACTACTTCCAAGTCTACAGAAGCAGTCTAAACCTTTATCTAACCTGAATTGATTGGTCAAAGCACAGGTGATCATTTGAGGTCAGCATCACTGCTTGATAGCCCTGCAGAGAGCACTATTCAACACCTGCAAAGTCGAACCCGTTGAATTAAACGGGGCTCAGTCCCAGGTGAGTTGGAACAGAACTGCAGCAGCCCTAGTTTTTTTGTGTTTTTCTTTGGCTAAAGGTTAGTTTAGTTTTGGAGGAAGGTGTGAAAGAAGGGCACGCAGGCTTGGAATTTTGCATCGACGGCAACTCCTGAAACCTCGGGGAAGGAGAGAAAATAAATAACGCAAACCAGGTTATTCAGAGTACAGCCGCCGGGTAAATTTGGAAAGCAGACGCGAGGTGCACGTCCGGTGTGTGTTTATTACGATGAGTAATCCTTATTTTTTATTTTTAATGGTTTTGGGTGCCTTGGAGACACGGTGAAGCTAAAAGCAAGGATAGAAACGGGGTGCCTGGGTCAAAATTGATTGCAAGCTGAAGATCGCTCTTTGCTAAGCAACTACGCGGGAGGGAGGTGGCCTCGCATCATCTCGCCTTGGGGACAGTTTTGGCACTTAAAATGCAAAGAGACTGAAGGGCCGCAAGCCTAGCAGCTAGTTACACTGCCTCCTTCCAAGTTGGCTGCAGTTGAAGGCGGCGGAGGCGTCTGCTGAGGAGGAAGAGAGATAGAGAGAGAGGCCGTGCGGGAAAGATCCGCCACCAACGTCCATTGCAAGATGTTGCACAGACGACGCGACCGTCCAGGTGAGGAGCGAGAGGGTAGGACTCGAACCCGCAGCCCAGTTCCACGTAGAGGGGTGGGGGCACCGATAGGAAAGCGTGGAAGCCCAAGCTCCTCCTGCCTGGTCCTTTAGCTCCTCCCGGAGACTCCCTCATCAGGGCGCAAAAAGCTGGAAAAAACGCATCTCTTTGCCTATCAGATCAGACGCCCTGAGCCCGGCCTTGGCTGGGGAGGGCGGGGTATAAAAAAAATTATTATTATTAGGATCAGACCAAGGCTGTCCGGCCCGCTGCGTATTGTTTTGGGATAAATGTCTACTCACGTTACTCAGGCTCCCGAGCAAAGTGTGCACGTGGATCGGGCCGGGCAGCGGGAATCCTATGGGGGCATCCTTGGGGGGCGGGGCAGGAAGAGTACGTCTTGTGCCCCTTCTTGCGGATGACTCCCGAATAACGAGAGCAAGTGGATCGGGGCCTATCCAGCTGGATTTCTAGGCACACTTAATGGGAAGGAAGGCTTCGGTGGGACTTCCGGCGTACTGCGCCTAAGCTGGGATGGGCTAGCTCGGCTGCGATCCTAAGGACGCTTCCTTGGGAGTAAGCTTCATTTCAGTTAGCCGGATGGACTTGCTTGCCAAGTTTAACTGCGCCTGGGGATCGAGCCACAAGGCTGCAATCCTCGGCACACTTTGCTGGGGAGCAAACCTCAGCGGAGCTTGCTCTCGGGTAACCATGCATGGGATCGGGACTGCACGAAGCCACATGCACCTCGTTGCGTCCTTCCAGTTCGGGGAGGATCGCTTTGGGCTGATCTAGTGCAAAAATCATGAGGATCCGTGTTTTTTAACCATGTTTTTGCGCCCCTGCGGCCCTACGGAACAGTGGATGCATGATTTTTTTGATGCTGCCTAAAGAGTAAGACGTGGTCTACAGTGTCATGGTGGTTTTATTTAACTTGAATGAAAAAATCATATGAATTCATGAGGATCCGTTTAAAATCAGTTGGATCCGCCTTTTACCCTTTTCCATCGCTTTGCAGTTTGTTAATGAGTGATCCAGGATAGGAGTCCTAGATGCGCCAAGGAATCTTCCAAGGCACGTGCGCGCGTTTTGGAACACGAATCCATTAAAGCACATTTATTTCCACCCGACCCCCAAAGATTTCTGGGCCCTGTAGTTTACCCTTCGCAGTGCTACGATGCCCATCAACCGTTAAGAAACTACAGTGCCCATAATTCTTCCAAGGGCGTGGGTGCGCACCGAATGCATTTCATCTCCATTTGCGCCTGGCTCGTATTCGCCGCCTGCTCAAGTCTTGAAAAAAGAATCGGAGCGGCTGAAGCTGTTGCAAGGGAAGCCTCAGCCGGTTGCCGGGAGGAGCGGCTCGCTTGTCCTTAGACGGTCCTTCCCGCGCCCCTCTTCCTGAGCATTGCAAACATGCCTCGCCTTCCTAGGCGGTGAGAATGAATGAAGCTCATTCCCTGGACCGGTGGAGGCGGCGAGACAGAGAGACCGTGATCCGGGCATCCCAACCCCCAAGGAGATTTTAGCAGCTGCTCTTCCTGTCTAGGGAAAACTCTGCATTAGCTTCCCGTCTGCAGGGATGGCGCTAAAATGTATTCTGGAGTCATTTCACTCGTCCTGCTGTGGTCCCCACAGGGCAGGACTCTGGTGGCAGAAGTCCAGCAAAATGAACAGGCGAGGACCGCAAGGCAGCAGGAGCAGGTTGACATTACAATGTTAAAGGCTGTTCACTAAAACCATTTCTAGGGGAGAACCTTCCAAAGTCCGAAGTCTAAAACTGCAGATTCCCAAACTGCATGATTGTAGCCTCCCGCAGTTTGGTCAAACTCATGTTACCGTAGTAGCTTCGAGAACACTGTCCAACCATCTCGTCCTCTGTCGTCCCCTTCTCCTTGTGCCCTCAATCTTTCCCAGCATCAGGGTCTTTTCCAGGGAGTCTTCTCTTCTCATGAGGTGGCCAAAGTATTAGAGCCTCAGCTTCAGGATCTGCCCTTCCAGTGAGCACTCAGGGCTGATTTCCTGAAGAATGGATAGGTTTGATCTTCTGGCAGTCCATGGGACTCTCAAGAGTCTCCTCCAGCACCATAATTCAAAAGCATCAATTCTTCAGCGATCAGCCTTCTTTATGGTCCAGCTCTCACTTCCATTCATCACTACTGGGAAAACCATGGCTTTAACTATACGGACCTTGGTTGGCAAGGTGATGTCTCTGCTTTTTAAGATGCTGTCTAGGTTTGTCATCATTTTTCTCCCAAGAAGCAGGCATCTTTTAATTTTGTGACTACTGCAGTGATCATGGAACCCAAGAAAGTAAAACCTCTCACTGCCTCCATTTCTTCCCCCACACGATAGCTTGTGGTAAATTGTCAAACTCGGTGTAACTGGCAAACATTGAATTGTGTGTGCTCTATATAATTTGGGGGGCAATTAGCGGGGTGAGTCCACCACACTATTAACTGGCGGTAAGTGGTGGATCTGCTATGCTCTCCAATGATGAAACTGAATGTGAATATGTTGCTCAAAAAACCAGAAAAAATAAAGACTTGTAGAGTTGGAAAGGAGCCCAAGTTTCACCTAGTCCAATCCTTTGCAGTGCCGGAATGAAGTGTATTTTGTGCTTTGTGTACTATGCTTTCTCATAGGTGTCTTAAGATGAAGTATTATACTGACTGTGGTCTTTTCTAGGTGTCAGTTCATCGTTCAATGATGCATCGTGCATGTATAGAACATTTCCCTCATTTTCACATATACACACCCCAAATAGTATCTTAGAATGGTAGAGTTCAGAGGGACCTTGAGGGTCATTTAGTCCAACCTCCTGCGAGGTAGGAATCTTTTGCCCAATGTGGGGCTTGAAAGCTATAAGACATAGGGCATTTTTATTCACCCCAGCGATTTTGACAGGTGAGATAATCCTGGACAGCCATTTTAATCAAAATCTGAGATGTAGTATTTAAAATTTATTTTATGCAGTGATCTGTCATAGAACAACCCAATTGAAGAAGTTAACGGGTTACCCAGACCTCATTGCTGGTTGGAAAGGGGTCCCCATAACAGTTCGATGTTCAGGGACCCAAAAATGTAGGTGTGCCACTGGCAGGAGCTCTGCCTCTGAGCTGTGGTCCTTCCCTAAAAGGTCAAACATAGGAGTCAGCATTATAATGTGCCAGAATTGGACCCTGTAACTAAGTTTGTCTACCCCGTGGCAGCGGCTGCCAAGGATTTAAGGCAGGATTCCCTCCTTGATCTACCTAGACCATGGGTAGGCAAACTAAGGCCCAGGGGCCAGATGCGGCCCAATCACCTTCTAAATCTGGCCTGCGGACGGTCCGGGAATCAGCGTGTTTTTACATGAGTAGAATGTGTCTGTGGCGATCACACAGGGTCCCCGGATGTTTGACGGTCTGTTGATCCCTGTGCCACCACTGTGCTCCCTTCCCCGCTGCCACCAACCCGTTACTCTCGGGTAAAACACTGAGTCTAGACAGTTGTTAAAATTGAACCAAATAAAGAAGTTTATTTTATAAGTATTAACAAGTTTATGGTTTCTCAGATAATATTCTTGTCAGTTTCTTAACTTTAGTTTCTTTACTGGCCTATACCTTCCTAATACCTTCTGACTGATTATATCAACTGTTTGAATGACTCCTCTTAACAGATTCTCTCAGTCTCCCACATCAAACTAGCCCATCCCACAGACTTATCCTCTCCATCTCTTCTCTAACTCCAGACTGACTTATTAACAACTCTAACTCTAATTCTAACTACTCCCCTTGGGTTCCTATTGGTTAGTCATTTTACAATTAGTTAACCCTTTCCTTATGAACCCAGTATGATGTCACACACCTAGGAGGCAAACACCACAGTGTCCTCTTATTTAAAATGCATCTCTGGGTTATTTGTGGGGCCTGCCTGGTGTTTTTACATGAGTAGAATGTGTGCATTTATTTAAAATGCATCTCTGGGTTATTTGTGGGGCATCGGAATTTGTTCATTATTTTTTTTCAAAATATAGTCGGGCCCCCCGCAAGGTCTGAGGGACAGTGGACTGGCCCCCTGCTGAAATAGTTTCCTGACCCCTGACCTAGAGAGACCAGGGGTTGAAACCGGGACCTTCTGCCTACAAAGCAAATCCTCTCCCATTGAGGAAGAAAGTGTACAGATTCTGGAGAGGAAAGCTGTGTTCTATGTTTCTTGCAGGGTTTCCCTGGCCCTGGGCTGCTTCTCTCCTGCTCCCTCCCTCTAAGAAGCTGCTGCCGGCAGGAACAGCCCCTTATGGGACCAGACTGACCCATTTGTTCCTTTGGGAACTTCCAGAGTCACCCTCCCTCCGACCAAGAAGAGGATCTGAGAAATGGCGGCACCATTGGAGGGACCAAGCTTACCACCATGTGCCTGTGTCCAGTGTCCTGGCATTAGCCTGCTGTCTCCTCCTCCTGTCTGCCTGCGTGCCGGCCAGGTGCTTACGTAAGACATTTAAACAACCATTTAAATCCATTTCCCTGATGAAATAAATCTGCTTTACCCCTACATGGCCAATGGAATCCAAGTGAATTCCCAGTTTTGTGGATGGGGCTGTTTGCACAAGGAAGCGGAATGTTTGAAGATTCCGGACAGAGCATAGAATTGTAGAGTTGGAAGGGACCCCAAGAGTCATCTAGTCTAACCCCCTGCAATGCAGGAATCTCATCTAAAGCACCCATGATGCTTAGGTTTTTATACAGTGGTACCTCAGAAGTCGAACAGAATCTGCTCCAGAAGTCTGCTCAACTTTCAAAATGTTCAGGAACCAAGGCGTGGCTTCCGATTGGCTGCAGGAAGCTCCTGCAGCTAATCGGAAGCTGTTTTGGACGTTTGGGTTCCAAAGAACGTTCGCAAACTGGAACACTCACTTCCGAGTTTGCAGCATTCGGGAGCCAAAATGTTTGAGTTGCAAGCCGTTCGCCAACTAAGGTACGACTGTGCTTCCCTTCATTCAGGGAAGGGCTGCAAACTTGAATAAAAGCAATGTGCTCTACGTGGGGCTAGCTCTGAAGGTGACCTGGAAACTACAACTAATCCAGAATGCGGTAGCTAGACTGGTGACTATGGGCGGCCGCTGAGACCATATAACACCAGTCCTGAAAGAGCTACATTGGCTCCCAGTATGTTTCTGAGCACAATTCAAGGTGTTGGTGCTGACCTTTAAAGCCCTAAAGGGCCTCGTCCCAGTATACCTGAAGGAGCGTCTCCACCCCCATCATTCTGCCTGGACACTGAGGTCCAGCTCCGAGGGTCTTCTGGCGGTTCCCTCCCTGCGAGAAGCCAAGTTACAGGGAACCAGGCAGAGGGCCTTCTCTGTAGTGGCGCCTGCCCTGTGGAATGCCCTCCCAGCAGATGTCAAAGAGATAAACAACCACCTGACATTTAGAAGACATCTGAAGGCAGCCCTGTTCAGGGAAGTTTTTAATGTGTGACATTTTAATGTATGTTTAATCTTTGTTGGAATCTGCCCAGAGAGGCTGGGGAAACCCAGCCAGATGGGCGGGGTACAAATAATAAATTACTATTATTATTGGGGGGCAGCTGAGCCCCACTTCACATAATTGATCTCAAGACATCTCAGACGCACAGTATTTGAATGGTGATGCTCATCAACTTTGGGTTGGAGGGTGGCCTCCTCAATTTTGTTATTGGTGGGCCAAAGGGACCTTGGCCCCTAGGAGTTGGCTCCTATGGTTCAGGAGCAGGGGATTCACTCAGCACGAGGGCCACTTTACATCCTGGGCAACCTCCTGGGGGCCACATGCCAGTGCTGGGAGGAACCAGAGGCAGAAGTGAGCAACAGGAATGAACCTTTAGTTTGTACAGAAAAAGTCAGAGGTTTCCACATACAACCACCCCAATCACTTTGTCTTCCATCCAGACAAGCGTGAGGTATTTTCGCACTGCAAGAACACAGTCCAGCCAGCTAAAAATACTTGAGGAGGGTACACAATGGGCCACTAAGGGGTGTAGCATGACAATAGAGAGTGTGGACTGGGCCAAATAGAGAGATCCAGAGGCGCACATCTGAGCTTGAGATTCCTTGCGGCTGTCTGACTAGATGGGCCTGATCCATCAGAGATCTCCTTGGTGCCTTATTTCATGAGCGTTTACCCAGCCACTCTGGATGGCTCCCAACAGAATATTAAAAATGCGATAAAACATCCAACATTAAGAAGAAGAGTTTGGATTTGATATCCCGCTTTTCACTCCCTTTAAGGAGTCTCAAAGCAGCTAACATTCTCCTTTCCCTTCCTCCCCCACAACAAACACTCTGTGAGGTGAGTGGGGCTGAGAGACTTCAAAGAAGTGTGACTAGCCTAAGGTCACCCAGCAGCTGCATGTGGAGGAGTGGAGACGCGAACCTGGTTCCCCAGATTACGAGACTACCGCTCTTAACCACTACACCACACTGGCTCTCATTAAAAACTTTCCTAAATAGGGCTGCCTTCAGATGTCTTCTAAAATTCAGATAGTTGTTTATTTCCTTGGCATCTGCTGGGAGGGCATTCCAGAGGGCGGGTGCCACTACTGAGAAGGCCCTCTGCCTGGTTCCCTGTAACCTCACTTCTTGCAGGGAGGGAACCACGCAGAAGGCCCTTGGAGCTGGACCTCAGTAAACCTTCCTGAGCTGCTCTTACAGAACAGGGAGGTGCGTATTCATTTATTATATTTATATACTGGGAGAAAACACACCTAAAAGTTATTCTGGGTCCTGAGAGTGTATGTCAATGGGGTGCATTTTAAATACAGCTGCATGTGGTCAAATGAATCTTGTGATAACCTGTTGGAAAAATAAATATTTTAGGGGCAATGAAGAAGTACCACAAACAGAGTTCTTACGATATTTATGATTGTTTCAGAAAATAGCCTGAATCCAAACAGTTCTTTATGGGATACAGATTATAAGGAGCTGTTTCAGAGGATTCTCCCAGAGGCCCCTGAATCTTCTAAATTCATGGACCCGCTCAGAAGTAACAGCCCTCTAAGTCGTGAGGAGCAAATGCAGTTGTTAACAAGTCAGAACTTGACGGCGAAGATGTCGGTCGAGCGAGGAACGTGTGATCTGCTCCTGAAGTTTTCCCGATATGTCTTGGTGAAAGCTTTCGGGCCTAGCTTGGCTTATGCTCTCATTCAGCGCCAGAGCTGTGACCATCCAGATGACCCACCCCAAATCCAACTGAATCCTCACAAACTCTTGCATTCCAAAGTAAAGCCTTCGCTCTTACACTGGGTCCATTGGCTGCTGAGAAATGTGGGAGTGGCGGTCGAAATGAATCCCTCCAAGATGCCCTCAAGGAACTGGATGCCCGAAAAAAAGAAACATCTGGCTAAGCCTGAAGCGAAACAAAATGGTAGGTATGCAAAGAGATTGTGCATGTTCCTCTGCTGCAAGGGTGGGGGGCGGCTACTTTGTGAAGGGCCATTGACTTGTGGGGAAACCACACAGAGACCATCTTGGATGGTGGGTGGAGCCACAGCTGATGGTGGGTGGGGCCAGAACCAAAATGGGTGGAGTTTGTAGCATGATATAGCTCTTTGTGTGAACCTTTTCAGCCATTCTGAGAGCCACATGAAGTCCCCATCTGCACCATACATTTTTGTCACTGAATTCTACTCAGTATGATCTGAAGTAGATTCCAATGTATAATTAGCAGAGTAACAACTTACGCATGTTGCAGGATCCCCCAAAATAGACCAGAGGTAATTGTATTTCATCCAGCAGAGCTTTACTGCTACTGAAGGCAAATGAGCAGAATGGTCACAAATCCAATACATTCAGGATTGGCACTGTCCATAAGAAATCCAGTTGCAGCAGACTTAGCTTCAACTTACAATAACTTATAATAAGTCTAACCTCAACACTAAGCATACTATGTACAGAACACCACACCAGAAGAGATAGAAAGAGAAAGTGAAACCCAGCCTCCTTCTGGTCCTACTTTTATAGTCAGCATGACCTTGAGTCATGGGTAGGCAAACTAAGGCCCGGGGGCCGGATCCAGCCCAATTGCCTTCTAAATCTGGCCTGCGGACAGTCCGGGAATCAGCTTGTTTTTACATGAGTAGAATGTGTCCTTTTATTTAAAATGGATCTCTGGGTTATTTGTGGGGCATAGGAATTCGTTCATTCCCCTCCTTCAAAATATAGTCCGGTCCCCCACCAGGTCTGAGGGACAGTGGACCGGCTCCCTGCTGAAAAAGTTTGCTGACCCCTGCCTTAACTGAAAGAGATAACAGAACCAGTTTAAGCCAGCTGCACTCAGCTTCTCTGAAGGAATAAACCCAAACACCAGGAACCTTCTGCTTCTTTCTTTCACATAGAGAAGCTTCCAGAACCCTCTTGTATTAATTAGAATAGGGAAGATCTCTACACATCAGATCAACACTTTCTGTACTAAGAAATGCAAACTGACACATTTAAAGCAGAATCATACCACTTTAAACAGCCATGGTTTCCTCCAAAGAATCCTGGGAACTGTAGTTAGTTATGGGCGCTGAATGTTGTTATGAGACACCTCTTCCCCTCAAAGAGCTACAATTCCCAGGGTTCTTTCGGAAGCGCCATTGATTGTTAGACCACTTTCTAAAAGGTTCCCCCCCCCACACAAAACTTGAGTTCCCCCTTCCCCAAGCCTGCTGATACCTCCCTGTTCTATGTGGAGAGTGTGCCCTTTTTGCTGTTTGCAAGGGCACTCCATGCCTGGACGTTATTGATAGAGGGAAATATTGCATGGAGGTTACGTTCTGGGGATCGCACCTAAAGCCAAAATCACGTATAGTCAAAACACATTGGGTGCAATGGTGGGTGAGATTGCCAAAGTCTTCTATTCTGGATGTCCGCTTGCTTTCTATCCCCTTTTTAATTTTTTTAAAATTACCGTATTTTTTCTGTCTATAAGACGCCCCCATGTATAAGACGCCCCCTATTTTGGGGGACTCCAGTTTAACAAAATGGGGGGGGAGAGAGATGGCTATCCATGTATAAGACGCCCCCAATTTTTGACATTATTTTTAAGGGAAAAAACCCTAGTCTTATACATATTTTGCCAAGCGGGCAAGGCTGAATGCGCACAAGTTAAATGTGTGTAAGTTTCTGTCTTACTGTATTGTTGGCATTCATTAACCTGTTTTCCCCCGACAAAGCGCTTGCATCCAAAATGTCATTTACATCTAAAGTTGCCATTTTATGAATTTGATTTAAGTGGAATACACACAGAGCGTATTGATGATCCCTGGTGCAAAATTGTTTCCATGATAAGATCAATAGGGAAGGCATTAGGGAGGTGATCAGTGTGTAAAGGCGGCCTCTGTTGGTTAAAGTGAGATTGCAGCACTTAAATATCTGCATAAATCTGTCTATCTTAAGTCTTTTCTTAGAGAAGATCGCTGTGCAGAGGGGGAGCTCTCTTTAATTCTTATCTGCAAAATAGGGTCTCATTTTTCTTTTCTTTTTCTGTGAATGTGTGAAATCTGATTCCTCCTTTTTTCTGATTATTCTCCTCTCACTTTCTATTCCCCCCCCACTCCCCTTAACAGGGCACTTAGCTTTTATTTCTTGGCAAAAACATTGATCCAAGGTCCAACTTTTGGATCTGGGCTTGAAGGTTCCAATAATACTTAGCATTACAGTGGTACCTCGGGTTACATACGCTTCAGATTACATACGCTTCAGGTTACAGACTCCGCTAACCCAGAAATAGGACCTTGGATTAAGAACTTTGCTTCAGGATGAGAACAGAAATCGCACAGTGGCAGCAGCGGGAGGCCCCATTAGCTAAAGTGGTGCTTCAGGTTAAGAACAGTTTCAGGTTAAGAACGGACCTCCGGAACGAATTAAGTACTTAACCAGAGGTACCACTGTATATGGTATTTTCAGGTGTTCAAAGCATTTAACAAACACCCTGCAACATATAATGGTATCATTATCATAGCTGTCAACCTTCCCTTTTTTTGCGGGAAATTCCCTTATTCCAGCAGCGTTTCCCGCTGCTTCCTGCTGCTATCCCGGATTGTTAGATATCCCGTAGACTGTCCCTGGGACAGGTGAGGCTGCTGATCCCTTAATTTCAAGGCTGCTGATTCCTTATTTTCAAATCTGACAGCTATGATCATTATTCCTAATTTGCAGATTTGGCGGGGGAAGAGTGAGGCTGAGAGAAACCAGCTTGCCTATCTAGTGAGTTCCTGGCTGAAGTGAGATTCAGATCAGAGGGTCCCTGTTTCATTTCTGAAGAATTCTGGGTGCTGTAGTTTGTTAAGGATGCCGAGTGGAAAAGCAGTCTCTTCTTAACAATGCCTAGCACCCTTAACAAACTACAGCTCCCAGAATTCTTTGGGTGAAGCCATGACTACATAAAGGGGTATCACAGCCCTTTAAATGTATGATGCAAATATGACCCAGATATTTATCAAGGAGCAAAACACACTTCCTATTCATTTGGCTTTTTGTAAGTTGCCGGATGGGGAATTTATGCAGTTGGGAAACCTGGTTATCTCCCCCAGCCCCCCTGCAAATTGCAATTTCTAGCTGTAGGGCATGACAATTAAAGGCAGATTTTGTGTCTTCCTAAAGACTGAACCATTGTGAAATCTGAAAAGAATAGTCCACTGGCCAGATTTCAAAGGCACAGTTCTGGTATTTGGCTCACTATTGGCCTAGCTATCACCATGCCAAGAAAACATAAGAAAAACCTGGCTGGATCCGGCTAAAGGACCATGCTAATGTAACGTCCTATTCCCTGAGCATGGCGGCTCAGTTTAATTGCAATGGCCAATGTCTGCTGATAGATTTTGTCCTCCATGAATTTGCCCAATCGTGAAAAGGCCTCTGGTGGATCAGAGCAGAGGGTAAGCATTTCCCCCCTGCTATGGCCAACCAGATTCCTTTGGGAAGCTCACAAGCAGAGCATGAAGGCAACAGCTCTCCCCTACTGTTGTTCCCTGGCAACTGGTATTTTCCGGGTCATACGGTTTCTGCCATGATCTAGAATTCAACAATGTCTAGGCAACACGATGACCATATACATACGTAATAGATAATCTTTATAGAATTCCTTCAAATCATAAAAAGTTCAAAATGAAATCTTTAGTCTCAAAGTCTCTGAAAATCTTTAAATGAAGTAAGGTACTAAACTATACGGTGGAATGTATATAAATGTATATACCTGTAAATGAAAATATCAAATGCTGTGGAACAGTGCTCATGTAACAATGTAGTCATTCATTCGAAATAAGATGGGTTTATGAAGCATTCTATATCCACCCACCACGCTGACGAAGAATTCTACGAAACAGTAGTCAATTGTAATGGTTCTAGGGGTTGCTTGTGTGTAAGCAGGTGTCTATCTCCCCGGCTGGGTGCAAACACCTGGGTGGGTTGCCAGAGTGAACCTTTTCTGTCCGGACAGCCACTCACCCGTGGCTGACTCAATCGCTGGCAGAATCCGTCAGTGGGCGTTTCTTAAACTTCTTCCAGCAAAGAAGCTCTTTGACGCCTAGTCTCCTCCTACTCTCTCTGTGCGAAAGCCTTCTGCGCAAGGAGGGTGTGGGCAACGGAGGACCCCTATTCTCCCCGCTGGTCCCAGGCAAGGAGTCATGAGACCGCCTCGCCGCTTCCCCCATCTGCCCCCCTTCTCCACTGGTGCTATGCTGATTCTCTTCCACAGAAGATGGGCTGCTTCTCCCGATCCCTGGACGCGCTCTGGAATCCCTCTGGCTTTTGCTCTCTCCCTCCGGCACTGATGGCAGTTCCCTGACATCAATATCCGGAATTACTGTTCAGTGTTGGACATCATTGTTGAATACACAAAGCTTCACAGCTTGTCTTCCACCGTACAAAGTTTGGTACCTCGCTTCATTTAAAGATTTTCAGAGACTTTGAGACTAAAGATTTCATTTTGAACTTTTTATGATTTGAAGGAATTCTATAAAGATTATATAATACATATGTATATGGTCATTGTGTTGCCTAGACATTGTTGACGTTCTCTTTGCAACACAGGGGTTTGTTTGGATACTTAATGATATAGAATTCTGCAGACCCAGCCACACATGGCTCCTAATACCATGTGCTCCCTTGTCAAACAGATGCCTGGTCAGGGCAGAAAGTGTGGGAAAGCTGAATCTTAGCGACACTTACTTGAGAGAAGGTATAAGCTAATATGTCAACCTGGTCTCAGTTGTTCATTTGTCCAACCAGTTCTCCATGTTTCAACATCAATTTGCAACCCCCTACCCAACGTCCTCACAAAAATCCATCAGCATTTTGGGGGGTGAATTTCTCACATGCAATTCTTATCTGCAATTTTGCCTGATTGATGCATGCATTTGGCAAACCCATTTTCCCCTTAATACAATCAACATTTTTGTATGTTCGTTTCACCGGTATATGCATTTATACGCACACTGTACCATATAGTACATGCATTTTTGGACACACGTTATGTGGCTGGAGAACTGCACTGCAAAATTCAGTGTGGATTTCAAAAGAGGGGCTGTGTTTCATTTTGTGTATCGTTTTGGAAAATGTTAATTTGTTGTTTGAACTGAATCTCCCCTATCCCTACTAAAGATGTACAGTGGTACCTCGGGTTAAGAACTTAATTCGTTCTGGAGGTCCGTTCTTAACCTGAAACTGTTCTTAACCTGAAGCACCACTTTAGCTAATGGGGCCTCCCACTGCCACTGCACCGCCGGAGCACGATTTCTGTTCTCATCCTGAAGCAAAGTTCTTAACCCAAGGTAATATTTCTGGGTTAGCGGAGTCTATAACCTGAAGCGTCTGTAACCCAAAGTGTCTGTAACCTGAGGTACCACTGTAGTCCAAACAAACTCAGTGGCTTATTATTAGAATGCTATTGGGTTGCACATCTTAAAGGGGACTTCCTAATGCAAAACACACAAAGAGAGAATATTCTGTGAAATGTCAAATTTGCAGGGTTACTGACTTGATCCCTGTGAACCTCATTCATCAGTGAAAAGTGACTAGTTCTTCCTTCCTCCATCTGGGCAAATAGGAGAAACAGGACACCCGTCAGGAGGGAGTGGACTAGAGAGAAAAGAAAGGGCCACGCCTCTCTGCATGTTATTTCTTTCCAGATTTTGGAAAGAAAAAAAAATGAATTGCATTGTCGGAAGCATCTTAGAGCTTTAGTTTCTCTGAAAACCATGCCCATTGGTGGTTCTTATGATGAGACACCACCACCAGATTCACACTCGAATTATGGATACTGATGGAGGAGAAACTCCATACAGTCTGTACTTAGATGTGAACTTACTTTGCGCTTTCTGAAATAATGTGAGAACCAAAACACAGCCCTCTTTTTGCACTTCTGTGAATTTTGCAAAGCGGTTATCCGGTCAAGTGATGCATTTGCTAGGATAAAGTGTGCATATAAATGCACATATCACTGAAAATAACATACAGAACCACATATTAGGGGGAAATTGCTTCGCAAGAATGTGTGTAGAGTATTAGGAGACATAATGAATTTTTATGAGGATTTCTTTTTTTAAGGGGAAAAATTGCAAAGTGATGTGAAAGTATTGGAGAATCCAATTTAAGACTGGAAAAATAAGAAACTGTGAAATAAATTGGAAGTGACATATTCGCCCATCCCTAATTATGGGTAGAAAGGAAGCGGTCCCTATCCTAAGTCCAGGAGTTTAGGAGTACTATCATTTTCCTACTCATATTGAAATACTGCCCCTCAATGAGGCCAAACTTAGATTCACAAAATGTTTAAGGGTACGCTACCTCTGCGTCCCCCCAGGAAAAAAAAGCACTGCCTAAGTCCAAGCCATTGTTTCATCTCCCACTTTCAGCCATATCATATTCTGTAGCCTAATAAACCAATAGCTAAGAAGATTGGTGCAAAAAAACAAAACCAATGAAAATTAGGGAGTGGCGTTCCTTTGTGCCCACTGTAATTTTAGCGCTAACATTCATAGCCAGTTTATACAACCAAGAAAAAGCCCAAGCTTTTCTAGGGCTATACCTCTTCAGATAGTTGGGTGGTGTGTGTGTGTGTGTGTGTGTGTGTGTGTGTGTGTGTGGAGGCTTTTTATTTTATCTTCCCAAAGAAATGAGGAATCCAGAAACATTGCTTGTTCAGACGATACACTAGGTATTATAAAAGCAACGTGAAAATAGTAAGATTATGCATATAATAAGTGCATCAGAAGTGGTCTGAGACTGCAATTATGTGTGCATTTACACTCAGGAGCAAACCTTATTGACATTTGTGGGGGGTGACTTATCAGTAAACATGATTGGTTGAGTGTGCTGCAAAATATAATGATTTTGGGGACTTTAGATTTCCCATGTCTTTAAATAGCCATCAGACTCAAAGATAAATAAAGGATTATGAAATAATTCAGGTGAATGATTAGGTAAACATCGACCTGCTTTTCCTAAGAAGCGACACTATTCCACAATGTTGGAAAATCATGAAAATTCCGAGTAATGACTAGGTAAACATAAACTGGATTGTGCCGAGAAGCCATGTTTGGGGTTGCATCCAGTGCTAGTCCTGCTCAGAGTAGACCTATTGAAATGAATGGGCATAATTAACTAAGGACCACTAATAACTGGACTTTCCATGAGGGGAAAAACACTTTGGAAGGACCCGGGTTGATGAAGCAATGACTGTAAGCCTTACCTTTGTACAGTGGACTAGTTTCCCTGTCTATCCATCCAGGCACTCAGGAGGCATTAGCAGAGTTCAAGGGCACATCCTGGCTAGGCAAAAACACTCAAGGGGTGTGTGGCCTATGGAGAGTCTCAAGGGCTAGTCAGAGAGGTCTGGAGGGCCACATGCTTTCCCTGTCCTAGTGTTAGCTTATGCCACTGCAGCTATTAAAGATTAGGCGTGTTTAAGTCATGGGGTGAGGAAGCATTTTCAGCCCTCAGTTCTGAGTACGAAATAATCCAGATTGATTACTAGGTAATAATCAGCCAGGATTTCCCCAAGAAGCCTGATTGGGCATCCATCTCAGGGGTCAGTTAGGGAGAACATCCATGGATACCGTTCCACAATGTTGGATAATGCAACTGAGCATTGGTTGGCTTTCCATTGGGGGCCAAGTTTTTTAAAGGTCCAAGGCTGGTGGAGCAATGAATGCCTTGGAACTCGGACGTTTTGGCTCCTGAACGCCGCAAACCCAGAAGTGATTGTTCCAGTTTGCGAACATACTTTTGGAACCCAAATGTCTGACAGGGCTTCTGCGGCATCTGATTGGCTGCAGGAGCTTCCTGCAGCCAATCAGAAGCAGCGATTTGGTTTTCAAATGTTTTGGCAGTCGAATGGACTTCTGAAACGGATTCCGTTTGACTTCTGAGGTACGACTGTAGTGGGTTGGCCAAGAGGGCAACCGATGTAGCTATACAAAAGTCAGAAGGTTCCACACACATCCCTCTGTCCTCTGTCCAGGAAAGCAAGGGGCACAATCAAACTGCACCATCCAGCCAGGCAACAGCACTCAAAGATGGTGTGGAGCAGGACTGGTGAGGGGGAGAATCTTGAGGGCCAGTTAGAGAGCTCTGAGGGCCATATTCAGTCCCCAGGCCTGCAGGTGGATTTCTGCCCCTGGTTTAAGTTGTAAAGGGGTGTGTGTGTGTGTGTGTGTGTGTGAGTGTGTGTGTGAGAGAGAGAGAGAGAGAGAGACATGACATGACATGGCAGAGATATGTGAAATTGTCCAGAGCAAAGAGAATCTCAGCATTCAAGAATTTGGGGACCCCGCTGAAATTTATTGGCAGCAACTTTATGACCTTAAAAGGGAGGTGGGAAGGTCTTTTTCATATATACAATGCATAATTAACTAATCAAATTCATGGTCCCGATATGTTATTCATAATCAGGGCATTTGGGGAGGGGAAGGTGCTATAACCCAACGTCTGCAGAAAGCAGGATCGAACCCACTCCATCCATCAGCTTGATGGGAGGGCGGTTTTCAGTCCTGAGGGAGATCACCCTAGAGAACTCCATGCACAGCTCAACCCTGCTTAGAAAGCCGGATTTCAGTTTATGAATGCTGTCCTCAGATGATTGACAAGTGTGTGGTCTCGCCCACCTGCCCTAGTTGGCCCTGGGATGCTGGAAAGTTCCACACCCCTGCTCTGTGGGAGCAAGTATTCCATACTGGAGCGTACAGTTTGGGGCGGGGAAGTCCTGTTAATTGTTAGCATTTATATAGTGCTCTTGAGTGGTCCCCCCCCAATTATATTTTCTTGTTCCAACATTTTTAACATATGCCATCAAAATACAATTTAGTCTTTTCTTATCGACTTCCCACCCCTTTTCCCATGGAGTTCTTGTTTCTCCCCTTCTGCTGCACCCCACCTTCTAGCTATTAAATCAAAGTCAAACTGTATTACCATCTACTGTATTTTTTGCCCCATAGGGCGCACCGGTCCATAGGGCGGACCTAGTTTTTTTGGGGGGGGGAATAAAGAAAAAAAAATATTTCCCCCCCAGGAACGGGGCTGGGGCGGGGGAAGCCCGAGCTTCCCCCGACCCCAGCCCCCAGAACAGGCTGCTATCCGCAAGCCTAGGGAGCCCGGCGGGAACTCCGTCCGGGCTCCCCAGGCTTGCGGATAGCTCCTGAGCCTGAGAGCGAGAGGGTCGGTGCGCACCGACCCCTCTCGCTCTCCAGGCTTCAGCGAAAGCCTGCATTCGCCCCATAGGACGCACACACATTTCCCCTTCATTTTTGGAGGGGAAAAAGTGCGTCCTATAGGGTGAAAAATACGGTAATTACCGCTGCTGCTCATAGCTCGAAACCTGCTTGTGAGTTCATCAGTGCACTTAAGTGTTCAAAGCCTGGTGACTTTACAACAGCCCTCAGAGGTGGGTCAGTATTATCACTGCAGAGGTGAAGCTGGGAGTGAGCCCTATGGCTACTTTGCATCCATTTGAACCAGGCATCTTGATTTGTAGCTTAGTCTGCAACCTTTATACACATGTGCCTGAGAATAAATATTATATATGTTACCTTGTGAGGTCTCCAGATGTGGTAGACTCTCCCAGCTTCCCCATCAGTCCAGCCAACATGGCCTGTGGTCAGGGATCATGTGAATTGACAACCCAGCTTACACCTGGAGGGTCACAATTTATTGCAATTTCTCTATTCCTGATGTATTACAGGGCTGTGCTGCGTATGGATAGTTCTGTTGGTTAGAGCTTGGTGCTGATAACAGGATCAGTCCCCATACGGGACAGCTGCATATTCCTGCATTGCAGGGGATTGGACTGTGATTCTATATCTCTTAGCCACTGTGCTTGTGGTGATAGTGGGGCTCTAAACTGTGGTCTAAACCACTGAGCCTCTTGGGCTTGCCTATCAGAAGGTTGGCGGTTTGAATCCCCATGACGGGGTCAGCTCCCGTTGCTCTGTCCCAGCTCCTGCCAACCTAGCAGTTCAAAAGCACACCAGTGCAAGTAGATAAATAGGTACTGCTCTGGTGGGAAGGTAAATGGTGTTTCCATGCATTCTGGTTTCCGTCATGGTACAGTGGTACCTCGGGTTAAGAACTTAATTCGTTCCGGAGGTCTGTTCCTAACCTGAAACTGTTCTTAACCTGAGGTACCACTTTAGCTAATGGGGCCTCCCGCTGCCACTGCACGATTCCTGTTCTCATCCTGAAGCAAAGTTCTTAACCTGAGGTACTATTTCTGGGTTAGCGGAGTCTGTAACCTGAAGCATCTGTAACCTGAGGCACCACTGTATTCCTTTGCACCAGAAGTGGTTTAGTCATGCTGGCCACATGACCCGGAAATCTGTCTGCAGACAAACGCCAGTTCCCTCGGCCTGTAAAGCGAGGTGAGTGCCACAACCCCATAGTTGCCTTTGACTGGACTTAACCGTCCAGGGATCCTTTACCTTTTTACCCTATAGTTCAAAAGCACGTCAAAGTGCAAGTAGATAAATAGGTACTGCTCCGGCGGGAAGGTAAACGGCATTTCCGTGCACTGCTCTGGTTCGCCAGAAGCGGCTTAGTCATGCTGGCCACATGACCCAGAAGCTGTACGCCGGCTCCCTCAGCCAATAAAGTGAGATGAGCGCCGCAACCCCAGAGTCGGTCATGACTGGACCTAATGGTCAGGGGTCCCTTTACCTTTACCTTTAGGACTCTAGTCGAATCCATGGTGCATTGGTCAATCAGCAGCTGTTAGCCATGATGGTTTAGTGGAACATCCATTATCAGAGGCAGTATACCTCTCAATACAAGGCAGCGAGGTCAAGCATCTGCTTTTGTGCCCCTGGGATTCCCAGGGGAATCTTGCCAGTCAGTGTTGGAATCCTGGGCTAGATGAAACTTTGGTCTGATGCCGGAAGGCAGTCCTTATGAATCTCTGAAGTGCAAAGTTAATTTGGCAATGTGGGAAAAACAGCCCCCTAATGAAGGTAATATAATTGACTGGTTGAATATTAAATATAATTCTCCTGCTTTCCTTTGGACCACATCAGCAAGGCCGAGAGAGGGGTCTTGTCATCTGGGCAGCCCAGGACCTCCATACACACTGCAGAGCATTGCGCCCTGAAAGGGCCACTTGGCTGCTGCTAACGTAACAAAAACGTGAGAGGCAGCAGTGATGAGTTACTGGTATCTGCAGCCACAGCAGGTGCTGTGATTCTCCAGTGGTTTCTTCACCCCTGGAGGCACACTCCATTGTCTCTTGGATAATGATAATGATAATGATAATAATATTTTATTTATATCCCACCCTCCCCAGCCGAAGCCGGGTTCAGAGCGGCTAACAACAATAAAAGTAACACAACATTCTAAAATCAATTCATTTTAAAATTAATTCAAAATCAAATTCATGGCAACCATTGGGCTAGATGTCAGCAGCTCCCGGGAAGATTTGCATAGGATCGGGAGCTGCGGCTACACGATTCTGCAAAACCAATGTGGTAACATGAAGAATGAGTGTGTGTACATTGTGGGTGAAAACAACAAGCCCTCCTCTGTGGTCAGTTGGGTAATTTAATTCTGGAAGAAAGAACAAAATGTTAGTACAAATTATTATCATGTATGTCTCGCTACATTACAGCCCTCCCACTGCCAGCAGACATTGCATTTTCCACTGTGGGTGTGTCTGTATCTCAGGTTTGATAAGCATCTGTAAGAAACGGTACATCCTGTCTCATTATAAGGAGCAACAGAAATTCGTAGAAACACAGGAAGCTGCATTGTACTGAGTCAGACCATTGGTCCATCTAGCTCAGAGGCGTCTACACTGACCGGCAACAGCACAGATGGATTTCAGACTGGGAACCCTACCTGGAAAGGCATGTGCTCTAACCACTGAGCAATGGTCCTGTTCCCCACCCCCTCCATGACACCTTTGGGGAAAGAGGCTGATTGATTCTGTAGCTCTTTTGCCTTTCCTATGGGCATCCTGAGCCAACCGCCCTCTTTGATCTCTTTCTTGAGCTTGGTACAGTTAAACCAGGACTGTATTTCCTGGGCACACTAACAAGCCTGGATAGCTCAGTTGGTTAAAGCATGGTGCTGATAAAGCCAAGGTTGAGCGTTTGATCCCCGTACAGGACAGCTGCATATTCGGGGGTTGGAATAGATGATCCACAGGGCCCCTTCCAACTCTACAATTCTGTGATTTGGGATTAAGTCCAGGCTGAGTATCAGCACCCAGCATGGACAGCCCCACCCTTCCCTTCGCAACAAGCGGCAGAGTCAAAGCAGAACTGCTGTTTTAATTTCCCACAATGCCCCTGCCATAGCATTCCAGTGGTGGGGCATTGTGGGAAATTAAAACGGTGGCTCACAGATGCAGACACCTAGTGCTGGATCCGAGTGATGCATAGCTGTCAACGTTTCCCTTTTTAAAAGGGAAATTCCCTTATTCCGAATAGGATTCCTCGCAAGAAAAGGGAAAAGTTGACAGCTGTGGAGTGATGCTGCTCTTTGCTGGATAAGGCTACCAGGAGGATGGGGGTGGCACTTGAGAAAGGTCCTCTCTAATCTGAAGCTGGTCCTGATTAATCACTGTTAAACACAATGGGACTTGCATTCCCAGCTTGTGAGTCAGAGGCAATTTTAGGGTCGCATGGGCAGTTTGACTGCCCTGGGTTCAGGGGGCGCTGCAACAATGATGTTGATGGGGCATGGGGGGGGGCAGCAAATGTTAGTGTCTCACAGAGCACCGCTGAAATTTGGGAGAACGGCCACTACGTGGGTGTTTATTTCAGAACCCATGATACAAAGAAGGAAGGGGTGAGCCCATCCAAATTTGGCCAGGGGCTCCTGCTCCTTTCATAGTTGCGCAGAGAGAACTGCTCTTCAACTTGTGGCTTGGAAAAGGGACGATCCGATAGCCATCTTCAAATATCTCAAGGGCTGGAAGAGGGAACAAGCTTGTTTTCTCCTGCTCTGGAGGGCAGGACTCGAACCCAAGGCTTCAAGAAAGGAGATTCCGACTAAAAACCAGGGGGAAACTTTCTGACGGTAAGAGCTGTTCCGACAGCGGAACTGTCTTCCCTTGGGACGTGGTGGACTCTCCTTCCTTGAAGGTTTTAAAGCAGGGGTTGGATGGCCATCTGTCATGGAGTGGGTGCTTTGGTTGAGATTCCGGCATTGCAGGGGGTTGGACTAGATGACCCTCGGGGTCCCTTCCAACTCTACAATTCTCTCATTCTATGACCCCCTGCTTCAAGGTGCGTTGCGCCGGCAGCATCGCCACCGTGCCAATATGTGGTTAAATACAAATAAACAATTAAGAAATGAGTGTCCAGATGCACGTTTGGGTTGCAGGCGAGCCCTGGGTCTGAAAAGGTTGAAGATACCTAGCATAAAGGAAGGGAAATCTCATCAGGTGCCGCTTGCATGGCCGGCGAGAGGGTCCGGGGCTGTCGCGTGGCACCTGTCGCTGGCTCCTTGACACTTGAGCCCCCTCTCCCAGGCAGGCGCGATAGCGCCAACCTGCGCGCAAGACCCCTTTGGAAGCCCATAGCTCCCGGGCTCACGTTTCCAGCGCAAAAAGAAGGCGACGCGTCGCTTTTGGGAAAAGGCACGTGTGGTTTCTTGGCTGCTTGGAAGAAGAGGCGCCCAGGGGTGCGGATCCCGGGGAGTCCTCGCTCCGAACGCTCTCCAAGTTTGCGCAGACTTGGACCTGAACCAGTTCGCTTCCGAGCAACTGAATAGCAGCCAAGGACACCGGGAAAGGGGGGGGGGAGGCGATTCGCTTCCAGGGAAAGTCCAGCGATCGACTAGGAGGAAGAGAGATCGCGATCCGCGCGGTGCTTTCCCTCCCCCTGTTTTTTTCGGGGTTTGCTCTCGCCCCCCTTTCTTGGCAACTCGGCGCCAACAGCCGCGCGGTATGTCCAGAATGCGAAGCGGCGTCACGGGCCGGGGAGGAGCCAAGCGCTCAGCTGGTGTAAACAGCGCGGCTCCGAGATCGCCTATAAATAGCGAGGCTGGTGGCCGGGCAGGAAAAAAAAAAGCCGGGCAGCGGAGCGCTCAAAGGAAAAAGAAAGCCTTTGGGTTCCCGAGCGCGCCTCTCTCTGTCCCTCTCCAGAGCCGTCTAAAAATATAGATGTCTCTAAATAATCCACGTCGCTTCTCTTAATTGCTTCTGGGGGGAAAAAGAGGATCGCCACCAGCTCAGACCGTCCAACTAAAACAGAGCGCTGGGTGGGAACGGGGAGAAAAAACCTCGCTTCTTCTGTTACCAAAGGGCAGAAAAGCGTTGTGCGCTTTTCTGCCGAGAGCGCAGAGGTAAGGTACGTGATGATGGACTTTCTCGAGGGCTTTTTTCCCTTCAAATCGCCACCAGGAGGCGCTGCTGTCGGTTTAAATGCAGGGAGTTAGAGATGCTTGTAAACCTGTACGCCGAGGGGAGAAGGGAGACCGAGCAGCCCGGTTCCCGTGTGTGCGCGCGTGTGTGCATGTATGTGCGTGTGTGTGAGAGAGCGCGTGGTCTGTGGTGTGTGTTCGGAAGGGAGAACTTGTCCTTTGCAATCATCATGACGACAATAACGAAGTTCTTGCAGAGATTGTTGGACGAGGAGGCAGGCTGCAAAGGCGAGGTAAGGAACGGCGCGGCTCAGGATCGCGCGCCGGCTTGCGCGGCCACGTGCCGCTTGACACCGCCTTCTCCCGCGGCAAGCGCGCCTGTGCGAAATCCGGGCTCGCCTTGACTGGGATTCTTGCGTGCGGCCGACGGTTTGGAGAAACAGAGAAGGGGGCGCGCGTCCCAATCGCTGCAACAAGTTAGGAACCTGGACGGTGCGGACGCGCGTTTCCTCCGGCGGCGCCCCGGTCGGCTTGTTCTTCCAGAAGGTGCCGGGATCCGCTTGGAGGGGTCAGGCTGGGCTGGGCGCAACAGCCCGGGGCGCTGCTCCTTCCGGAGACTGCACGTGGCAGCGGTCTGGTCGTCGCTACAGCGCCCGATCCCGGAGCGGAGCCGCAGGCAGGTGGGTCCTCGATTGCTTCCTTCCACGGTCGCGCTCTCCCTCTCCGTCGAGGGCTGAGCTCTTGCACGCCGGGCTTGGGGCGGGAGCGCTTGCTCCCTGGGAAGCGTGCCTAGGATGGATGGAAGCCTGGGGGTCTTTTTCTCTCTTCCTTTCTGCAGGGAGCTCCTGCCCGCCGCCCGCCGCGCACCTCACCCCGTGGCGTCCGGGACATAACAGCAGCCACGCTGCCGTCGTGGGCCGAGGGGCGGCTCTGCGCTTGGAGAGCTCGGCCACTTTCCACTCGCTGCTCATCCAGGAAGGAGGTAAGGAGGAGAGGCTTTTGCGCGGGCAGCAGGCTCTTAACCTCGAGGGGAAAAGCTGGCGGTGGGGAGAGAGGTGTTTGTTTGCAGGTGCTCAAGCTGCGCCCGATCCTGTGCCATTTAACCTTGGACTCAATCCCCACGGAACTCCAAGGGGCCAAATCCCATGTAGGAAAACCCATACCAGTTTAAGTTCAGGTGTGTATTCTCTGACTTCTGTAACTTGAATAGTGCAGGTGGCACTGTGGGTTAAACCACAGAGTCTAGGACTTGCCGATCAGAAGGTTGGTGGTTCAAATCCCCACGACGGGGTGAGCTCCCGTTCTTGGTCCCTGCTCCTGCCAACCTAGCAGTTCGAAAGCACGTCAAAGTGCAAGTAGATAAATAGGTACCGCTCCGGTGGGAAGGTAAACGGCATTTCCGTGCGCTGCTCTGGTTCGCCAGAAGCAGCTTAGTCATGCTGGCCACATGACCCGGAAGCTGTACGCCTGCTCCCTCAGCCAGTAAAGCGAGATGAGCGCCGCAACCCCAGAGTCGGCCACGACTGGACCTAATGGTCAGGGGTCCCTTTACTTTTACCTTTAAACTTGAATAGGTGCTGCTGTCTGATCTCATGACTATTTATTTGCTTGCCTGTAAAAAGCTCTCTGCATTTGTATTGACCGAATGCATTGATTACTGCATCTAATTGATTCATATTGCATTTTATGCACCAGGTGCAAGTAACTTGGAGTTAAAGACAGAGGAAAGAGGCTGAGAAACAGTGAAGTGTAGGGGTCAGAATGTAAGACTAGGCCCCTTGAGACGAGGTTCAAAAACCCACTCGGTCATATTTAATAATAATGTTATTATTATTATTATTATCATGCCTCTCAACCTAACCTGCCTCACAGGGTTGTTGAGGGGATTAAATGAGGAGGGGGGAGAAGCATGTATATTGCATTAAGTCCCTTGGGGGTGGGGGAAGTGGGACATCATTGCAATAAAACCAGCCAGTCATTCATTCAATCAAACAATCAATTCTCAGCTTTCCAGTGACATAAATTGAATGGGGGTTGGGGGTTGGTTGCCCTTTAACATTCTCCAGTTCTTGTGACCTTGTTATATTTGCAATTTTTTAAAAGGGCAAAAGCATTGTTCTCCTCTGTTCAGGGCATATTTTTGTTCATGAAGTGTTGACATTAATTCCATCAATAAGAATATCAGAGGAGCCCTGCTGAATCAGACCAATGACCTGCTGAGCACAGCATCCTTTTTCTCCACCCAGTGGCCCTCTGGGTGAGGCTGAGAAACCACAGTGGGCAATAGTACAATCACCTCTTGGTTCTAATGTAGCTCTGTGCAACCTCCAGCATCAACATGCAAAGTACCAGCAGCTGGGGAGCGGGAAAAAACTGCCTTTTCCTGCTCCCCAGCTGCTGGTACTTGGAGGCATTTGGCATGTTGATGCTGGAGGTTACGTAGAGCTACATTAGAACCAAGAGGTGATTGTACTATTGCCCAGTGAACCTAATATTAGAGTACAGATTCTACTGTACAGTGGAGGAATGGCTGTGTTAGTTTGTCACATCAAACAGCAGATTGGGGATGTTTTGTGGCTCATTATTGTGATGTAAGCTGATACCACAAATATATTTTAGGCTCTTTTGGTGTTGGAAAGTTTTGCACCTGAATGTGATTCCTGTGCAATTATCTTTCCCCATCCTCTGTTCTTTGAACAATACACATGGGGATGTTTTATAGTCTGACCTGCTGCTGCAGTTTAGAACTTACTCCTGAGCTCGATCCTCCTCTAGTCCTTATTATCATCAATATTGCAGATGTCGGGGTCTGAGACTGAGGGAGTGACTTCCTGGGGGGCCACCTAGTAAATTGGCATGGGTGAGATTCTAACTGGGGACTGGCCAATCTGTTGCTTAGCCATTACACCAAGTCTGGATCTAGACACATCAAAAAAGTATTTTAGGAAAACACGCTGTAAAGCGCAAAGCGGGAAAACACGTTGGCAACAGACGGAACTCCACAGCGCCATCTGGTGTCACCTAATGCATATAAAATGCCTTTTCTTTACTAATGTAAGGTAAAGGGACCCCTGACCATTAGGTCCAGTCGTGACCAGCTCTGGGGTTGCGGCGCTCATCTCGCTTTATTGGCCGAGGGAGTCGGCGTACAGCTTCCGGGTCATGTGGCCAGCATGACTAAGCCGCTTCTGGTGAACCAGAGCAGTGCACGGAAACGCCGTTTACCTTCCCGCCGGACTGGTACCTATTTATCTACTTGCACTTTGACGTGCTTTCGAACTGCTAGGTTGGCAGGAGCAGGGACTGAACAATGGGAGCTCACCCCATCACGGGGATTCCAACCACCAACCTCCTGATCGGCAAGTCCTAGGCTCTGTGTTTTGACCCACAGCACCACCCCCATCCCATTTACTAATGTAGCTGAGTCCTAAGTGTGGGGAACCTGTGGCTCTCCAGGTGCTATTGGGCTCCCATTGGGCTCCCAGTGTGGCCCAATGGTCAGAGATGATGGGATTTGTAGTCTTGGGATGTCTGGAAGGTTGTAGATTCATCACCTCTGCACTGCAGTATGCTGCGCCAGATCACAAATCTGAGAAAATTGTTGTCTCTCTCTCTGTGCTTCCCTTCCAGGGATCTTAGTATTTGCAGATGATCTGGAGGAAGCCATCACCTTACGAGCTCGCAGCATCCTTCTTGAGGATGGCGGGGCACTGTACGTGGGCTCCAAATGCCGCCCATACCATTCCAAGGCCACCATTTCTCTCTATGGGAAAGCCACCGACGAAGCCGACGTGGAGGGCTATGGCAGAAAATTCATGGGAGTGGGCAGAGGTGGCATTCTCGAGTTGCACGGAAGGAAGCCTCGATCCTGGACGCTTTTGGCCAAAACCTTGTACCCGGGCGGACTTCGGTACGGCCGGTACACTTCTGAGAAGCGCTGGAGTAGTCGTGGCCTCAATGTCCGGATAGTGGATGCGGGCACAGCCCAGGTAGTGGCCGCTGAACGCTTTGACACCCACCTCCTTGTTGACGAGAGCCGCAGATTGAGGGAATTCCTTGCCCACCAATCTCTGGGCCACGTAGTAGCCATGGCAGTAGGGGATTCTGCAGCAAAGAGTTTGACCTTGGAGACTCGGCTATTCCTCAAGAACCTGCTGCACAGCAAATACGTCCTGCACCTGCAATACAGGTAACTTTGCAAATGTGGCTTCTTACTTTCATGCGTGCAATTCTGCAAACGTGTAGGGCATCCTAGTGCCCTGTGCTGTGGGGGCTACACAGATATGACCTCCATATTCCCCCCCCCCCGGATTAGATAATTATCGTGCTATGATTGTTTGGATGTGTATATCCAAAGAGATTGTACCCTAATGTTTTAATGTTGTAGCTTAATCTTTTAAATTGTATTTTTTAGTCAACTTGTTTTTATTATTGGTTGTTAGCCGCCCTGAGCCCGTCTTGGCTGGGGAGGGCGGGGTATAAATAAAAAATTATTATTATTATTATTATTATTACAGTGGTACCTCAGGTTAAGTACTTAATTTGTTCCAGAGGTCCGTACTTAACCTGAAACTGTTCTTAACCTGAAGCACCACTTTAGCTAATGGGGCCTCCTCCTGCTGCCACGCCGCCGGAGCCCTATTTCTGTTCTCATCCTGAAGCAAAGTTCTTAACCTGAAGCACTATTTCTGGGTTAGTGGAGTCTGTAACCTGAAGCGTATGTAACCTTAGGTGCCACTGTATTATTATTATTATTATTATATGCTGTTTGTTTCAGTTGTGCTTGTTTCCTAAGCATGGCCAGTTAACACTAACTTGGCAACTAGGATTAGCTGGCTGTTCATTGTAGTCTTGCTTTAGTGGCGGCGGGGAAACCTCTGGCTCTCCAGAGGAAGCCGAACTACAACTCCCATCAACTCTGACCATTGGTAGTGCTTCTTAGGGCTGATGGGAGTTGTAGTTAAGCAACTTCTGGAAGGCCAAATGTTCCTCATCCTGTGTTCAGTGTTGTGCATGCACGTGGTGGTTTCCAAAGAAGGGGAAAGGGAAGGAAACGAAAATAACCTGGGTTGTCATGTTTGCCAGCAAATGAAACCCTACAAGGTTAAGAAGCAGTGAGGCGACTTTTTTTGATGGCTCACAAATCCCGTTTTCTTCCATAGGCAATATGGATACTTTGGTTTGGTACACAGGGGCTAAAAAAACCCCCACGTTCAGTGTCTGTGGAACTTGCCAGTTGAACTGAATGGTGTTCTCCCTTATATATTTTTGATAGTCTTGGCATTTTGATCAGAGTGCAAGGAACCAGAAATTCTATGGTGTTTAAAACGAGGTTATAGGGATATCTAAGCATAGGGTGTTCCAGCAAACTCTTTTTAGGTCTATTAACCTGTAAAAGAGAGAGCATGCTTGCGCTTGGTGCATGTAGCAGTGAGCTCCTTCAGAAAATGGTTCTATTGGAAAACTTAACATTGCCACCATGGACAGCTCCTGGCCCCTTTTCCTAACTGTTGTACTGCTGTCCAATCTAACAGAGTTATCCCCTCCCCTTTTGTGCTTGGCAATTCATGCAAGAAGTTTTTTTGGCTTCCACATTCCTCTGAAGGTTTGTCCCCAAAGCAAATGACATCAAAGCTGAAAACTTGTGCCCGTATTTAAAGGATGCGGCGTGCAGTTTTGAAACTATCAAAACTCAGAAGCCCCTGTTACCTTTTTGCCGCTGCTGTTGTGTTGTTTTAAGGACAGAGTTTGCCTTCTGCCTGATAAGCTGGTCCCATTTTCCCCTTCTGAGATAACTGGGTGCAAGCTCAGTGGAGACTATGCCTGTACTCTCGCCGATCAAGATGAATTATATTCAGTTCCAGGTTTTGCATTTTGTGGACTAAGGCCACAGGTTGCCTGCAGAATAGCTGCTGGGCTCTGTTGGTCTTTGGAGTTACGGTGCTTCGTTGCTTAATCAGAATTTCTCAAAGCTAGCTGCAGGTCCGTCACGGCAGCGTGAGTTAGCTACCTCCACTGTTAAGCTAAACTTTAGAGGATTTCTTCTGGTGTCCCACTTCCCTGGAAGCGGGTGGTTTTCCGAGAGAGCGTCGTCTATTTTGATTGCAAATTTTTGGAGCAGGACTTGGCCTTCAGATGATGCTGGACACTGAATATCTGAATGAATTTGAGGTTCAGATGTGAACAGGGTGTTCCATTTCTGCATCACAAGTCTGCTTCCCCCCCCTCCAGGCAGCCCTGGGTTCTGGTTGGGATTCTTGGCGGTGATGCATCTTCCATCACAGAGGATGCAACGCCTTCTCAACGCAACGGGACAACAAGGCTGGCAACAGCGACAAGAGAATTTAAGACATACGAAGGCATTGTCTTTACAATCGCTGCTCACAGCGGATGGATCAAAGGTTTTTAAACCCTTTTCTAATCTCTTGTTCAAGTGGTGTTTATCTTCTTTCTGTCCCCTCCCTATGTCTTTTGAGCTGTTGCCCAGTTTATAGAAATCTCTAGTCTATCTGATTGATTAAATTTGCGTATGAGTAAACCAATAAGGCTGAACCAAAATCCACACTCCTGTTTTTAGATCTTTAACTGTTTTTTTTTTTAAAAGAGCCTTTGATAGATTACAAACCAGTTTATTGATTAAACCCTGCTGTTCTAGCTTTTTACCTCTGAAAGCCAGACAAGGTCATAGGCTGGGGCAATCAATTGATGATCTATTATTTGGCTGTAGTCAAATATTCCATGAGGCTAAAAATATCCTTGTTTTGTGCATGGTATTTTTACAGTGAAGTGTATGTCAAAAGAAAGTATGAAGGCTGCTTGCTTTTCCCAATCATGTGTTAGTTAAGAACTGGTGTTCTCTCTCTCTCTCTCTCTCTCTCTCTCTCTCTCTCTCTCTCTCTTACACACACACACACACACACACACACACACTCTTCTTTCATCCAGGAGCAAGCTTCCTTTAATTTTCTCTATTATTCATTTTATTGTTTCTTTATTTTGTACATTTCTACCCCAAGTTGCTCAAAGCCAGAGTTATTTCCACAGTAACTCTGTGAGTTAGAAACAAAATAATAAAAAATAAATTCCTTCCAGTAGCACCTTAGAGACCAACTAAGTTTGTTATTAGTATGAGCTTTCGTGCTCATGCACACTTCTTCAGATACGAAAGCTCATACCAATAACAAACTTAGTTGGTCTCTAAGGTGCTACTGGAAGGATTTGTTTTTTATTTTGTTTCGACTACGGCAGATCAACACGGCTACCTACCTGTAACTAGATCTGTGAGTTAGGTTTTGCAGAGTGTGTGTGACTGGCAAAGGTGACCCACTGAACTTGACGGCTGAGCAGGGTCTCTCCAGCCCTAATGGGACACACTGTCCTCTATATTGCACTGGCTTCCATTAGCACTGGACCATTCAGATATGGCTTTGATCTTTCATAGCAGGTATCTTCAACCTTTTCAGACCTGGGACCCTCTTTTAACCCAAACATGCATTTGGGGATCTTTTTCTCAAACTTTTACCGTGTATATATGCATGGTGGTAGCACACCTGTGATACCTATTTTGGATCAGGCCACGACCCCTTAGTGGATCCTAACTCACCAGTTGAAGATCAGTGTCTTCTACCACTACACTCACCGGAGACACTCGTTTCTCTGGGGAACGAGAACTGTTTGATCTCTTGAATGTCGAAACTCTGCTCGTTATGCTAGTTAACAGATTTTTCTGTTCTTTCATTGAAGTATTCAGTGTTATCTGCTGTCAAAATTCTTGTTGATAACAGTTCAGCTGGGTTTCTCCCTTCCTCCACCCCTTAGTAACTTTCCTCGTTACAAAATTAACACTTTATGTCCCGGGTCTGCAATTCGGCTTTTTTCTTTTGAGGATATAAACAGCCTTCACCAGCCCAGCAACTTTCAGATGTTTTAGACTCTGATAGGAGTTTGTAGTCCAAATATCAAGAGGGGATCAGGCTGCAAAGTTTGATATATATGTAAAGGATAGAAGGTCAGTGCCTCAACCCCATTCTCTTATAGAGTCCACTTCCTACATAGCCAAGGTGCCGTGCTTGGGTGAGGACACAGATTTTAATCATATTTCATTTACATCCTGCCTCTTCTCCCTGCTGGAGCTCAAATCACCAAATGTTGAGCCTTCCGTCCTGGAGCTACAATTACCCAGACCAGCTTCCTGGTTGGAGCTAAGCAGAATTGGGGGCCAGTCCTGCCTTTAAGCAGAGTGAAGCCAATGAATTTGGATGCCATGAAAGAGCAGCGAATGTTAATTTATTTTATTTTTTACTGCCAGGGAAGGAGGTGAAGAGGTGCTGCTGGGTTTTTCCAGCTGCTGACCTCTGCTTCAAATATTAGGCCCCTTTGGGGTACGTGTATAGCATTTGATCTGTCAATTCACTGGCTAGTTTTGACTGCTCAAATGGCTCTCTCCAATGCAGGAATGGCAAAAGGAAGCAGCATAGGGAACTGTTCTACTCAGGGCCAGATTTTATGTCCATCTATCCCAATATTGGGGACGCGGGTGGCGCTGTGGGTTAAACCACAGAGCCTAGGACTTGCTGATCAGAAGGTCAGCGGTTTGAATCCCCGCAACAGGGTGAGCGGTACATAGGAAACGCTCCGACGGGAAGGTAAATGGCATTTCTGTGCGCTGCTCTGGTTCACCAGAAGCAGCTTAGTCACGCTGGCCACATGACCCAGAAGCTGTACACCAGCTCCCTCGGCCAATAAAGCGAGATGAGCGCCGCAACCCCAGAGTCGGTCACGACTGGACCTAATGGTCAGGGGTTCCTTTACCTTTACCTTTTTATCACAATATTGCCAGCGTCTATCCCCTGCTCCACTTGCTAACTGATGCTGGTAACTGGACATGCCAGGGGTTGAATCTGGCCAGGGCCGCAGCTCAGTTTCAGAGCATTTGTTTTACATGCAGAGGGTCTAGATAAAATCCCCGACATCTCCCAGGTAGGGTTGTGAATGCCAGTCAGTTGTAGATGATACAGAGCTGGAGGGCCCAATGGTCTGACTCTGTATAAGATAGCTTCCTGTTTGCCAGGCATATGCTTTACCACTGACCTCTTGCCCTTCCCCAAGCAGAGAATGGGGACAGTAGGAATGCGACTGAGATGGTTGAGGTTGGCGTTTGCTGAAGTGGGACTTGAGATGAGGTAGACCTGACCCAATAGATTGCTGCTGGTGAGTGAAGAGCTGCAAAAGCAAATGTTATTGATCACTTCCCCCCTTTCTAGGAGTACCCCATCATGGATTCAAAGTGGAAGTGTCTAACGGCGTAATTTTGGATTTGGTGGATGAAGTAACCAGTTGGTTCCCCGGAGACAAGGTCGTCATTGCCAGCACGGACTATTCCATGCACCAGGCTGAAGAGTTTAATCTTCTGCCTTGTCCTGAATGTCAGACGAACCAAGTGAAGATTGATGGTACGACCAACAATGCTTCCTTAAGGTCTCCTTTGGCGACAGAGCTCCTTAGTTTATGTTATGAATGAAGGCAGCCAATTGATCAAAGAGCTAAAAATGGAAACAGTTTTCAAGTAATGAGGAATGGTAGCATGGAGAGTTCATGAACAGCAGGTGCAACCATTTGACTCTTCAGTGTAAACAGTGAGCTAGAGCCAGGGCTTCCCTAACTGTGGTCCGTGAACCACTCATGGTCCGGGAGCTCTGTTCAGATAGTTTGAGAGATGTCCTCAGTAAATATTCATACTAATTTTTAAACGTATTTTCACTGCTTTTCTTTGTAATATTGTATTTTATTGTATAACAGCTGAATTGAGCTAGGGAAAGTGGGCTAAGCTGGATATGGGGAATTATTCAATTTGTTCTCCTTTTGGTAGAGCGTTAAGACTCTTAATCTTGGGGTCTTGAGTTTGAGCACCACGTAAGGAAAGGTAACAACAGGAAGAATTAAAGGAACTATTGGAAACTCACGGCAGTAGAGATATAAGATGATCAGAGCCCCACCGAACTTGAAGCATGGGAAGCCCCAATAAAAATTTATAATTTGGCAGAATATTTATACTATATGAAATGTATTTTTATAATTTGGAATATTTAATGTGATTTGATTGAACTGTTAAAATGGAAAATTTAATAAAAATTATTTTTTTAAAAAAGAGTTTGTTGGGCAAAAGATTCCTGCTTTTCAGGGGTCAAACTGGATGACCCTCGTGGTCCCTTCCAACTGTACAGTTCTATGATTCTTTTACTAGGGTCATAAGAAGCTCCTTTAAGCAGAGTCAGATCATTGATCCATTATCTCGGTGTTGTCTACATGGATTGGCAGTGGCTCTCCAGGGTTCAAAATTGGGATATTTGTAGCCCTATCTGGAGGTGCTCAGGTTTGAACCTGGGTCCATCTGTGGGCAATGGAGATGCTCTACTTGTAATGGCTTGAGAAAGCACAGTTCATATACTGTAGCCTTCAAATGAATTTCCCTCACTCTTCCACCCTAAGGGATGGTCTTTATCCCTTTATCAGTTTCCTGCTCTCATTTGCTATTGATCAATATTGCAAGGCTCAGTGGGTTGGGATAGGGCATGAGGAAGACCCTTTCAAGCTTCTTACAATTATTTTGCCAGGAAGTCCCCTCTATCTCCACATGGGTGAGATTGTGGATGGAGTAGACATGAGGGCAGAGGTTGGCCTCTTAACTCGAAATATACTTATCCAAGGAGAAATGGAGGACTCTTGTTACGGACCAAACCACTGCCAGTTTTTCAGCTTTGATACTTTTGGAGGACAAATTAAAGTAAGTGTGTTTTTGGTGGACATTGACCAAACCCAGCCCAGATACTTAGTGGCCTGAATTTCCCAGCCCTAAAAAGACAGTCTTGCTTAACGTTGCTTGTATTAATGAAAACAGTATTGTAGTATTGTAGGTCTAGTCCTCTATGTACTTAGGCACCTCCATATTCCAAAACAAGAGTAGAAACTTAATATCCTCTTGCTCACCACACCTCTGGCTACTGTTCATTTCCCTGTCAACAAATGCTGTACCACTTGCTGGTCCTGATAATCAGTTTGTGCTTCTTCTTTCTGCCACAGACTCTTTCCTTATGTGTTCTTGTTTGTCTGAATAGATCCAAAAAGGTTTTACCTCTGTCCACATGTCGGGGGTGGAGTTGAAGAACATGGGCCAGCAGGTCTTAGGCAGCTATCCAGTACATTTCCATCTGACAGGAGATGTAGATGAGAGAGGAGGCTACAACCCACCATCTTACCTTGACAATCTGGCCATCCATCACTGCTTCTCGAGATGTGTCGCCATCCATGGAGCCAATGGCCTTTGGGTAGGCAGCTGTTTTCTTGTTTCCTGATTATAGTAACTCACATGTCCACTTGCATTCAGTTCTGTTACAGTGTTTGGGTACCCCTAAGTTAACGGCAGTTAGCAGTATGCTTGTTGCAGTGCTGGAATGTTTTGCTCTAGGGGAGGCATGGCCAAACTTGGCCCTCCAGATGTTTTGGGACTACAATTCCCATCATCCCTGACTACTGGTCCTGTTAGCTAGGGATGATGGGAGTTGTAGTCCCAAAACATCTGGAGGGCCAAGTTTGGCCATGCCTGCACTAGGGGAATGTTGTTGTGCAAGAGAATGCATAAACAGGTTGCTGGGAATGTTGTTGTATGATAGATTGGGCAATCCAATGAGTTTCCGCTAGACCAGGGATGTCCAACGTCCGAGAGACTGATCTACTCCCACTAAAAAAAACACTGGCAGTGATCTACCCATTGTATTGACCAGAGTTGTTGGGCTTTTTTTAAGGAGCCAGGGGGGTAGGGGTTTCACGATCAACCACAATTGACCAGGGGCATCTCACAATCGACCGGTAGATCGCGATCGACTTGTTGGACAACCCTGCGCTGCTAGACCAACCATGGTGTTGAAGTCCTCCCTTGCACAATGTGAAATTTAATCGTGTTAAAAGAATATAATGTCGTATTTGAAAATGGCACATGTTGCAGCATGTATTCTGTGTGGAAAGTTGAAGGTCAAAATGCAGAAAGATAAATGGAGAAGTCTAAATAAGCATAATTCTGTATTGCATATTTGGAAGGTCTTGGAAATATGATATAATACATGGACCACATTGGTGAAGCTGAAGGGTCTTGTTGTCTCAGCAGCCCAGGTCCTCCACAGACACTGCCCACGCTTGCGCCCCAGGGAGGTCACTTTGGTGCTTGCTAACACAGCGGTTTGACCACCCCTAGAGGCGCACTCCATTGTCTCTCTCTCTCCAGAGATGGATGCCAATAGCATAGCTAAGTCTGCTGTTTCTATCCATCTCAGTTTTTAGCGATGAGATGATTTGGGATGGCTCCAAATAGCTAACTTATATATAGCTCTGCAACACAATAAATGACCTTTGTGCTCTCCAACAATGCGTGTTGATGGCTATTTCATGACGTTCAATCATGGTTAGGTTTTGGCACCCAACCTATCACGCAACATGAGGCAGGAGGAACCTGGCCAAAATGTTTCTCAGACTGTATCACCCAGGCTCACAGCCACAAGTGTGTGATTGTGTGTGTGTGTAGCGTCAAAGAGTATGTAGCAGGAGGGATCGTAAGGCAATGCTAAGCAAAACCTTAATCCAAGTAGTCCCATATGTTTAAAGGTGTGTGTTTCGGGTTAAACCTAAAATGTAAAAAAACACCCCAAAAGTCAAGTGCTTCTCCTTCAGTGTGACTTGATGCAGATTTTGCATTCCTGTCTTTGAGAGCAATCAGACTGGTGTGTGCAAGGAGTAGGACCTTTTTTGGGGTTCCTTGGCCCCATGCTCAAGGAATTGTTCCAGCTGAAACGCTTAGCATCTTATCATGGTGCGCGTTCAAGGAGGCTGTAAAAATTGATCTTTTTTTTTAACAACTCCCTTCTCTTGAATGAGGATCCTTCACCTTTAAAGAAGATTGGAAAATGTTTGTTGAATATATGGGGGGGAATTGTGTATACTTGAAAACGTTGGCAGCATTAAGATAGATTCAACAGCAAAAACAAGTTTTGATGGATGAAATAATGGAATACTGAATGGTTTAGTTTATGATATGTAAAATGAACCATGGAAAGAGAAGAAGGGAGGTCATTGACGTTGTAAGAGTATTTAAATGGATATTCTAAATTGTAAAACAGAAGATTCAATAAAAAATGTGTGTGTGTGTGTTATATACCGTATTTTTCGCTCTATAAGACGCACCAGACCACAAGACGCACCTAGTTTTTGGAGGAGGAAAACAAGAAAAAAAAATATTCTGAATCTCAGAAGCCAGAACAGCAAGAGGGATCGCTGTGCAGTGAAAGCAGCAATCCCTCTTGCTGTTCTGGCTTCTGGAATAGCTGCGCAGCCTGCATTCACTCCATAAGATGCACACACATTTCCCCTTACTTTTTAGGAGGGAAAAAGTGAGTCTTATAGAGCAAAAAATACGGTATATATAAATGTTTGCAGAAACCCCCTCCCAAAGAAGAGAGTGAGTTGTGGCCCAGCAACATCTGTAGAACACTACATTGGCTGTCTCCACACACAGGCTCATGGGTGCCAGGGGCGTTCTGATGGGGGGTGGGGGGCGGCCCTCTTCTGGTGCCATTCCAAAGGGGGGGGGGACAAAATGCCAATCCCCGATCGGCGGCATCTCATGGGCTTGCGCCGCTCACTGCGCACCCCCCCGGGATGTGCGCCCTACCGCGTGGGCAGCACGCCACGCTCCCAGGATGCGTGCCACACCCCCAGGACACGCACCATACCCCCTGCAGGCAGCACACCATGCCCCCTGGGATGCATGCCACGCCCTCTGGGACGAGCGCTACTCCGGGTACCGGAGCAGGTTGCTTCACCTCCGATGAGTGCAGCCTATTTTTAACAATTGTCCCTCCTTCTTTTGATGTGGGTGGCTTCTTTAGGTGAAAGATACCATCGGCTATGACACTCTGGGACACTGTTTTTTCCTGGAGGACGGGACAGAGCAGCGGAATACGTTTCACCACAACCTGGCTCTCCTTACCAAAGCAGGCACAATCTTGCCGACTGACCGCAACGAGGCAATGTGCCTCGCGATGCGAGATCATGTGCATGGAGGGTATGTTCCTGTCCCGAGCACCGACTGCATGTAAGTAAAACTCCAGCTTTATGTCTCCATAGAATGCATGGAACAGTTCTGGTTTTTTTCCTAATATAAACAAGGTGCTGGGTAAAGGATCAAGCAATTGATTTGTACAACCTGGTAGCTCACTTGAGGGTTTTACAGTCATACCTTGGGATAAATACGCTTCAGGATAAGTATTTTCGGGTTGCGCTCCATGGCGACCTGGAAGTAATGGAGCGTGTTACTTCTGGGTTTCGCTGCTCGCGCATGTGCAGACTGTCAAAACGCGCATGTGCAGACTGTCAAAACGCGCATGTGCAGAAGCGGCGAAACGCGACCTGTGCATGCACAGATGCGCAGCCAAGACAATATAACACCTGTCCTGAAAGAACTACAATGGCTCCCAGTACGTTTCCGAGCACAATTCAAAGTGTTGCTGTTGACCTTTAAAGCCCTAAATGGCCTCGGTCCAGTATACCTGAAGGAGCGTTTCCACCTCCATCGTTCTGCCTGGACACTGAGGTCCAGCGCTGAGGGCCTTCTGGCGGTTCCCTCACTGTGAGAAGCCAACCTACAGGCAGAGGGTGTTCTCGGTAGTGGCACCCGCCCTGTGGAACGCCCTCCCACTAGATGTCAAAGAGAAAAATAACTACCAAACTTTTAGAAGACATCTGAAGGCAGCCCTGTTTAGGGAAGCTTTTAATGTTTAATAGGTTATTGTATTTTGGTGTTTTATTGGAAGCCGCCCAGAGTGGCTGGGGAAACCCAGCCAGATGGGCGGGGTATAAATAAATTATTATTATTATTATTATTATTATTATTATTATTATTATTATTTTATTATGCACTGTTCAGAATGCGAACGGGGCTCTGGAACGGATCCCGTTCGCATCCCGAGGTACCACTGTATTTCATCCACACACCTGTCCCATAAAGAGGCAGCGTTTGGATTTTGGGGCATGCAAATGCTGTGTGTGTAAGAGGATTCCTCAAGAACCCTTTCACCAAGACGCAGGGCCACATGGATCTTGCAGTGCTCACAGTGTTCGCTTGCAAAATCGTTTGCAGAAGAAATAATAGAATCATGGAGGTGGAAGGGACCAGGAGAGTACAGTGCAAGAATCTGTTTCCTATTGCGAGGCTCGAGCCACGACCTTAAGATTAAGAGTCTCATAGTCTGCCGACCGAGCCAGTATGCAAAAATGGCATATGTTGGGCAACATGCATGCACTAAAAAAAGTTGCAGATTGGGAGCACTGACTTTAATACTGGAAAAATGGAATGGGAAGAACTGAAGAAATCTCAGCGCCCTTCCCGGAAATAATTCTGCTCCTGACAACCCCAATCACTGTTTTTATCTCAGTAATATAATTAGGGACAGAGTCATTTTGTTGTTAGGGTTAAACCTTTAGGAGTCAAGAATCTGTGCCGATTTGCTATAAACCACCCAGCAGGTCTACCTTCTGGCACTCCTCTAATGACACATGTCACTTGAGTTTAATGTTTAACCGTTGATTGCATTTTACACTGTCTGCATGTGAGGCAGTGGCACAGCCGGGATGGAGAAGTCATGCAGACATACTGGTACGATATATCTATAGCTGGACTTTTGATAAGATAGCACTCTCGAGTGCTCTTCCTCCTACGGAAGTTTTCCTGGAGAAACTCGTCAGATTGGTGGTGATGACTAAGGAGATTGCTTTGTCGCAGATGTTATGGGCAGTCGGCTAGGTTTTGAGCCTGTTCTGCCAGCTGAGATCATGTCTTTATTCAGCAGAGCGATCTGGGAATGAGAAAGTTTGAATAATTAGAGACTGCGCTGTGGGTTAAACCACAGAGCCTAGGACTTGCTGATCAGAAGGTTGGTGGTTCGAATCCCCGTGACGGGGTGAGCTCCCATTGTTCAGTCCCAGCTCCTGCCCACCTAGCAGTTCAAAAGCACGTCAAAGTGCAAGTAGATAAATAGGTACCTTTCCGGCGGCAAGGTAAACGGCATTTCCGTGCGCTGCTCTGGTTCGCCAGAAGCGGCTTAGTCATGCTGGCCACATGACCCGGAAGCTGTCTGTGGACAAACGCCAGCTCCCTCAGCCCATAGAGCGAGATGAGCGCCGCAACCCCGGAGTCGGCCATGACTGGACCTAATGGTCAGAGGTCCCTTTACCTTTTACCTAGGTAGCTAGTGCTCAATAGCAGGTGATGCCGAAATCAGGATCCATTCTTGGGGGATGCATATAATTTCTGGGGCAAATCTCTTTGTTTTCCCCTGCTAGCATTAATGATTCAATTAGAACAGCCTTGTTCTGAAGGAACATCTGCAGATGGTTCCAGGTTTAATCCCCAGCGACGCCAGCTAGGACTCCATGCCTGAAACCCTGGAATGCAGCTTCTACTCAGAGTCAGCACAACTAAGGTAGATGGACGCAGTGGTCTGCCTTAGGCTGTGTACACACCCTGCATTTGAAGCACATGACTTTCCCCCAAAGAACTCTGGGAATCCTGTTTCTCCTGTGGAGCCGAGCTTTTCCGCTAACGATTTCTTAGCTGTAATTTACAGCTCGGTCCGTAATGAGCTTCTGTGACTTGCCTGACATCACTTAACGCCTTGAACTTCTCATAAAGAATGTCATTTATAGGACTTTGCAGACTTTTAAGGATTCATGGCAGTATTGTGGCCAAGCGCCAGCCACTGCGGTGCTATAACATTTTTTATTTCTTCCTGTTCAGTGACTTAAAATAAATCTCTGTGTTTCCCTCTCCCCAGGGCTGTCAGCTCCTTCTGGATTGCTAACCCAAATAATAATCTCATAGAGAATGCAGCTGCAGGTGCTCAGGTAAGGCAGATAAAGGCTGCGTGCTTGCTTGTCTCCAGTCCTGAAACTTAAATCTTGTTCTTTAAACAGGATCCCTTTGGCCCTCCATGGAATTCTGGGTATTGTGAGTTTTTTTGCGAGGGTTCTGAGAGCTTCCTACAGGCCTGTTGCCAGACATGGGGTTGTATCCAGTACTCATAACAGACTCATTGAAAGTAATGGATATGGCTAACTTAGGTCTATTAATTTCAATGGGTCTACTCTGCATAGGACTTATATTGGACACAGCCCATTGTCGGGAATATAATATAATGCCCTTGCCCCCTGCCAGTGTAAGGTAAAGGTAAAGGGACCCCTGACCATTAGGTCCAGTCATGATCGACTCTGGGGTTGCGACACTCATCTCGCTTTATTGGCCGAGGGAACCGGCGTTTGTCCACAGACAGCTTCCGGGTCTTGTGGCCAGCATGACTAAGCTGCTTCTGGTGAACCAGAGCAGCGCACAGAAACACCGTTTACCTCCCCGCTGGAGCAGTACCTATTTATCTACTTGCACTTTTGTGCTTTTGAACTGCTAGGTTGGCAGGAGCAGGGACCGAGCAACGGGAGCTCACCCCGTCGCGGGGATTTGAACCGCCGACCTTCTGATCGGCAAGTCCTAGGCTCTGTGGTTTAACCCACAGCGCCACCCGCATCCCTAGCCAGTGTAAGCTAGCAAGCAAAGTTTAATTCAGTAACGTTTGCTCACTCTGGAGATTCTTACGCATCTTCTCCCCGCCCCCATTCTCCAGGACGTTGGAATATGGTATATCTTCCACCGGGTTCCTACTGGACAGTCTGAAGGACAGTATCCAGCCGGGCAGTCTGAACTGACTCCTCTGGGGACGTTTCACAACAACCGAGTCCACTCCAACTTCAAGGCATGTTGCAAATTTCTGTAAATACCAGGGCAAGGATGGTGAACTAAGGCCAAGATTCCATTGTGGGCGACCTTCCAGGGACCGCGTGCCTTGATATGAACATGGTCACAAGGGGATGTGGGTTTTATCTTTGTCTAGCTCAGGATTTCCCAAACTTGGGTCTCTGGCTGTTTTTGGACTACAACTCCCACCATCCCTAGCTAGCAGGACCAGCGGTCAGGGATGATGGGAATTGTAGTCCCAAAACAGCTGGAGACCCAAACCCTGGTGTAGCTGGTGCTTCTGCCTCTCTTTTCCTTGAGTCAACTGTCTTCCCTTCTTCATTCCCTGCCTTTTTTAAAGGATCCTCTCAGATGTTGCTTTGGACTACAGCTCCCATCATCTCTGCCCATTGGCCATGTCTGCTAGGGCTTATGGGAGCTGTAGTCCAGCAACAGTTAGAGGTCCACTGGTTTTTCCATCCCTGCTCTAGGATTTGAGCAGTCAGTGGTAGGCTCAGAGGCAGTTTTCTGCCTGCTCTGACCTCTTCGCTGGCATGGGCTATAGCCTCATCCCTGTTGGATTTTCTGAAATAGGGGGTGAACTGGAACACAGCCTGTCTTCGCAATTTGCAATTTTCTAAATCTTGCAGTGTGTTTTGTACAACCAAGCTGTGTGCACAAAAATGCATATATAGTACCAGAACATGCATAATTCTGCGTATATTGGTGAAGCTAATATTCAAAAATGCTCTTTATTAGGGGAAATGGCTTGCAAATTTGTCCAAACACCACACAAAATTGTTCATGTTGTGAGAAATTGGAATTGAAACGTTGGAGAACTTTAGTAAGGATTTTCTTTTTAATTAAAAATCACAAATTGCTGCAGAAATGTGGAGGCCTGAATTTAAGATAAATGAAAAATGAGGTAGGCCAAAGATTGAGAAATTCATTTATCCCTACTCCCTAGGTGTGCAGAAGTATATGAAAGGTTTTGTAAGCAAAAATAACACTTAAGCTTCTGGAACTTTCAGAATGTTAATGGGACTCCAACTCCCATCAGCCCCAGTCAGCATGGGCAGCAGTCAAGGATGATGGGAGTTGAAGTCCAACAACATTTGGAGGGCCACAGGTTCTAGCATGCCCATTGCTTTTTGTGCCAATACCTGCCTATGTTTTATATCTCCGCTCCCTTAGCAAAACGCTCCAGTCCTTCCTTACCAAGTATGGTACACTTTGCTTGTTCAAAAATAATTGAACTCAGATGGTGAACGTTTGTGTGAGTGTGTATAAAATAATTTTCCAGGCTGGCTTGTTTATTGGGAAAGGAGTCAAGACGACGAAAGCCAGTGCTGAAAATCCTCGAGAATATCTGACAGTGGATAACGCCAGGTGTGTAAACAAAATGTCATGCTGCCCTTTGCGGTGCGTTGAGTTTAATTTTATTGCTTTAGGGGGATTTCCAGTCCTTTCGGTGCTTCTGTCTCCGTGTTTTGGGGTGGGCACTCACGTCTACTAATTAGTAAAATGTTTGAAATCTGAGGGGATGTGCAAGCCAGTGTTGCGTTGTGGTTAAGAGTGTCAGGTTATGCCTCGGAAAGCTTTGGTTCAAATCTCCACTCCAGCCACAAAACGCTCACTGGGCAACTTTGGGACAATCCCTGTTTCCTCTGCCTTTTCTACCTCACAGGGTTGTTGTGATGATAAAATTGGTGAGGTGTGTGTCAGCTCCTTAGAGACAGATGGGATGGGGCAGGGGAAAAACTCTGCAAATGGCTTGCGTGTTGTAATGGTCTGTCTGGTGTGCAGTAAGGAAGTGTGTATCCCATTGTGGTGGGGTTGAACCTGCTTCTAAAACCCTCCCCCCCTTGACAATAAACACTGCTCCTATTGGATTGGTTTAGCAATCAGTCCCTCTTCCCAGGGAACTCTGGGAGGGGGAATAGAGGTCTCCTAGCAACTCTCAGACCCTTAACAAACTACAGCTCCCATAATTCTCTGGGGGAAGCCATGACTGTTTAAAGTGGTATTGTAGTGCTTTAAATGTACGTTGTGAATGTGGCCTAAGCCAATTCTGCGGATAGAATTTACGCAACCGTATACACACAGTGCTTTGCAGTGGCGTCAGCTCACAGAGTCAGGTGAGGAGAAACTCAGTGGCGATGCGCAAAATGCTGCGGCTAGGCTGTAGATGGGGACAGGCTGTTGCCAGCACATAACTTTGATGCTCGAAAACATGTACTGGCTCCTTGCGTGCTACCATGCCGGGTGCAAGGTTCTTGTATTAATTTGCAAGGCCCTTAACAACTTGGGTCCAGCATGCCCCAGGGACTGCGAAATTCCTTATATCTTTGGCTGATCACGGAGGACTTGAGGGTGGAGATTCACAAGCCGTGGGGGATCACAAGTAACCAGGCAATCTGTATTTGGGCTCTGTTTAATGAAACTCCCTTCATTAAACATACAGACCCCCATCTCTCGTTGTCTACTGAAAACTTAAAAAAAAAAATTCCGACAGGCATTTTTTGCTGAATTTTGATTTTATAATTTTAACTGACTTTTATTTTCTCCGCATCGAGGTGTTTTTTTTTTGTTTTTTTTTGCTCAGGGCTGAATATAATTAAGGGGTGTGTAAATTGTCAAAACAACAATATGCACGTCTGAAGTAGCCCAGGCTTTGGAGCATTTGGAGAATCTCAGATACTTGGCGTTTGGTCTGGGATCAGGGAAGAGAGAAGAGCTGGGAAGCTAAGTTACGTGAAGGGGTTTCTGGGGCCGCTTCCAAAACGATGAACGATCTCAATCCCTCGGGGCGTATAGCCCAGAGGTTTCTTTCTACTGTACTATTCCAACACTTGCTATTTTTAGCCATGCAAGTACCATATGCAGTAACATAAGCTCGGTTTGCATTGTTGAACGCGTTCCAACGTACGTTTTTATGTGGCCAAAATTGCTGGAAGACTGGAGCTTTATTTCAGTTCAAGTATTTTGGGAGCATGGATGGTGGTTTTTGATGGATGCTTCCCCCTCATGTCTCTGATTTCCCATTCTTCTGGGCTCTTGGTGATCTGACTTGATTCTTTGCCCCAGATTCCGTCCGCATCAGGACGCTGACCCTGCGAAGCCACGGGTTCCTGCTCTCATCGATGGCCTTGTTGCTTTCAAAAATAACGACCATGGAGCCTGGGCTCGGGGAGGAGACATTGTCTTCCGCAACTGTGGGTAGGTGTCTTCAGAACACCAGGCTTGTTCCTTTCAGCCGCGGTAAAACTAAGTTACTCGGCCACTTCGACCTGTGGAACTGGCACTGTTACCTGGTCCCCACAATCTTCATTCCGCATTTGTGACTAATTGATCTTTTACCTATACTCTGAAATTAGATCAATTTTGCTGCACTCTTTTCGGCACCTGTTTAAGCAAGCCTATCCAGGGATGCGGGTGGCGCTGTGGGTTAAACCACAGAGCCTAGGACTTGTCGATCAGAAGGTTGGCGGTTCAAATCCCCACGACGGGGTGAGCTCCCATTGCTTGGTCCCTGCTCCTGCCAACCTAGCAGTTCAAAAGCACGTCAAAGTGCAAGTAGATAACTAAGTACCGCTCTGGTGGGAAGATAAACGGCATTTCCTTGCACTGCTCTGGTTCACCAGAAGCGGCTTAGTCATGCTGGCCACATGACCCGGAAGCTGTACGCCGGCTCCCTCGGCCAGTAAAGCTAGATGAGCACCGCAACCCCAGAGTTGGTCATGACTGGACCTAATGGTCAGGGGTCCCTTTACCTTTACCTTTATCCAGACACTTGGATTTTATGATGCAGTCTTTTTTTGACTGCTAAATTTAATTATTTTAAAAATATTTTTACAGTGGTACCTTGGTTGTCAAATTTAATACGTTCCAGGAGTCGGTTCCACTCCTGAAACCGTTTGAAAACCAAGCTGCAGCTTCCGATTGGCTGCAAGAGCTTCCTGCACTCAAATGGAAGCCGCGTTGGATATTTGGCTTCCAAAAAACATTCGCAAACCGGAACACTCACTTCTGGGTTTGCAGCGTTTGGGAGCCGATTTGTTTGACAACTAAGCCGTTCAACAACCAAGGTACCACTGTGCTTGTTTTTAACTGGTTTTATTGATAATTTAAATATTTCTTGTAAACCAATCATGGGTTTTGTGACAATCTAGCGGTATATGAAATTTGTCAAATAAATAAAATGAAGGATGTAGGTTTGCGTTTTTAATAGCTTGTGCACTGCTCTGGAGACGATTGTGCCCTAAAGGGTGTTCTATGAACCTGTAAATAAATAAATGACTCTGTAAGGGTTTTTTTGTGTGGGGGGGGGGGGAGAAAGCAGCATTTTGCATTCCCTCGAACTTACCTTTTTGTATGTTTTCTCCACTTCCTAGCTTTGCAGACAATGGGATCGGACTCACTTTAGCCAGGTAAGTTGTCCTTTCTTAATAGAGGCATATTTGTAAGGAACCAGTGCTGTCTAGTAATAGGTGGTAGAGGGTCTCTTAATGCAAGGGGGGGAGGATCTGTGGCTCTTCAGATGTTGTGGACCACAGCTCCCATCAGCCCTATTGACTGGCCATGCTGGTGTGGATTGATGGGAGTCTGCCAACATCTGGAGGACCAGAGGTTCTGCCTGTATCTTGCCATAGCTAATAGCCATTGATGGATCTACCCTAAGTGAACTGTGTAGACTTTTCAAAACAAAGAAACAAAGAAACCCCTTCTTATATTACACACCTAGCAAACAAATCTCTTGGTCAGCCCAGAATTTATTTCCTTTTAGTTTCATTGGATGCCCCACCATTTTAAGGAGGGAGAAAAACTTCTTTTTATCAGCTGCCACCTTTTGTAAGTCTCTCTCATCTAAGTTGATGCTAATGACCCCTCTCTCTGGCTGCCTTGAGACACTGGAGTGTTGCTACTGGTTGGAGTAAGTCATGGATGGGAAACTTGTGGCTCTGCAGATGTTTTGAGATTCCAACTCCTGTCAGATGCAGGTGGTGCAGCCAGTGGTCAGCAGTGATGGGAGAGGCATGGAGCAATATCTGGACGGGCCACAGATTCCTCCTGCTCTGTGGTTGATGATACTGGGCTAGATGCAAGACAACTCTGAGCTGGTTTAAGGCAGTTTTCTGTATCCCTGCAAATGAAAAAGCATATACAGTGGTACCTCAGGTTAAGTACTTAATCCGTTCCAGAGGTCCGTTCTTAACCTGAAACTGTTCTCAACCTGAAGCACTACTTTAGCTAATGGGGCCTCCTGCTGCCGCTGCACCACCAGAGCACAATTTCTGTTCTCATCCTGAAGCAAAGTTCTTAACCCGAGGTACTATTTCTGGGTTTGCAGAGTCTGTAACCTGAAGCGTATGTAACCTGAGGTACCACTGTAAGCTGCTTCATACTAGTTGAGACCATTGTTCTACACAGCTCAGTACTGCCTACACTGACTGACAGTGGCTCTCTGGTGTGTCAGGCAGGAGATTTCCCCAGCCCTACCTGGAGATGCCGAGAGATTGAACCAGGATCCTTCAGCATACGAAACAGATGCTCTGCTACCGAACTACACCCCTCCCCCTAAATGATTTAGCTTTTCTTCAAGAGAGAAGGTTTTTCAGGGGCTTGGATCATTTTGGTCAGTGTTTCCCAAGCTTGGACTTGTTTTTGGACTACAACTCCCATCACCCCTAGCTGGCAAAACCAGTGGTCAGGGATGATGGGAATTGTAGTCTGGTGGGGGAGAGCTGGACATCCAAGTTTGGGAAACCCCAATTTAGGTTGTCCCTTTCCTATTACCTATTTTCAAGACAGCTACACCTGTGCTGGCAGAATATTTTTGGGCTGCGCTAATGCTTGCCATCTGATTTTTGTGTGTTTCTTTGTCCGTGTTCATCTAATTATAGCGATGGAACTTTCCCCATCGATGAAGGCTGCAGCCTAGAAGTGACTCATTCCATCTTTGTTGGCGAGAGCAACAATGTTGGCTCTCAGGGAGGACAAAACAGCTACTGGGGGAAAGGAGCTGGCGGAGAATATAGGACACTGCCCCGAAACAAGTAGGTTATTCACGGATCGTCTCTTCCTTTGGAGGTGAATTGGCATGTGATTTGGTATACAAGTTTTTCCAGAAAAGGGACTAATGCATTGTGGATGCTTTTTAAAATTATAATGACGAGGAGACTGTTGGTGGGTGGTGGCCCTGGGGGCTGCAACACCTGCGCCGTTCCTATTGGTGGAGGTTGGAGAAACATCTGGCAGTGGGGTAGTGGGAATCAAGGGATGCTGTAGCTTAGGGGTAGAACATCTGCTTTGCAAAAAAAGCCCTATAAACCAAAATTTAAAACACCACACTCACTGGACAAGGGTAGGGTGACCCTGGGCCAGATGGAAAGTGCCTTCCAGGAAGTGGTTAACAATGTGAGGAACATTAAAGTACATTAAATAATAATAATAATAATTTATTATTTGTACCTCGCCCATCTGGCTGGGTTTCCCGAGCCAATCTGCGCGGCTTCCACAAAGACCAAAATTACACTAAGATGTCATACATTAAAAACTTCCCTGATGTCTTCTGAATGTCAGGTAGTTGTTTATCTGTTTGACATCTGATGGGAGGGCGTTCCACAGGGTGGGCGCCACTACTGTGAAGGTCCTCTGCCTGATTCCTTGTAGCCTTGCTTCTTGCAATGAGGGAACTGCCAGAAGGCCCTTGGCGCTGGACCACAGCCTCCGGGCAGAACGATGGGGGTGGAGATGCTCATTCAGGGATACTGGGCCAAGGCTGTTTAGGGCTTTAAAGGTCAACACCAACACTTTGAATTGTGCTCGAAAACGTACTGGGAGCCAATGCAGGTCTTTCAAGACCGGTGTTATGTGGTCTCGGCGGCCGCCCCCAGTCACCAGTCTAGCTGCTGCATTCTGGATTAATATTAAATCAATATTTGGTTTATTAACTACATTAGTACATCAGCCAGGTGAGGTGGCATGGCCCTGCCCAAATGCACATTTTTAGTTTGCGCCAAAACTCCATTAGTGTTGCGTCAAAACTCAGAACTGCACCTGAGAGGGAAGGGCATTCCAGAATTGGGGTGCCACTATTGAGAATGCTCTCTCGTGAGTTGCCATGTACCATATTCTCAGAGGACTGTGGCATCATGAGGCCATCCATAGACCTTTGAATTCCAGGCAGGGATATAAGGGAGAGGTGGTCTTTCTGGCACCTGGGTTGTCCAGAGTACGTTGTCAGGCAGAGGTGCCAGACCAAAAGGTAGTTGGAACATTCATTGACTTGCCTGCTACTGTTTTCTCTCAAGATTCTATCGCCTCAGTTTTATGTGTGAAGAGAAGTTTGTTTAAAAACATTGTCATGTAAAAATTGTGCCCCATACCCGAACAGAACACCTCTGGGGGGGAAAGAGACCCTTTCTCACTGGTCATCTTCTCTGAGGCAATAAGTTTTAACATGGGGTGCTTAAAGACATTTGACTTTCTCTTTCAGATCTGAGGGGCTATGGTCTTGTGAGAAGACTAGGCTGCTCTTTCCAGTGAATATTTGAATTAGTCAAACTTGGGGAAAGATTATAGATGGATTGTCCTCTAAACAGTTTAGCCCTCCAATTGTGCCGCATGTGGACACTGGAGCTTAGAGTTCAACAAGTGGGACTCCGCAACAAGAGCTATAGATTTAAAGGGCTGTGACGCCACTTCAAGTAGTCATGGCTTCCCCTGAAGAATTCTGGGAGATGTAGTTTGTTAAGGGTGTTGAGAGTTGTTAGGAGACCCCTCTCCCCCTCCCTAAACTACAATTCCCAGAGTTCCCTGTGAAGAGGGATTGATGAAACTACTCTGGGAGCAGAACAGTGGACTGAGCAACTCACAGCACCCTTAACAAACCACAGTTCCCAGTACAGATGGGGCGCATTTGAGTGGTAGGGGTGTCTGGGTTGATAGGGTGTGAAAAGCTGCAGAGGACCATGGCTCAATAAATTGCAGTAGTCTTTTGTCATGGAAAAGAAAGATAGATAGTCATAGATAAAATTTGTACAATATGCTAGCTGTAGATGGGGGAATTAAGTTGGCATGTATTCAGGAAGCAGAACGAGGAAGGCGGGAACTTGCCAAAAGAGAAGGAGAGAGGATCTCGAAGATGTGTACGTGTGTATGTGCTAACGGAGCAGAACAAGGGAGGGAAGTGTTGTAAAAGTCAAACCAAACCGAAGGCAAGAATAACAAGCTAATAAACAAAGCTGTGAACAGATGCACAATCGCTGAGTAGAAACAAGAAGGAAATGTAGAAAACAGAGTTTTGAGAGCATTGCCGAAGCGTATTATACTGGACCGGTTTGCCCGTAACACTAAGGCAGAGCACAGGTTGGTGCAAATGAGGAAACTTGTAGGCTCCTAGGGAAGGAGATCACTGCTGCTCTGCTCCTCCTCAGACATCTTGGTTCTGTGCTGAGCTAAACCATGGTTTGACTTGGTATGTCCTTGCGACCCAGGCACATGGTCCCTCTTTCCAAACAAAGCAGAAGTTGTAAACCATAAGACGAATCTTGGTTCCAACTTTTGGTTTGGAGAAATCTAAACCACGAGCCTGGGTTTGAATAGCATGTTAAGACAAGCCATAGCTTAGCTCAGTGCAGTCTAAGTCACGGTTTGGCTGACATGCAAATGAGTTTGTGTGTGCTTAAAAGGAACATTTCAGAATGCTGAACCACCTGTATAAAAATTGACATGTGTTTGTGTTGCTTAGCCATGTCTGAAATGCTTGAGAAAGACGACCAGAGCCTGGCATGCTGTTCAAAATGCAGGGGTTTCATTCAGAGTGGCAAAAGAGCCAGCAAGACATAGTAGTTACAGTGTTGAACTAGGACTGGGGAGACCAGGGTTCAAGTCCCCATTCGGCCACAAGGCTCCTATAGTGTGACCTTGGGCCTAGTCACTGTCTCTCAGCCTAACCTACCTCACAGAATTGTTATAAAAGTGGACGGGAGCAGTAAGAGCAATGTATGTTACATTCTTTTGTGGTTTTATATCATAAACTGCCCTGTAATCCTTGTATGAAAGGCATTATAGAAATTTAATAGACAAAATAAATGTAGGGAAAAATTCAGTACAAGTAGTCAAACATGCTCTATGTGTCGAATGACCATGTGAAGTGAATTTGAGGGCAAGTGGCAGCTACAAATTTGGAGTTAGTGAGTAAGGGGCAGTTCATACAGGTGGACTCCACCTGACTGGAGAATCCTGATTGGCCAGGGTTGCCCAATCAGGTGGGGAAACCCTACAGATGCTGTTGTTGCATGTTCATAGAGGCCCTTTCTCACTTACACTGGGTGAGCTGCTGGAGGAGGCGTGGCCAGCAGACACCTGACTAAGGAAGGGGCAGAAATTTGATTTGATTTGCATTCATAGCCAAACCCACCCTAATTCACACTTTTTGGGGGTGGGGAATGCAATAACTGAAACACAGCCATCCATTGAAATTTGCTCTTCTCTGAATTTTGCAGTGCAGTTCTCCCAACTGGGTAATGTGTTCACAAATCCATGCATTAAAGCGTGCATTAAGATGCCATTGATTAATGAAAGTACTGTACAAATATGTATTATTCTTTGGAAAATTTGTCTGCAAAAATGTGTATAGTAGGCAAGATTGCATACAAACGTTCATATACAAGTGGTGACCATTTTACGCAGGAGTTCTGTTTCTGGCCCCCATTCGGGTTGGCGGAGCATGCATAAGCCCATCTTGCCCTGTTACAACCCTTTATGCCCCTGCCTGCTCCATTAAGCCTTTGTTCTGCCCTCTTCTGGGTTCAAAAGAACCCATGCATTGGTGGTCATATGCAAAATGGCCGCCACCCATATTGCCAAAAAATTGCATGAAAATGCTGATGAATTTTCATGAGGACATTTTTAAAAAAATGCAAACTGATGTGAGGAACTGAAAATTGGGAAACCAAGAGAAACCAGAACTGACAGATTTGTCTGTTCCTACATATACAATGGAACCTTGGGTTGCAAACGTGATCCGTGCGGGAGGCACGTTCACAACCCGCAGCATTCACAACCTGCAGTGCCGTGTCTGTGCACGCGTGTGATGCAATTTGGTGCTTCTACGCATGCACAAAGAGCGATTTAGCGTTTCTGCGCATGCACAGGCACCGAAACCTGGTACTTCTGGGTTTCAGCGCATCCGTAACCTGAAAACGCGTAACCCAAAGAGTCTGTAATCCGAGGTACCACTGTAAAGGCTATCATTTGAACCCCCCTTATCTGCTAAATTAATCTGCCTTGCACAATTCTTGGAAGAGGAAATGAGAGAGACTTATTTAGTGAGCCCCCCGGTAGGGTAAATAAAACCTGATAAACGATAAAATGGAAGTAACACATTTCAGGAAGAGCTAAAAACCCATGTTCCCCACCCCTTCTTGCTTTCGTTTCTGTAACTTTGATAGGACGTTTCCGATCCGTGGCTTCCAGATATACGATGGTCCTGTCCGGCTGACAAAATGCACTTTTAGAAAGTTTACCCCTACTGCGGACAGGCACTCGAGTGCCATCGGCTTTTTCATGAAGAACGCCTGGCAGATAAGTCCTCAGAACAACGCCTCACTGGTCAGGATGGAGAGAAGTGTAAGTCAGTGGAGATGTTAACTGGGCCCATCTTCTTTTTGTGTGGGTTTGGCAGTAGGGAATGTGCCTCTGCTTGATTCTCCTGTGTGCATTTTATTTATTTAAACAATTTCTGTGCCTGCTTCTCACTTCCAAAGGAATCTCTGAGCCGTTTGCCACCTATTTTTAACAGTCAAACCGGCCTAGCGAGAGAGAGGCTGAAAGACCCCACAGTCCGGTCATTTAAACTTCCCCTGGGCGTGGTGCCAAGGGCCGCAATTGGTCATTTGGTCCTGCACCCAGGGGAATGCCCCCTAATTCCTGCAGCCATTGGCCCATTTGGTGGCAGGAAGTCGATCCGGCTTGTGATAAGCCAGTTTACAAGGGAGGCCCGGGGCCCGCCTGCAAAGCCGTCCGCCCAATAAGGAGGCGAACGCACATCACAAAACATCAAATGCTGCAACTGAGAATCAAATACATATACCAGAATAATTAAAATTATTTATAGCTCGCTCATCGTGGTTAACACAATGTGAGGAACATTAAAGTACAATAAATCAATATTTGGTTTAAGTACAAATTACCGTCAGATCAAGCACTTTATTAACTACATTAGTATACATCAGCCAGGTGAGGGGGCATGGCTCTGGCCAAATGCACATTTTTAGTTTGCGCCAAAACTCCATTAGTGTTGCGTCAAAACTCAGAACCGCACCTGAGAGGGAAGGGCATTCCAGAATTGGGGTGCTACCATTAAGAATGCTCTCTTGTGAGTTGCCATATACCATATTTTCAGAGGACTGTGGCATCATGAGGCCATCCATAGATTTTGAATTCCAGGCAGGTGTATAAGGGAGAGGTGGTCTTTCTGGCACCTGGGTTGTCCAGTGTACATTGTCAGGCAGAGGTTCCCTGGATTATGTTGGACTACAACTCCCATCATTCCCAGCCAACTTAGCCCAGTGGTCAGGCATGATATATAAGTTGTCACGCAACATCCACAGTTGAGGAACATTGGTGAGGACAACACTGAGCTAGAGGCACCACTGGTTGGACTTGTTGTAAGGCAGATTCCTGCATAGCATTTAGGTGCCTGACTAATGTTCCTAGTGCATGGTCAGCACTGATTATTAGGGTTCCTAATTTTTGTGTGCAAAGTTTAGGTGTGTCTGCTCCTTGCTTCCTTGTGGTGAAGGGAAGTTCTTTTGGCCTCCTGCCTTTCAGTGAATCACACACTTTGCAACTTGTTTAAACGTTGCCCGTTGAAGGTCAGACGGAGGGTGAGGAATTCATTTGGTTGCGCCCTCCCGTAACCACGTGGAGCTTGATAGCTGTGCAGAGCAAGTGCAAGAGGCTCTACTCTTGCAGGCCGCTTCTTGAAGATCACAAACTTTTCTTGAGTTGACTTGGACCAGAACTTCCCTTCACCACAAGGATGGCTCACTCTTCCTCATGCTCTCCTCTAGACATCTGGAGAAACTGAATGTGTCCGGGTGGAATCATGTATTGCGTTCCCTTGCTTAGCTTCATTTTATGTTGCTTGGTGGGGGCATAGAAGCACAGAGTGCAAGGTTGCGGAAGAAGAAGCAATGTAGATGCAGGGTTCTGTAGATACAACAGAGGGTTTCAGCAACCACATCATTTCCAACAAAGATGTGTGAGGAACCCTGTCTGGAACGGGGAAGAGTCACTGCCAGGCAAGACTAGGGATGGAGAACTTGTGGTTTTCGGGATGTTGTTGGTCTACAACTCCCATTATCCTGTGATTATTGGCCATACTGGCTAGCGCTGATGGGAGTTAGAGTCTAACAGCATCTAGATGGGCATAAACTCCTCATCCAAAGGGGATTGGGCTGCAGATACCCGGGTTCAAGTTTCTCCTTTGCTACAAAGCTCACTGGGTAGCCTTTGGTCAAGTTGGTGCTTTCTCAGCTTAAATCGGCTTGCATGGTGGTTGTGAGGATCAAATCTTATTGTGTCTTTTGGAGTTCCTTGGTAGATGCACTAAGTACCCTGAAGTGGGAAACTGTCAAGCAAACAGTGCAAGACTGCCATGTTTTGTCCGTTACATAACTTTTTGTTTTCTAAAATAGCATTGGGGAATGAGTGGCCCTTTGAATGTTGCTTGATCACAACTCCCACCATTCCTAAGAATTGGCCATGCTGGCTGGGGGTGACCAATACTGAAATCCATCAACATCCGGGCTCCCTTGTCCCCCAAACCTGCTTTAAGAGCTATACAGTGGTACCTCTGGTTACGAACTTAATTTGTTCCAGAGGTCCGTTCTTAACATGAAACTGTTCTTAACTAGAGGCGTGCTTTCGCTAATGGGGCCTCTTGCTCCTGCTGCGCCACCGGCACACAATTTCTGTTCACTTCCTGGGGCAGAGTTCTCAACTTGAGGTAACTCTTCCAGGTTAGCGGAATTTGTAACCTGAGGCGTTTGTAACTCGAGGTACCACTGCATAGCAGGTGGAAATTCATCAGATGTATTCTTTTCAGTGCAGAGATACAGTGATGGGAAGGCTGCGCTTGTTGAATTTTCTGCCTGCTATGCAGTTGATAAACCACAGAGCCCACATGGCGGGGTCCTGTCATTTCCACCATGGAAATCTTGGGACATAAGCACTGAATAGCTATTTTAGTAGCCTGAAATGCAATAGAGTTCCTGCAGTAATAATGACTTTCTGTTCTTATCTGTCTTTCTTCAAAGGTTGGGCTCAGAGTGTTCTTTGGCAGGCCAGGCCAGTGGTTTGGAGACAATAATAATGATGGTGATAAGGTCTCGATTTTCCATGATTTGGATGGTTCAGTGACAGGCTATCCAGGCACCTTTGTGGGCAGGTCAGACAACTATCTGATTCGTCACCCGGGCTGCCTTATCGTCCCAAGGTGGAACGGAATGATTTGCGCTGGGAAATATGCACAGGTAAGGCTGGACCATTGATGCTTATGCAGAGATGTTCTCAGTGGGATGATAGAAGGAAGCTTTGGTGCTGCTGAAGGGATGAATGAATTAAGGAAGGAAGGAAGGAAGGAAGTGAAGAGAGGCTGGCATGAACAGAGGCTGGGGAGTCCCAGAGAGAAAAGCTAGCTGGTAAGAGAGGGGCCTCTATGGAGATGTGTGAGAGAAAATGGATGGATGGATAGATGGATGAAGAGAGAATGAAGAACAGAGAGAAAATCAGTATATCTGCCTACAGCCCTGTCCAACTTTTCCTTTTCTCAATTCTTCACTTCTTGCACATTTTTGCATGGCTCTGCTGGTTAGCATTAGACGAGCATTTGGAAAGCAGGAGTGTCGAAAGCTGCCAAAAACCGGGTGGGGGAGAGTTGTTGTTGTTGTGTGTTGTCTCTCAGAGCCTCAGATATATGATTAACATTCTCCAGGACTTTCTCATTAGCAAGGAGAATTCCTGGCTGCACGAGGGCATTTAAAACATGACATTGGGCTGCAGATCCAGCTAGCATCTGCTTAATATCCTTCCCTGAATAATTTACAGGGCAGTTTTCCCCTTGGCATGGAGTGCTGGGATAATCTGTCAATAAGAATAGTTTATTGTCCCCAAAAGCCAATTTAGCTGATATATATATATATGTATGTATGTATGTATGTTCTGGCCATCCTCATTGGCCTGAGGCCACCCTACATCTTCGTCTATGTAGTTTCATTTTTGGATTAAAGTAGTTTCATTTTTTATGTTTTACCTGCCCTGGCTGAACCATTTTGATTGGGAACATAGTCGATGCATGATTACGGGTCAAGCTGCAGGTTACACTACATTAGGCAGGCTTCCTCAACCTCGGCCCTCCAGATGTTTTGAGACTACAGTTCCCATCATCCCTGCCCACTGGTCCTGCTAGCTAGGGATCATGGGAGTTGTAGTCCCAAAAAATCTGGAGGGCCGAGGTTGGGGAAGCCTGACATTAGGGATGAGGATCCTGTGTCCCTCCAGATTAGTCACGCTGATGAGGAGTGATGGAGCCCAATAACATCTGGAGGGACCACAGGTGTCCCCACCCCAGATTAAATGAATATATATGAAAGAAGAAGAAGACTCTCATGGGTGCTAATGGGAGCTTTCTAACACTAGTTGCACTGCCAGGTTTTTTTTTTTTCTAGAACCACAGCTGGGGAGGGAAGAGTTAACCCTCCCCTCTCTATGTTCTGCAGTTTCATTGAAATTTGGGCTTCTCCACTCTTATTATTTATTCTTTTAAGAAATAATTTGAACCACAGTTGTGCATGAGAAGGAGACGAAGAAGTCTGTGACCCATGTATCCAATTCTGCTTGAGTAGCAATCCTTTTGAGCAACCTAATTCAGGGCTAGGGGGAAAAGCATTTAATTGTTGTTGGTAGACGGTTGCGAGCCAGAAGCCTTTAATGATCTACTGCAAAGGAGCCAGACCCAGACCCATTTTCTGCTCCCAACCCCCACCCCAGCTTTCATGAATCTGCCAGGAGCAATGTAAGAGCTGCCACTATGCATCTTAACTACCATTTGAAACCATTTCCTAGGAAGAGGGGTTGAAGGTTAAACCACTCGGGGAATTGTAGCTCTGTGAGGGGAATAGGAGTCTTCTCCAAGCAGCCTTAACAAACTACAGTTCCCAAGATTCTGTGGCAGAATCCATGACTTTTTAATGTAGTATGATGCTGTACTAGATGTAAAGCATCTAGGCCCTGATTTTGGATGCTTCTTGTATCCCATCCTCTGTGTCTGTTTTGCCCTGTGTACCTGGCAAAAGAATCCATCGGGATTGCTTGCTGTGTAAAATATGGGGGGGGGGCAGGTAAGCCCCACCCCGCATCATTGATCACAAGACATGGTGCACAAATACCACTTGAATGGCAATGGCCAACAACTTTGCGGTGACCCTGGCCCCCTCAAATATGTTATTTGGGGGCCGAAGGGACCTTGGCCATTAGGAATTAGTTCCTGTGGTATCCAACGTGGTGAAACAGACATCAACATTCAGTATATGTGGCACTGTACGTAAGGGACACACAGGGTTTGACGTCTATGTTGGAAACACGTCATGTGCAAGCTTGTCCCCATATTTACACTGACGAGTAGCAATCTCGTAGACAGGGATGATGATGATATTTTAATGTATCGCCTCCTTCACTCTACTAAGATCCCTGGGTAGGTTACAACTATTTAAAATGCAACATTAATAACAGGTTGGATTTTTTAAAAAAATAAATAAAATGCAATTAGGAAAAAAGAGAGTGAGTCCTGAAAATATACATCTCAGGCATGAAAAACGCCAGCTTGGGTGCTGCATTTTGGCAATTTCCATCCCAACCTGCGGATAGGAATGTGGGGGAAATTTGATTCAGGTGACATTTAAAAAGAAGTTGCACTTTTCAAAACAATACATAAATCAGAACAAACCCACCATTTGAAATGCGCACCTCTCTAGACGTTGCAATGCAGTTTTTGAGCCAAATAATGCATACAAAAGCACACACACTAAAACCAACCCTATACACTAGGATAAAGTGTGCAAAAGAATGCATATATTAGGAAGAATAACGCTCAAAAATGCATTATATTTGGAGAAATAGCTTTTCATAAATATGTACACCAGGTCAAACTGCATAAAAAACATCAGTTTTGGAAGCCATTCGCACAAAAATGCTGATGAATTTTCATGAACTGAAAATTGCAAACCAATGTGGAAATGTGGAGAAATGAACTTAGGATTGTAAAAAATGAAAAAATGAAATTGACATATCCGCCCATCCTTACTTGAGTATGCCTAGGCTTGAGCCCAGTTCCTTCTGTGTGCAAAACATGTTCCATACCAGTGAGCCACATCTCCACCCTTCACATGGGCAATGGCTCTGCTTCTAGCTACTTGGTGCTGCATAAAAATTCTGAACTGTAAACAAGATAAGCTCTTTCCCCCCTTTTTCTTTTTCTCTCTCCTTTTTTTTGGTCTGTTTTTATAAGCGCATTATGGCACTCCATGCAGTGAGACCCTTTTTCCGTCCTAAGAACTTTCCTTGGCTGTGTAAGGCAAGAACAAACAGTCATTTTCTCTGGGACCTGTCCCTTCTTTACTAGAGTTTCCCATCCAATCAGCGTCTAAGCTGTGGGGAATTTAGTTCAGGACTTGCCTGGACTGAAGGGAAGGCATAAGAATTTGGCACGAGTGCAGGGAGAGGTATTTGCTTTGAAACGGAGCACAAATTTTAGCTTTCAAAATGCCATCAACTTTCAGAAGCTAAAGGCAGCATCCGTCTTGTTTAGACAGACTGGTGTTGTGTGCACGCTCCGAATTTTTGCTCTGAAAGGCATAAAAAGGACTAGTTCCAATCACGGAGGACTGTGAAACCCTTTGCTTCCCTTTGATCTTTGGAAACTCCATGACCAAATCTGCTTTTCTTTCCCCTCCTGTTTTTGGATTCAGGAGACAAGACCCTGTATTCATTTGGTGGTACAGACAGGTGAAATCCCCTTTTAGTAAATGTGTGTTTTGATCATTTTTATGCTGATTCTTGAGTTTAGTCCAAACGTACATGTATGTTCTGTGTGCACATGTATTAGGGATGGTGGGGGAGGGAGGTTTTCAACCTTCTTGAGTCCGCAGCTCCCTTAACCAACCACATTCTTTCTGCGGCACCCCTGTGGGGCTCAGGAGCCCAGTTATGTCTCCCTTGCCTGCAGAGCTGGCAGCCTCTCACCCTTTTTTGAACACCCCCCTTGTGGTGGGTTCCCTCAGCCTCCTCTCCTCTCCTTGGGGTCCTAGAGATCCAGGGTGGTGTAGTGGTTAAGAGTGGTAGACTCGTAATCTGGTGAACCGGGTTCACTTCCCCGCTCCTCCACATGCAGCTGCTGGGTGACCTTGGGCCAGTCACACTTCTCTGAAGTCTCTCAGCCTCACTCACCTCACAGAGTGTTTGTTATGGGGGAGGAAGGGAAAGGAGATTGTTAGCCGCTTTGAGACTCCTTGAGGGGAGTGAAAGGCAAGATATCAAGTCCAAACTCTTCCTCCTCCTCCTCCTCCTCCTCCTCCTCCTCTTCTTCTTCTTCTTCTTCTTCTTCTTCTTCTTCTTCTTCTTCTTCCTTTGTGTAGCTGCTGCTGCCACCCCTGGTCTCTGAGCTGCTCACCCACTCCCCACTCCCCACTCCCCAAAGAGAAGTGCTTCCCAGAGGCACCGTTCACCTGCGGAGCTTGTAGCCAGGGCTGCTGCAATAAACAGCTGCACAAGCCTTTGGGAGGCAGAGACATGAGAGGGCAGAGGAGGGAGGGAGGGAAGGAAAGAGGGACAGAGACCATTGTTGCTGCAGCACCTCTGACCATCATTCAAGGCACCCCAGGGTGCCGTGGCACACGGGTTGAAAACCACTGCTGTACACTATGAATAACATACGTAAAACATAAGAAGAGCCTTCTGGCTCAGGTCACATCTAGTCCAGTGTCCTGTTTGCACAGTGGCCAACCAGATGCCTATGGGAAACCCACAAGCAGGATTCAAGCACAAGAGCGTTCTCCCCTCCTGTGGCTTCCAGCAACTGGTATTCAGAAGCATTGCGGCCTTCAACCATGGAGGCAGAGCATAGCTATCAAGGCTAGCCTCTCCATGAATTTGTCTAATGTTGTTTATTTATTTTTTTAAATATGCTTTTTCTTAGTTTTTCATTTCACATAAACAAACAAAATACAATAATCTTCCATAATCATCTATCCACTTTCTCTCTCAATGCCCTACCGAACACTGACTTCCCTCTCCCTTCAGCAGGTTTTCTTACTCCAATCCCCTTTCTGCAGTTCCTTAATAATATCCTGTCCACGTCATAAGATTTATTTCAGTCCTGCTAATGTCTTCATGTTTCTACAGTTATTACTTATATAATCCACAAATTTACTCCAATCTCTTTGGAACTTTGTTTCCTCCTGGTTACGGAACCTGTAGGTCAGTTTTGCTAGTTCCGCATAATCCACCAGAATTTGTCTAATCCTTTTTAAAGCCTCTCCTTATCACCAGCATTATTTTATATTCCTGCCCTATTTTGTGGTTCTTTGTTTCTTTCCCCATTTTATTTCACCGTTATCAATCATTAGCTATATCTTGTTGATTTTGTTAGCTTATAGTGTGAGTTTCATTCAGAATCTTTGGGCCAAAAAGGTGGGATAACCTCTCCCACCCCCCACAACCGTTCTCCATCAATAAGAAATCTCCCTGTTGTCATCTAGTAGTCCTATATTAAAAGCGTTGGCAAAAGGCCAGAAAATGTGCAGGTCAATAAAATTCTGTAGGCCTACTCTAAGTAAGCTTTAGCTGAATACTACCCTACATTTTTAAACCAGGTATTTTTTTTGGAGGGGGTGTCATTGGTCACCAGCCTGCAGTCAGGTTATCTTTGCATTCACCTGCATGCTACCATTTCTTAATCATAGCTGCAATACAAGAAAGGACTTGTCAGTCATTCCAAACTACATAGTAAAAGAATGAATATGCAGGACTTGATGTTGACTGCTTAGCTATAGGAAAGTGAGAAATGGTCTTGATTATAATCCTTGAAATTGTGCATGCGTTGGCTGCAGTTAGAAGTGCAGTCAGTCTAGAAATATTTCTAACTAACCGCAAAGCTTCTCTCTCTTTCTCCTCTCTCTTTTTGTAACACTCACTGCATCCATGTCAGAGAAACAGCAATTCCTAGTCTCTTTCTCTGGTGTGAATCATAGCATGTAATTCAGAACTACCATAAATGCCATTGGTTAGCATATATTGGGGATAAATATCTTAGGAACGTCTCTCCCAGTGTGAACTTACTCAGACCTTTACATCGTCATCTGTAGTGTAGTAGCTAATTCAGGATCCCTTCTTGATTATCACAACTATGCCCTCTCACAGCCACCGCCCCCTTCTAAGATTATAAACCTTCTAAGTTTATACAGCAATATTACAATTCTAGAATAATAATGATTAGGGATGCATTGCAATGCTTAGAGCAGATCTCCAAGTGCTTCCTCAAGTTGAATCTGGGCTTTCCCCCCTCTGTGCACATACATGGGCAAGTGATTTGGAGTGCTTTATTATCTTCTTTTGGAGTGACCTGAGCTGTGTTTTCCTTGGCATTCCATTTGACGTAACAGAACTTGCGCCTCATTCTCTTGAAACGGAAGCACCTTGTGTTTTCAATGTTCCTAAATGCTTAGCATACAGAACAACTCTTCAGTGCTCTCCCACAAGCCTTCTCCAGAATGACCCTAGGAGCCAGTCCTCACCTCCTTTCACTTTGATTGGCTCCAGTCAGCACTAAGGATGAGAAGACATCTTCTCAGTGGCTGAAAAGTCCCCCTTATTGCTATTTTTGAACAATTGGGATCAGAAATCCTTGGTGAACCAAAGGTCAACCAGTTGACCATGATCTACCTTCTGCCCACTCCCTGCAGCTCCCAAACTTTGCTTATGTATCCTGGCTCATTTTGCAGGGGCCACATTTTTCTTTGGCACCTTACATGGCTTTGTTTTTGTTTTCCAAGTGGTATTTCACTGCCCATTCTCTTGTTTTCCCATTGGGGAATCAGAGTTGGAAGTGACCACGATAATCATATTGTCCAACCCCCTGCAGTATGGGAATATTTTGCCCAATGTAGGGCTTGAATCCACCACCCTGAGGTGAAGAGTCTCATGCTCTACCAACTGAGCTTAAGTGATTCCCATTTTTGGGACAATCTCTATTGCCTGTGATTATTTTCTCTCTCAAGAAATAACCCTTCAGAATGCTATTTGTGTCGCTGATGCACTATTTATGTTGGAAGTGGTCCATTGGCTACAGCTCTGGATGCCCAGAGCCCTTTGCTGGCAAAAGTCTTGAAAGGGACATGCTGCTGATTGAATGCATGTGTGAAAGCTGAGCTTGATTGGCTGTAACACAGGTCTCTTCCCGCTTTCTCTTTCAGCTCTATATTCAAGCCAGGCGTCCTGAGAATCTGACCTTATCAATTGCCAGAGCTGCATACCACTTCCATCCTCTGAGGCTACACGGAGTGAACAGAGGGGTGCCGTACCAACAGTACCAGCCTGTGGTGATGCTGGAGCAAACCTATATTATCCAATGGGATGGCAGAGCACCAGAAGATGTCATCCTTTACCCGGTCAACTTCAATAGGTACCATTGATGGAAAATGTGCGGTGCGATGAGTTCTGTGGTGTTTGCTACGGTTTCTGTTTTTAAAAGCTGTTCCAGGTTCCTGCTGACTTTTCTTCTTCTTCTTCTTCAAACTTTTGGAAAAGTTGGCCTACTTAAGGCTTCTAAAAATGACATTAACAAAAGACCAGCAAAGAAGCTATGCCTCTGTTTTTAACTTTCACTGCCATCTGTCTGATGTGCCGTGTTGTTTCCCCTTTCAGTAAGGTTTTTTTTGGGAAGAGATTCAAGTTACTGTTGGCATTCCGGGCTCAAGATTAAATCCAGCAGATCCCTGGCACGCTGTTCATTCTCATTAGTTTACACTAGCTGCTCCGCTTGTGATTTATATCCCACCTCTCCCTCTTTCTGTAAAGGGCAGCAGTGATTATGAAGATTGCCTATGTAGCCTTGCATTTTCCCAGTAGTCTAAACACTGCAATTGCTATTTCATTTCTCCCCTGTTATATAAACCTGAAAAACAAAACACCAGGACCCTCTCTACTGAAATAATTCAGAACTGATAGACAGCAGTCTGGAAGAGTAATAAGTTTGAGTGCAACAAGAAGGGAGGCCCAGATTCCATCTTTTTCTACTGTTTTCTGTTACAAAAAAGGCTTGGAAGGATATGTGTGTGTGTACACACACTCACTAACAGCCTCTTTCCTGACATGGCTCAGGAATTCTAAAAAACAACAACCGAACAAATCAGTGCAGTTGTGTCTTATCAGTCCATATGTCTGTGTCTGCTGTATATTTGGAAAGTTGTTTGTCTGTTCTGTATGCACTGAGGTCCTCCTCTGAGGGTCTTCTGCTGGTTCTCAAACTGCGAGAAGTGAGGTTACAGGGACTTCCAATGCAGGAATCTTTTACCCAACGTGGGGTTCAAACCCAAGATTAAGAGTCTCATGCCCTTCTGACTGAACTATCCCAACTGGTTTTGCAGAATCAAAAAGTTAAAAGCAGCGGATATAAAAAGAATTTAAGGTTTTGAAGTTTTGCATAAGCCCTTAAAGACTAGAAATCAGTTGTATTCTGCACCGAATACCAGTTTGTGTGTGTTGTTATGGAATGGTAGTCCTAGTCATTTGTTGAATCAATGAACGTGTCTACGCAAGGCTCTCATGTTAGCAACTGACCTCTTCTTCTTTTTTTAAAAAAAATGGCACATTGCAGTTACTTTTAGAATCAGGAAGTAAATGTTTGCAGATGTCAGCAAGACTAGACAGGTCGTACCTTCTTTAGTAGGTCTCCCTTTCTTTTTTTTTAAGTTGATGGGGGGAACTGTACAAACAATACGGCTGATGATTAACCCTGATACACCCGTGGCTTTTTCGATGCAGGAAAGAATGTGTGAAATGCGTATGGTGCAAAATGAGGAGACAACGTGATTGACACTCTTAATGTCAGTCTCCTGGTCTTGCTAAGCACAGCTTGATAGCATAATTAAGTTATTTTTACCCCAGTGGACAGAGATAGCGGGGGATGCTGATGTTTCAGAGAGGCAGAAGTCATGTTTCTGGAATATGTATTTGACATTGACTAAGAGAAGCTCATAGGGGGAATAAAGGATTTATTGCTGGGGATTTAGACTGTCCCTGAGGTACCGTAATCTGTAATATTGACACTCAAGACTTGCGTTGTTAACTCCTCTGCTGAAGCTAGAATGCCAAGAATCCACCAGAAGTAATGGAAGGGCAGAATCATTGCTGTTTTTCTAGGAAAAGAGGTGCCAGAATTTACCATGAACGCCTCCCATGTTCTCTTATAATGGCAATGGCGCCCACCTGAGAGGTGTCAGAACTGTACATACTCACTATATTTTTAAAGCACATTCGAAGCACATCCTGCCCCACTCAAAGAATTCTGGGCACTGTGGTTTGCTAAGGGTTTCTGGGGATTATAACTCGGTGAGTGATTATAACTACAGTGCCCAGAATTCTTTGAGGGAAAGAATATGCTTTAAAGGTATAGTACTAACTCAACACACTAATGATCAGAACTCTATATACCAAGGATGGGGAACCTGTGGCTCCCCCAGATGATAATGAATTCCGGCTCTCATCAGTCCCAATCAGTATAGTCAATGGTCAGGAATTGTAGGAATTATAATTCATAAGCCTTTCTGTTTTGGAAGGTGTTTGCTTTATTAACCAGATAAGCTTTTATCCAGTGTGTTTGTTTTCACCTATGGGATCATCCAGCCTTCCTTTTGTGCCACGTTTCTAGGTACAGGTCTGCTCTTTAAATTATTATTAATTAAAGCTGAGAACTACTTCTTCTTTGTGTTCTTGTCCCGGCGTTTGTTCCCTGCAAAAACCTGTTCTTTACCACTGAAAACAATTCTGTGGAAAACTAGAATTGCAGTTTGTTCTGATATAGAGCATTAAAGAGCGAGTTCTCCTGGGGAAAGCAGCACAGCAAAAATAGTCATCAGGGTTAGTAGTCGCTGATTGCTTTAGCCTCCCTGAAATTTCCTAATCCCAAATTGGTGACCATCACTGCTTCTTGTGGCAGTGAGTTCCGCAGTTTAAGTGTGTGAATAAGTCCTTTCTTTTGTCTGTCCTCAATCTCCCAATGTTCAACTTCGTTGGATGTCCCCGAGTCCTTGTGCTATGAGAGAGGGAGGAAAACTTTCTCCGCACCATGCATAAATGTATTCACTTCTGTTCTGTCGCCTCTTAGTTGCCTTTTCTCTAAACTAAAAATCCCCAAAACTTATAAAAGTTTGATATTTAAACTCTGGGATGGGGGATTCGTGGTTCCCTGCCTCACCTCCACCAAGAGTTATCACAGGGATTGTTCAGAACAGAATAAGATGCATGGAAGCACCATGAGTGGCGATAAGTTTGAGATAATGACACGCAGTAGTAACCTTTGTGCAATTCAAAACTTCTTGATACTGTTCCATGGTAGGGTGGGAGGAGAGAGGGGGACAGTCTGATGATATTTGGCAGAAGAACACAGAGGGCTGATTGGAATTTTAATTGCTCAGAACAAAAGTCAGTCTCCTGTAGAACTGATTGAGGTCCTTGTTCTTTGCCTGCGTTGACTACATGTGTAAAGTCCTTCCAAGTCCAGAGGCCTATGATCTTTCCACAATGGATTCTTTCTGTTTGCAGGCCAACTTCATACTTAGTGTACTCTTTTCCCTTCTCTTTCAAGCACACATCGCATAAGGACCAAAATTGCAGGTAGGGAGAATTGCTCAAAGGAATTGGCTTACGTGGAATGCCCATTTGCAAAAGCAAAACCACAACCAAACAAAACACCCCAACACACCTATGTTCACGATAGACATTAAACTTGTTAAGAGGAGACTGTCAAAAGGAGAGATTGAGGAGGAGGAGGGATAGGTACAGCTGGCAGTGGGTGGAAATATGGGCATGGAATGAACCCAAGGTGTAAGGACTTGGTGTAACAAGCTACTGCCTGCACACCAGTCTTTTGCCTTTACTTGCTTGAAAAGCGGTGAAATTGAATAACATCTTCCACTTTGAGTAAATTGGCCCATCGGTGCTTTATTTGCAGGCCGAAAGGCACACACATTTAAAACATCAAGAGAACTGAAGTGGTGGATTGTGTTTGCCGTTTTTGTGGACTGTTTTGTGGCACTGTTAATTGGGCTCCAAAAACGCTGCAATATTTACTAAGAAGTCTAGGCATGTTTAATGGGGCACGGCTGGTTCAATAAAGCTTTGGGTCTTTATTTAGCATGGATCTCATCTACACTACTGACGAAATCATGGGTGCTTTAGTTGAGATTCCTGCATTGAACTAGATGACCCTTGGGTTCCCTTCCAGCTCTATGATTCTATGCCAGGCTTCCTCAACCTCGGGCCTCCAGATGTTTTGAGATGACAATTCCCATCATCCCTGACCACTGGTCCTGCTAGCTAGGGATCATGGGAGTTGTAGGCCAAAAACATCTGGAGGGCTGAGGCTGAGGAAGCCTGTTCTATGCCTTACTTATTTTGTTTTTAACCCCACCCATCCTCCAAGGCATCATATGTAGTTCTTTTCCCCATTTTAGTCTCTCTCACATGTGTGGTAGGTTAGAAGGAGGGATGGGGCAGCCAAGGCCACTTATTGAAAGTCTTGAGAGCCCAGTAGAGACGCATGGGGCCCACTGGGCCTGGTGTTCCCCATCTCTGGTTTAGCATTACATCTGAACCAGACCAGACTAGGATCTTGCCTCCTCCTCCACTCCAGGGGTGTGCTGGAGTTCACTGCTTTCCCCCCCTGATAAGTGAATATCTGCTGTAACTAGCACAAGTCGTGTGATGTGGAGACACCATGAAACTGGAGCTTGAGCTTGATATATGGACTAAGTCTGCAAATGGACTTTGCACGCTTCATATCTAAGGTTCAAAGAAGCCATGGTTTCTCTCTGGAAAAGTTAGCAGCTCCTGCCTCTTAACTCGGGACCGAGAGTAGGCTGCAGATAATGTGGGCAGATCTGAGTGTCTGCCCCTATTGATTCTTATCTTAAACCCTCATAAGTTTTCTTCCCCCCCTCCTCCCGCAGTGTAATTGGCAGTGAAGTCAAGTGCAGTAAAGTTTGCAGGCTCATACTCTATCTTGAACCAACAATAGCAACATTAACCAGAGATCCTTGTAAGAAGCTTATCTGAGCTGGTTCGCTGCAAGTCGGTTGAGATTAAAATTAACTGAGCAGAACAAAAGGCCAAAAAAGAGGCTGTTATTGGCTGTTCAGCCTAAAACTCTGGCCATATGAAGTGCTGGAATGTTTAACATAAGATTGGAAGGAATGCACATATTAAAATTCTTTGCTTAAGATTTATTGGCTTGGCCTCAGGAGGTGGGACTCCTCAGGGCGAGTTTGGCAAGGAGTGTAACCTAGAAATAGTGGCTGAGGCTGGAAAAGGAGATACAGGAACATAGGAAACTGTCTAATACAGAGTCTGACCATTGGTCCATCTAGACTAGTGTTGTCTGCACTGAGTGGCAGCATCTGTCCGGGATGTTAGGCAGGGAATCTTTCTCAGATGCTGAGGATTGAACCTGCATACTAAATTGATGCTCTACCGCTCTGCTAAAAATGGCAGCTCCTTTTTCACCCTCACTGGTCCCATCTGCACTATACATTTTAAAGCAGTATTATGCCACTTTAAACTGTCATGGCTTTCCCCCAGAGAATCCTGGGAACTGTGGTTTGTTAAGGGTGCTGCCAATGGACCATTCATCCTACCCCAATAGTCGGCCACCATCCCATGGCCAATGAACATGCTCAGTCCTCAACTGACTGGTTTTTTTAGGCTGGGCATTATGGGAAATAAAGGAGGAAGAAGAGAGGATGAGAATCCTTGAAGATCTAATGCAGACCTATGAATCATGGTCCGGCACAAGCCACCAGTTCAAATCTTGCCTTGGCCATGAACTTGCTAAGGTTGCGGTAGGACAGCTTATGAATCTCTCAGCCTCAACACCCCCCATTCAGTTTCCTAAGTGGGCTGATTGTGTTGGCATAGTGGTACCTCGGGTTAAGTACTTAATTTGTTCCGGAGGTCCGTTCTTAACCTGAAACTGTTCTTAACCTGAAGCACCACTTTAGCTAATGGGGCCTCCTGCTGCTGCCACACCGCCGGTGCACAATTTCTGTTCTCATCCTGAAGCAAAGTTCTTAACCCAAGGTACAATTTCTGGGTTGGCGGAGTCTGTAACCTGAAGCGTATGTAACCTGAAGCATATGTAACCAGAGGTACCACTGTATTCTAGTGCTGTGCAGAAATCTGCTCTCCAGTTTCTTGCAAGTGCTTTCTCCCCTCTGTGAAAGAAACTTCAATTTTCCTGCCTCATTCTCAGGGTGCTTGGGAGTTTCTTTATAATGTGGGTCAGTGTGCGGTTTTGAGATTATTTTATGGTTCAGAGATAAGAGATATATGTGTGTTTCTTTCCGGTAAAGATTTCTCCAGCACTCCGCAACCTTCCTAGCTGCCCACACTTCCTGACCTGGAAAAATCCCATGGGAGGCATTACCTCATGTTGTCTCCTCCTGGCTTTTGGTCTGAAGTATGTGAATCTGGGAGAACTGCAGAATGGAGCTGATTTGTAAAACGAAAGGACACTCTTGCAGACACCAATTCTCTCTCCTTGTTGATAGTTTCCCCTTTTTTAGGGTCAATTGCTGGAGAATGGTTTCGAGTGGATGGGAAATGCAGGGGGAATTTTTGGCACAGCACTTAGGAGTGTTTGAAGAGCTTTGAAGGCAACAGTAGCAAACAGAGGAGGCGAATTTCAGTTTTATAGACAGACACAGAAGTTTAGTTTTGCTTGGGAGTGTAACTTGTTTTGTTGAACTAGGGTAGGCTTTCCCAATCTTGGGTCTCCAGCTGTTTTTTGACTACATTTCCCATCATTCCAGTCCACTGGTCCTGCTAGCTAGGGATGATGGGAGTTGTAGTCCAATAACAGCCGGAGACCCCAGTTTGGGAAACCCTGATGAGAATTTTGCATGTTCAGGGTGCACCAAGGCCATACTACAGGTCTCCAAAAGAAATCTCTGAGCAGATGATATGGGCCCAGGTAAGCAACTGGGAGCAGAGTGGGTAGCTGCTTGGTAGCTGCCATTTGAAGTGCTGGGTGGGAAGGCAGGTGCTTAAATCAACCTCTGCCCACAGCTCGGGCCTGGCATTTGCTGGAAGAAGCTGTGGTCTGGGGCACGTTCCCCGAACTCATGCACATCTGCTGAATGCCTCAGTCTGCCTTTGCCAACGCTACTGCTTGCTCAGTCTTCATGAACATGTGTCCTACTCGCCTCTGTTGATCACACCCTCCTTTAAAAGTGTTATTCTTTCTTGCTCTCTAAGCTGTTAATCATGCAGTGATTAAATTCCTTGGCAGTGATGTGTTCCAGGGGGAAAGAGATGATAATAGACCAGGCTTGAACAAGCTTGCAGCAAACATGCCCGGCTCCTATAATTATTTTATTTCTCTCCACCCCGGCTCGTGAGCAATCATCTCTGTGTTTACAGTTGGTAGGGGAGGGGTAAATGAGGAGGAGGACGAGGATGGGAGGGCAGAAAAACCTCTTGGCAAGCTTAAGAACTATCAGCAGCTGAGTGCTTTGATGCGCTCTGCAATTAGGATTCCAATTAGTGTTTCAGCTGATGGTTCCACCTAAAATGACCTACACCAAAGTTCTTTCTGAAAGCCCTTTGCTTGGCCCCTTCTATTGTGGGCAGAATTAACAGACTTGCTTTTCCTAGCTGATGGGGAAGCAATGGCAAAGGATGCAACCTTTAGCAGTGGCGACACCCTATTGCTTAGGAACATAGGAAACTCCCTTATATACCAAGTCAGAACAGTGGTCCATCTAGCTCAGCAGAGAGAGACCTTAGACTGGGAGGTCAAATGCAAGCTTCCACGTCTGGCACTCAGGACTGACCCCTGGGCCCAGCCCCACTCCACACCCTCTTGAAGTGCTTTTGCAAGTGCTCTTGAACTCGATAATGTCTCTTGGTTTCCTGGAGGGATGTGGGGTGTTTATATTGTAGAAAGAAACCTCTGCATTCACATGGCTGCAGCATAGCCTACAGAAAAAATGAGTCGTGTTCTTTGCTCTGCCCATTGGTTGCCTCTGGAAGGTTGCCCCTGAAGAAAGACAGTCCTCTGTGGATGTGAAAGTTACCTCATCTCTGGTCTTCACTGACCGGCTGCAGCTCTCAAGGGTTCTTGACCTGGTTCTTTCCTCTTCCTAACTGGAGAAGTCAGGGATTGGACCTGGAACCTTCTGCCTGCAAAGCATTGCTGAGCTACAGCTTTGTCAATCTTGGTTAAAAACTAGGTCTTCGGGGTTACAGTCTGTTGTATCGTCAACATGTGCCTATTGCATCTGTAATTGCCTATACAAAATGTGGACCCTTAGGGCTGATTCTCACATTTAATTGATATCTCAAAGTGAATCCTTCCCCTTTCACTTCTGGTAGTTTCCCCATTGGAGTGGGGATAGAGGTCAGTTTTGGAAAGGGCACATCAGCTGCTGATCTCCCTTGTTGCCTCAAAATAATATACAGTGGTACCTCGGGCTAAGACCTTAATTCGTTCTGGAGGTTCATTCTTAACCTGAAACTGTTCTTAACCTGAGGTACCACTTTAACTAATGGGGCCTCCCGCTGCCGTCGCGCCACCAGAGCACGATTTCTGTTCTCATCCTGAAGCAAAGTTCTCAACCTGAAGCACTATTTCTGGGTTAGTGGAGTCTGTAACCTGAAGCGTCTGTAACCCGAGGTACCACTGTATTGTGGTACTCTGGGCAGCAGTATTCTTGACAGCAGATGTGAACAGCAGCAACGATTTCTATATTGGCTAGAGGTGGACAAAAAAAGAAAGTATGAGAGATGCTGTGGAGCAAGTGTCCTGTGCTTGTGATAGGTACCATGGTTTCTCTTTTTCCTAATGTCATTGGCTGGACTTTGAAGTAGTTGTCCAAATAGGATGAGCTGGAGGGTCCTCAAATTCAGCAGGACCAGGTTACCAAATTTTGAAGTGAGTAAATAATTAGCCCAATTCCATCTGAAAAGCCACCACCACAAAACCGTTAGGCAACTCTGTACCTATTCTCTCTGTGTAAATTCATTAGATTGGCATGACAGCCATTCCCAATCCCTTAGAACTTTCCCCACCTGAAAATTCTATGCACCCTTTGTTGAACGGAATGCAGTGTGAGCTCCTGCCAAAAATCCGGACCTGATCTTTCCCAGGATTCTCTCTAGAGAGGATCCTTCCTCTCTCAGGGAAAGAAATCCAAGTTCAACTGGTATGAAATCTTTATTTTTTATTTTTTATTTTTATAAGATATTTATTAAGATTTTTTAAAATATTACAATAAAAATGGGAAAAAAATGACAAAAATACAAAATAAAAATAGTTAAAAACACACAGATTTTCCATTACTTATTTTCCTTTGACTTATTTCCCGGACCTCCTCATACCTCCCTTTTTTGTATTCCACTTCAATCTGTTGGTTCAGCAAATCCTTTAAAAGTAATAATATTAAATTTTTACCTATTTATAACCCTTTTTTCATATTCCCTTAAAGCATTACAGCTGGAAACCACTTAATTACTATCCAACATCATTCTAACATTCATTAATTTTACAATATTTCTGTAGATAATCTTTGAATTTCTTCCAATCTTCTTCCACCGACTCTTCTCCCTGGTCTCGGATTCTGCCCGTCATTTCTGCCAGTTCCATATAGTCCATCACCTTCATCTGCCATTCTTCCAGAGTGGGTAGATCTTGTGTCTTCCAATACTTTGCAATGAGTATTCTTGCTGCTGTTGTGGCATACATAAAAAAAGTTCTGTCCTTCTTTGGCACCAATTGGCCGACTATGCCTTTAGAATCTTTAGAAGTCCATAGTATGGGGGACTTACCCAAGCATTCATACCATAAGCAATTCTTGGTTCTCATACTGCTGTCAGCAAACCTCTGAGGAACCTATGGTTGGGTCTGTCTCCTTCTTAGGGATGCAGATGGACCAGTCTATTTCTTATGTTGATTTTACATGTATTCAATCCATTCCATCCCATTTTTGTATCAACTCGCCATTAAAAAACCCCTCACCAGATAGAGATTTGCATGATTTTAAACATATCTCCAGGGATGCGGGTGGTGCTGTGGGTTAAACCACTGAGCCTAGGACTTGCTGATCAGAAGGTCGGCAGTTCGAATCCCCGCGACGGGGTGAGCTCCTGTTGCTGGGTCCCTGCTCCTGCCAACCTAGCAGTTCGAAAGCACATCAAAGTGCAAGTAGATAAATAGGTGCTGCTCCAGCAGGAAGGTAAAAGGCGTTTCCGTGCGCTGCTCTGTTTTGCCAAAAGTGGCTTAATCCTGCTGGCCACATGACCCGGAAGCTGTACGCCGGCTCCCTTGGCCAATAAAGCGAGATGAGCGCCGCAACCCCAGAGTTGGTCACGACTGGACCTAATGGCCAGGGGTCCCTTTACCTTTACCTTAAACATATCTCCCTCTCACAAAATGCACATTTTTGTTTGCATTTGATTTTTATTCTGAAATATGCATATATTTTTCCTATGCATGTTTGGCACGGTTTTTGAAGCAAGGACTCAAGGACATCTGCGTTCCAATTCATGAGTTGCTTTGGGAAGTTGGGTTGGGTTGCTTTGCTTTAAAATGCCATGATGAAATCCTTGAGCATCACTGCTCTTGACTATTACAACCTTTTTGTGCTTCCTTCCAAATACAGGTTTTTTTTTGGTTTTTTTAGCATTACACCAGGTGTGTGTGTGTGTTTCACTCAGGCATGCCAAACCCTGCAAATGTCAACACTGCAATTAAAAAGAGACACCACAAAACAGCCACTAGGTCTAACTTGTCAATCATTACCAGGAGGATGTAAACAGAGCTATGTCTATATATATTATATCTGAAGCACACTGTTTAGATTGTTGGATGGCAGTGATGGTGGGAGAGAAGCTGTAGAGTTGAAATTCTTGTCGCTGGAATTTTTTTTAAGTTTAACACCACTTTTGGAGATGTTTCATTTTGCTGTGCTATTTGGTAACTTTGCAGTGGTTAATATTCAGCCTTGCTTCTTCAAAGGCAAATATTTGGAATGGAAGGCAGAGAAGCAAATAAATTTCTGATAATAAAAAGCCAAAGAAAATAAAACCCTGATGGTCAAGTGAACTGAACCATATTGCTAGAACAGACAGTAAACAGATATATTTCCTTATCTTTGCTTGATTTCTACTTAAGTTTAGTTTCATTTCAGTGGACGCACCATCAACTTAAACAGACAATCTGTATTTTGATTACTAACGTGGTTTGCCAGCTTTCTTTAAAAACTTCTGGCCTTGCTCATGTGCCTTTAACAGCTGCCATTCAGGCAGACGTCTTGGTGGTAAGGCTTTTCCGGCCATGGAAATGTGATGGGAAAAGCCTTCTATTAGTCAGACTGTTGTTTAAAGGTGTAAGAATGAAGCGAGTAGGGGGAAAACCCCCAGCAATCTTGTCACATTTGTTGTTGTTGTTTAGTTGTTTAGTTGTGTCCGACTCTTCGTGACCCCATGGACCAGAGCACGCCAGGCACTCCTGTCTATTGGAGTCTCAGCTTCAGGATCTGTCCTTCCAGTGAGCACTCAGGGCTGATTTCCTTCAGAATGGATAGGTTTGATCTTCTTGCAGTCCATGGGACTCTCAAGAGTCTCCTCCAGCACCATAATTCAAAAGCATCAATTCTTCAGCGATCAGCCTTCTTTATGGTCCAGCTCTACTGGGAAAACCATAGCTTTAACTATACGGACCGTTGTTGGCAAGGTGATGTCTCTGCTTTTTAAGATGCTGTCTAGATTTGTCATTGCTTTTCTCCCAAGAAACAGGCGTCTTTTAATTTCATGGCTGCTGTCACCATCTGCAGTGATCATGGAGCCCAAGAAAGTAAAATCTCTCACTGCCTCCATTTCTTCCCCTTCTATTTGCCAGGAGGTGATGAGACCAGTGGCCATGATCTTGTCACATACTCCTGGATAAATCCTCTTAATTGTTGGCAATTTTCTGCCCAGTTCCCAGTATTATAATAATAATAATAATAATAATAATAATAATAATAATGTTTTCCTTTGGAAGTGCTGTGGATGCCTCATGCAGTCTACTGCCTGAGGGTTGCCTCCCAATTACAGTTTGTTCAGAGCAGATGCCTTGAAATTAATGGACCTAAGTTAGGCTCCATCTGCACTATACATTTAAAGCAGTATCGCACAACTTGGGTTTCCTCCAGTTTGCTAGGGGTGCTGAGACTTGTTAGAACATCCCTTTCCCCCTGCATAGAGCTGCAATTCCCGAGTTCCTTGAGAAGAGGGATGGATTGTTAAACCACTCTGCGAATTGTAACTCTGTGACTAGGGGTCTCCTAACAACTCCCAGTCCTGAATTACTGGCCACCTCTGTTTTCAAACAAAAAGAGGCAAACGAATATGAGTTTGGAAACACAAAGAGTATGAAACATGAATTTAGGTTGCATTAGCAGCAGGGGAAGCGCCAGTCAGGCCTTCGTGATCTGTTTGATTCCTGGGTTTTCCATCATCCTGCGTAGTAGGTCAACAGATCTATCATATTTTACAAGGGAGAAAGAATTAAGGACAAGTTGTTCTAGGCTTTGGAAACCAAAATCAGATTCATAGACCTTCTGTTGTCCATTGCAGCTTACATCAAACAGTGCCCTCTAGGTATTTGCTCGTTTAAAAAAAAGCCGTTTCGGTTGTGAATTTACTGCAAATGGAGAAATTTGCAGACGCAACTGCTCTGTTCTTTTCTTTCTTTTGGAGAATGACTCCATTCCATTCCATTCCCTTGTTGTTATAAGAAAGGATTTTTTCCCTAAGTTGCGTTATCTTAAGCTCACTGAGTTCCTGAAGCTAGGACTACCGTAACGTTCTCAAATTCAGGGAATTTGGCAGTAGCTTTGCAGCATTACAACATTTTGGATGTTGCCATTTGAAGGAGAAGTGTTAAATAAAAATAGAATCTGTACAGAACGTGGAAGAGTGGGGTATAACAACAGCTGAGTGAAGAATCTGTGGACACAGTTCCCATTGCAATTATTACAAGCTGTTTGGCCAAAGTGAGTTCACTGACCGGGGGTGGGGTGGGGGGTTGATTTTGATGGGGACAGAAGAGGGGGGAGTGACTTTGAAAATCCAGTTTGCTTTCAAGAGACTGTTTTTCATGACCAATTTTAGAAGTAGTAAGTGGTGGTGTAAAAAAAAAAAAATGAAGAAGAAGAAGCCCAAATATGCACAGAGAATGACCCCACAATAATGGATATTTTGGCAAAGAAAGTATGGGGTAGAGGTAAGACGACTACATGTTGAGCAAATCATGCCCCCCTCCCTTTGTTTATTTGAATTCCGGCAGTCTCTTACTAAGATTTGCTGTTTTTCCTGCTGTGGTGGTGTTGTTTTTTAACAAAAATTAATACAAGGGAGGCTTACAAAAGAGCAAATTTTCCATTAGATGCAGCAATATTTCATCTAGTACGCAGAGACAGAGATGGTGACAAGGCCAGCTGTAGGTTTCAAGAAGCCCTCAGCAAAACACTCTCTGCTCCTGGTGGCTCTGAATGTAGTTGGGCAGGGTTGGTGGACGGCAGCAATATTGCAGCAGGTGCCAGGCAACTTGAAACTGTTTAAATGTTCCACGGTGCCTTGGAGCAGTGCTACGTACATTGGGAGCACTGTGGATAATTAAAAGTGGAGAAGCACTGAGACCCATCCATCTAATACAGAAGGCCTCCGGGCTGGACAATGCTGGCACCAGAACAGCTGCCCACAGATGTTGTGTGCTGATTCTATGCCTGTCTGGTGTATTCGATCTGATGGTTCCTGCACTATATCTCACCTCCATGGTCAGGGCCAGTAATGCTTCTGAATGCTAGCTCCTGGAAATCGCAGGCGAGGAGAGCACAATTATGCTTGGGTCCTGCTTTCAGTTATTCATCTGATCCATCCACTGCAATTATTAAGTTTGCAGATGATACCATCATAATGGGTCTAATTACAGATGGAGATGAATCAGCGTATAGGGAGGAGGTTCAAAAAGTCTCCACATGGTGCCTAGAGAACAACTTGCACCTAAATATCAGCAAGACAAAGGAGATGGTGTTGGAGTTTTGGAGGAAGAGAGGGGAACTAGCCCTGTTGTATATCGGGGGGGCTGTGTGGAGAGAGTCTCTTCCTTTAAATTCCTGGGAGTTTACCTTAGTGAAGACCTCACTTGGAAAATCAGTACAACCCAGGTGGTTAGGAAGGCCCAACAGAGAGTCCATTTCCTCAGGGTCTTGCGAAAGAACAATGTCAAACAAAAATTGATTATCTCCTTCTATCGGGCCACAATAGAAAGTGTCCTTTCATACTGTATTACAGTGTTGTACGCTGGTTTGACAGCCACGGACAGGAAGGTGGGGGTGAATACAGCCCATGATATCATGCGCTGTCCCTGGAGTTCGCTAGATGACATCGTGGGAGACCGCTGCCTCAGGAGAGTGAGGAAAATTCTTAGGGACAACTCACACCCTGGCCAGCACCTCTTTAATCTCCTACCTTTGGGCAGGAGATACAGAAGTATAGTCAGCTGCACCAACAAGTTAAAGAACAGTTTTTATCCATGGGCTGTTGGGCTGCTGAATGGAAAAAAATAGTGGTGCAATTGACTTCCGACAAGCACACAGAGCAAGAACAACACTGCGTGTATGGGGGGGACGGGACTCATTTAATTTCACTGCACACAGGTGGTGTAGTGACAATAAAGGGTTTATTATTATTTTCCACAAGCATCTGGGTGGCCATTGTGAAAACAGAAGGCTGGGCTGGACGGGCTGTTGACCTGATCCAACAGGCTCTTCCTGTGTTCTTATTCTGCCACCGATAACAACAATTCCCACCAATTTTATGTTATGCTTAAAAAAGTCCCACATTTTGTAAGTCATTTAGAGACTCTTGACTGTGTACACACCATACATTTAAAGCACCCCCTTCCCCACTTATTATTATTATTATTATTATTATTATTAACAATCAGAACTGGAGTTTACCCTACTCAGAGCTTCATTTCCCAGTACCTTTAACAAACTACAGTTCCCAGTATTATTTTTTTTGGAATGTGATTTAAACGTATGATGTATTTGAAGCCTTCATGTAGCAAGCAACTAATAAATTGAATAAATAACAAAAACCTTAAGCCTCACTTCAGCAAGGCAGATGTAAGACACTTGCCCTGGACTTTCCATGCTGGGTGGCCATTTTGTTTTCCCATAATGCCCCAGAATAGGGACACTAAGTCCAGGGGATGGTAGTGCCCCCCACTAAGGGGCACTTGAATAAGCATTTATATATTGCAATGCACATGTGAGCCTTATTGGATTGCCTAAATGTGAACAGGGATGTACACACACGTACATCTGCAATTCAGGGCCGCCATTACAGCAAGCTGTCGGTCTAAACCCAGCCACTCACAACGTTTTAAAAACTTTTCCCCCAAAGTTGAAATAGGAGCACCAAAATAGGACCATATACCGAAAAATACAGATTCTCCAAAGAGACAATTGGTGAAACATACAAATTTTGGGAGAAGAATGTATCATTAAGGCAAAACAACAGTGTGACATTTCCCTCTCTGTCTCTGTAAACCAGAATGCACACATAGCATCAGTGAGTCACAGTTTTTGAAAATGGAATATGGGTCAAGAAACTACCCAAGTGATCTTGGTTTCTGTTTTTTTAAAAAAATATTGTGACCAGGCCAGAACATGTTCTTTCTGGCAAGACTTCTTCAGGTTGCATGAATTCCAGGAAGACATTTGTTGGGAAGGTTTCACTGTTTTGAATTTTCACTGACCTGTTTCCTTTAATAGCTTGGTTGTTGGCCCTGGCCTAATATAGGGTTTACACCTTGCTTGCCCGTGTAGCCATGGTGATGCTGAAACTAATACAGAGAGGATGAACAGGAGTGTAGGGCCTCAAGGTTGATCTTCTCTGTTTCTCCTTGTATGGCTGTCATCAGAAAGATGGCTGCCATTTTGGGAGACAGGAGTTTATATATGAATGAGGAAGGTGACGTTTGAAACCACTTGTGGCTTCGTGGTAAATTGAACTGAGGCCTATTTGAACGCTAACTGTGAAGAGAGCCATGACAAATTCACCATCGTACATTTTGTTCCAGTGTTTTGTGAGCTTTTATCCAAATCATGTGCCTTTTACTTAAACCACAAAGCTTTAAGATGGTCCTAACAAGAACAAAAAGGCTTATGGCACAATATTTTATGGATGACGCCACGCCTGGTGAATTCTCCAAAACGATGTCCATGTGCATAAAAAAAGCCCCAGGAAAAAAATGCCTGCTTGTATAAGAAATTAGCCATGTACCTGAACTTCAGCAAGGAGGATACCTGTCTAATCTCAGTTGATAGGAAGTTTCACAGGCCCACTAAACTGAATTCACCACATTATTGTTAACAACATGGGGGACCCTCCCACCTGCCACCTTCTTTCATGGTAGGTGGAGGAAATACCGTATTTTTTGCTCTATAAGACTCACTTTTTCCCTCCTAAAAAGTAAGGGGAAATGTGTGTGCGTCTTATGGAGCGAATGCAGGCTGCGCAGCTATCCCAGAAGCCAGAACAGCAAGAGGGATTGCTGCTTTCACTGCGCAGCGATCCCTCTTGCTGTTCTGGCTTCTGAGATTCAGAATATTTTTTTTCTTGTTTTCCTCCTCCAAAAACTAGGTGCGTCTTGTGGTCTGGTGCGTCTTATAGAGCGAAAAATATGGTATCTTTTGGAGGCTTAGGAACATAGGAAGCTGCCTTCTACTGCGTCAGACTGCAGCTCAGTATTGTCTACCCTGATGCACAGCATTTCTTCAGGGTTTCCAAGACAGGCTTCTCTCCCAGGTCTACCTGCATTCAAAGCAGATGATCTACCCCTGAGCTAAGGCCTCTTCCCTGATGCTCCCAGACGCTGAGTTCTCATAACAAATCTATTTGCTCGTCACAATTTATGAGACGCCAGTCATTGCAAAGCAGTCCTGAGGCAACTGTCTGAGGCCTAATCCAGGCGCCTGAAGAACCAAAGGAGCCTTTTCCTTTCAGCTTCCCTGGATGTTCTGCCAGTCCAGTAATAATAACCAGCAGCAGATGTGAATCTTTCATGGCGTGCGAGAGAAAGGGCTGGGTTGGGGATTGCAAGGCACATTCATGGTCCACCCCAACCCCCCTTGAAGATAGATCTCTCAGCTTGGAGCCAGTTTCTTGAAAAATGAGAAAAGTTTTCTCTAGTGTACATGTTTAACCTTCTTTTCTTTTGCCATCAGGGGAGACTGGCTCCACGTTGCTTTGTGTTACCCAAAGGGAACAGCGTTCACTGTTGTGGGGGACATTTACCAGCGGCAGACGGGGAGAGCGCACAGCGTCATGCGCTACCAGGCAGCCTCATCCCACCATAGTGTGCTGAATGGGACTGATGAACGGCTCTTTTATTTCGACAACACATCAGGGTGAGTGATCCTGTCTACCTGGCACCGTTTCCTTTGCCGTTAGTACTGCCAGTGAGTTGCCAAGACCTGTATTGCATGCACCTAATCCCTGTCATCTGAGAAAACATAAAGAAAAGAACATAAGCTGCCTTATACTGAGTCAGCCTGTTGGTCCTCTCCATGGTTTCAGATATAATAATAGTAATAATTTATTATTTATACCCCGCCCATTAAAATACTGTAATCCATCAAACATTAAAAGCTTCCCTAAACAGGGCTGCCTTCAGATGTCTTCTAAAAGTCTGGTAGTTGTTGTTCTCTTTGACATCTGATGGGAGGGCGTTCCACAGGGCAGGCGCCACTACCGAGAAGGCCCTCTGCCTGGTTCCCTGTAACTTGGCTTCTCGCAGTGAGGGAACCGCCAGAAGGCCCTCTGTGCTGGACCTCAGTTGTCCGGGTAGAACGATGGGGGTGGAGACGCTCCTTCAGATAGCTCTGTCAGTCCTACCTGGAGTTGCCAGGGAACCTTTTGCATACACAACACAAGTTCCACCCCTGAGCCATCGCCCTTCCCTAAAGAGCACAGATGTATCAGGTCAATCTCTACCGCCAATGGGCCATGGTTCACAGGCAAACTTGTGTGCCCTATTCCCCAGCATCACTTTCAGGGGCCTGTGTGTCAGGAACTCCTGCATGGGCGGTCTTCTCCATTTGCATTGGTGGAGAATCTATAGCAGAGAAATCCCCTCTGTGCACTGGAAGCCCAGAGCAATCGACAGATTTGTAATGTGCCAGCTATTCCATTCCAAATCTCCCTTGCTACCCCTTCTCCTAAATATAGACATGATGTCTCTGTTTCGTAGGGAGCCTTAGGGTTGCATTTTCTTCTGCCCATCCCAGAAGCTGCATTTGGAGATGTGGCTGTTTAGAAGAAGGCCATTCTTCAGAGTGGAATACTTTACTTCCACCCCATAGAAATGAATGGCACCTATTTTCTTGTGTGCCCGATAAAGTTTCAAAGAGGCAAAAGCATAGACAACACAAAGCTCTGTCTCGTTCAGCATCCTTCTTTCCACATTGGCCAACCAGTCACCTGTAGGAAGCCCACCAGTGAAACATGAAGGCGGCTTGCCTTTTCCTGCTGCTGTTCCCCAGCATCTGATATTCAGAGATGCACTTCATCTGAAGGTGGAGCTTCCATTAACAGCCTTTTCCTCCATGAATATGACCAGAAGGGCTGTAGTTCATTGGTAGAGCAGTTTCCTCGAAGGCAGAAGGTCTCAGGCTTAGTCCCTGCAGTATCCCCAGGTAGGTCTGAAACCCTGGAGAGCTGCCAGTCAGTGTAGACAATACTGAATTGGTTGCTCAGTAGTCTAGCTATGTTCTTTTGTCTTCCTAGCTTTGAATGCCATTTATTTATTTAAGCTGGTGACCATCACCACTTTGAGTATATTGAATCTGATGTGAGATGCCTAATCTGGGTTCAAACGTTTGCAATAAACTTTAGATGGAAAAATGGTCTCCTGTCCATTTTTCCATCTAAAGTTTATTACAAACATTTGAACCCGGACCACTACATTTCCTACTCTTTAAAGGTAAAGGGACCCCTGACAGTTAAGTCCAGTTGCAGACGACTCTGGGTTTGTGGCGCTCACCTCGCTTTACTGGCCGAGGGAGCCAGCGTTTGTCCGCAGACAGCTTTCCGGGTCATGTGGCCAGCATGACTAAGCCACTTCTGGTGAACCAGAGCAGCTCACGGAAACGCCGTTTACCTTCCCGCCAGAGCGGTACCTATTTATCTACTTGCACTTTGATGTGCTTTCGAACTGCTAGGTTGGCAGGAGCAGGGACTGAGCAACGGGAGCAGACTCTGTCGCAGGGATTCAAACCGCCGACCTTCTGATCGGCAAGCCCTAGGCTCTGTGATTTAGACCACAGCGCCACCCGCATCTACTCTTTACTTAGCCTTTAATAGTTCCCCCTGCTTTCGGTATGCTGAATATATTTTAGCATAACAATGAATTAAGTATCTCTTTTTGCTGTTTTGTATGCTTTGGGTTGTATCTGATATTTGTCATGCTCTTGAGATGACCCACTGACATTAATGGATGTGACTAATTTAGCTCCTGCTCATTTCAGCGGATCCATTCAGAGTATAACAAGTCCATGTTTAGTGTGTGTGTGCATGCACGTGCCATTGGACAGAATTAGGGTGATAATGATAATATTGAGCATTTGTATAGTCCATCAAAGTGTTTAGAGTCTTTCGCATGCATAGTCTAGTTGCAATCCTTACAGCTACTGCGTAAGGTAAAACAGTAATATTATTTTCCATATTGCAGAGTTTGGGGATGGAACTGAAGCAAAGAGGGCTTACCTAAATCTATTACTGAGTTCATGGCAGAGATGAAATTTGAACTGGGGACTTCTTGTTTTGGAGGGAAGTTTCCTTAGCATTCCCCCAGCATTCAGTAGGGTCTCACTTGACTTCCCTGGTGTCTCAAGACATTAAAAGCCGTGCATGCTCCTATTTTGTGTAGGCTGGGAGCTCATTCTTGTCCATGCTAAAATGTAACAGAAGATCACGGTTTTAATATGTATTAAAACTGTCTTAGTGATGGTGCAAGCAATAAAGATTAGTACATGGGTAGGCAAACTAAGGCACGGGGGCCGGATCTGGCCCAACCACCTTCTAAATCTGGCCCACGGACGGTCCAGGAATCAGCGTGTTTTTACATGAGTAGAATGTGTCCTTTTATTTAAAATGCATCTCTGGGTTATTTATGGAGCATAGGAATTCGTTCTTTTTTTCTTTCTTTCAAAATATAGTCCTGCCCCCCACAAGGTCTGGGGGACAGTGGACCGGCCCCCTGCTGAAAACGGTTGCTGACCCCTGGATTAGTAGTTACTCTGCTAATAAACCTGTATTAGCTCTAAGCTAGCATAGGGCACACTAAGGTGGCTTATGCCAACTTAGACTATTGGTCTGCCTGCCTCTGTCCGCACCTAGGCTGCCAAACAGGGATTTCTTCCGTGTCTATCTGGAGATGCTGGGGACTGAACTTGCATGCATAGCATGTGATGTACCACAGAGTTACTGTGCTTTCCGTACGGCCCCAGTGCTATCATGGCCTATGTGCTGAACATGTGTTTATTTATGTGTCCCCAAGCTCAGTTATGAACTTTTGGTGCTTCTCTGGTATCAATAATAAAGAAGCTTACTAATAATAGTAACAGCTACATATGTTTGGTCCACAGTGTAAACCACATGCTTGTAGTTAAATTTTTATTTTTAAGCCCACTGTGACTGGAGGGGAGACAATAGAATCATCTGCTGAAGTCGGGTTTGGGGGTTTTTTTAAAGGGCAAATGTACACCGTGTTCAAAAATGTATTTTCTGCATCTGCATTGCTTCACTCTGACCACGGAAGCTGTGTTCGATTTGTGAATGCCGAGTTAAAAATAGAACCTTGAGTTCTATGTTTAGACACAACACCATTGACCCATCAAGGCTTGGAGTGCATTGCATGTCCCAGATCGGAAAGGACTCTCTTGTACCTGCAACTTTCACAATGAGAATTGGGAAAGGCTTGTTTTTGCCTAGTCCTTCCTTGTAGAACTGTATGTCGCGTTATCCCAAATTATGTAAACTTGTTGTTTACCAGCGTGTGGATTTTACTAGTTGCAGTTATTTATGAGGACGTGTCATCTGTTGTCCTTAAGAGCTCAGCACATGGATTTGATTATTACTTTTATTTATTTTGACTGTGATCTGAATGGAATCCCAGGGTTCAGCAAGTTTACTAAGTAGCAGCAAATTACGGCTGGTTTCTTTTCTTTTTTTTTAGGTTAACAGAACCAGGTGAGATTTTTTTTTTGTAGCTTATGTTGAGAGTGAATCTTCCTTTCACTTTTTTCAGGTACATCTTAATGCATGCTAATAATCGATAACACTATTAATTGCTTTAAATCAATAAGCGATATTTTTTAAAAGAGTATTAAATTATCATTATTATCTTACTCATCCTTCACCAAAAGGTCTCATGGCAGGTTATAGCACATAAAAACAAAACGCAAACCATAATCCCCAAATCAGTCGCCCATGCAACACTTTACAGCAAGGACACTGAAATCAATTCTTCGATTTTTAAGGGTCAAGATAAAGAGGTGCATCTTCAGCAGCCAGCAGGAGCTGAAAAGAGGTGGTGCCAGGTGTCCCTCTATGAGGAGGGAGTGCCACATTTTTGGAGCCATCACTGAGAAGGCCCTGGCATAAACTACTGTGCGCTCTGCCCTCCATGCTGAACTTCCAGGATGTTGTTACTGCTGATCTTAATCCCTAGGCTGGTCTATAGGGAAGGAAACTTCTTCCTATGTATCGCTAAGAGAAAGAGTTTCAAACTGGGAAGTCTCTGGGTTTTAATTTTGCTTCTACCATGAACTCACTAAGGATGAAGCCTAGGTTCAAGATGATGCAGCAAACCAGATTCAGGTTTGTTTTGTCTACACTGAGTCAGCCACAGGAGTGGAGGAGGAGTGCTGCAGGAACTCTCTGAGTTGCATGCAACAGCACACTGCTGCTCATTCACACTAAACCATAGCTTTGCTTTAAACTACGGTTTAGTGTGACGTGTGAACTTGACTAGCAACTGTGGTTCAATTTCCCCCCTTTGTCATGCTCTTCATATTAATAGGTATCTCTTTGTCCAACTTCAAGCACATGAAATTCGGAAGGGCCACAGCTACTGCTCTCAACGCGGCTGCGAACGCCTTAAGATAACAGCCTCGATGCCTGCGGGACGTCCCTGGAGTTGTGCTCCCAATCCCTTTTGGGAAAAAGACATCGGAAGGAAAGCTTCACAGCCCGCAAGAATTCAGCACCAGACTATGCCTTGCAGTCAATGTGGGGCTCCTTGGGTACAGTATAGAGTTCTTCTTTCATTGGGTGAATTGGGACAAGGATAGGTGTTCTATGGGAATTCTTGGGGAGAGGTCCCTGGCTCCCATTGTCCCTCCCTCACATTGAGGCCCATTCTGACCAAAATGCCTGGTTCTTAAGCTGGGGCCTCAGTATAACAGTCTAATACAGTCATACCTCATGTTACGTCCACTTCATGTTACGTTCTTTCAGGTTACGTCCTGCGGCAACCCGGAAATACCGGAAAGGTTTCGCCGCTTCTATAGGACACAGGGTCCCCTATACAGTGGTACCTCCGGTTGCGAACGGGATCCTTTCCGGAAGCCCGTTTGCAACATGAAAAGAGTGCAACCCGCAGCGGCGTGTCTGCACACGCGCGGGTTGCCATTCACCGCTTCTGGGTTTCGTCGCTCACGCATGCACAGAAGCACAAAATGATGTCACGTGCATGCGCAGAAGTGGCAAATCGAAACCCGCGCGTGTGCAGACGCGCCGCTGCGGGTTGCTCTCTTTTCATGTTGCGAAAGGGCCTCCGGAACGGATCCCGTTCACAACCAGAGGTACCACTGTATAGGGGATCCTGTGTCCTACTTTAGAGAACAGTCTTCCATAGTAAGGGCTGAACAATCCCAAGTCCTGTTTTAAGATGCAAAACCAGTAAAAGGGAGGGGAGAGTAAGTTTTCCTTCAACACTTAGCAGCACTTGAACTGAGCAGACAGTAACCAAAGGCTACTGAAGCGGTTTGCAGTAAAATAAGATGAGATGCAAAAGACGACTGACTCAGTAAAGAAAAAGCCATAAAACCATTTCTACAATTGCTGAATTTTTGTTTGTTTTTTCATAAAATGACTGGGTCAACCTTCAGTAGCAGCCTTCTTAAGCAAACGTCTTCAATAGCGGCCTAAATGTCAAAATACGAGGTGCTTGTCAAATTTTAGTTGGTAACTGATTCCAGAGGATTGGAGGTGCAACACTAAAAGCCTGGCATCTAGTACGTACCAAGGACACTTTTGGGGCATGTGTCACCCCTAGCAGTACCCCAACTGCAAAGTGCAGGGATATGTTGTCCGCTGCTACTCTCCTGGGCTCCAATCCCTGTAATTTCATCCTGAATATTACTGAAAGTTTTTTTTTTAATAATTTCTAGAATAGTTGTGCAAACTATACTTCCCTTTCTCTATTGTACATGGGAAATTTCCTTTTGTTGTAGCCAGACAACAGCCCATGAGAACTGTATTTTATACAGAAGAATTGCAAGTGCATCCTAAATATATAATCTGTGGAAAATACCTTGCTTGCAAGCTCTTAGCAAATGTAATTAAAATTCCTTTGGAAACTTGAGTCCCAGGCAATTAACAGTTCTTCTGATTCAATAATGCAGTACAGCTAATCTCCTCATGCTAATCCGAGCAAGCTCCTGTTATTCCTGGAACCTTTTATTTATTGAACTAAATTTACAAGAAATAATTGGAATTGTTAGTTAAAAACATTTTACAATAATAAAAATTAACTGTAAAAAAAAAGATTAAATCACTTCAACATCTATGTGGATAGGCTTGCCTGAACGAAATTATTTTAAGCAGGTGTTGAAAGTGCATAATGAAGACGCCTTCCTGGTGTCACTAGGCAGGGAGTTCCAAAGTGTAGATGCTGCCACCCTTAAAAAAAACTAATTTCTTACAAGTGCGGGACAAGTAATATATGGCACCTGTAAGAGCGCCAGCTCCACATATCAAAGAAGTCAAGTGAGCACATAAGGGGGTCAGGCAATCCTGCAAGTAATTGTATTTACAGTTATCACTCCAAGTTGACAAATTGTTAAAAGATTGTTCTCTCCTCCCTGCACCTTACACTTGTGAAAACAACCCAAGGTGGTAATTACAGAATATCATTCTTGTACTGATCCTTAGCTTGCTACAATCATCAGAGATATTTCTTAGCCTTTCTGCTTTTGTCATTTTCTCCCCCGTCCCGCATCTCAGAGTTCGTTGCTTGAAAGGCAGGACCTCCCATTGCTATGGCAGACTGAAGATTATCCAGAGTCAAACTGGTCTTTGGTTTTCCCCTCCCTCGTCTTGTGCTGAGGCCTTTTCCGTAGGCCCTATTAGCTAGAGACACGGTGTGGTGGGGTGTTGATCCAGTGGTCTCCTTTGTGTATCCCGTGACCCTCCGCCTGATTTCAGAAAGCTCTCTGCAAGTGATAAGTTCAGACCTCTGTGTGGGGTGGAAAGGGGCTTGAGGCAGAAAAAGAAACAGCAGGCTTTGGCTGTGTACACACTATGCCTTGAAAGAACATCCTTTCCTCAAAGAATTCTGGGCACTGGAGTTTAAGGGTTGCTGGGAACGCTGGCGGAGGAAGAGGAGTGCGGGGGGAGCGCAGCGCCCCCGGCAGCGCAACCCCGGTAGGGTGCATCGTGGCTGCCCCCCACCCGCGCTGGGTGCCATGCCCCCAGGATGTGCGCCAGCCCCGCCTGCTCTCCGCCCCCTGGTTCCAGAACATGAAGCTCCGCCACTGGCTAGGAATGGTAACCCCTCTGTGAGGGGCAAACAACAGTACCCAGAATTCTTTGAGGGAGAGAATGTGCTTCCAGTGTGCTCTAATGGTATAGTTGTGTATGCAGCCAGAGAGAGAAGGTGGGCTCACCCACTACTGGGCTTAGCCCTGTCTGTGGTTGGCATTCGACCCCTGACTGATCATCCTTGAAGGAATGCAGCCCGTGAGAGAAAAACAGTGCCCACCCCTGCCCTACAGGGAAACAGTGTGCTCTGCGGCTGCCATGAGTGTCCCAAATTGCAGTTGCGCAAAATTGCCGCCCTTAAACCATCTGCAGAATGATGCACCCTCTGACTTCATTTTTAGGAATATAATTGCCACTTTCGGTCATTTGAAAGGCCTAGTGTTTTGCCTCCTATGCAGATATTGGGTGTGGGGGGAGGGACTTGCATGAGGGAGCCACACAACAAATGCCCCTATTGGCCTGCCCCCAACACTCTGTGAATCCCATGCATATCCTGGTGTTAAGTCCCTAGAGCTTGCTGACAAATTTTCCAGTCTGTACAGGAGTCTGTAAACTTGGTTCCTCCATATGTGACAGAGTATAAATGCAGATACTGTCATATGTGTGGTATAACTATTGTGCAGAGGCAACCAGTTCATAAAACCAGTGCCTTTATGTGATCCTTTGCTTGGTTGCAAGCATTTTGGGGGTGGGTGGGGCTGCACTGCTAGACACACACCCCTGCAGGCTGTTGCATGTGGTCTGCCAACCTTTTGAACCGAGCTGTTTTCTCTTGAAGTCTCCCAGCAACTGTGAATGAGGTCGTCACCCTGACCACAGGCATTCCATCCCATGTACTAATAGCAAATGCATTTTCTCTCGGCGCGAATCCTCTTGTAGCCAAAATGGCATACAGGAGGGGGAGGTATCCACAGGCTTCGGGGGAACCCCAAGGGATTTGCAGAAGCACAAAAAGATAAAAATGGTGAGGAGGGAGAACTGTCAAATAGGGGTAAAGAGGACTGAGCGTGCTCAGTGGCATTGACGGTTGGGGGGGCAGCAGATACAAAACAAGGGGGAGATAATAGGATGGAGTATCTTGGGAAAGTCCATGATTGTCTGGACCCCTGAACAGGAATATGGTGGACGCTAAGGTTGCGAACGTGATCCGTGCAGGATGCACGTTCACAACCCGCAGTAGTGCGTCTGCGCATGCGCAGGTTGTGATTTGGCGCTTCCGCGCATGCGCAAAGCCACTCCCGAAATAAGGAGGGGGGGTTGCGGGCTCACACCCCGCCTACATCCTCGCGGGGCTGGCGGCAGTCCCGCGGGACTCAGGGAATTCCCAGTCATCAATATTCATTAGTCACTCCGCCAGCCAATCGGCTGGCAGTGGGGGTGGGCTTACTAGGGGGCAATTTAAGGTTGGGGCAGCCCTAGCTCGCCCCTTTCCTTCCTTCTAGCAGCTGCAGTTTCCCACCCACCCACCCTCTAGGACTTTGCTATGGGCTTCAGCTGCAGTTTCCCACCCACCCACCCTTTGGACTTTGCTATGGGCTTCGGCTGGTCGCCGTAAGGGGCCTGGTAGGAATTTTTCCATTTGGCTAATTGGCTGTACTTTGGAAGCCACTTGGTATTTCGCCTACCTCGTAGCAAAACGTCACAACACCTTTGGTTTTGGTGGTTAGGCATTGGCAGGGGAATTATTATTATGCAAATGAGTTGGGGGGGAGGAACGCCATCACCTCCCCCAAATGTTGAAGGGTAGTTCGTTAAAGGACTCCGGGGGGCGTCGCCTTGTCCGAAACCTACGGAGGCTAGGGCCTAAAGCGCGCTCCTGAGCGGTAACCCCTTGGGGAGCGCCTAGGGATGTGCATCTCGGGGGCTCCCCCTGTTGGTGCTTAACCCTTCACGGTTTTATACCGATAGTCTGATAGGGCCAATGCCTAAAGCCAATACCGCTCTTTCCTGTAATCAATAAAGTTGTGGCCATTTTTTGCCCATTAACCTTAATTCTGGTGTCCGGTGTCTTTATTTACTCTATCTGTGGGAAGGGGCGGGTATTGCCACGCAAAGCGTGATTTAGCGCTTCTGCACATGTCTGACTGCCGAAACCTGAAAGTAACCTGTTCTGGTACTTCCGGGTTTCGGCAGGTCCGTAACCCAAAAAAACGCAACCTGAAGTGTCTGTAACCTGAGGTATGACTGTACTCCACAGTGTGCCATTTTGCTACAGGTTGACCTCCAAGGGCTGTCTCTTGAGCTGAGTACACACCATGCATGTAAATCACACTTAAAGCACATCTAAAGAACACCCTATACTGCTCCCAAGAATTCTGAGAGCTGTAGTTTAAGGGTGCTGGGAATTGTAGCTCTGTGAGGGAGAATTCTTTGGGTCAAGTCATGTGCACACTTGGAAGTATTTTCTTTTATTTTTGCAGCTAGGCCTGTGTTCAGCCTTTTCTAGAGTAGCCATTCATGGTTCTCCACTGCTTGAAATGGTTTTTATATTACCGCACACCACCATGATATTTTACGAGAGGAACAGCACATAAGCACTTTCATTCAAAAATAAAACAATTTGTTTCCAGCTGTTGGCCGCTGAGGGAGTTACTCTCCCTGAAATTTGTCTGTCTCTCAGGCTCAAGGTAGCTTTCAGCAGTGTTGATTTATCTCAGTCCTTGGTGATGATTCCTGCCAACCCCAGCCAGCGTAGTCCAATGGTTCGGGGGGGTGTAATGGGGGTCCTAGGGACGCGGGTGGTGCTGTGGGTTAAAGCCTCAGCGCCTAGGACTTGCCGATCGAAAGGTCGGCGCTTTGAATCCCCGCGGTGGGGTGCGCTCCCGTTGCTCGGTCCCAGCGCCTGCCAACCTAGCAGTTCGAAAGCACCCCCGGGTGCAAGTAGAGAAATAGGGACCGCTTACTAGCGGGAAGGTAAATGGCGTTTCCGTGTGCTGCGCTGGCTCGCCAGATGCAGCTTGTCACGCTGGCCACGTGACCCGGTAGTGTCTTTGGACAGCGCTGGCCCCCGGCCTTTTAAGCGAGATGGGCGCGCAACCCCAGAGTCGGACACGACTGGCCCGTACGGGCAGGGGTACCTTTACCTTTACCTTTAATGGGGGTCCTTGCCTGACAACATATGGGAGCTTGCAGGGTTTCACACTGTAACATCCCAAGGCAATGAATGTTGTGTGTTTAATCTGAGGTGGCAATTCTTCCTTTATAATTGCAGGTTGCTGTTACTAGTACACCTTCAGTTAGATACCTTCGGATCCAAATCCAGTCTGTCAGAAGAGCAAACCTGGAGAACTACTCAAAGGCGGCTTTTATTAAGGTATGTGCAAATAGGTATGGCAGCTTTACCAAATGCATTACAGTGAGAGGCAGAGGGTTATAGTCGTTTAGAGGGTCATATTCAGGCCTGGGAAAAGTGAGCAGTTGTTATCTCTCTGCCTAGCTTTCGTGTGCATGCACACTTCTTCAGATACAAAGAAGTGTATCTGAAGAAGTGTGCATGCACACAAAAGCTCATACCAATAACAAACTTAGCTGGTCTCTAAGGTGCTACCGGAAGGAATTTTTTTATTCTGTTGTGATTTTTGCATCGCACACACGCTTCGCGATACATTGCCAGGTCAAAAATTATGAAACCGATATCATGATATGGACTTCAAACTAGCTTTGGATGATATAACCCCACCCTCACCAAGATGGCTGGAAGGATAAATGGGTGGGGTCTGATGTGCACCAGGGATGGGCCACCTGTGGCCTTGCAAATGATGATGGACTCAGCCGCCCCCCATCACCAGTGGTTGGGGATGATGGGAGTTGTAGTCCAGCAACTTCTGGAGGGGTTCTCAGTCCTTGTTCCATTCGGATTCCGTTCTTAGACCGAGGTAAAGCTCTCAAACCGGGACACTATTTCCAGTTTTGCGGAGTTTGTAAACCGAATTGTTCTTAAACAGGACTGTTCTTAAACCGAGGTACCATTGCAACACACAAATTTCCCAGACTGTTCCTTGCATTTGACAAGAGCTTAGTTTAGTTAAGTTCCAACTGTAGACTGGAAACTGCCACATAGGACCCTTTGATATTTGCATACAGACTGCCTGCAGCTAACTCTTCCCTTTTCTGTGTTGCAGGTCAACGATGACCTTTTCTTGTTCCATGGCCAGGGGATACTTTTCCTGGTTCTAGACGCATGCTCGGGCGCAGTTGTGAGCCGGCAGCATGTTGATGCAGCCGCCGCTTCAAAGGCTGCCAGCACCGTAACCAATTATGTTGAAACAGCTATAAACGAGAGGTGGGTGATGGGGCAAGAGTTTGCTGCATGGGGGTGGGGGTTGGCAGGAGGGAAATGACCTACTTTTTTGCAACTTGAAATGTATGCCTGGAAGAATCTGACGGAAGCTAATGAAAACTTCAAACTATGTGTGTCTCAAAAGGCTGCCTCCTAGGTCACGGCGGGTGGAAATGTAGCGGTGGAAAGCTGGCAGCGACATAGGAGCTGGCAGCCACTGTAAAGTTAATGGCTGCTTTTCCACCAAACAATAGATAAGAATGGTTTTTTGTCGTCTTATTAAGCATTCTCGATTCTGTAGCTTTCACCAAGTGCCCAAGTCTGTAATTTCCCAGCAGCCAATAATTCTCTCTCTCTCTTTTTCTTTTCCATTTCTGAATCTTGTCCTATTTATTCCTGCCAGGTTCCCTTTTCTCTCTCTCCCTCTCTTTTTTGACAGATTAGAATCAGAGGTACTGTGCTGCTAGACTTTCCAGTAAAACTTGGTGTGAGATTTCCCCCACCCCAACCCCATTTTCTCTCCCCCCCCCCCAGCTTTCTCCTCTTTTTTAACACAAGTTGCCGACTGGACTTGCCCCGTCCGTCTGCCCTGTGGAGTCTTTTTGCAACTTGGATGTGGAGCGGTACCCTCTCCCTTTCTGCATCTGTTCCACATTCCTTGTGGTTTCTTCTGCGTCGCCACATAAACATGGAACAACAGAGGTTTATAGACACACACACAAAAAACCCTGGCTGCAGGCAAAAGCAGGTCAAATAACCTGAAAACAGATTTCTCGTCCAGGACGTTCCAAGGCAGTTCATGGCCGCAGACCTGACTCATCTGCAGCTATCACATCTCAGTGTATAACTTGCAGTCATGAGGGGTTGGAAGCACTTATTATAGTGCAATTTGCCCTTGACATGCATTCTGTAGCAACGCTGATGAGGGTTTTAAATCCAACTATAAAGGGTTGTGTTCCACAACAGAGCTTCCCCTCTTGGGCACCCTTGGCATACATCACACACACACCCCTGGCCCAAATTTGCTCCAGAGGGTTTGGGGAACTTCCAGAGCAGATGTCAGGGCGAGGGAAGAGAAATTCCATTGTATAAGCAGAACCTGTGGCTTTTCGAGAAGCAGTCCCCACTGATGAATTTAAGGCAGATGCCAGCGCTTTGGGGATTCTGACTGCTTTTGAAGACATAGGTTTGTCGCCAGCTAAGTTCTACTGAGAGTATTGAATCTGGTCATGCTCATTAATTTCAATGGATCTACTCTTTAGTATGAATAAAGTTGGACACAACCCATTTTTATTCTGCTAGGCTTTTCTAGCAGGATAATCCTGGCCTGGTTGCTATTTATTCTGGAACTGTATAATGTTGTTTTAATAGGACTTCATCTGGTTATTGCTATTGTGTTATATTTATTTATGTTTTGTGCATCACTTCAATGTTCTTTTGGATATTTATTATGATGATTTATTATCGCTCACTGGGGCAAGATAGCTTGAGCATCCTGGCTTGAATGCAATGGCTGCCAATTAGTTTCCAGGCCCAATTCAAAGTGCTGGATTTGACCTATAAAGCCTTAAATAGCTCAGTACCACAATATCTCAAAAGCTGCCTTTTCCCAATATGACTTGACCCAGTCCCTGCAATCATCACCTGAGACCCTTCTTCATATGTCTCCTCTACAAGAGGCCCAGAGGGCGCCAACATGAGACGGGGCCATTTCTGTGGTGGCTCCCCTCTTGTGGAATGCTCTCCCCAGGGAGGCTTGCCTGGTGCCTTTGTTCCATATCTTTAGTTGCCAGGCAAAAACGTTCCCCTTCTCTAGGCCTTTGGCTACTTAAACAATCTATGGCCTTTTAAACCGTGTGTGGAGGGGGTTATTGTTTTTCTTGGCTATTATGGTATGTATTGTTGTGGTAAACCACCCTGTGATCTTCAGCTGAAGGGTAGTACAAAAATTTAATTAATAATAATAATAATAATAATAATAATAATAATTAATAATAATAATATATCCTGCCGTTGCTCCCAAAGGAGCCCATAGCAGCAAGCAATTAAAACTGCAGCAGCAGCATCATAGTTGTTGCTGCCGTTGTCAATTTTCACATTTATTGCACATTGCAAACACTATTTGTTAATAAAGGCTACTAACATCTTATGAATAGGTGCCTGAGATGATGTTATGTAACCTGAGGGATTCGAACTCGTGACTTCCCAGGTTAAAGCCCATGCAGTATTTGCTGCTTTGTACTAATTCTAAGACACGGGTGGCGCTGTGGGTTAAACCACAGAGCCTAGGACTTGCTGATCAGAAGGTCGGCGGTTCGAATCCCAATGACAGGGTGAGCTCCCGTTGCTCGGTCCCTGCTCCTGCCAACCTAGCAGTTCGAAAGCACGTCGAAGTGCAAGTAGATAAACAGGTACTGCTCCAGCGGAAAGGTAAACGGCATTTCCATGCGCTGCTCTGGTTCGCCAGAAGCGGCTTAGTCATGCTGGCCACATGACCCGGAAGCTGTACTCCGGCTCCCTCGGCCAATAAAGTGAGATGAGCGCCGCAACCCCAGAGTCATCCGTGACTGGACCTAATGGTCAGGGGTCGCTTTACCTTAATAATTGCCTTACTAATTATAAGAAGTACAGCCTTGTTACATGCCGCCTTCCTTCTAAGAAGATCAAGGCAGCAAGTATAGGCTTAGCCAATTTTGTCCTCATTAACAACCCTATGAGGTTGACTAGGCTGAAATTCAGTGACTTGTCCTAAAACACCCACTGGAGTTTGTGGATGAGCAGGAACTTTTGTCTGAATGTCCAACACCAGCCTTTATATAATCCTTGCAGTTGTGGGGGCAGGATGGGAGGGAAAGTTTTTGTCATGCGAGAGGTTTCTTTTGTTGGTCTGGCTTGTAGTGTTGGCCTGTCATTCCTTGCTTTTTAGCCAGAACTTGTTGGTGACTCAGTGGGAGCTGGGGCAAGGCAGAGGCGGAATGTAAAAGGTGTTAAGATCCTGTGGGAGGAACCAGATATCACAATTCTGGTTCAGAAACCACATTAGGCAGCTATACAAAGCTTCGGGGAGAAGGATATAAAAGGTTAAGGAAGGCCTAACTCTTCAAGATTGGGGGAGAGACTGCCTTTCCCTGGGGGATTGAGGAAGAAGGGGTTGTAGCACTGAGGGCTGTCTTGTCACCAACATTATTATTTTTAGTCACTTTATCATTTAAATTCATATATTGCATACGTGCCAAAATGGCTTCTAAGATGTTTACAACAATAATAATAAAAAATCAGACATGATTAAAATACACAAGAAAACATCCTTCATTAAAATATCCAATGAAATAAGCTACTTGAAAAGCATAACAATTCACACAACAGGCTCAGAAGGTCAAGTTCAGAGGTATGCTTGCCCTAAACAGAGCCGGTGGCATGCCAGTGGTGATGGGCAGGATGGACTTAGCAGAAGTTAGGGCAGTAGTAAAGAGTGTGAGTGCAAGGGAGAGACTCTCTGAGATTTGTGACAACTGGCTGGCTAAATCCCTGCTTTATATACCTGACATTCTTGTTAAGTTAAGATTGTGACACACAATCTTAAGAGCTCCCGTCTGCATACCAGGCGACCAACCGGAAGTTCGACACACTCCCTGTCTTATTGCTGCTGTGGGCTAAGTGGAGCTTATGCTTATCTCTTCATTCTGGGGGTCATCTTGTGTAAGACGTTCCTTGAACTATTAAAGATTCCTGGGGAGAGAAAGAGGGTGCCATTCTTCCCCTTGTGGTATGCATGCTACTGTTCTCTTCTCTTCTTCTCTTCCAGATCTATTGTACTTGTGTGTGCTAGAGACCCTGCCAAAGTCATGGGAACCTCTTTAATGCCTGTGTTCACCACGTTAGGTTCTGCAAAGCCAATTGCGTTCCACAAAAAAGGTGACTATATGAATTATGTGACTTTACATATGGTGAAATACAGTGGTACCTCGGGTTAAGTATTTAATTCGTTCTGGAGGTCTCTGCTTCCTGCTACTTACCTAGTTCTTGATCCACAAAAGTACTTTGTCTCCTATTCCATGACTTCTGGAAGCAGAGAGGAAGAAGAAATGGACAATACTCCCAATGGAGGAATGTATAATGTGTCTAGAACATGGATTGCTTTTTAACTTGTTTGTAAATGATCTCATGCTTTAAAAGAGGATTATACAAATTCATGGAGGATGAATGCCTGCTAGCCATGATGGCCTCCAGAGTCAACGACAATGTGTTTCTGAATATCGGTTGCTGGAAACCACAGGAGGAGAGCGCTCTTGAACTCAGGTCCTGCTTGCAGGCTTTCCTTGGGCATCTGGTTGGCCACTGTGAGAACAGGATTCTGGACTAGGTGGGCTGCAGGCCTGATGGAACAGGTTTTTCTTGTGTTAGATGTATGGTGCAGATGTAGCCTTTGTCACCTTCCATTTAAAAAAATAATAATTTCAGTATAATGGGAAATTCTGTAGTTCAGAAGCAAGTATGTAAGAAAAGGTGACATGGGCTTTTTGTGGTTGTGGTTCAGTATTGATCCTATTTAGTGAAAACCATTTCCAAAGTGCATGGAGAGCATTTTTAAGTGACCTTTTATTCTTCACTGCTCAAGGTTAGAAACAGACGTTTCGGGAAATCAGACACATGTCCTTGTTCAGCTGTATCCTTGAAGTTGTTTTGGTAGAGGCTCGTTTTCAGACCCAAAAGGAACAGATAAGTTTCAGATTACTCCAGATGGAATTGGCTAGCCTTGACTGCCGGGTACTTGACGATGATGGCTGTCACTGCTGGCTTCAGTGAAGTGATTATTCCAAGGTTTGGTGCCACACTGGTTGCACTCGGCTCCCCAAAGGTAAACCAGAAGATGAGGCTTGATTTGCTGATTCAGATAAAGTCCATCTAATAGACAAACTGATGCCTACTGAAGTTCCTAAGTACAGCATGAAGGCAATGGGTCTCCCCTATTTTGTTGTTGTTTAGTCGTTTAGTCGTGTCCGACTCTTCGTGACCCCATGGACCAGAGCATGCCAGGCACTCCTGTCCTCCACTGCCTCCCGCAGTTTGGTCAAACTCATGCTGGTAGCTTCGAAAACACTGTCCAACCATCTCGTCCTCTGTCGTCCCCTTCTCCTTGTGCCCTCAATCTTTCCCAACATCAGGGTCTTTTCCCGGGAGTCTTCTCTTCTCATGAGGTGGCCAAAGTATTGGAGTCTCAGCTTCAGGATCTGTCCTTCCAGTGAGCACTCAGGGCTGATTTCCTTAAGAATGGATAGGTTTGATCTTCTTGCAGTCCATGGGACTCTTAAGAGTCTCCTCTAGTTCTCTGTGATGGAGGTGGCAGCATGGCAGAAACTTAGTGCCCCATTGCAGAATGAACAGGGGCAGGGGCGGGGGCTCAACTATATCAGGGCTGAACTTCAGCACATTTCAAAGCGATACCTAAAGAGGGATACCTCCCTTCAGACCATTAATAAGAGTCTAAAATGACCCAGCTGCATCACTGTTCAGAAATACACTGAGTACATTATCATGTCACAGTAAACCTTAGATAATGGCTTGCTGTGAACGTGTCAGTCTTGCCTGCTAATGAGAAACAAGTCACTACCCCTGACTTACTGTTGCACCCAAGCTTGGGGAGTCAGGATTATTTTACTCAAACAAGCCATGATCTGCAAACTAGGCATATTCTCATATTACCTTACTAGGTGGAACTGAATACAGGAGTAACTCAGGAAAGTAAGTGCACCTTGGCTTTTATAATAAGGAGGACTCTCTTGTCAACAACTCACTTTCCAGTCTAGTCCCCTGAAGAGTCAGGAAGTTGAAGTCCCTTATCACTAACCTGTGTCCCGTCCGTCCTGTCCCCGTCCCCGTTGTTGGACTACAACTCCCATAATTCCTGACTACTGACCTTGCTGGATGGGAGCTGTAGTCCTACAACATCTGGAAAGCCACAAGGTCCCTACCATTGCTCTAAAGCTACAAAACCGTTTAGGGCAAGCCTTAGATATCTGTGTCGTTTAGGAACCAAAAGCTGCCTCTTCATCTCTCTGCTTGTTCCTCAGGCCAAACTGCAAAGATATGCTGAAGCATCCTTCTCTGGCATTCCAATCTGCAGCGCTTTTTCATTTGAAGTTCAAGTGCATAAGTGGAGTACATCCCAGGGGTCATGTAAGGACAAGGACATGTTAGGCCCCTCACTATTGCAGTTGGAGAAAGGGGGTGCAGGGTTTAGTTTAATTTTCTGAGTTTTTGTTTTGTTTTGTTTTCATTGCAAAATAGGACTGGGCGTTCAGTTTGAAAGGGATGTGATAAATCTGGCCTGGTGTGCAAGCAATGCCTGCTCCTGTATTATCCTTTTACTTCACTTGCCTTTGAACACCCTGAAAGCTGTTTTGCTGGAATCTGTTTCGAGAAGCCAGGCTGTGTGTCAGTAGGACTCTTCCCAGGCTGCAGTTGTACAGCTGGAAATTGCTTGTCTTTTCATAGTAACAGACTCAGTAAGACCAATCCGTTCATTCTGTAAGCATCTTTATAAAATATCCCAGTGATCTCCCAACAGGTCAGAAAAATGGTGCTTTAAATGGTATTTTGTGCAAAGGTAATTGGCATATATGCCTTATTGCACCTTGATTTTTTTCCTACAGGAATTCAGTTGAAGAAGCAGGCAGGCGATATAGCCAAATTTCACTTCTTTTTCCTTTTTCTTGTAAAAATTGTAACACTCTTTAATTGATAATGCTTTCAGTCAGCCAGCTGCCTGTGGTTCAGCTTAGTTGCTTAAGAGGTCAACAGTGGACTTGGATTTTGTTTCCAGTCAGAGATTAGTAGCGTTGTTTTGCTTTTTGATTCTGTGGTTTTCATTAGCACCACCCTTGGAAAGCTGATGCTATCGAACAAGAACTTCAGACTGAAATTCGGCCTGAAGTTTACTGTCATAATAAGGACGGATGAATCTGTTGGTTTAGTTTTTTCTCAGTTTTAAGTTCAGTTTGATGCATTTCCACACTGGCTTGCAAATTTATTTATTTATTTTAAAGCCCTCAGGAAAATTTATCAGCTTTTTGACCCTAATAAATTCATTTTTGCAAGCCATTTCCCCTAATATAATGCATTTTTTGTGTTATTTTCACAAATGCAGTGCTTTTTTTCTGGAGGAACACAGGGGTACACATACCCCTAAACATTTTGTGAATCTAACGGGAGAAGAAACTAATTTTCTTAATTTTTTTAGTTTCTTCTCTAGCACAGTGAATTGTCAATTCCATTGCTACCCCCGATGGCGGCCTCATTTCCTTTCACGGTGCTTCCTGAGTCCCAGATGGAATGAGAGTACCCCTAAACATTTTTAAGCGAAAAAAGCACTGCACAAATGTATTCATGCTTTGCCCTAGTATATACACTTTTCTTTCTCTTTGCAGCGCAAGAACAGCATTGCAAAATTCAGAGATGAGCTAATTCCGAAGGGCAAATATGTTTCAGTCTGCATAACTTTGGGAAGTGTGCATTAGATAAGTTTACCTTAAAATGCGAACTGATACAAACTTCTCCCCTATGCCTAACTTAAAAAGTAGTCATGCTGAATTGCCTCTGTCATATTGCTGAATAGTTTAGGCACAGATGAGCTAATTTTGCTCCTGGCCCTTATTGATCGCCAAGCAACTGATTGTCCTGCTTTTGCACTTGTGTGCGAGTTGTGCATTCCTACAGTATTTGGCAATACAGTATTTTCCTTTTGTAGTGAGAATACAGAGTTTAGTTCCTGGTGGGGTGGCGATTAGAAAACACATTCACAAAAAATGCCTTTGTAAGCAAAAGGCACTGGACTTGTGCTAGGCGATGCTTTCCTCAGCAGTGCATAAATTCCACAACACGGTGTTAGTGGGGCAATGTCACTCACGACTCTGAGGGCGCTTGGAGGAGGGACCACAGAGAAGGGGTGTTTAAACTTTCCCCATAGTCCGCATTCCATCCTAGACAAATTCCTGTCTGGATCATCACAGTCAGGCTGATTAAAAACCCATCCCCTGCCAGTTTGAAGGTGTGTGGTGGTATTTGCCCTCACGCTTGTTAATTACATTGTCCTACACTTTTGAAAAGGGCTGTCACATTCCACATTCGAGTGATAATGGGAGGAGGAATGCTTTCTGTATAATTACAAAACCAGGTTTTCGCCATCAGTGGATTCGTTAGGCTTAGGTTGGCATCCAACCAATATTTGCAGCGCAGTTGCGGCAACCTGCCCTTCCCTTAGGATCCTGCCCCCCTCCCTGCCATCATGCGCTGGAGTTCGTAACAGAGGTCCAAATATGCAGATCCCATTGAACCGTGGGATTTTGCAATGTTCCAATCATATGAATTCTGGCCTCTTTGGGGTATGGTGGATCATTTGCAAGTTGGAAATCCTAATACAGGAACAACAGGGAAGGCAGGGAAGTGCTGACCAAAGCAATCCTGATCTCCCTCTGTGCTTTGGCACACAGCTGTCTTTCAAAACCTCTTTGTCAATAAGTATCCCGATTTCAGTAGTGTGTGAAGTTCTTAGCATTAGCAGTCAAAGACATCTAGGTATACTTTCTCCTCTGGAGGTCTCTGGGGCGATTTCCTACCTCTCAAGATACCCATGTGATATACGAGAAGTTCATGATATCATGTTGCAATTGTGGGGCACTCTTCTAGAGAAGAGTCCTTGTAAGTACATTAGGCTACTGAGTGTGGAGAACCTGTGCTCCTCCAGGTGTTTGTGGACTTCAACTCCCAGCTAGCATGGACCATGGAGGATGGGAGATGGGAATCCAACAACATTTAGAAGGCCGCTGGTTCCCCAGCCCTACATTAGGCAAAGCATCGGTGATAGCCATACTTGTGTTGTAGGCCATTGTGTGAAAGACGTTTTGGTCCCTCTTCCCAATTTAGTTTGGGAATGGGACAGCATCTAAGCAACTCAGCATCTAGCAACTCAGTCTGCTAACAGCTGCATTTATATCCAGTAAACCAGGGCTGCATTCAACTCCATTCTTGTGCTAGCACAATGGGATTCTTCCCCACAGGTGCACAAACCGCTATGAGGCAGAGACGTCCCAGAGCCGTTCTCAATGTTGGGCGTGCTGGAGGCAGGCCAGCTGAGCCAAGCATGGCACAAACTCCTCCTGAGTGTGAGAGAGGAGGAGCTGCCAGCCATTGAAACCTCACCATGCTGGGCTCCATGCTTGGTCTCCTCCTGACAATACAACATTGTGTGTGCACCAGGTCCCCTCAATCTTGAGCACAAGGCAGCGCCTCTGTTCCCCACTTTCCCCTCCCTGCTCACACCCCAAATCTTCCCCAAATCTGCTGTAGGGGGTTTGAGGAGCCCTCAGAACAGATTTAGGGGGTGTGAGTTGGGTAGGAAAGCAAGTTCCGCTTTGGAGTAGTTAGGTGAACACTTTAAAACAGAAACTAAACATAGCTCCACACCAGGAACAGGAGTTTCTTCACGTTGCCGCTCTGCGTTTAAACGTAAGCAACTATAGCAGTCAGAAAGGGAGGCAGACCAAACAAGTAGCCTCCACTGTAGGAAAGCCTGTGGCAAGAAGCTTTCCAAAAAGTAGTAGAAAGCCGGATGGCCTTAAGACATGTGCCATGATGTCACTACATTAGTGCATGTCTTAGCCTCTGGGAAATTCCCACTGCAGGCCTCTCTGATTGGTAGTGGCAGGCAAGCTTCAGATTTGGCATGCTTCTGTCAGAGGAAAATTAAAAACAAACCAGAAATGTTGGATAACTGCTGCATATATAATCAGATTATCATATGTGACAGTTTGAGATGGTTTCTGGGGCTGGTGGGCCCCCTAGAGTCTTGTGGGTCCTAATGCACACACCCCAGATGGCCAGCATCCACAAGTGGATATTTAATTAGTAAATAAATGAGTACGTAAATAAAGAGTGCCACTCAGATGTTAAGAAATTTCCACTAATACTGGGATGAAAGCCAGTGTGGGCAATGGACTGGTACAGGAATTGGTATGCAAACTTAAGAATTGATTCACTAGCACCGGGTACGTTTATTCTGTCTGCAGTGGCGTAGCGTGGGTTGTCAGCACCCGGGGCAAGGCAAGTAATTTGCGCCCCCTAACCCGTGGATTTGCGCCCCCTAACCCTAACCCCCAGATGTTGCGCCCGGTGCGGCCGGCCCCCCCTGCACCCCCCACGCTACGCCACTGTCTGTCTGTATGATTCCATTCTTCAGATTCTGTTCAGGGGCGCTCAGATATCAGATCTGCAAGTTAACTGGCTTTAAGAAGCTAGGGCGGCAATTATGCTGAGCAATGTCCAACATGAGGGATGTTTAAAGTGTGTGCATGAGTATGTGATATGGAACCTGTGTCTGCTTTTGTCAATAGCTCCTCTCAGATGCATGCATGTATTCAAAAAGGTAAATAGAAGTTGGTTGTCTTAATATTTTGGTCCTGCTGTAAAATAAGGATTTTCTGCTTTGCTGTAATAAATAAAATTTGTATCCCTTTCGGTTATGATCAACTAATTTTTTTATTTGGCAATATAAAAGAGTTAGAGGATACAGAAATGATAATACATCTCTTAACAGTTGCTAGCATAATAATATGCCACAATTTTGGGTGTGGTGGGGGGAATATAAAGCCATTGCTAAAGGATTGGATTTAAGGGTTTGATAGCTGGTTCATACAAGAGTTAGGGGGAAGTATGCAACCTGTTTATTTATTTGAAAAACTGAGTTCTTTTTTTTATATATATATAATGGCATAATAAGTTAGAGGAATACATCTCTCTTAGTGATAATATGAACGTATCATGTAATGGTTTTATATCCATCTTTATGTCTATGTATTCTTTACTGTTTTATTTATGGGTATGGACTTTTTATGGATCTATTGTATGCATTGTTGTTTTGATATTTTCTCCTTCCATAAATACGAACCATTGTATTTATTATGAACTAAAACACAAGGTTTGAAGAAAGAAAAAAGTTGGTTATGTGGAGAACAAATCGGTTATTGATAGTTTTTTCAAGGAATTTGATCAAGACTGCACAGGAATTTGGAAAATCTAAGATTGCAAAAATTGTAAGGATTATTGTAGGTTATTTGCTTAACGGTCTGATAGTAATCGCTTCCATTCTCCCCAACTCCTTTTCTCTTTCTCTCTCTCCCTCCCTCTCCCTCTCTCTCTCTCCCTCTCCCTCTCTCACTCTCTCTCACTGTCTCTCTCACTCTCTCTCTCCCTCTCCCTCTCTCACTCTCTCTCACTGTCTCTCTCACTCTCTCCATCCCTACAGGTAGTTTTGCGATGCTTGGATATAAAGGAAACCCCACGCCCTACTGGATTAAAATCCACAACCACGCTGCTGATCAGAAATCCGCTTCTCTCCAATATTACGTGCCCCTGATGTTGAGAGAGTACAGATGCTCAGTTGATGCAACAAAACTTCAGGACTTTGTGAAAACCGAGGAAGGCAAAACTCCACAAAGGCTAGAAAACAAACACAACTGAACCACACTTTGTTCATTGGCTTGCCTGTAACGAGGGGGCATAACTCTTAGTCTTCTTGTTTTTACAAGATTGTAAAAAAAACAACAACTTTATTTTGCAGCTAATAAATATATTCTGATATGACAAAGTGGGAGGGGAAGTGTAGTTTGTGTTTGTTTGTTTTTCAGAGCCTGTACTCTTTTCGTTTCTATCCAGAATAGTGCTGTGGTTTAAGTCTGGCTGGAAGCCAGCCCTCTATCCTGGAAGCTCTGTTCTTTAATCCTAGAAATGTGGAGGTGAGGTGCAATTAATCAGTGCAAAACAAAAATGCATTCTGCATTTGCACAGAGGCACTCTTTGTTGTCATTTCAGTGTATTCCAGGACTGAATGCTGCCGTTGGCAATCTCATTATGGGGATGGGTAATGCTAGCCCAACATATATTTTTTTAATGTAGCACCTCTCCCTTTCTTCTAGTCGATGTGTGTTTTCTAAACGGCAAAATCAGGAAAATGGCAGCCCATCTTGTATCTGCTGTTTCAATTGCTTTAGTGGAAATCCAGACTAGGGATGTCAGATAATTCTGTCAAAGACTGAAATGGGAACAGACATTGCCACAATTTGCATGTTCACCCAAGGTCAGGAATGAAAATTATGCAAGCAGATATGAGCGGAATTCACTATTGTTCTTTAATCCATGAACTTAGGTAAGTAACTGTGTTTGGTGGTATTCAACTACGTTTTACTTACAGTAGACCTATTATGCTCATTCATGTCAGTGGGTCTAGTCTGAATAAAACTTAATTGAATACCACATTAGTTTTTTTATTGCCTTGGCATTTCCCTTCCATGGAAATGTGTTGAAAATTATGTCACCTTCAGCCAGAGCAGATAGCGAGACATATAATTGTGGGTTTCAGCAGAGGCTGAACTGTAGTGGAACAGAAACAGCACTGGTTGTGATGAACACAGGATAGCACAGAAATCGCTTCCTCCTTGCATCCATAATCCAGACAGTTTACATATTCTGGGCCTAAGACTAAGTTCTGATTAAGACATGCCTAGATGGAATTGCTTGCAGCAGTTCCCATAGGAACTGTCCCTATAGGATTTCCTACAAAACAAAATTACTGCATCTGGGATTCAGGCACAAAACAGTTCATCAGTGAATGGATCTAAAGCTTAATAACATACAGTATATGACAAGAACACCTTCTAAGGTGGGGAATGTCACTTTAATAATTACATTCATTGTGTTATTGGGCTGTGTGGTGTAGTGGTTAGGGTGGGACTCTAGGAAATAGGAGATCAGGGTTCAAATTATGGAACTCCCTTTGCGACCTTGGGCCAGTCACTAACCTACTTCACGGGGCTGTTGTGAGGATAAAATGAGGAGGGAGAGAACTATGTGTGCCTCACTTTGAACTTCTTGGAGGGATATAAATGTGATAATAAATAATTGTTGGTCTCAAGAAACCTCCGTTGGGTGTGGAGCTCCACTTGTAAAGCGAAATGGAAGGCGACAAACCCACTTACTTACTTGTCTAATCTCAGAGTAAAAGTTTCCTTTTTCCATTTAACTTGGCATGTGCTGTGCAGTGAACGATTATATAATTTTATCCATCTGCTTTGTGAATTCTGTGCTGGATTTGTAAGCGTTTCAGTCTGGAATAAATTGCCCTTCGCTGGGCTCAGGCTCCAGGTTCTTTATATATACCCCCACCTTCCAAGGAACACGATTCTTTCCATCCCCATTTTGACTTCAGAACAACACTGTGAGGTAGTTTAGGCAGAGAGAGAAGGGTGGCCACTGTGAGGTAGTTTAGGCAGAGAGAGAGGGGAGGCCCCATCTGCACTCTGCACTTTAAAAACTGTATCATACCAATTTAAACAGCCAGGACTTCCCTTAGAAGAATCATGGGACTGGGACGTTGTTAAGGATGCTGAGAGATGTTAGGAGACCTTCTATTCCACTCACAGAGCTACAGTTTTCCAGAGTAGCTTAACCGTTAATCCTCCTTCCCAGGGAACTCTGGGAATTGTAGCTCTGTGGAGAGAATAAACGCCTCCTAATAACCCTTAGCTACTTTAACAAACTAGGGAACACAGGTGGCACTGTGGGTTAAACCACAGAGCTTAGGACTTGCTGATCAGAAGGTTGGCGGTTCGAATCCCCGTGACAGGGTGAGCTCCTGTTGCTTGGTCCCTGCTCCTGCCAACCTAGCAGTTCGAAAGCACGTCAAGTGCAAGTAGATAAATAGGTACCACTCCGGCGGGAAGGTAAACGGCGTTTCTGTGCGCTGCTCTGGTTCGCCAGAAGCGGCTTAGTCATGCTGGCCACATGACCCGGAAGCTGTACGCCGGCTCCCTCGGCCAATAAAGCGAGATGAGCGCTGCAACCCCAGAGTCGGCCACGACCGGACCTAATGGTCAGGGGTCCCTTTAGCTTTACCTTACTTTAACAAACTACCATTCCCTGACATCTCCCAAGTCTTGCGGAGAAACACCCTGGTCTAAAACTGTGGTGGCTCACTGCTAGTCAGTGATAATTCTGCACTAAATGGACCAATGGTACAATTCCTATGTTCCTAACAAGATCCAGAATCATCTGCAATGTTCAGGGATTTCATTGCACGTTTTAGTGGAAAATTGGTGTTGACAGAATTATCTGAAGGGGGGGAGGAAACGGTTTTGAAAACCACTGTTTTCTTTCTGGTAAGCTTATGGTCTCTTGACCCAGATGTTGTGGAACCCTGTACGTTGATTTGCATATAGAAAATGACCTTGATAGAAAGGTCTATGTTGGTTTCTGAGGCTTGTTTTGAACAAAACTGCACCCTCTATGTTCCCCCTTCCTGAGGGGGTAAATATTTTCTTCCCGTATAATTATATAGTGGGATTGTGAAGAACAACGTGAAATGGTAACTCTTGGTGAGGCAGGTGCAGCCCATAACTTGCTGAGTTGTGGTCGCTTTTGCTGAGGTAACCGGAGTAGGGTTTCTCTCTTTTCTTTTTCAATTTTTTTTTCAAATTTTCCAAAAAATTTAAAACACAAACACACAAACACACAAACATACATACATTCTATTTAAATCCTGGTAACATTATTTAGTGACTTCCTCAAATCCCCTAGGTTGAATTTCATTATATATCATTTTAACAGTTTTCCAAACTCAATTTTCTCAAAAAATTAACTTAGTCACTTAACATATTTCATTCTTTCAAATTTGTCTTTAAACATCTTAAATTCTATCCTTACATACTTAAATCCTAAGCCTATCTGATATTTGCAAGCTTTTCTAATTAAATTATTTTGACATATTTAGCTAAATAGTCTTTAAATTTCTTCCACAGAGTAGGGTTTCTTGAACAGGTCCCATGCTTGTAGTGGGCGGAGCCATGGATGCCATATTCGTTTTTGTACAGCAAGCTGCTTTCCACACGCAAATCAGAGATTTACACACACATCCATCCCTCCCTCCTCCATCCAGGCCAAAGCACTCAAGGAGCACGCAAGAGGTATGGCCTGGGTGTCCCGAGGACTTGACAGACATAAGGGGGCACATTTGAGCCCTGGGACAAAGGTTTCCTGACCCCTGCCTTTAAAAGACAGAGAAATATCCTGTTCATTTTCAGCTGAACTGTTGTTGGCCAAAGTTTGGCTCCCTGGTGGTGAGTAAGTTCCCCTCTTGAGCTGGCCGTCTTGCCTGCCCGCCTGACATCATTCCACTGACTTGCTTCCAAACCACGGCACACCAATTGCTAACGCGACTCAAAAGTGTGTCAAATAAAACAGGGTTCCTTTTCCCCCCTGAGTGCTGTATGGCTGAAGGACACCTGAGAACTGCCAGAAAGGAAACAGATTGAGGAAGGGAAGGAGAATCCAAGAGGGATTTGCTGAACAGCAGGTAAGGGAGCTGTTTTTCTTCTTCTTTTCTCCCCTTTAAAATATTTTTAGTTCTGGAGAGAGCTATCAGAGGAGACCTTGTATATATGATAACCCAAGACATTTTGCATATTTGCACTCCAGGCTTAATACTGCTGTTATATCAGCTTCCTATTTTGTACACTGTGTGCTACGATAGCCCAGCAGTAATTGCATATCCATCACAATAAATGTGTCACTGCTGACAGAAATGTGAATTCCTAAATGTACCGTATCTCGGGAGTATTTAGAGGTGGTGGAAACCAAACGATGTGGTGCACAGAATATGCATTCTTCAAATACTTCCATGCTCACTACGAATATATACCAGTTTTATACCTGTTTTGGCTTTTCGCGCCTTTGGCCAAATAAAATCCTTGCTTTTCTTATTTGGGAAGGGTGCTACTTGATTTGCAGCAATTAGCAGCTGTTGTTGATTGTTTTTAAACCCTGTGCCCTAAAAAGCTTCAGCTGCAGCTTTCTGCAGAGAAAATCTCTTATAATAAAGGGTCAAATGCAAGCAAGCTTTCTTCAATGAACTGGGTACCTAGCTCCCAAGCCAGGTAAGTGAGGCAGCATGGCTGCACTGTACACTAAAAGGAATTTGAAATTCTACACCAAGAAATGCTGGATTCTGTGATCTCTTGTGTTCAGATGATTCAGATGAGTTTCATAACATCCTGTAGAATTCTGCTTGTGTTTGTCATGGGGAGAGCTGAGCAAATCTGTTGATTTTGGTTCTTTTCAGTTTTTCATTTCCCCCCGTTGATATGAAATCCAGGTCTCCACATTTCCAGATCACTTTGTGATTTATTTACTTTTCTAATTCCTCATGAAAATTCATCAGCATTTTTGTGTAAGTTTCTCCTAAAGTAGAAGAAGAGTTTGGATTTGATATCCCGCCTTTCACTCCCTTTAAGGAGTCTCAAAGCGGCTAACATTCTCCTTTCCCTTCCTCCCCCACAACAAACACTCTGTGAGGTGAGTGAGGCAGAGAGACTTCAGAGAAGTGTGACTGGCCCAAGGTCACCCAGCAGCTGCATGTGGAGGAGCGGAGACGCGAACCCGGTTCCCCAGATTACGTGACTACCGCTCTTAACCACTACACCACACTGGCTCTATATTTTTGTATATATTTTTGTAAGCAATTTTGCCCAATATGCACATTTTGCAAAGCATTTCCCCCTTGATATTTATATATTCCTAATATAATGCATTTTTGAAACTTATTTTCACTTATGTATACTTTGCCATTTTTAAAAAATGTGCCTTTTGTGCACATTACTTGACTGAAGAAGCGCATTGCAAAATTCAGAGGTGTGAATTTTGAAGAACAGCTGTGTTCCATTCTGTGTATTGTTTCAGAAAGCTCAAATTAGGTAAATTTGCCTTTAAGTAGCACTGAATTGAATTTCTTCCCCCATCTCTATCATGGTAGGATGCAGAAAACTCTGTAGGCTGTAGGAGCTCTACCACTGGACATAGGGCTAAAATGTGCTCAGTCTCTCCTGAGTTCTGAGGTTCCTTCAGACATTGCCCACATGCTTTCAAGCCTACGTCCATAGCCTTGAGGACCAGAAGTGTTGTTTTTTAAAAGGAAACAAAACCTAGAGGTGCTTAGAATGCTATATTTTGCATCTAATAACCAGTTTCGTGCAACTGTAGAAAACCCACAAACCTGCCAATTACTTATTTCCTTGTCACATGGCAACCAATATGAGCAGCTCCAGATTTTTGCCTACAAAAATTTTTGCCTACAGATTTTTGTTTCCAAGAAGACATTTTTTGCTGCTACCATCATGTCAGGAAACATTATAATTTTATCCTAACCCTGACACAGAAATTGATTTTTTGTGTTGAAGGTGGAAGCGGTGGGGAGGAGAGAAATCATACTTAAACAAAGCACTCCTGGGTTTAAACTGAGACAAAACTGTTCTAAAGCATATTTTGTGATAACACCCCCCCTTTTTTTGCTGTGTCTGAGAAGCCTGCCCTCCACTCACCAGTATGATAATGCCCTAAACTTTCCTTCCAAGGCGAAGGCAGAAGACCTGGCAGTGCAGAAGCAGAAGGAACAATAAGCTTGACCTTCTGGAAAATTACATATGGACTAAATCCTCCCGAAAAGCGGGGGGAGGCCAGGTGAGGTGAGCCACACGTAAACAAGGCTGGTGCCACCGAGGCACAAAGGAAAACAACCAGGGCCCCACCCTCCTTCATAAAAGCAAGCAGTTGCAGGAGCAGGGAATGGCAGATGGGTTCAGCTGCTAGCCTGCTGGGCCACTGGAAAGGCAATTGTTGGGCCGAGTAGGAAAAAATAATCTCTTGATCCACAAAGAATCGATGGAGGAAGCGCAAATGCATCTGAGCTGTCAGGAAGATCACAGGTACTCTTCAAGCTGTTACCTGTCTGTCTGCAATGAATTTGATTTTCTGAATAGGTTAGGACTGTCAGGCTTCTGATCTCCAGAAGTTTTTGTTTTTATCCTAGCCACGGATGGGAATCCATTGCTGCCAAGTTAGGTAGGGGTCAGGGATAAAGTCAGCTTTCGTTTAAAGCCAAATTGATCAGATTTGCAGTTTCTGGAACAATACGCCACCTTGCAGAATTTGCACTTCTCTGAATTTTGCAATGCCGTTCTCCAACCAAATGCATGTAGTGAGGGGAACTGTGCATAAAAAAATATGCTCTGGAAAATAACATACAAAAATGTATTATATTAGGATTAATTGCTTGGGGGGGGGAATGTGTACCTTAGTCAAAACTGCATACAGGAATGTACTTATTAGGAGAATTCACGCATTAGGAAAAAATGTTGGTGAACGCTCGTGGTTTTTGTAAAAAACAAAATGTGAATTGCTGCGGAAATGTACAGACCTGAATTTAACGTGGGTTAAATGAGAAACTGCGTGAACCAAAACTGACAGATCCTTCCACCCCAAGTGCCAAAATTGTCTTTTGGAGCCTAGCATGTATGGACCTAGATAATATCAATGGTCTGATGCAAGACACATCCAGGGCAGAACATATTCTGCTTCTGTTTGAACAGCTGCATCTCCCCCAGTACTGGTTGGCTAAAGTAATTTGAGCAAGTGAACTCAGGTTAATTGGTTTAATTTTAAAATCAAAGCTTATTGACAATGCGTTTTTTTGTTTGATATTGAAGAATTCAGAGCAAACCTAGTGAGCACCCACTTTCCCTGAATAGCTCAAATCCGGCAGATGTAGAGGAAGGAGGACAGGAACCATCACATGTGGGTGCTATGGGTTTTTAATTTATACAATTAACCCTGCTAATTTGTCCTTCGGAATAGGGACAGGGTTGAGATCTCACGCTGCAGTCGTTTTATATCAGGAGATTGACACCTGCAGTAAACAGCTGTTGAAGGTCCCTGACTAACTGCTTCCTGTATCTACTTTTAGCATTGTCTGCTAATATTTGCTCTTTGGACAGATCCCAACAGCTGGGAATCTTTTCAAAGCGAGCCTCTAGCCAGAATAAGAGATGTAAATCCCACTCTCGCTGTTGCCAAACAGCTTTTTAATGGCTAAGTTTTGCTTTCTTTCTGCCGAGTGGAGAATTTGCAGCTGGAACTGGAGAGGCCTTCAAGATTTTCACTGTGCTGGCTGCATGATAAGCCTGCCACTTTTTTCTTTTTTAAAAAACCTTTTAAAGTGCTGCCTTGGAGGCAGAAATTAAGCTGATGCTGCTTTCCATATCGCTGCATTTCCATGCTGGAAAATACACCCCTCTCTGCCTCCCGAGAAGCTACAAGTACAGCTCCCACAACAGCTACATTCTACTTTCACTGTTGGAGTGAATATACCTGTTGCTGGAAATCACAGTGCAGAAAATGCTGTTGCACTCAGATGCCACTTGCGGGCTTCCGTTGACAACAGATTGGCTACTGTGAGACTAGACAGGCCATTGCCCTGATGTAGCAGGCCTCTTTTCATATTGTTATGACGCTGCATTCATCCCCTCACTCTTGCCATGGTTTGCATGCTTGGAAAAGGCAGGTAGGGAGGAAGGAAGGAAGGGGAAAGCAGCCCAGGAAGCTCATGGCGGGAGGGCAACAATGGGCTCTGCAGCTGCATGGTCTTCCCTAGGGATCCTTTCCAAATTCCCTATCTCTGTATTCTCCGTAAGGAATTGTCTCTAAATTAGCATGCTGCTGATAACGCTAAGATTGCAGGTTCGATCCCCATATAGGATGGCTGCAGTTGTACTAGATCAGGCATGTTCATAGTCCATTTGGGGGGCATAATCTGGCCCACTGGTCGGTTTAATCCGGACCCCCTGTGGCAGTTCATTTCCTGGGGTAAAATCCTAAAAAAAAAAGCTCAACAACTTCAACCCTAAAACCAGTGTGGTGTAGTGGTTAAGCCAGTGTGGTGTAGTGGTTAAGAGCGGTGGACTCGTAATCTGGTGAACTGGGTTCGCTTCCCCGCTCTTCCACATGCAGCTGCGGGGTGACCTTGGGCTAGTCACACTTCTCTGACGTCTCTCAGCCCCACTCACCTCACAGAGTGTTTGTTGTGGGGGAGGAAGGGAAAGGAGAATGTTAGCCGCTTTGAGACTCCTTAGGGTAGTGATAAAGAGGGATATCAAATCCAAACTCCTCTTCTTCTAAAAAAGGCTAAACAAAGAAAACTCAACATCTTCAAGCCGAAAAAGTCAACAACATTGGTTGGCTCTTTGGTCGGCCCTCACGGCCCTTCACTTCATCAAATCTGGCCCTCTTTGAAGAAAGTTTAGACACCCCTGGACGAGATGCTCCTCAGGGTACCCATTCAATTTTACAATTCTATTATTCTAGGTGGTACTACAGCATGGATCTGGGTCTTGGTTGGTGCTCAGTGATATTCACCCCCTACAAGTTAGCCTAGTAAGAGAAAGGGGTTGATACATTTGGGTGCTATGAGGGCGGTTTAGTAGATATTATAAACCCACCAATCTATTATTTAGTTCTGCCTTGAGCAGGAAGTGGTGGGAAACTTCAAACGACAGTGCAGATTAATTCCTCTGCTGAGTGTTTTTCCATGTGTGAGTGTACACACACACACACACACACACACACACGAGAGAGAGATGCAAACAAACAAGTATTTGATAGGATTCATTTCATGCCTTAAGGTGCTTACAGTATAAACACACAATATCAAGATGATTTTAAAAATGTATATCTACCATTGATCATGGCCAAATTTGGTTACTCGGGAATCGTTTTCTATTTTCTGCTGTTTGATATATTTTTTTCTTGCCAGTCAATGCAAACTTCATTTTTAAAAGCAAGCCAGCAGCAGAACATGTAGCAAGTGTCCCGGCGAAGGTTGAAACTCAGCAGTTATGTAAGATCTGCAGGACTTGGCTTCTGTTGTTCATCACATGTTTCTGCCATCTGAAGTCGTGCTGAATGCTTGAAAACAAGAAAGTTGTCTGTGAGTGGCTAAACAATGGACAAATGAGAATAATCGAGGTCCTGTTTCATTATTTTAATTAGGGATGTGCAAGCATCAGGCTGATTGTCCTGAAAATGAATTGGACTTTTAAAAAAGTATTCGCACTTTAAGTTCTTATCTCCCTCCGTCCCAAAGCAACCATTTGGGAGGGGAAACTTGACTTGGAGAAAAGCTGGGGTAACAGGAGGTGGCAGAGGGCTCCCATGGACACAGAATCAAGCTCCATGCTCCCTGACAGGAAACAACTACTTAAAGCAGGCATAGATAGTTTTGGGACTACAATTCCCATCATCCCTGGCCACTGGTCCTGTTAGCTAGGGATCATGGGAGTTGTAGTCCCAAAACATCTGTAGGGCCAAGTTTGCCTATGCCTGACTTAGGGCTTTATAGGTCAGTCAGTAGCCTTGTACCTGGCATTACATGGGAGTTGTAAGAAACAACAACAACAAAATATCTGTGCAGCTTTGTGATCAGTGGTTAAAATCAGTGCATTTCAGTCCACCATCTTAATATAAAATGACACCCAGTGGTATCCAAACAGATGAAAACCCGCTTCCTCCATTTCAGGAACCATCATGCAAAATAGAGATTCAAAGGGTGCCTTTTCATGTAGTTTATATTGCACAAATCTAATTGTTATAAACCTCTTTGATTAAAAGTTCAAAATGTTTAGGGGTATGCGTCCCGCTGTGCCCCCCCAGAAAAAAGCACTGCATAGTGGTATATAAATATTTTTATATAGCAATGTGCTCACTGCGACAAGAGGGCAAGTTAGCGTGCTTGTTCAGTTTTGGCCCTTCTATATAATATTTTTAAAATATATGGCCAGCTGATGACAGAAATGATTACTTCACTGTAGATCTTAATAGCAGGGCAGCAGTTCAAGTTAAGATAAAATGCAGTTGCTTTATTTCCACACGACTCTGGAGTCGTAAGGCTTAAGAAAACGGCCAGCTGGCAATATTCTGAAATTCTTCTTGGCTTTAGGTGCTGATAAATAGAAGAGTTAGGGTTTTGTTTTTTTCCAATTTGAAAGAATGCAACTACACTCCCCCCTCCCCACCCCAAATCAAATACTTATGCATGACTCTAAACTAGTACTGTCAGTCTTTTGCCTGAAATGTGTGTCTTGTTTGCCAAAGAATAATGTCACGGCCCCTTCGACATAGTGGCTAGTCTAATGCAAAACCCAACAAACGCCTAATGTGTAGGGTTACCATCTCTTTAATGGCTAGAACAGTCTTTATCGACTTGGTGCCATCCAGATGTTTTGAACTAGAGCTCCCATCAGCCCACCATAGGATGATGGGAGGGTTTGCCTCTCGACTGATAATGAAAGCAAGATGAATAGTGGACATAAACACTCAAAGAGGGACAATGTACTGTAGTGACCTAGCCTAGGTTGTTGAGCTTTTGGGGGGAACATCAGAGAGACAGACAGACAGAGAGAGAGAGAGAGAGAGAGAGAGAGAGAGAGAGAGAGAGTTTTTAGGCTTTTTAAAAAGGATTTCAAAAGCATTTAAAAAATAATTAAATAAAAATCACCCTGCTTGCCATGCATCCGGGATTTCCTGGCCATTTTGCTGATTTGGCAAAAATCCGCCTGGATGCCATTTTCAGAGCCTGGATGATGTTGTTGTTTAGTCGTTTAGTTGTGTCCGCCTCTTTGTGACCCCATGGACCAGAGCACCCCAGGCACTCCTATCTTCCACTGCCTCCCGCAGTTTGGTCAAACTCATGCTGGTAGCTTCGAGAACACTGTCCAACCATCTCGTCCTCTGTCGTCCCCTTCTCCTTGTGCCTTCAATCCTTCCCAACATCAGGGTCTTTTGCAGGGAGTCTTCTCTTCTCATGAGGTGGCCAAAGTATTGGAGCCTCAGCGTCAGGATCTGTCCTTCCAGTGAGCACTCAGGGCTGATTTCCTTAAGAATGGAGAGGTTTGATCTTCTTGCAGTCCATGGGACTCTCAAGAGTCTCCTCCAGCTTGAATAACTCAGAGAAGCTATGAACTATGCTGAACAGGTTCCTGGATATGGCAGCCCTAACCTAGCCACTTCAATTCCCTGTTGAGCTCAAATCTCCATTAGGATAGGGTTGTCTCCCTAGAAATGGACTGAACAATAAGGAAAACTGAAACTAAGGAAGGGAGACTACCCGTAACCCTTTTCAAATTGGTGGAAAACTTTAATTTCATTGACATACGGAGATTTAAACACCCACTGGTCAGAGAATTCGCTTCTTTTTTCAGAACCAAATCAGTCTGCCGGAAGAATAGACTCAGTTTTGCTATTTCCAGGGTCCAACATATTCTCCCCGAATGATCTAAAATCAGTGGTAGAGCACATGCAAAAAGGACCCAGATCCCATCTGGCATCTCCAGATTGGACTACGAAATGTTCCTAATTAATACCCTGGAGAGCCACTTGCCAGTCCATGTAGACCTGTGTCAGAACTGTTGTAAAACAGGATCTACAAGAAATTTTGGAGCTGGATCTGAGTTCCTCTCTCTGGCTCTGCATTTTTCCTTATCAACACAAGGGTTGGTGACCGTGAGGACTGGGAGGGCAGAAGGCAGAGAGCCCTGCAAGTAGGTGGAGCTGAAGCCATTGATAGGCAGAGACCATTCATTCTTTCTATCTCCCCATCCTATATATTTTCTGAGAATCCTCCGGAAAAATAATCTCTCAAAGGACCTGCTGATGGCATTTTACCATTGTACTGTTGAGAGTGTATTAACTTATGGTCTCTGTGTGTGGTTTGGGAGCTGCACAGTCAGGGGAAAAAACAATGCTGTCCAGGGTTGTAAAGACTGCGGAGAGAATAACTGGGTGCACTCTTCCCATCTTGGATCAAATCTATGCTTCCAGGTGCCATAAGAAAGCTGCAGAGATAGTGCAGGATAGTGTCCACCCCAGAAAAGATCTTTCAGCTCCTGCCTTCTGGAAGAAGGTAGAGAGTTATGAAGACTAGGACTAGCCGCCTGAGAAACAGTTTCTATCCAAATGTGATTTTGGTTTTAAACGCAGTGTAAGGTTGTCTCTATGTGAGTATAGTGTATTCAGTTATGGGGTATCAGACTTTTTAGGGGCTAACAAGGCTGGGATAGTTGGGATAGCAGGCTTGTTGGTTTTTGAATGTCTGATACAGATTTTTTTCTTCCAATTTCATTGTTCTGTATGGGACAATGACAATAAAGATTATAGTATCGTATCTTCCTACCTGCTTATTTTCTCCCCCAAAGCCAACACGTGAGGAGGAAGGGAGCTGACAGCCTGGTTCGACCCCAGGAAGTGGTTGTTAAGGGCATACTGAGATTGATGGGGCAGTACCCCATTTGCCATAACACACCACCCTGCCCTGGGACAAGGTGTGAAGGCCTCTAAGTGTACTATTTTGTATGCTAAGAGGGCACTATCCAAACTTCTGCTCACACTCGCACAGCACATTTGCCAAAAGTAAAGTGCCCGCAACCGATCTACATTCAAAGTGGTGTGGTAGTGTGTATCAGAATGAATCATAACGTTTTGCCTATATGCAGTATTTCAAACTGAAGTAATATTTAAAAAAGAAAAAAAATTGGCCAGTGTTAACGGTGGCTGATGTGCTTTAGGGTAATTACAGCAAAGTCTTGTTATAACATCCTTGGCTTACTGAATGTCAACACTGTTAAAACGTTGGCCGTGCACTTGGTTTCTGCAGAATCCTATTAATTTTTTTCATCATTTTGATTCCTTTAAAGTGTAAAACTGGGCACAGTATCTTTCTGCCCGTTTTGTGTGTGCTTGCACTGACTACCCCTCCTGCTCAGCCTCCTCCCTAACTAGCTTTCTGGCATCCTTTTATTTAATTGCCGCATCTCTGCTAGTCTAAAGACTGCAACACCTGTCAAGGAGCAGCAGCGCTGAGGCCACTTGGAAGTTTAACCTCTTGCGACGTTACAATCGCGAAAAGCACAAAAGGGCTTTATTTATTTTAAAAGTGTACACTGGTGGTGGCCCGGGAGGGGTGGCAGGAGCATTTTGAAAGTTGTGAATGAGGGAAGAGGAATCCCAATCTTATCTCTATACAGTGGTACCTCGGGTTAAGTACTTAATTCGTTCCAGAGGTCTGTTCTTAACCTGAAACTGTTCTTAACCTGAAGTACCACTTTAGCTAATTGGGCCTCCCGCTGCCGCCGGAGCACAATTTCTGTTCTCATCCTGAAGCAAAGTTCTTAACCCGAGGTAATATTTCTGGGTTAGCAGAGTCTGTAACCTGAAGCGTCTGTAAACTGAAGCGTATGTAACCCAGGGTACCACTGTATAGCACATTCTGGTTTGCATCCGACTTTATTCATTTTATACTTGAGGGGATGGCTTCCTCCCCATCATACTTTCCACAACAACTTAAGAGCCGCCCCCCCCCTAAAAAAAATTGTATGGGTGCACCTACCATTTTGACAGAGTGTTGGGTTAGGGGAATGTCGTCTTTATCATGTTTCCCCATTTGTGAGACTCGTTTGTGGGACCCAGGGAAGCTCACATCCCTCCTAGGTTGCTTCCAGACAACCTGTTTGTTGAGCGTTTTGTCCTGATTGGTCTACAAGGAGGTTAGACTATGCCAGTTATTTCTTGAGCTTTCATTCTGATTTGTTGGTGGGGTGGTTATACAATGTTGTGTTAAGCTGGAGCCCAAAACAACTTCCATTTGCTGGTATGTAATTGAATCCTACGAGAAAATAGGGACATTTCAGAGTGTCCTTACACTAAAGTCTTTCAGGCATTAGGTGATCTTTTCCACTCTTAACTGTATTTACAGCATTTTTGCTGTTTTAGAATACTTTGCAGGTGAGGGACAGGGTATTATGGATGTGTTTGTTGCCCTGGGTTTCTTTGGGAAGAAAGGTGAGATATAAATTCAATGAATAATAAAATAATAATAATTTTGATTTCCCCGAGCTTTTAACCTTTGATGCATTTTCTTTGTTAAAAAAAAAAATCTGCTGTGATTTATAGTGTTGTTAGTAGCGGTTCTCCTCATGATTACTTTGACATGTTTTATGAGGTATTGTCATCTGCCCAGGAATAAACCTGTCTTGAACCACCTGGCATTAATTGCTTTAATTCTTGTGCTGTTTTAATGGGCTTGTTTTATTTCACATTTTAATTGTGGAGATTTCGCCGAATGTTTTGATGGAATTGTTTCATTGCGCATTTTAATGAATGTCTGTTTGTATTTTATTTTATTTTTTGTAATTGGTTTTACACTTTGTAAGTTGCTTAGAAACCACTTTGGCAATGAAGCGGTATATAAATGAATACGACTCCTACCAATAAATGCTTTTTTAAAAAAAACCCAAAAAAAACCCCTACACACACAAACACAGTGTTGTGATTTCATTTGCATTGTGGTAACCAGTTAATTGGATTCTCCCGAATGCTTGCTTGTGTGGTTGTGAAGTCTGACTGCTGTTGCTTGTTGTGTTGTGGTCTGTATGCACATCTTCAAGCTGACACTAGTTTGTCAAATTTGAACCTTGGCATAATTTTTACTGAGTTTTTCTTCCTTCCTTCCTTACATGCTGAGCTGTGTCACTTGTGTTCTCCATGCCGCATTCCTCTGGATTATCCTGCAACATGGGGCATTCTTTCTTCTTCTGCCCCACCCTGTAAATACTTCGTATATATATAAAATCCTAAATGGCGGCTCATGTTATCGTAAGCCTGCATAAAAGTTAAGAGTGAGGTGTGGTATGGAAAGCACACTTGTTGTCTTAGCTCTGCTGAGTCAAGAAAAGGGATAAACTAATATAGGCTTAGTCATACAATCAAGCCCTAACCTTACCTCATTTTATTTTATTTTATTGAAAATAAATAACTAAATATCCATACCTGTGCAAAAAAACAAAGTGTTCTCAAACTGCTTTTCTTCCTCACCCCTGCTCCTTTTTACAGGTCTTCAGAAGACAAGGGATATCTTCACAGTGCATTTCCACACCCAAACATGTTCCTGACCAGCTGCTTAGTGGCCTTGGTATTTACGGTCCCTGCTGTACAAATGGGTAAGTCTGGATGGATTTAATTGAATGGCCACAATATTCGTTTTATTTTCCACATTTTGTGTTCTGTTTTGTTTTGTTTTAATATCGTGAGGGGTTCTTAAGTCAGGCTGCAAATAATTTTTTAAAAAAAGTTTGTATATATAATAATAATAATTAATAATTTTATTATTTGCAGCCCGCCCATCTGACTGGGTTTTCCCAGCCACTCTGGGCAGCTTCCAGCACATACAAAAACATAATAAAACATTATAACATTAAAAACTTCCCGTTTAATTTAATAAGTGAAATATGATGGGATTCATAAATTGCACATAACCCCAAAGTGCTAGGAATGCCCTCCTTTTTATTTATTTGCTTCTTTCAAAAGATGACAACTACAATGACACACACACACACACACACACACACACACACACACAAATCTTTTTTTAAAAATTGGCACATAAATATTAATAGAGTTTTATTCTGGAAAGGGAGAGTCACCTGTTTTGCTCCCCGCCCCCCCAGCAGATAATTCAAAAAGCTTAAAGGTATTTGTATGGGTCTCTGTAGTTTCTCAGTCACTGGGCAGCTTTAAAACTCATCTCAGGGCCAAAAGAGCTTTAAAGTTCCTCTAAGTTCATGTTTTTCTAAATTTACACGGATGGTACGGGTGCTCAAGCCATTAAATATGGAGTGCTAGAGTTTGTTTCAGTGAAAATGCTGCTTATCCCATAGGTTCAAAGTGGGTGGATTAGGATTTTAAAGTACCTCCCCCTACAACTCATCACTCCCTCAAACCCCCAGAACCTGCATATTATTGAACATATTTTTCTTTTGTCTTTCTTGGTTTCTATTCTTCATGTCTTCCATTGTGGAGCTCAGGGTGACATTTGTGGGGCCACTGTGAGGTGTCTCACCCAGACCCAGTCCTGCTTCGTTTCAGCAAAGTTTCTGCTGAACAGTGGTACCTTGGGTTACAGACGCTTCAGGTTATAGACTCCACTAACCCAGAAATAGTACCTCAGGTTAAGAACTTTGCTTCAGGATGAGAACAGAAATTGCACAGCGCTGGTGCATCGACAGTGGAAGGCGCCATTAGCTAAAGTGGTACCTCAGGTTAAGAACAGTTTCAGGTTAAGAACGGACCTCCAGAATGAATTAAGTTCTTAACCCGAGGTACCACTGTAGCTACTCTTTAGAACAGAGGTTTTCAACCTTTTTGAGTCCACGGCTCCCTTGACCAGCGACATTCTTTCTGAGGCACCCCTGTGGGGCCCAAGAGCCCAGTTATGTCACCCCTTGCCTGCAGAGCTGGCAGCCTCTCACCCTTTTTCGAACACCCTTCCTTGTGGAGGGTTCCCTCAGCCTCCTCTCCCTGCTCCTTGGGAGTCCTCTGCCACCCCTGGTCTCTGAGCTACCCACCCCCTCCCCAAATAGAGATGCCTCCCAGAGGCATCATTCGCCTTCGGAGCATATAGCCAAGGCTGCTGCAATAAACATCATCCAGCCCAGGTGCTGAGGTCCAGCGCCGAGGGCCTTCTGGCGGTACCCTCGCTGTGAGAAGTGAGGTTACAGGGAACCAGGCAGAGGGCCTTCTTGGTGGTGGCGCCCGCCCTGTGGAACACCCTCCCAGCAGATGTCAAGGCAATAAACAACTATTTTATTTTTAAAAGACAACTTCCTGTTTACGGAAGCTTTTAATGTCTGATGCTGTATTGTTTTTAATATTCGCTTGGAAGCCGCCCAGAGTGGCTGGGGAAACCCAGCCAGATAGGCGGGGTATAAATAATAAATTATTATATTATGCAAGCCTTTGGGAGACAGAGATGTGAGAGGGCAGAGGAGGAGGGAGGGAAGAGGGACAGAGACCAGGGTTGCCCACGGCACCCCTGACCATCATTCTAGGCACCCCAGGGTGCCACAACACACTGGTTGAAAACCACTGCTTTAGAACAGGAGGTGCTCTGCAGGTGTTTCAGAACTTCAACTCCCATCATCCCCAGCCTGTGCGGGTGATGGACAGGGAAGAGGGAAAATGAAGTCCATCAACATCTGAAGAGCAGTTGCTTCCCCCCTGCCTTTAGAACATGCCCTGTTTTCATGAGACACATTTCCAGAAATGAACGCTCAGAATTCAAAATTGCTACTCTCTGTCTAACTACCTGTTTCGCTTCTCGTGCTCAGGAAGTTATCATCAGGAAGCAAAAAAAACTAATGCTATACTCGGGCCCATTGCTTCTAATCCTTGCTCAATGACAGAGGAGGGATAGAATACAACCTGACCTAGGAGAAGGGAGAGAAGAGGAAATTTGCAGCTGGGTGTGAAATTTCATCTGTGATGGAGGAAAGATGCAGAGATGCACCTTGTAAAACTGTCTCTCTCCCTGGCAGAGAGCAGGCAGTCAGTTCTTTGATTTGCTTCCTAAGCCCTAAGCACCCACCATCTGTGTTAGGTGAAATTCTCTCATGCAGTTCTTGAATTATTTGCTTAAGCTGTCATTACTATAGGCTATTAAAACTGTCCCTTCTGCTCATACAGCTGTGCATCTCCTTCTAGGATCCTGAACAGGTGTTCCCTGAAATATTTTTATAGCCCAATCAACAGAGCATCTAATCTTCCTTTCATTAGTTTGTTCGTTAATGATCCCTTTAGCTCAACATTCGGTTTCCAAGAGCAGCCAGGCAGATGCCAAAAAAGGAAGTTTAGAAGAGGACACGATGGGGAGACCCAGCTCCCGAAGTTTTTGGCCCCTGGTATTCGGAGTTTATCTAACACTGGGCCTAGTACAGTGGTACCTTGGGTTACAGATGCTTCAGGTTACAGACTCCGCTAACCCAGAAAAAGTACCTCGAGTTAAGAACTTTGCTTCAGGATGAGAACAGAAATTGTATGGCAGTGGCGCGGCAGCAGCAGGAGGCCCCATTAGCTAAAGTGGTACCTCAGGTTAAGAACAGTTTTAGGTTAAGAACGGACCTCCAGAACGAATTAAGTTCTTAACCAGAGGTACCCCTGTATCTATAATTTAGGAAGCCAGGTGTGGAAGTGCGGGACACCCAAATATAATGCAGTGGTTTCAGAATACTCTATTTTTTTTTAAATGATATTTATTAAGTGGTTTCAGAATACTCTAGGTTCCTCAGGTTTGCAGAAGTATAACTTTTTTCCTTTTAAAAAAATATGAAAAAAATTATTCTAGGTTCCTCAGGTTTGCAGAAGTATAACTTTTTTCCTTTTAAAAAAATATGAAAAAAAATTATTCCACATATAACAACATCATACAGATAACCTAGCTTCTGGGTTAAGCTGGGATATTGCATTGCATAGTATATATTTTTTGTAATGTGTTATTTTTAAAAAAGTAAATTACAGTCTGGTAGGAATCCGTGAACTCTCTGGACCATTGAATGTTAAGGCTGCCAGTCGAAGGGAAGAAGGAAAACAAAGGGAGGATATTTTGCCTCTGTGGTAACCTGGAGGGGAGGATTAGGGTGTGTGACAAAGGAGATTTGTTTTATTCACTTATTTATATATTTCAGAGTTAAATCCTGCTCTTCTTTCCCAAAGGGAATCCAGGGCATCTTGCAATGATAAAATTACATAAAACAATTCAAAACAATATTGTAATATTTTGCATTCAGCGGTTAAAACCAACATAATGAAATATATTAAAACTGACCTGCAGAATTGCGCAAGGGGAATGCTCATCAAAGCCAACCATTAATATTTTACAGGACAGAAATTAACAGAATGAAAGTCGGTTTGGGTTTTGTTCTGCTATTTACTTACTATTTTTAAATTACTGGAAGTTAAAAACGTTTCCGGATTTATTTTAAATCACTCAAAGATCTACAAAGAGATCCCGTGTCCATGCCTGTTCTATGGAACTCATAAGAACGTATGAACTCTGTCCTTTAGAGCTGGTCACTTGAGGCTAGAGAAGAGCGAAGGTGGATTCAGTCGAGAAACCACAGGCTAGCAGATTGACTGATCCCTTTCCAGGGTCTCTTTCAGCCCTGGACTTGTTTGTTTTTTTGGAATGTGACAGGAAACTCAATGCAGATGGAGAGAGTTTGTTTAGAATTCTCAATTTATCTTTCCAATGGCACAAGAAAAGAAAAGAAAAACACACACAGCAGTATGACTCTTGTCAGTCAGAGAATTTCCTGAATAGTTGCAGTGGAAAGTATTTACAGGGCAAAAGAATGAAATGTGATCCTTCTTTCAGAGAGACTTGGCAGGGAGGATTTGGGGTTGGTTGTCAGGTTAATTTTAAAGGACACATCTGGACCATACAATTAAAGCACCCCAATACCACTTTAAACAGTCATGGCTTCCCCCCCAAAGAATTCTGGGAACTGTAGTTTGTTAAGGGTGCTGAGCGTTGCCGGGAGACCCCATTCCCCTCCCAGAGCAACAATTCCCAGAGCTCCCTGGGAAAAGGGATTGATTAAGTCACTGTGGAAATCCATTGATTCCAGTAAGCCTACTCTGAGCATGTTGGGTGTTGATCTCTAATTCAGTTTGTGCACTGACTCACAACTCCAGCTCACTGCCAATCCAAATAGTAAACATTATCAGAACAATGCAGTCCTATGCATGTTTACTTGGAAGTAATTCCCACTGTGCTCAGCAGAGATGACTCCCAGCAAAGTGTACAGAGAATTGTAGACTGAATGTGTGTTGAGTTGCACTGGATCTTCTTTAAGTGGAGTATGACATGCATTGAGGGTCCTTATACAGTACAGTGGTACCTCAGGTTAAGAACTTAATTCGTTCCGGAGGTCCGTACTTAACCTGAAACTGTTCTTAACCTGAAGCACCACTTTAGCTAATGGGGCCTCCTGCTGCCGCTGCGCCACCGGAGCACGATTTCTGTTCTCATCCTGAAGCAAAGTTCTTAACCCGAGGTACAATTTCTGGGTTAGTGGAGTCTGTAATCTGAAGCGTCTGTAACTTGAAGCGTCTGTAACCTGAGGTACCACTGTACTTGTACTTCAAAGACCATACTCATAAAAATAGGACAAAACCATTTCCCGTCCCCGGGGAGATGACGTTGTGGGCTGGGAGCAAGCCCTCCCCACGCAGATGGGGCGGGATAGCCCCTGCACCATTGGTTGGTCCTAAGCTGTGTCAACCCAGGGCTGTCCAATCCGGACGGTCCAGGGGCATGGTGCGGGCTATTTAAACTGCCCACGGCCAAGGGCAAGTTCCTTTTCTCCCTGCTTGGACAGTTCTCTCCCCCCCCCCCTTAGGTTAGGCTCTTTATCTCCTGACCTTGCTATGGACTTTGGTTAGTCGCCTGTTTTTTAACAGGGGCCTGGTAGGAATTTTTTCCGCTTGGCAAATTGGCATCAGCCATTTGGTTTTTCGCAATTCGTCACAACTTTGTAAGGTTTGGCAGTTAGGCACTGCAGTATTAGGTTGAAGGTGAGGGGAGGTAGTCGCCATCATTTACCCCTCCTATTTCAAGGGTATTCCGTTAAAGGAATCTGAGGGGTGTGGTCCCTGTCCGAAGCCCCCGACGGGGGGCTAGGGCCATGGCACGACCCCTAGCGGTGACCCTGGGGGAGTTCCTAGTTGATGTACATCAGCAGGGCTCCCCCTTCTGGTGGTTAACCCTTCCAAGACTCCTGCAGACGGGCAGGAGTCAGATATAGCCGTGTGGTTTCCAGTGCCTAAGCCAATACCACTCACATTCTGTAACCAACAAAGTTGTGGCATTTTTCGTCCATTAACCTAAAATACTGTTTCATGTGTCTTTATTCCACTTCCTGGGAGGGTTTGGGACCTTGCCACGCAATGAAGATTAATTCTATAGAACGCCCAGTTATGGATCATTTTGACTATTAAGTCTTTTCCAAATATGTCCCAATTAGTTCTAAGTCATTGAGAAAGGTTTTCAAAGAAATATTCCTTGGGAAGTGTGCCCAAATAAATCCCCCCTGTTCAGCTTACTTACTGATCAGCTAAAATAATTCTTACCAGCTCCTGATGAACAATTAGAATTTTTTGGACCTATTCTCCAAAGAAAATTGCTTTGAGAACACTTTCCCAAGGACTTGGGACTAATTGGGAAATATTTGAAAAAGGCTTGGCAGTTGAAACAGATCCATAACTGCTTGTTCCTTAGTATTATGTTCATTGTTCTATTTTCATGTGTTAGTTCTTCCAAGTACATTGCAAGTATATTTATATATTGGTAGGTTTTACTGCTTGCTTCTTTAAGTACAGCCAGTTCCACTGCGAGATTAAATATGCTTAAGCATTCTTGGTTTTTATTTAAAGAGAACGATTACAGCCCACTTAATAAAACGTCTGCTTCAGAAGCCAATAGGAAAGAGGTTAAATTGTAAAGTTTAGGGTGCATAGCAGACAAAAAATAAACTTCAGGGTTTCTGTGTGTGTACATGTGTAGCCTGTGAGGCTGCTTTGTCATTGGTATAGACAGTACTGAGTTAGACGGACTAATGTTCTTCCACCTGGGGTTCACAGAAGTGGACTACAACTCCCATCATCCTTCACCATTGCGCTAAGCTGGCTATGGATGATGGGGGACCCCAGGTTGAAGAACACTGGCCTACAGGCTTCCTTCTCCCTGCCCTACCTGGAGATGCTGAGGACTGGACTTGGGTCTTTCTGCATGCACAGCAGGTGTTTTACCATGGAGCAATGGTCCTTCCCCAAAGAGAAAGAGGTGGCAGAAGTGGGGTGGTGGAACCGGGAGTGTGAGAATAGGGTTATAAAATATTACACAAAGTGGTGTCGATGTTCAGCTGTAAAAATGTTGAATGGTATGTGGTTAGAGTGTTGGACTAGAGAACAGTGGCAAGAAAAATTGAGGGACTATGTGGAACTGGCAAAATTGACACATAAACTATGTGACAAGGACAACTGTGACTTTAAAGAAGAATGGGAACCTTTTACAAAGTACTTAAAGAAACAACAAAATGAATTGGACTCCTTGGCAGGTTTTGAATAAACATACACAAATTTATTTGTTAACATAATAGATGGATAATTTAGAGATTTTTACATTTTTTTAATATGCAGAGAACAATATGTGATGATAAATCAGAGAGTGGAGCTGAGGGAAGTTGTAGGGTGGAGGGGGCATGAGGGAGGGGGAGGGGGAAATGGGGGGGAAATATAATGGTTGAAATAATTTGTTATGTGAAAATAATCAAAAAAATTCAAAAAAAAAAGAGTGTTGGACTAGGCTCTGAGTGGTTTAGGGTTCAAATCCCCAATCAGCCACGAAGCTCACTGGGTGACCTCTGGCCAGTTACCGTCTCTCATTCTAACCTAATGGGCTGGGCTGTTGTTAGGATAAAAGGAAGATGGGGTAATAATAAATAATAATAATAAATTTTTATTTATACCCCGCCCTCCCCGGTCAAGACCGGGCTCAGGGTGGCTAACACTGAATATAAATACAGTAAAAACATTTATAAAACAACAACAGTTGATTAAAATATAAGTTAGAATACAGCTTAAAATGCAGCCTCATTTTAGTGGTAGCCTATAGATCAAAGCCATAAGGGGAGAAAACGTCAAATATTCACCGGGGCCAACAATCAATGCTGGTCCTACATGGGCCAGCAAAAAGAGCAGAGGGAAAATTTATATACAAATCCCATATAAGGGGTTCCATCAAAAAAATAAATGAGAGGGGGGGTTAGGTTGAGTCCAGCCCAAAGGCCAGGCAGAACAGCTCCGTCTTGCAGGCCCTGCGGAAAGATGTCAAATCTGGCAGGGCCCTGATCTCCTGCGGTAGGGCATTCCACTAGGCCGGGGCCAGAGCTGAAAAGGCCCTGGCCCTGGTTGAGGCCAATCTAACCTCTTTGGGGCTCAGGACTTCCAAAGTGTTGTTATTTATGGACCTTAAGGTGCTCCGCAGGGCATTCCAGGAGAGGTGGTCCCGTAGGTACGAGGGTCCTAGGTATGAGGGTTGAGCCACATATGGCACCTTGAGCTCCTTGGAGGAAATGTGGGGTGAAAGAACAATAATACAGTGATGAACCAGGCCTTTTGCCTGCCAAATGTGGTGTCATTTTACCCATTGGCCTAGTGACAGACAAATTCATGTCGGTCACCGTTTCCTTTGCTTGTCCCTGCAGGAGCGGCCTCATCCTGTCCTGACCTGGATCCAGAGCTGGAACTCTGGAACCCTGGGCATGACGAAGATAACCAGGTGAACATCAGCGAAGGCCGGAAGCTCCTCTTATCATCTTCTGCCACAGTCCATTCCATCAACATCACAAATGGAGGTAAGCTTAGCTTGACAAAAACAAAGTTAATAGTTGGGTAAATTGGCTGTGGCCTTGGAGGGAAGCCTATGCAAAAAAATAAAATAAATTTTCAAAGCAGCTTACACACACTCAGGATTGAATGCTTCACCTCTACACACACATACATGAAAATAAATCCACTTAATAGGCAGCGTATCCAGGAGAAACCCAGGTTTGGGATGTTGCGGTGCATAAGATTTGATCAGCTATGTTGTGTGCATCTGAACTTGTTTTGCTTTTCTGGCTGGGGAAATTGCAAAGGCGACCCAACATGTTTGATCACTGCTGCTTGGTGACTTCCTCTTTCGACGCCCTGCTAATTATGCACTGTCCATGTAATTACAAGATGGGGCAGAGGCACAAACTGCTATAAAAAGGCACCCTGGTGCTGTCAGCCGTGGCTGGTAGCGTCAACCAACGCTATCCATGTGAGCTTTTTGCTTCACAAGTGCTTCTCTGCTTGTCGAACAACATGGCTCACATTGCATCAGTCGATTTGCATGGAGGAGGACTTGGAGAGGATTAGTACTGCCCTGGACGCACTCTGGCATGCTGCCTTTAAAACTCTGATTCAAAGGTCTTACTTGCAATGTTGAAATAGACTCTTATTCTGTCCTTGAGACTGACCAATGCTTCTTTGCCTTTGTTGAGCAGGGCCAACATTAAGAAGCAAGGCCAGGGATATTCCTATTCTGTGCCAACAGCTTAAAGCAGAATTGAGCACTTTGAAACGCTCAGCTTTCAGAGGATTTATTTATTTTTAAACAAGTTCCTTGTCTTTATGGCAAAGTGTGGGGCTATTTGCCTCCTGAAATTGCAAGAGGTTGGTTTGGCGAGTGGGAGGTGCTGAGTAAGACATCCTATGATGTGATGGTAGATTTCTCCTCCCTGTGACTATCGGAAGCAAAATAACATATCTATATAATTTAATATTTGTTGGTGTCAGAATTCAGGTTTTCTTAGTGCAAAACAGACACTGAATCAGGGCTATAAGAAAGGCATAGGCAAACTCCGGCCCTCCAGATGTTTGGGACTACAATTCCCATCATCCCTAGCGAACAGGACCAGTGGTTAGGGAGGATGGGAATTGTAGTCCCAAACATCTGGAGGGCTGGAGTTTGCCTATGCCTGCTATAAGCCATGGGCTGAAGAAGAAAACAGCCCTGATGTTCCCAAGGTGCAAATATCGAGGCTCGAAAGCAGATTGCATAGATGTATTCACAGGGGGGAAAGGTGTTAATCCACCTCAGGCAGCAAAATGGTTGGGGCCAGCCCTGACAACACCACATTCACACGTGAAACGTGTTTTCTAGCCTGTACTGAAAGTTTGAGATACACAGAGCCTTCCTTTGTCCGTGGAAATCTTTGTCTGACTCAATATAAGTCAGCTTCCAATGTACCTACAGCAGATTTTTTTTAAAATTAAAAAATCAGAAAGGACCCAATATGGGGTTTTTCACAGTTAAAGCAATAAAGACATGGTTACGCTGTGCCTTATTAAAAGTGGCAAAATTAGGAAACCCAAACTCAGGTAGTAAATAAAAGGATACTCTGAATTCTGGTTGATTTAAATCTTACCACACCACCAAAGCAAAACTCTTTTTTTCCCCCCTTCAGGAAAGCTAGTGATTAAAGACAACACAAGCCCTATTGTTTTGCGCACTCGACATATTTTGATCGAAAATGATGGAGAGCTTCATGTCGGGAGTGAGAGCTGTCCTTTCCGGAGCAACCTGACAATCATCTTGTATGGGCGGTATGTAATTAGACAGACTTCATCCCATAATTTTGAAGATTAGGCTTCCTAGGCCCCTTAAACACACACACACACACACACACACACACACACACACACTGGTCCAAGCTCCCTCATGAGCTCTTGGCAGGAGAGTTGCTATGGTGGTGTTGGCATAAAGACAATGGCTCTGAGGCGCTAATCTCCCGAGAGGTATCTGGGAGTATAGTAGCAGGACAAAGACCACACCCAAAATCTAACAGGTTTATAAACACATTGTGAACCACAAACCATTTATCCCAAGTACAGAAAGCACAGGAAGGATTATCTGTGGGTTATCGTAAAAATTAAACCACATCCAGGACAATGATAAAAGCATAAGGTTGCATCTACTAGCAGTCATACTAAGAGTAGACCCACTTGAATGACTAGGCCTAATTAACTTGGGTCTATAACTTGGGTCTATTAATTTCAGTCGGGACGCAGGTGGCGCTGTGGGTTAAACCACAGAGCCTAGGATTTGCTGATCAGAAGGTCGGTGGTTCGAATCCCCACGATGGAGTGAGCTCCCGTTGTTCAGTCCCTGCTCCTGCCAACCTAGCAGTTCGAAAGCACATCAAAGTGCAAGTAGATAAATAGGTACTGCTCCGGCAGGAAGGTAAACGGCGTTTCCGTGTGCTACTCTGGTTCACCAGAAGCGGCTTAGTCATACTGGCCACATGACCCGGAAGCTGTCTGCGGACAAACGCCAGCTCCCTTGGCCAGTAAAATGAGATGAGCACCGCAACCCCAGAGTCGGTCACGACTGGACCTAATGGTCAATGGTCAGGGGTCCCTTTACCTTTACCTATTAATTTCAGGACTTTATTGGATGCCACCTGTACATTTCAAACAATGCATATTATCATGATGGTGTGATTTTTGGACACCGTTTCAGATGCAAACAAATACTAATTCAGAGTAGCCAAGGAACAGCAGCAAATGCTTAGTTGTTTAATTTAGTATTATCATTATTCTGTTACTGTCTAGGAGAGGCGCTTATGGGGTTTTCTGCCTCTGGTGCCAAAATAACTTGGCCCACCTTGTGTATAATGCGCTCCAGCTAGGAGGAAGGCTCAATGTGCTGATCTGCCACAGGCAGCAAAATGTTCAGAGACGGCCCTTACAATTCCACATTCACCTGTGATGTCTTATTTCCTTCAAGGAACCAATACTTAAAGCATGTCGCTTTTCAGAAGATCTAAGCAAAATATGAGTACTACCAAGATCTAGCTAGATGGTTATAAATTCTGTAGACCTTCACATTTGTATTTATGTACTCAAATGATCTAGTTTTTCTTTAACCCCGTAGTGCTGATGATGGCAGCCAACCAGACAGTTACTTTGGAAAGAAGTATATTGGGGTGATCGATGGTGGGACTCTTGAGGTCCATGGTGAGAAGAAACTATCATGGACTTTCCTAAACAAGACCCTGAACCCAGGTGGCATGCAAGAAGGAGGCTACTACTTTGAACGAAGCTGGGGACATCGTGGTGTTATTGTCCATGTCATTGACCCGAACACAGGGACAGTTGTCCATTCTGATCGGTGAGTCCATCTCTTAATTCCAATTCTACTCAGTTTCTCTTTCTTACAGTCTTAAGAGCAATTCTCCACATTTCCACATCAATCTGATTTTTTTTTAAGTCCTCATGAAACCCACCAGAATTTTAATTGTGTGTATGTCCCCCCGAAAATACACATTTGTTTACGCAGTTTTTGCAAACGATTTCCCCTAACACAATATATTTCTGTTATTATGTTATTTTCACAAATAGATGCATTTTGATAGACCCTTTACTCTAGTGTGTGCATTTCCATACACAATGCTTGGCCAGAGAGCTGGATTGCAAAATTCAGAGAAGTGTGAATTTTGAAGGATGGCTGTGATTTAGTCTACACAGGGTCCCTTCAAACTCTTATGATTCTATAATTATATATCACAAAACATACTGTTTCATAAAGTGCAATTTGGGCATTTGAATGTGAACCAACTTGAATTTCTCTCCACCCCACGTTAAATGTGAATGTTTTAATCAGCATAGACGAATTTTACCAAGTGCTACTTTATCTTTTCTTTGTGCTCTTTGTAGCTGAACCCACTGGGATCTGTACCTGTATAGAGTACAGCTTTAGCTGACATAGGTCCTTAATATATGCGTGCTCAAAAAATGGGGCGATCCCCCTCCCACACGCTTCTTTTTCCAATTGCCACACTAGCAGCATCTAAGGAGAATGCTAGTAATGGGACTCTCTAGGAATTCTCTGTGTTGATTTATTGGATACTTTACTGCACGTACATGAAACAGATGTATACCCAGATGGGCTGATAAGGCCCTATTCTGCCGTGGCTCCTTCTCTCAGGAATTCACTCATCTTCTGGAGGTCAGACGTGAGTCAGCCAAGCATGCCGCCCCCCTTGGGGAATGAAGACTTTTCCTGGAGGAATGATTGCTTTAATGTACTGCTGCTTGCTTAGGCTGCTGACTTCAGAGCCGTGATATTGTGCTTCTACCTGGACAGTAGAAACATCAGGTGGTTCATAGCTCCAAAACGAAGGAATGAGCAACCTACAAGTCACATTTTTAGACTGTGTGGACAAGCCCTGTGTATTGCTAATGAGCTTTTGTGTACTGCATTAATGATTCTGCTTGTGAGACACATTGGCAAGCCCTGTAAAGCATTGGGTCCCTTCAAACTAAGAGGGGCTTTTTGAGGGTATGTTCCGCAACGTGTCACTGACGTAGTAATAGGGCCTGGGTGGTGGATTTATACTGGCCCATCCACACATAATTCCGCTTCATTAGTTGTTCTGTGATGCTTCCATGGGGTTGTTGCATTATTGCTGTCCGAAGGGGCACTCATGCGCTACAGCATAGCAAGAGCTGGACAAAAAAAGAAACTAGAACATTTGTGGTGTAAATAGTTACAGGATTTCAGCAGGAAGTTGCAGGGTATGCACTGATTGGAAATGAATGTATTGGTGGTAAGGAAAAAATACCACCAAAGTACTCTTTGGTGGTGGGACGCGGGTGGTACTGTGGTCTAAAGCACTGAGCCTCTTGGGCTTGCCGATCAGAAGGTTGGCGGTTCAAATCCCCGCGATGGGGTGAGCTCCCGTTGCTCGGTCCCAGCTCCTGCCAACCTAGCAGTTTGAAAGCACGCCAAAAAAAGTGCAAGTAGATAAATAGGTACTGCTCCGGCAGGAAGGTAAATGGCGCTTGCGTGTGCTGCTCTGGTTTTGGTGTTCCGTTGTGCCAGAAGCGGCTTGGTCATGCTGGCCACATGACCCTGAAAAAATGTCTGAGGACAAACGCTGGCTCCCTTGCCCTGTAAAGCGAGATGAGCGCCACAACCCCAGAGTCATCTGTGACTGTTCTTAACTGTCAGGGGTCCTTTACTTTTTCCCACCTTTGGTGAGTGAACCCCAGCAGAGATTTAAAGTCACAAAATATGAAGCAAAGTAAAGCATGGAAGTATTAGACCTTTAAAATATGCCCCAGTGAAGTCCAGAATTACCCTCTTTTTCCTGCATAGGAAAATATCACATGTTTAGTAAGCTAAAAATGGTTTACTTACAAACTCTCCAGAGGTCAAATTCATGTGCTTTTCCACCCAGCATTAAGTGTAGGTCGCACAGGCAGTAAAACTTGGCTTAGTTATAGCAGTGAAAGTTCCCAAGCTATTGGTATAGGAACACAAGAATGGCTTCTCAGGTAGACTGAGTAAGATAAGGTGAGCTAAGCGTGGCAGGACAGCTTACTTTGTGGTCTTCAACCTTTCATTTTGTCTTATTACTTGTTTCCAGCTATATCTATAGATGGATCTATGGTGGCAAACTGCTGTTAATGTGCTCCTGCCTGTTTCTTTAGGTTTGACACCTACAAACTCAAAGGTGAAAGCATCAGACTCGTCCGGTATTTGAATGCAGTTCACAACGGCATGATCCTGGCAGTTGCGGTCAATGATGAAGGATCCAAAAATTTGGATGATTCAGCCAGGAAAGCAATGACCAGACTGGGCAGCAAGCATTTCCTCCACCTTGGTTTTAGGTAGGAGTCTGGCCTGCCAACGTTACCAACACAGAGGCCCCATTGTATCCTGCCTGTACCTAAAATAATTCTGCGTCCCCACCCCCCACCCCCAATAGCAAAAACATCTCACATAGTGATTTTCCCCTCTTCTTGCCACTTGGAGTGTTCAGAAGTTAATTAGATAGTTTGAAAGAGATTCAGTAGCTCAGCTGAGCATGTTTCAGTATGAGACTTGAGAACTTACTGCCCAACTTGGTGGAAAAGCCATAGTGACAGAGCACTTATTTTGCATGCAAACATTTTCAGGTTAAATGGCTTGGCATCTCTGGGTTCCTCTGAAAGCTTGGAGCGCTGCTGACAGGTCAAAGTAGGGATTTTCCAGATGACCTGTTTGTTGAGTCTTCAACCTGATTTGCTTGCATAAAGCTGACATGGAGGTTAGACTATGGACTCAGCTAGATTGGTAAAGAAAAAGTGTTTTATATGTGTTGTATATGCGATATAACACTGTGACACCAGATGGCGCTGTGGAGTCCCATCTTTCCCTACCGGATCTCCCTGTATGAGTTTACAATGCATTGAACTGAATCACTTCTTTGATGTATTTGGATCCAGCCTATATCCACTCTTTACTGATCATTCATCCTGATTTCTTTGCCGCATTCTTCTCCTAACCATGAATCATTTGCTCATCCCACGTTTTTGCAATGCATTTCTTTGTCACTTTTGCAACTGCAAAAAGTCAGTTTCTTTTCTGGATTTGCTGCGCTAGCGTGACACCGCACTTTATTCTGCTTTATTTGCATACACCTAAATTTCCAAGTGGGACGCAGGTGGCGCTCTGGGTTAAACCATAGAGCCTAGGACTTGCCAATCAGAAGGTTGGCGGTTCGAATCCCTGCGACGGGGTGAGCTCCCGTTGCTCGGTCCCTGCTCCTGCCCACCTAGCAGTTCAAAAGCACGTCAAAGTGCAAGTAGATAAATAGGTACCACTCCGGCGGGAAGGTAAACAGTGTTTCTGTACGCTGCTCTGGTTCGCCAGAAGTGGCTTAGTCATGCTGGCCACATGACCCGGAAGCTGTACGCCAGCTCCCTCAGCCAATAAAGCAAGATGAGCATCGCAACCCCAGAGTCGGCCACGACTGGACCCAATGGTCAGGGATCCCTTTACCCTTTACCTTAAATTTCCAAGTATGCACTTGGATCGCTTCCACCGAATACTAATAGCCTGGAGGTGCCCATATGCAATACTGAGCTAGATAGATCAGGGGTCTGACTGTATCAGGCCGGCACCGATTCACCCCCTGTGCCCCACCCGGCTGCTCTTCTCCAAAAAAGACCGAGCTGCAGGAAGTCTAGCCACATCAGCTAAGTATCAACCTTCTTGATACCCACAGGCCTGGACATCTCAGGTGGTTCTTCCTCTCAGGCATGCCTGCTGCTCTTGGCAAGTAGGGCTGCAAACTTACCTGCGAGTTAGCAATACTGTGCACCATAGGGCTTACTTCCAAGTAAACATGCATAGACTCGCACTGTAAGAGACCGTGCCCTGTATTAACTATATGGGCCATATTTTTGCCTGCCTTCTTTTGTGTGTGTGTTTGTTTTTCTCTCTCTCTCCATTCTGATTTAATCAAATGGATCTCATTTGATGTGTTCAGGTTCCAACAGAGAACAAAAAAACAACAATTTTTTAAAAAAATCTCCTGGCATTTTAAGCAATTGACATGCCCTTTCTCCCACCAGCCCACCCCGCTCATTTGGAGGGAGATCATAGCTTTCCAAATGCCTTTGCCATGTGGTATGAAGCAAACATTTCCAGTAGTTGCACCTGGCCCCCTGGCAGATCTGTCTCAAGAACTTCATCTTTGCAGCTTCCATTGGGTTTGCTGCACAGGGTTGCAAGGAGTGAAGCTTAGAGACAGTGATGGCTGGGGCCCATTGCAGCCAGTAGGGTGGAAAGCAGGGAGGCCAACAGTAGGTGGCGCCAGAGCCAACGACAGGTGGAGACAACTGATTCTAGTGTTGTCCTTCCTGCTGAGTTCTGCAAGGGGGGAAGCTGAGACTAAGGAGGAGGATGTTTGTTCCAACACAGAGAAGTCTCCAGTGCACAAACTCTAGTTCACAAGTTCACAAGGGAATGTTTGTCCAATATGTCTTCTGGGACCCTGAAAGTATCCTAGACGACCTATAGACTTCAAGACTTTGCACATTTGCAACGTGGCTTATATATATATATATAGAGAGATATATATATATATATATAGAGAGAGTGAAACTGGTTGATCAAGTGATCTGCTTATAGCCCATTCCCAAGCACGAACTGCCAAGATTATCCAGTCCTTGTTTGTGCCTGTTCTATGCAATCCGTACTCTTCTGCTAATGTTCTTAGCGATCTCCAAAGCTGTGCCCAAGAATGCCAGCAGCCATGAAAAAGCACATATTGCTCACCTGGAGTTGATTAGAACATGTAAACCTAATTCCTAAATCATATATATATATATATATGTATATGTATATGTATATATATATATATATATATATATATATATGTTTTATTAGTTTTCCAATAATAGCCAAATTATGACAATAACAATTAATTTCTAATTCCTAAATCTCCAGCATTTCAAGAGAACTGGCAAGCATAGATTCATCTGAGGCCCTTTAAAACAACAGCAGATTGCCAGCTAATCAATAAAATGCGATGCATTGAGCATTCCCGCTAATACCCTTTTTGTATTTCGTCGCATCTTTTGCCAAATCTAGATTCTTTTAAAGGCCATAGAGTGGAGGCCAACTATTTTCCGTTTCTTAGACATTCATTTCTGCAGAACTCTGTCACATAATGAGTTCTTTATGGGTCTGACCCTCAAACAACTTTCTCTGGAGGATCATCAGTGAGCTTTTAACAAGCTTCCCCTCCCAAGTTTGAATGTTTCGTCGTTTTCAGACTGCCCAGGTTTATGTTCGTCTGGCATTTGCAAGGTTGGATTCTCAGTTAAAAGCGGGAACTATGTTACGAGCTGAAGGAAATAAGGGGCATCTGAACAAGGAAAAGGATTCCTTGTCAGTATCTTTTCTTCTTAGTTGGAAAAAACGAGGTAGAAAAGGGCATTATATAACTTGACAGATTTCATAAATCAGGTTGGCTGGGCAGCTTTGAAATGAAGTATTCTAATAGACTGCACACTTCTTTATGCTGTACATAAATAAATATGAAATACGTTTTTTCTTTTGATTTTCTAGGCATCCTTGGAGCTTTATTACAGTAAAGGGGAGCCCTTCCTCTTCTGTTGAAGACCACATAGAGTACCAAGGTAATTAAAAGTAAATAGATCCTTGAAACTGGAGGTTGAAATTAGTCTCTCTTTTTTTGGAATAAATTTTATTAGGGTTTATAGAGAATAATACAAAACTTGATGTGAAATATTTTTTTTCTTCCTTTTCGTCCAAATTAAGACTTTGATATAAATACAATAAAAACATAAAGGGTGTGGGGAGAGAAAGGATTAAAGAAAGAGAAAGAGAGAAATAAAGAAAAAGAAATAAAAAGAGGTTTAAAGGAGGAGGGAGAAAATCGGAAGGTAAGGAACTTCCGATTCTTTGTCCACTACATATAAACAGTATTCACTTCATCCACTCCAATATTACACACAACAAAGCCACTTTCTAGAAACAAACAGTATCTTCAATCCTCAATTGCAAATGTCATTATTTCATTTTCTTTTTCACATGAAAACTCTATGAGAAGTTTCCACAAATTAGTCATTCTGACCAGAATGGTTTCCACAGTACATGCATTGACCTGGGCAAATATAATCTGAAACCATGGTTTGTGCAAATCATAATTAAGAACCCACACCATGGGGTTGATCCAGGCTGCCACTTTCCCCTGGGGGGAAAAAAGATCTTTACCACTGAATCAGAGCAAATGTCAATCGGATTTTCCACAGATCAAAGTTTCCTCTGTTTCAGTGCTTAAAGAGCAGGTTTTCCAGGGGAAAGTGGGAGGATGAACAAAAAGCTGCTCATATCTCTGCAGGGACAAGCAGAGGTGTGGACAAGTCAATCGTTTGAGCTTCCAGACAACAGAGCAGGCAAATCAAGGTTCAGAGCTGCTTGCCTGCTTTCGGATCCTATCTCCTCAGGACTAAGCTTCATCAGTTTACTTCTGTTGCTCATAGTGCAATAGCTCTTGAGGTAGAACAGGGGCCCTTTCATTGGAAAGCCTGTAAATTCAGATGTGGCAACAGCTCCAGTTTGCAGACCAGACTCAAACTGTGGTTTTAGTTTGTCGGCCCTAAATAAACCACAGCTTGTGGGCAGGTTTGGGTTCAGACATAAAGCGAAACCGCAGTTCATCTAAACAAACCTTGTTTTCGTGGCGCACCTGAACCCAGATGTTGTCCTCCCTTTTGCACTCCCAACTTCATAGCTAGTAGGAAGTTCCAGGTTTTACGGAGCCCATTTCCTTGCAGGGAGAGTGCACCATGACTTGCCTTCGTAACAGGTGTGGGAGTACAAAATATACAAGCCGTGGATGGGAGGACAGGCAGGCGTGCAAGGAGGGCAATGAAGGAAGAGTTGTTTCCCAAACGCAGACAGCACACATGAATGCAGACACAAAGGTGTTTCCCAAAGTTCTTCCTCCTTCCTGGTTCCCTTTAAAAAACAAACAAAACAAAAACCAACCTGTCAAATTGTTTCTCTCCCAGAACCTGCAAGAAACTAGTAGTGGAAAACTGCTCATCCTTTTAGATGTTTCTAAAGGCCGCATTTCGAGTGGTTGGAAAATGCAGTTTTCCCTCCAGGACCTCTTGAGGCAAAGACGCCTGGATTTCTTGCAAAAGCTAAATGAATGTGTTATCTAAGAAAGATGAATTGGAATGGAACTTTCCATGTGCCCTTACTGCTGTATTGTTAAGACGTTCTTGCAGAAGGAAGTCAAGGGGGACTTATTCTGGAGCTAGAATATGATGAGTGGGTGGGTGGGGGAGAGAATCTCTAATTCTCCACCCTGATTATTTGTGCTGATTTTGCAGACTCTCCCTTTCAGCAGGGGAGCAAACACCCCATAATGGATGGGAGGAATGAGGCCAAGATCTAGCACTTGTGTTTGAAATGTTGCAGGTACTTACCAAACCAGTCCTAAATCCCAAGAGGAGAAGGAATGTTGAAGTGTCGACAGCTTCTCCGTACTCATCCAGAAGGGCTGGGGCTGCTAGTAACTTCTTGTACTTTGCCTTTTGCAGGACACCGAGGCTCAGCCATTGCCAAGGTCTTCAAACTCTTCCAAGCAGACAATGGAGAGCATTTCAATGTGTCTTCAACCAGTGAGTGGGTTCAAGGTGAGGCCTCACCCCCACCCCTGCCACCATCACTATTTTTCAGTAGCCTGAAGCGTAGGGAGATCCACAATGCACATTTAGGGCACATTCAACACACTTTTAAAGTACATAAAAAGGTAAAGGGACCCCTGACTATTAGGTCCAGTCGTGGCCGACTCTGGGGTTGCGGCGCTCATCTTGCTTTATTGGCCGAGGGAGCTGGTGTACAGCTTCCAGGTCATGTGGCCAGCATGATTAAGCCGCTTCTGGCGAACCAGAGCAGCGCACGGAAACCTTCCTGCCGGAGTGGTACCTATTTATCTACTTGCACTTGACGTGCTTTCGAACTGCTAGGTTGGCAGGAGCTGGGACCGAGCAACAGGAGCTCACCCCGTTGCAGGGATTCGAACCGCTGACCTTCTGATCGGCAAGTCCAAGGCTCTGTGGTTTAACCCACAGTGCCACCCATGTCCCTACATAGCTTCCCCCAAAGAGTCCTACAAGCTACAGCACCCAGCATGCTCAACAAACTGCAATTCCCAGGATTCTTTGAGGGAGGTCATGTGGATTGAATGTGCTATATAACTGTATGGTTATATGATCAGCCTGTGCAGGCAGCAGTTTGGAATCCTCTCCCTTGTTGCATAAATCATTCCTTCAGAGCTAGGGGTAGGTCACCTTTTCGGGCATGATGGCCACATTCCCCTGGGTGGCAGTAGGTGGGACCAATGTAAATAAAAATAAAAATGGGTGGAGCTAATGTAAAAAGTGGGTGGTCAGTCCTCTCCCTCTTTCCCCATTCATCAGTTCATTCTCTCTCTCTCTCTCCTCTAGGCTTTCATTGCAGCAGGGCAGCAAAATGGCCTCTGAATAACTATGAATTAACTATGGCCACATTCACATCATACATCTAAAGTGCTGTAATCCCACTTTAAACACTCCTGGTTTTCCCTGAAGTATTCTGGGAGCTGTAAGGGCATTGAGAATTGTTATCAGACCCCTATTTCCCTCACTGAGCTATAATCCTCCAGTGTTCCCTTTGAAGAGGAATTGATCGTTAAACCACTCTGAGAATTGGAGCTCTGGGAGGGCAATAGGGGTCTCCCAACAGCTCCTAAGCACCCTTAGCAAACTACAGTTCCCATAACTCTTTAGGGGAAGCATTGACTGTTTAAAGTGGCATCAATTGCATGGTGTGTATATGGCTTGTGCCAGATTAAAAATGTGACTGTTTTAAGAGTTTGCAGTAGCGTAGGGAGCTGTTGGCCCCTATTGCTGCATCATTTCACTTGTTCCAGGTTTCTGTAGAGCACTTTTAGTGCAGTATTGGAATGCCGTTGACTTAAAGTTACTTAACCTTAGCGCAACTAGGTCAGCTATTAAGCTTATACTGTGTTTGTGTTGTGAATCCATGCAACTTTTAAGAATAGCACTCTCTTCCCCCTACACACACACAGCTTGACGCACTTCACAGCATCCCCAAATAGCAGCTGACAGACCCACAACCAGAGCCAGGGAGTGGGCAGTTGTGGAAGAGACTTGCTAACGGTGCTTGGCACCAACATCAGTGGAACACATTTTTGTCGCATTGGTTAAGGTTGTTCTGTCCAAAATGACCTTCCTTCATGTTGACTGCTTTTCCTTCTCTCCCTGCCCCCCTTCCAATCCTGCCCCAGATGTGGAATGGACAGAATGGTTTGACAAGCCTGAAAAAGCAAAATCCAAAGATGGAGAGCGACTTTCAGATTTTCGGGCTGCTCACCCCGAAGTTTGTGATCACCCCATTAACATCCAGGTAGGACAGCCTAGGGGACTGACCTCTCCCTGCTATTACATCCCTCTTCCCCCTTCCAGTTGTCAGCCAACCATTTCGACCATTTTATATGGAGTTTAAAGCTGTAAAATGAAAACGGTTTATTAGACCACGTGGCTTTTGGGTGGCTTCTTGTTTTCTAACTACTCTATATAGATGGGTGTGATAGAGATGCTTGCCAGAGAGGCACTTTGAAAGCCAGCTGGGAGCTAGGACCTGTTTCTCATTCAAGGACTGAAGCCACAGCCTCAATATACATTTAATGCAGTATCCTATCACTGTAGTCAAGGCTTCCCCCAAAGAATCCTGGGAAGTGTAGTTTGACGAGGGTGCTGAGAGCTGTTAGGAGACTCTGTTGCCCCCTCACAGAGCTTCAGGAACTGAATTTTTAAAGCACCGTGAGAATTGTGGGTCTGCGAGGGGAATAGAGTCTCCCAGCAACTCTTGGCACCCGTAACAAACAATACTTCCCAGGATTCTCTGGCTGTTATGCTATTTTCCCAGTCTGGTTAAGATGTTGTTCTGGAAAAAGCGACCTCTTTCACAGACCGAATACCTTGTAAACAAGCAGCGGCATGAAATAAAACAATTGCTAGTGGAGGTAAGCTGCCAAAATAAGAAAGAGCCTTGATACCTTTCTCTGTGGCACAAACAATTTCTTTAAAAAAACATTGTTATGCAGCAGCTTGTAGTTTGAGTCAACATCTCCTCCTTTGTTCTGCCTCCACTGTTGGAGACAATATGCCTCTTGAGTACCAGTTACTGGAAATCAGAGGTGCAGGGAGTGCTTTTGAATTTGGATCCTGTTTGTGGGTTGGCTACTGTGAAAGAGGGACTAGATGGGACTAGATGGGTCTTTGGCCTGATCCAGCAGGTTCCTGGTTTTGGTGTACAGTTTCATGTGAAAGCAAAACACCTGTCCCCCCCCCCATTGCACAGGTGGTGTTGAGCACACAACTTTTATTCTTCACGCTCGATTACTACTCATCTTGCATTTCCATTCCCCTTCCAGGCAGTCACACTCGATGGAGTGAACCTGACAACTGAGGTTCACTACAAAAGTGGCCGTGATTATAGGTTTTTCTGCCGTGGCCCAGGACAGACTCCCGGAGGCTGCCGTAACTACAGAGTGCGCTTCTTATGTGGCAAGCCTGGTATGTGACTAATTTTAAAAGCTTGGGCAAAAGTTGCTTCTACTGACCTACTTATTGTAAAGGAAGTAGCATTTTACCTCAGAACTATAAATACCTCGGTAATGGAGGCTTTCCATGAGTCTGAAACACCTTCTAATTCTGTAGTGTCTTTCTCATCCAAACACTTTCCATTTCTGCTTACTAGCTTCCCATTCTCCTAACCAAGATTCTAGTCCTCATGCACCAACTTATACTGACACACTGTGGCCAAGAGATTGATATTGAGGCATTGGAAAAATGAAAGTACGATACCTTTCAATCAATGGACTGACGATATGACAACACTCATAATTCATGAACGGGCTGCTTACAGGTGCAGACTCTGTATGGATAAATACATTGACATTTGGAATAAGTTTATACAAAATGTTGTAGGCTATTAACATTTACATAAGCACTAGGACAATAACACTGTACCAATTTATATAAGAAAGTATGGGAATATCGTATATTGCTTTCCCCCCTCCATATTCTCGCTTTCATATGTATCTTTGCTCTTGTTGTTTTTCTCCCTTTCACTTTTCCTTCTTTCTTTTCTCTATCACTTTATTTCTTTTTACTGAAATCACTTTAATAAAATATAAATATTTTTTAAAAAAACTTATCCTGACACACATCTCCCAGCAGTCAATCACAAAACATCTAGTACAGTCATACATTGGTTCTCAAACTTAATCCGTTCCGGGAGTCCATTTGACTCTTGAAACTGTTTGAAAACCAAGGCACAGCTTCCAATTGGCTGCAGGAGCTTTCTGCACTCAATTGGAAGCCATGGAAGCCACGTCGGACGTTCAGCTTCCGAAAAACGTTCGCAAACAAGAACACTTACTTCCGAGTTTGCAGCGTTCAGGAGCCAAAACGTACAAGTACCAAGGCGTTCTAAAACCAAGGTACGACTGTAATCTTAAAGGTCTCTAAAAGGATACGGGAAATCACAGTAGTGTGGCCTACATAGAATGCTAGTCAAGACAGGCTTTTGGTCTCACCCAACCATTTCTTTTCATTATACATGCTCAACAATTCCAAGAGTGGCACATTGGCATCACCAACACCCAGCTGAAACTCCACTGAAGTGTTTCACAAGGTGCTCAATATCTCTCCCCTCCATCAAATATAAGTGGGAGGATTAATTATTGTGGTGAATGCCATCAATACTGGCGAAGCGACAATTATTTCAGAAAGCAGTCATTTTATTTTGCAGACGTTCATTTTAACCAAGGCGGTGATTCCATGCAGTTCTTTTGACCTTCATTTTTCAAAAGGCAAAAAAAGATGGCTGTTTTGTTGATTAGCATGAGGAAACCATTGTATCATGCTGAAGACAGCTACTGCAGCATCTTTAAATGACACCTCTGAGTAACCGTAAATGCTGGGTCTGAGAGGGTGTGGTGCCATAGGCCCACAAAGAGCTGCGTTTAAATTTAGTGAAGGGGTTAGTGGAAAAACACACTTGCCAGTAAATAATGAATGGAGCCTATTTTGTTTCACTTCTTGAGTTTTGCACATTAAAAAAGAACCTGACAGCATGGTTGGAGGAGTTGTCTTGTATTTCCTTGGGCCAGTCAACCACTTACTTTCGTTGGTGTGAAACATGTCCTTTAAGATTAAGTGAACAATTTGTGAAGTAAATATTCTGTCTCTCCAACCCCCCTCCCCATTTATTTATTTTGTGTTTGTGTCCTGTATTGGCTTTCCAGTGAGACCCAAGCTTACAGTCATGGTTGACACCAATGTAAACAGCACCATCTTGAGATTGGCTGATAATGTGCAGTCATGGAAGGCTGGAGATAAGATAGTTGTGGCCAGTACAGATTATTCCATGTATCAAGCCGAAGAATTCCAGATCTTGCCCTGCAGAGCCTGTGGACCCCATGAAGTCAAAGTGGCGGGTAGGTCATCATATTGGAATTCATGATTTTGATGTCTGCACAGTTTGTGTCTGTGGCTGCTTCCTGGTAACCTGTTTATTAAGTGTTCACTCTGATTTATTTGCAGGGAGATTAGATGAGGTTTTCCATTTACTGAGCATTTATTCTGATGTGTTTGTGGGGAGGTTAGATGATACTGCATCAAGCAGTTGTTGACCCACACTTTTCAGTATCTCTTCCCATTACTTTCCTAATTGCGAAATGTGTGGTGATGGGGCAGGGGTGTGTGCAGATGAGTTTGTTGTGCAAGAACAACACAATTGCACAAATGGCAACAGTCTAGAAGCACCCTGTCTCTTTTGCCTGTGCTATTTTTAAACCTCGTGCCTAAAAATCAGTGAACCGTTCAAATTCCTTGTAAGCTTGTGTCTTTCCAGTAGGGAAAAGGGACTGAGATGCTGGGTTTTAAAATAAGATTGGTAGCAGATAAACAAAGTGGACAAGGAGGAAAAGAGGAGATAGGAGAAGCCAAGAGACAGCCGGTGGTACAGAGAAAAAGCTTGGGTTGAATGCAACAGTGAAGGAGTCAGTGCAATGATGATGATGTTGTTGTTGATGGTGATGATGATAGAGGTGTTACTCAGAGAAGTTGAACCCTAATGAAAGGAAGGAAATGGGGGGGGGGATAAAACTGGCCTATCTTATGGGATTGTTGTAAGGATCCCTGATAAAATGAAAATCAGCCCTATGTAAATATAAGCAGTGGTCTTCTTGTTGTCAGAAATTTGATCAACACCGTGCTATACAAAACAGGCCACTCCTTGACAACCACATGCCCCCATTATATTCTTTGTAACCTGCTCAGTAAGACCTGTAGTTGGCCCTTTGTGAAATGGGCCGAAAGGAGTTTGGTGCTTTGTGCCAAAGGAAATATTATTCTGGTTTCAAATGCATCATAGGCTCATGACTAAAGATGGCAAGCTCTCTGTGAGAAAAATGTATCAGCAGCGTTGATGGTGTTTTTCCCCCTTTCCCCAGAAACACTTGGATGATTGGAAAAACCACATGAAATGTGTGTGACACAGGTTACATCATGAGAACAATCTTGGGTGATAGTCAATGAAAACAAAGCTGGAACAGGGTGTATTACTTGGGTTCCACTAGCATCTGAAAACCATGCTAGTGGGGAGTTGCAGAAGGAAAGTGGCAGGAGAAGGGTTAAGCGCCTCCCCCCTCCATTTGCAGTTTCTCTGCTAGAAATGGCATCCTCCCAGCACTGCTTTGCAGTGGAGAAGTCTTGGCTGGCTTCTGAGAATCCAAGTTGGTTGCACAGTGTTGGCCTCAGTTGCATAATGAGGTGGCATCGATGGAAAATTCCTCCTGTCTCTAGTTCACTGTCCTGTGCAATAGAAACAGGAGAACTGTTGAATATCTTTTCCGGGACTTCTCATAGAAAATGTTGATAAACATTAGTCAGGGAGAGTTAGGGATAAAGGATGTATTCAACGAAGTTTTATACAAAATAGACCCATAGAAATCAATGGACCTAACTTAGTCATGTTAATTAATTTACTCTAAGACTTAGTTTTATGTCTTCCACTGAATCCTGTTGCACTTCAACAGGATTGGAGTGAATCATTCTGTAAGGGTTTTTAACAATATTATTAAACAGATGCTAGCTCAGCTACGGATAGGCATTGCTTCTGAGTTTGTGAAACAGACAGAATTGCAACTAGTAAAGTTTCTTTTCTTCTCATTGCTACAGCCCTGTATTGGGAAAAGCGGTATCAGTTGAATTTATTTCTGCCATGCCACTATAAAAACGCAAAGGGGGAAATGGTGGTAACTGTTAAGTTTGCTGCATGAATAACATCCGCCTAATACAACCGCCTAATGGTTAAACTAGAGATTTGTGGTTTTATAACGCCTTTTGTGACTGAGTCAAGTGCTAATTATAACCAGTGTCCTCATCGTTTAGCGATATTTTCATATACTCTGCATTAGGATATTTGGCCAAATGAGTTGAGCTGTTTTTAACAGTTCCTGCTAATAAATTATGCTGGCTTGACAAACAGAACTGCAGAGAAACAGATGGGAACTGGGCATCCACAGGCGGTCAGGAGTGGGGCGTTCAGCTGCGTGCCATAAGAATTTCACACTCTCACACATGAACACCTACCTTGAATGAGGGAAGATACAATAGCTTGAGTGAATCATAGAATCATAGAGTTGGAAGAGACCACAAGGGCCATCGAGTCCAACCCCCTGCCAAGCAGGAAACACCATCAGAGCACTCCTGACATATGGTTGTCAAGCCTCTGCTTAAAGACCTCCAAAGAAGGAGACTCCACCACACTCCTTGGCAGCAAATTCCACTGTTGAACAGCTCTTACTGTCAGGAAGTTCTTCCTAATGTTTAGGTGGAATCTTCTTTCTTGTAGTTTGGATCCATTGCTCCGTGTCCGCTTCTCTGGAGCAGTGTAAGTGAAGACAGCTATTAAGGCGTTGTACCCAGAAGAAGACTGATAAATTGATGTCAGGATGGGAGTTGCCTAACTCGAGCAGCTCCTGCAAATTTCCCCCTCATGCTTTCATCATATGCTTTCATAGATGCCAACTCCCTGCGGCCCTGGGTGCCTGAGCACCCACAAAATTCCCCATGAAGGGGCCAGGCACCCACAAATTTCAATGCCAGGGCCATGCATGCTCCATGGCGCCCATCACTTCAGGCACCCACGGTCGCAGAGCCAAGCAGGCACTCCTGTATGCTGTTGATGTTGCTGATGTTATTTTAATTTCAAAGGAACAGAAAAAGTGAGGTGAGCTTCCGTGTGAAGTTGTCGAAACATGGATGTCTAAGTTATTGGAATCCCACCATTTTTAATCATCATTATGTGAACTTTAGGCACAGGTTATTTAGTCTAGAGGAGACTCTGCAGAAGTTCAGTAGAGGTTGCCAGTGGGGGGAGAGTCAATTTCTCACAAATTATCTCTAAGCATGAGTTTGGAATAAGGTGTGTTCCCAGAGCATTGGATACCCACCTCAGACGGAACAGATTAATCAGTAAAGATTTGCTGTACTGACCTCCAGTGATGGATGCATGTGAGAAGTTATTAAGTTTAAATCAGGGTCTATTGGATGGGAACAATTTGGTTTTTAAGAAATGATAGAAAATTATTGCAAGCAATTAAAATAAATAAATTCAAAGTGTCCTTTTTTTAAGAAAGAAAGAAAAGGATTTAGATTTTTAAAACTTCTCCATGGGCTTAATTTGTCCCACACTGTCCTTGTTCATGGTGCTTTGTGGAGCAAAATATGCAAAAGGGACAGGTACAGTACATTTATATTCCATATTGCTCCTTCACAGATATTATAAATGGGGTTCCATGGGAAATCTCACTGTTAAATTGCTCTGGAAATTGTAGCTTCGTGAGGGGAATAAGTACCTCCTAACAACTCACAGCATCCTTAACAAACTACAGTTCCCAGAATTCTTTGTGGGAAGAACCTTGGCTTGATACCACTGTTCTTTCCTTACCTCACCCTATAATAAGCCACTTCTACATACTTTGCACATCTGATTTTCATGCAGAATTCTGCCTCCAGTTCATGGGAATGGGGCTTAAAAGGTTCGGCAAAGTCCCTCTCAGTTGAAGGATGTTTCACAGCTTTCCTATCACTCATTAGGCATTGTTTTTCTATGGTTTGTGTCGTCTCCGCCCCCAGGGAATGGATTCAAATTCTTTGATGCTTTGCATCTGGATTTCAAAGAACTCTGGAGATGCCCAGAGCGAAAGGCAGCAAAATGGAAGGCAGGAAGGGTGGGACAGGGTAGAAGATCAAACAACAATAATTCCCAGCCTTATCTGCAGCTGCATAGCCACATGAAAAGTGTCCAACCCTTGATAAGTTTCACAAATGGGCAGAAATGACGCAACACCCTTCTAATGTACCCGATAATAAGTAACATGAATGAACTGGTGGGTGTCATTGTTCAGACCAGAACACCCTTATAATAGATGGCTGGTTACAGTTCATCTGTGAATGTATCTTGACTGTGTGAAAATCCGATTATCAGTAGACCTCCGAGGCGGCTCAATCTGTGGGAATCCAAAAGTGTGGGAAAAGTACATTAGAACTGGACATTTCTCAAATCAGATGCAGGGCTTGTTTCTCACGAGTTTGCCCATCTATACCCTTTTTATTTGTTTAGAAGGAAATGAGGCCATTTTGTCCTTAATGGCTGACTGCCTCTCGGACGGCAACATGTATTATAATCCATAGTTATTGACTACTCTGCCAATAGAGACTCCGCAGGCAAATTCTGTTTCAATTTTTAAATGCCTGTCGAAAACTCTCTTATTCCATCAGGCCTAGGCAGGCAATTGAGATACAGTGGTACCTCGTGTTACGTACTTAATCCGTTCCGGAGGTCCGTTCGTAACAGGAAGCGGCTCATAACATGAGGCGCACTTTCTCTCATGGCGCCTCCCGCTGCTGCCGCGCCACCGGCGCACGACTTCCGCCCGAATCCCGGGGCAAAGGTCGCAAGAAGGGGCATCTACTTCCGGTTTAGTGGAGCACGTAGCCCGCAGCATTCGTAAGGGGGGCGGTACGTAACACGAGGTACCACTGTAGTTGGAAAAAATTCTGATTTTCTCTCTTTTACATGGTTTTTATTGTATGGTTTGTATATGTTGTAGTTGCAAACCACTCTGATTTTTTTAAAAAAATGAATAGCTCTATATAAATAGTTTTTTATAAATAAATAGGGATATCAAGTATGATAAAGCAGGCAATGAGTAATGGTTATTATGGCAAGGGATTGGAGAACTTTCTCCAAACTTGTCGGGTGGTAACAAAATATCTGAACATATAGGGCAAAAAAGGTGGTGATCCCTAATAATAACAATAAAAACATTTTTCACAACAACCCTGCAAGGTAGGGATGGGGAACCTGTGACTCTCCAGATGGGCTTAAGCTCCCAGCAACTGCAGCAAACATGTTCAGTGGTCAGGGATGATGGAAGTTGTCATCCAATGATATCTGGAGGGCCATAGGTTCCCCGTCCCTGAGGTAAGTGGAATACATACAGTGGTACCTCGGGTTAAATATGCTTCAGGTTACATACGCTTCAGGTTACAGACTCTGCTAACCCAGAAATAATAATAATAATAATAATAATAATAATAATAATAATAATTTATTATTTATACCCCGCCCATCTGGCTGGGCTTCCCCAGCCACTCTGGGCGGCTTCCAAAAGAATATTAAAATACTATAATACATCAAACATTAAAAGCTTCCCGAAACAGGGCTGCCTTCAGATGTCTTCTAAAAGCCTGGTAGTTGTTGTTCTCTTTGACATCTGGTGGGAGGGTGTTCCACAGGGAAGGCGCCACTACCGAGAAGGCCCTCTGCCTGGTTCCCTGTAACCTGGCTTCTTGCAGTGAGGGAACTGCCAGAAGGCCCTCGGTGCTGGACCTCAGTGTCCGGGTAGAACGATGGGGGTGGAGACGCTCCTTCAGATACCTCGGGTTAAGAACTTTGCTTCAGGATGAGAACAGAAATCGTGCTCTGCCGGTGCTGCGGCAGCAGGAGGCCCCATTAGCTAAAGTGGTGTTTCAGGTTAAGAACAGTTTCAGGTTAAGAACGGACCTCGAGAACGAATTAAGTTCTTAACCCGAAGTACCACTGTACTGCAGATGGTGAGAGAGAGGGGGAGAGAGTTGCCTAAGGCCATCTACTGAGTTAATGAGAGAAGAGATATTTAAACCAGAAACTGATAGGGGTGTGTGATTTTATCATTTTCTGTTTCTCATTTTTCCAATCTTAAATTCGGTGCTCCACTTTTTTCCCTTTGTAAAAAGGTCATCATGCAAATGCATCAGCATTTTGCTGCAAATTTTAGTGTGCAGTTTTGCCTACTTTGCAAATGAAATATCCCTAATAATATCCCTAATATTATCCCTAATAATATCCCTAATATTATCCCTAATCGCCTATCTTTGCAAATGAAATATTATCCCTAATAATATTTGCATATTATTTTCAAAAATATTTGCATTCATATGCAAACCTTACCTTAGTATATGCATTATTATTTGTAGAAATTTACTCAGCTGGAGATCTGCATTGCAAAATTCAGAGAAGTGTGAGTTTTGCAGGCTGACTTTGCATCCTGTTTGAGAAAGTGGGATTTGGGAAAGCTCTGCTTTCAGTGTGAACTGAATCAAATTTCTCCCTTATCGCTACTTCCTGGTTTCTATAACCGAGTCTCTTTCTATCATCTGTGCTACACCAGTTACCATCTGTTTTCCTATTGCTTTTGTTCCTTCTTTCTCTCTTTGCGAGTAGGTTTGCCAAAGTGCTAACTGGAGCACAGGAAATATATTCTGCTAGGTTGCCACTTCTGATAGCTGTACATGCAATTATTTTGTTGTTGGTACATTGCATGTGTGCGCAATGAAATGTGCACACGTGTGATTATCTACATCATCACACCTGCGTGTGCAGATAGTTATCCCATGCGGCAGTGTACATATGGATTTAATGGATTTCCTAGATGTAATTATATAAAACTGCATTCTGCTGAGTCAGATCATTGCTCCAGCCAGCGCATGGACTGACTGCTACTTTCTACAAATGGACGCAGATTGTTCTTTCTAGCACAGTATATTTTGACTGCATTCCAAGGCCTGCAGCTCAGTGTTACGTCATTTGCTTTGCACGTAAAAAACCCCCCCAAATTAAATCCTCCAAGAGGAAGGTCATCATAATATTTGATAGCACAGCTTTCAGAAACAACAACAACAACCCTGTGTCGAAATCTTTGCAAAGCTGTTGCCTGTCAAACCAACGCACTAAATGCACTAAATTAACTCGGTAATAAGGTATCTTCATGTGTCTTGGGCTGCATTCGCAGTCATGTTTCCCAGACTGTTAATATCCATATAATATTTGAGCTTTTGCACAACATAAAAGCCACTTCCAGAAATACGGCAGAAGATAGCTCAAGTTTATTGCTAATTTCCACATTATTTGCTTTCAGGGAAAAAAAATGTTTGCAAATCACATGGAAATAAGCACTAAACTTGTGCTATATTTGGCTATATTTTTGGCAGGGAAGCTAAAATATAGTTAGGAAATGAACAGTTATGGAAACATCAGGAAACAGAATTGACTGCCATGGGAACTGCCACCTTAGGACCTTTATTGCCAGACAACCTGGGGCTTAAATCCAGGAGAAACTTTCTGCACACATTACATGTGCTCTGCTTGCGTCCCACGCACTCCTCCCCTCCCCTAATTTATGCAGCAGGCCATGTGTGGAAGAGTGTGCAAAACTAAACAGTGTGGCTGGTGTCACAATAACTGTTTGTCTGCATCCACCGAGCGAAAGGCTTGACGGAGCACTCGCCTTAAGCGTCACTCTAACCGCAGATCTCATTTACAGTTCTTTGGGGTAAGATGTTCTTGCTTCCGATATGAAGAGCTTTCTTTCACATCTGTCTCTCTGATGTGCCCCATGGGGCTGGTTGCGCACCAAGCGCCTAATGTAAATTGGCAGCCGGCCCTGCATTCTTGTTGCCCAAAAAGAGCAAAAACAAGAATTCTTGCCACAACAGGTCTCTTGTGTGTTGAAAACAAACGCAAAACCCTATGCTGCCTCTCTCGGTGTTTGCGGATATCACATTAAAGAAAATAAAACCTCCCCCTTCCAAAAAAAGAAAGCTAAAAGGGATAAAAATTAAAAAAAGGTATACAGTACAAAACAATAGCAGCATAAGAAAGTACACATATAGCTCAGTTGGTTAGAGCATGGTGATGATAACGCCAAGGTTGCAGGTTCGATTCCCATATAGGATGGTTGCCTATTCCTGCATTGCAGAGCGTTAAACTATGAAGCTCTGGGTCCCTTCAAACTCTACAGTTCTAGGATTCTATATCCCAGCGGTGGAACAGGATGATGAAGATGATAGCTGTTATTTATTGAACTTTTAGAAGACATCTGAAGGCAGCCCTGCTGAGGGAAGCTTTTAATGTTTAATAGGTTATTATGGGACGCGGGTGGCGCTGTGGGTTAAACCACAGAGCCTAGGACTTGCCGATCAGGTCGGCGGTTCGAATCCCCGCGACGGGGTGAGCTCCCGTTGCTCAGTCCCTGCTCCTGCCAACCTAGCAGTTTGAAAGCACGTCAAAGTGCAAGTAGATAAATAGGTACCGCTCCGGCGGGAAGGTAAACGGCGTTTCCGTGCGCTGCTCTGGTTCGCCAGAAGCAGTTTAGTCATGCTGGCCACATGACTCGGAAGCTGTCTGCAGACAAACGCCGGCTCCCTCGGCCAATAAAGCGAGATGAGCACCGCAACCCCAGAGTCGGTCATGACTGGACCTAATGGCCAGGCGTCCCTTTACCTTTACCTTTAGGTTATTGTATGTTAATATTATGTTGGAAGCAGCCTAGAGTGGCTGGGGAAACAGGGTGGCAAACAAAGCAGAAACATTCGAAAAACAATTATAAAATAAAATAAAATCTAAAAGCAATTTTAGTTAAAAACATTCTTCCATCCAATGATCTTGAGATTTCCAAGATCGTGCTCTGCTGTTTTCTACAAGCCAGAAATGAGCTACATAAAGAAACATCATCAGGGGCACTGTATTGCAACCACTCACAAAGCCCTGATCTATGCCACAGGTGTATTTTGCTCCCCATAGCAAAGCAACATGGACCAGACCCTTTAAAAGGCATGATGTGTAGTTTCTATGAGGAGAGGTTCCAAGGTAATTTAGGTCCCCTGCAATAAGGGGACTAGGCGTACCTAGTAATCCATATTACAGCACCCACTCCAGATTCCTCTCATTATACAAAAATAAGAAGAGCGCTGCTGGATGAAACCAAAGGACCATCTCGTTGAACATCCTGTTCTCACAGTGGTAAAGGTAAAGGTAAAGGGACCCCTGACCATTGGTCCAGTTGTGACCGACTCTGGGGTTGCGGCGCTCATCTCGCTTTATTGGCCGAGGGAGCTGGCGTACAGCTTCTGGGTCATGTGGTCAGCATGACTAAGCCGCTTCTGGCGAAACCAGAGCAGCGCATGGAAACGCCATTTACCTTCCCACCAGAATGGTACCTATTTATCTACTTGCACTTTGACGTGCTTTTGAACTGCTAGGTTGGCAGGAGCTGTGAGTAATGCAAACACTGTAAATTTGACAGAATGCCGAGATTTTGCAAGAACCGGTTCCTGAGTAAGAATTTCATTTGATTCTGCGTTGTTTATTCTGGTGGGAAAATCCTGGGGTTTTCGTGGCGAATATTGAGTAAGGGCAGAGGAGGAGGAAGGGGGATGTATAGGATTGAAGCAGGAGGCAATAGGTGTTTTAAGAGCAGGGGAACGAAGAAATGTGAATGCAAGACCCAGAAGAGGAAGAAGAGGGAAACACAAGTCAGTCTTGGGTTCTGTCTGGACAGTCCTATTGAGCATCCCAGCCTGGTTCTTGGCTATTTGTGTGTGTGTGTCACACAAATTTCTAGTTTCTCTAGGCTCTAGAGCAATTGCCAAGAGCAATTAGATATACAGGGGTACCTCGGGTTACAGACACTTCAGGTTACAGACGCTTCAGGTTACAGACTCTGCTAACCCGGAAATAGTGCATCGGGTTAAGAACTTTGCTTCAGCATGAGAACAGAAATTGCACAGTGGCGGTGCAGTGGCAGCGGGAGGCCCCATTAGCTAAAGTGGTGCTTCAGGTTAAGAACAGTTTTAGGTTAAGAACAGACCTCCAGAACAAATTAAGTTCTTAACCCGAGGTACCACTGTATTTTAATTTAGGTAATCTATGTAATAGGCTTATGTTAGAAAATGAATATGGATTTTGAATTTGGTGTTTGTAATTTTTTTTGGTATTTTTTTTTGGGGGGGGAAACAAATTTCTAGTTTCTCTGCTGGTGGTATAAATTGCCAAATTAACCTCCTGCAGAAATAGACATGCTTGGTGTGTTTGTTTTACCATCAAGCATTCCAGGAACCCAATTTATCGCTATTGTCTGGGGTGAATGTGGTATCAATACTCCGTAAGGAGAGGGCAGTGGAGGACAGCAACCACCTGAGACCCATTTCCTTATCTTGAATCTCCCCCGAGTCAGCAAAAGCACAACATGAAAACAAACACTCAGCATGTTAGTTATATATAGAACTCTCTTAGTGCATATTCAACATTCTTGTTGGCATTTAGCATTCTTAGCATGTCTCTGCAGGTGTTAAATAAAACCCAAGCCCATGCAAGTCTGAGATCTTATTATTCTAAAGCCCAGGCACGTGTACCTTTCATAAAAAGAGTTTTGTAGATCACTGCAGATGGTGACAGCAGCCATGAAATTAAGAGACGCCTGCTTCTTGGGAGAAAAGCAATGACAAACCTAGACAGCATCTTAAAAAGCAGAGACATCACCTTGCCAACAAAGGTCCGTATAGTTAAAGCTATGGTTTTCCCAGTAGTGATGTATGGAAGTGAGAGCTGGACCATAAAGAAGGCTGATCGCCGAAGAATTGATACTTTTGAATTATGGCGCTGAAGGAAACTCTTGAGAGTCCCATGGACTGCAAGAAGATCAAACCTATCCATTCTGAAGGAAATCAGCCCTGAGTGCTCACTGGAAGGACAGACCGTGAAGCTGAGGCTCCAATACTTTGGCCACCTCATGAGAAGAGAAGACTCCCTGGAAAAGACCCTGATGTTGGGAAAGATGGAGGGCACAAGGAGAAGGGGACGACAGAGGAAGAGATGGTTGGACAGTGTTCTCGAAGCTACCAGCATGAGTTTGGCCAAACTGCAGGAGGCAGTGGAAGACAGAGCCTGGCGTGCTCTGGTCCATGGGGTCACGAAGAGTCGGACACGACTAAACGACTAAACAACAACAACAAAAGCATCACCAAGACATTTATTTTGGGAAGCTTGCCCCATGCCTAGGGATAGCTGAATCTTACCAATTCTGGTTTCACTCCATTCCTTATTTTTCCAATCTCCACAGTTCTCAGTGCTCCACATTTCCATATTAGTTTGAAACCTGCATTTCAGCACAGATTTCTCCCAATCCACCATGCTTGTATGCAGTTTTGCCTAATATGCACATTTTTTGCAAAGCAGTTCCCCCTAATATAATGCGTTTTTGTATGTTTTGCGGTAATATATGCATTTCTATGCACAATTTAACCTAGTGTATCCATTTCTGCACACGTTACCTGGCTTCAGAAATGCACTGGAAAATTTAGAGGAGTGTGAATTTTGATGGATGGATGTATTTCACTTTGCATATTGCTTTTTGGAAAAGTGTGAATTAAGGTAGAATTGCCTTCATAGATGAACAGACCTGAATTTCTCTCCCATCTGCAACCACATTGCTTCAATGCATCTGCGCCACTCCAAAGCACTTAAAATGCAAAACAGTTGCAAAGAATCCCAGGGCACATAAACATGGAAAGCATTCTAAATCTGAAGGCCTGCCATATAAAAATCATCTGTCCAGCAAGACAAGATCGAGAATAAGTCAGAGCTTGTGGGAGATTTAAAAAATGTTAGAGGGGGGGTGGAGAGACCACTTGAGTTGAATAATGCAGCTTCTGCAATGGGTTACGTTAAGTGATTGTTTGTCCACTGCTTGAACCTTACCCAGGAATGTCTTCTGGTTTTTATGCCAGTTCTATTTGCAGATTCCAGGCCTTTATGTCAGAGGGTGAAAAATAGCTAAATCTGTTCGCTGCTGCGATTAAAACACATAGCAAACTGACAGCAGAAAACGTATTTCTGTATAATTGCCCTGAGCAAATAGCCAGTTATTTGAAGCACGTATGTCCCGCCAGTTAATTTTGTAGGCTTTTTGTCTGTGGACCGTATGCACATAATAAAACTTGAGCTGGCTGGAGGAAATGGTATGTTTTAAAGAATGTGGGGTTTTTTGAAAGGGGAGAGAGATGAGGCCTTGCAGATATTGGGGATCGAGGGAGGCCATCTTCTAGGTGCCGCAGCAGAAAATGGACGGACAGCAGCAACAGCTACAGAGGAGAAAAGCTCGCTTTTATTTACTATCTGCACCACTGGACACAGATGAATTCTTTTGCCCTCCTTATCAAAGTTCCGTATGAAGTTTTGCAGGGATCTCCCCTTTCTGGCTCCACCAGGTCTCCATCTGATAACACCTTGTGCTCAGATCTGCTTCAGCAAACAACAGCCGCAGCAGGATCAAATGATACCACCTTCTCCGTTCATTGAAAACTGCATCACAAAGCGGGTGGGATAGCTCCCTCTGCCCTCCTTGTGTGACACGAAGGCATGTTGTAGCCAAGATGTGGAGCCGCCATCCGTTCTGCTATGACGGCAATTTGCAGTGTCTTTGTGCACATTGAGAGAGTCTTCCGGGCACCCGCTTTGTTCCATCCTACCGTGGCTTGAGAATTCGGAACCACAGTGGGACTGCACAGCTTAAATGGCAGGCTTGAGTCTCAAGTTGGAGCCACCTGGGAGATGGAACAGGTTTTGTCCTCACTCGGTAGTGTCCTTCAAGCGCAGCCATCATTAGGTTTCCTCTATAAGTGAATATTGTCCTCTGTGGCAGGAGTGAAGAATCGTTTTGGCCCCGGGAGCATGGTGGGCAAACTTGGCAGGTGGGTGGGGCCACCTACATGTCAATCATCTGGTGGTATCCACTGACCAATAGGTGGGAAGTCCTGTCCTCCTTTCAAAGTTGACCTGTGAGGTGGTGGTGGTGGTGGTGGTGGGGTCTGCTTCACCAGCGTGTTCCTCACAAGAAATGCCCTCGCAAAGCAAAATCAGGCAGGATAAGCGGACAGTTCAGCCCTGCTCTCTGCTTTTCCAGCTCTTTCCCTGAAGAGAACAGTTTGGCAATGGTGTCAACTGATGACAGATGGGCATGGTTTGGGGGAAATGGCTGGTATGCAAAAATTGGCTCACTGACCAGAGTTTCCCCACTGTCATGGGCCAGGATTCACCTTTGCCTGCTGAACAGCAGCCTGAAGGGGGAGTGACTCCACCTGCAGCTGATCAGCCTTCAAGGACACAAGAGGAGAAGGCACTGATGAGAACCAGCTGGCTTCAGCCTTCTTAAACAGAGCTCTCAGCAGCCGTCAGATGCTGCAAACAACGCTTGTAGTTCCTGGTCCTACCTTGCTGCTTCCTGCTTCCTATCTGGACCCTTGAGTCTGTGATCATCTGGACTCCCTGACTTCTGGACTGTGAGACTTTGTGTGTGGGTTCTGCTCTCAGGCAAGAGTTCCTCAGAGCCCCTAGCCCCTGCTTGCTTGGCAACAGAACTCAGACGGGGCTACAACACCCACCCTTGTTCTGTGACGGAGGACTAAAACACTGAGCTCGTGGACATGGTTGCAGTTAGGGCAAAACCATGTGCTGAAGCTCATCACCTCTCACTGATGGCGATTCTGCACTGGGTTGCCACTGAATGGTAGAAAGGTAAAGGTAAAGGACTCCTGGGCAGTTCATTCCAGTCGAATTAGACTATGAGGTGCAGAGCTCATCTCTACTTTCAGGCCAAGAGAGCCAGCATTTGTCCACCGACAGCATTTCTTTTCATCTGTCCAGCATGACTAAAGAGCTTCTGGTACAACGAAACACCGTGATGGAAGCCAGAGCGCATGAAAACGCCGCTTACCTTCCCACCACAGTGGTACCTATTTATCTGGTATGGTTTTGAACTGCTGGGTTGGCAGGAGCTGGGACAAAGCAACGGGAGCCCACCCCCGTTGCACGGACTCAAACTGTCGGCCTTATGATCGGCAAGCCCAAGAGGCTCAGTGGTTTAGACCACAGCGCCACCCGCATCCCTGCCACTGAATGGCAGGCCCAGAGGGTTGCATAGCAGCTTCCAGGCACATTGAAATATTCATTCCTCCTCATAAAAATGACGGGCATTCTGCCTGTTTTCTTGTTTTAAAGCAGATAACCCTTCTCCTATATCTTCTTTGCAAGGAACAATTCTGACTTGGCTATTTCTGAGCTTTTGGCATTTGTTTCCAGTTATAAATGTTGAGTGCGCACGCCTCTCCCGAAAGAAAATATCTGCAAGTGTAAAACATATATGCTCTTTGAGCGCAGCATTTATTTAATGAGTGTATTGCTTGTTTTTACTGGACCGGTTCAGAATGTGGGCAGTAAGATAATCTCTTCCTGCTTCCTTCCTCCCCCACCCCCCATTGCAAAACAGCTGAATCAGGGAAGACATGGTGTGTCTGTGTGTAAAAGACACAGTGACACATGGAGGGATAAGTTTAAAAAGTCTTCTCTGGTTTGTAGAGGGTGAGGGGAAGAAGCAGGAAAGAATCATTCATATGTGTATGTGTGTGCTTGTATATGAACTGCAATATGTAAGCTGCAATCCTATGTGTGTACACTTGTAAATTAATTCACTTACTTTGCAGTGAACATTCATAGTGGTGGTGGTGATTATGATTTCTGTATATGCTGCCCATCTGACTGGGTTGCCCCAGCCACTCTGGGCAGTTTGCAACAAATTATAAAACCATAATAGCCCAGCGGTAGGACACATGCTCTGTATGCAGAAGGCTTCCATCGCTGGCATCTCCAGGTAGGGCTGGAAGAGACATCTTCCAGAAAACCCCGAAGAGCTGGTGCTGTTCAGTGTAGACTAGTGGGTAGTCCCTGTGGTGTCCTCCATCTGTTCCTGGACTACAACTCCCATTATCTCTGAACTTTGGCTATGCTTCTCTGGGGCTGATAGGTGTTCAGGAACACCTGGAGGGCCACAGGCTGACTCATCCCTGATGCAGAGGATGCTGAAAGAGAGGGACAGTTGTCTGACTCTGTACAAAGCAGCCTCCTATCAGCAGACGTAAGGTCCCTAGCAGTACACTTGAGCTGTAAAAACCCCTGAAGTTCTGTGGCATGGGTAGGTAAACTAAGGCCCAGGGGCCGGATCTGGCCCAATCACCTTCTAAATCCAGCCCACGGATGGATCAGCATGTTTTTACATGAGTAGAATGTGTGCTTTTATTTAAAATGCATCTCTGGGTTATTTGTGGGGCATAGGAATTCGTTCAGTCCCCTCCCCTCAAAATATAGTCCAGCCCCCCACAAGGTCTGAAGGACAGTGGACTGGCCCCCTGCTGAAAAAGTTTGCTGGCCCCTGTTCTGTGGCATCACATTGGAATAGTTGGAACAGTCAAACTTGGAAGTATGGAATCAATATGCCAACAAATCAAAGGGCTATTGATCTGGTGGGTGCCTATTTTGCTGATAATTTCGTTGCTTTGTTATGTTTGCTGACTGCTTTGTGGTCGTATGGCAATTAAACAGTATATAAATCCTGTGGAATAATAAAAATTGAAATTGAAATTGAAATAAATAGAAGTTAAAGAATGGATTTATTAATGGCAAATTTTCGTTGCTTGCTCCTTTAGGGAAAGCAAACTACCTTCACACAGGAGAGGTGATCGATGGAGTGGACATGAGAGCAGAAGTAGGCTTGCTAAGTCGCAACATTCTCGTGATGGGAGAGATGGCCAAGGAATGCTACAATTACAACAGTGATCTGTGTTCCTTCTTTGATTTTGACACCTTTGGAGGCCATATCAAGGTATCGCTTGGTGTCTATGTATTGCTGATTTTTTCCCACCCCTGTGCTGGGAAATTTCTTCCATGTGGCTGGGGGAGTCTGATATGACATTGAGCACTTGTATCTAACATATCCAATCTCAGACTTTATGTTGGCAGCAGAAATTTTATGGAGCGTGGGCACAATCGTGCCAATAGATCTATGGGCATTTAAAGTGCAATACTTTTCAAGATGAGAATTTATTTATGCAGCTCCTATACTGATGTGCCCTTTTGACCAAACAGCAGTCTCCTAAGCTGTGTACAAAATGATAGCAAACAATTCTAAAAAGCAAAAAAATATAAAGTTTGGGGGGAAAGCTAAGTGGTAGAGCATCTGCTTTGCATGCAGAAGGTTGTAGGTTAAATTCCTGGTCTGAAATCCCCAAGGGCTCCTGCCTGTCAATGTAGATAGTACATCAGCTAGATGGACCCAGTACTGAGCTAGTGTTAGAATTCCTGCTCCGTGATTGCAGTCATGGGATTGTTGTCTATCACATGACGGTGTATGTTTTGACTCCACAAAGTGGGAAGTGAAGGAGACAGGATGTTTGTGTTACTGTGTTCCATGAAGTGGGACTATTGTCCTTTGTTCATTCTCTTTGCTGTCTGATACTAGAGAGAGCAGGAGCCATGTTGCAGTGCTCCATGTGTGTTTATATGTAAATACAGTGGTACCTCGGGTTACATACACTTCAGGTTACAGACTCCGCTAACCCAGAAATATTGCTTCAGGTTAAGAACTTTGCTTCAGGATGAGAACAGAAATTGTGCTCCGGCGGCGCGGCAGCAGCAGCAGCAGGAGGAGGCCCCATTAGCTAAAGTGGTGCTTCAGGTTAAGAACAGTTTCAGGTTAAGTATGGACCTCTGGAACTAATTAAGTACTTAACCCGAGGTACCACTGTAAAGTAGATTAGCCAAAATGCTGAGGTCTATCACATGAACTGCAAAGACCCTGCGGATCCCTAAGTGTGCCGATGTCTGTTGGCATTGGTCGCTGTGATGTTCGGGCAGAAGAAAGCTTTTGAAGCTCCCGAACAATCGACCAGGAGGGAGAGAACATGCCAGTCGGGCATGTGTCTCTGCCAGGGTCCTACTTGAGTGTAGGCTGACAGCTAGATGGTCTGGTTCAGTATAAGGCAGTTTCCTATATCCTTATTGGATTGCATCCATTGTTCTACTCAAGATCCATTAGTTTCAATGGGCCTCCTAACAACTGTCAGTAGCTTTAACAACGACACCTCCCAGAATTCTTTGGAGGAAGTGATAAGTTCTTGAAGTGGTTTGATACCACTTTAAATGTATAGTGCAGATGTGGCTTTAAAAGCGCTGGATCACACTTGTTTGACAAACGAAAACAACAACCCTGAAAGTGTCTTGCACAAGTATCAAGCCCGCCGGTTGATGATGATGATGATGATGTGTGTGTTGTTCTCTAGCTTGGCCTTGGATTTAAGTCTGTCCACATGGAAGGGATTGAACTGAAGCACATGGGCCAGCAGTCACTGGGACACTACCCAATCCACTTCCACATGTCCGGAGATGTGGATGAGAAGGGCGGCTACCACCCTCCTACCTACGTGAAAGACATCTCCATCCACCATGCCTTTTCTCGCTGTGTCACCATCCATGGCTCCAATGGTCTGCTGGTAAGAAACTTGAGATTCGTTCACCATCTCTTCCAGCACAATTCAAAGTGTTGGTGCTGCTGGTCTGCAGGTCTACCTAGGTGCAAATAACTTCAAAAACTTGGGGCCAAAGTACCAGAAGGGCTGATTCCTAATGCATCAAAACGATCACTGAGATGCTCTGATGGGGCACTTCAGGTGGTGTGATGTGTCCCTGAGGTATGGCTGGCCTTCACTAGGGGCTAAGCCCAGGGGTAGGCAAACTAAGGCCCGGGGCCAGATCCAGCCCAATCGCCTTCTCAATCCAGCCCACGGACAGTCCAGGAATCAGCGTGTTTTTACATGTGTAGAATGTGTGCTTTTATTTAAAATGCATCTCTGGGTTATTTGTGGGGCATAAGAATTCGTTCATTCCCCACCCGCAATATAGTCTGGCCCATCACATGGTCTGAGGGACAGTGGACCGGCCCACGGCTGAAAAAGGTTGCTGAGCCCTGGGCTAAGCTTTCCTTTTGGCAGGCCTTGCCCTGCAAAACTCCCTTTCAGACATCTTTTGAAAGGCATATTTTTTAGGCTGGCCTTTGCAACTGAATTTGCAAAGGGAGTGACCGCCGAGAACATATAACACCGGTCGTGAAAGACCTACATTGGCTCCCAGTACATTTCCGAGCACAATTCAAAGTGTTGGTGCTGACCTTTAAAGCCCTAAATGGCCTCGGCCCAGTATCCCTGAAGGAGCATCTCCACCCCCATCATCCAGCCCGGATACTGAGGTCCAGCTCCAAGAGTCTTCTGGCAGTTCCCTCACTGCGAGAAGTGAGGTTACAGGGAACCAGACAGAGGGCTTTCTCAGTAGTGGCGCCTGCCCCATGGAACGCCCTCCCATCAGATGTCAAGGAAATAAACAACTACCAGACTTTTAGAAGACATCTGAAGGCAGCCCAGTTTAGGGAAGTTTTTAATGTTTGGTGGTTTATCGTGTTTTAATATTCTGTTGGGAGCCGCCCAGAGTGGCTGGGGAAACCCAGCCAGGTGGGCGGGGTATAAATAATAAATTATTATTAATTATTATTTGTAAGGCGTCGATCCTGTAGTGTGGCAGCAGCCGTACTTTGGAACTCCCTGCCTCTTGAAATTAGGCAGGAAACCCTTGCCCTCTTGGTTCCTTGTAGCCCCATTGCCCTCTGAAGTTTGGGGTGGTGGCAGCCCAGGAGATGGCATTGCCCTGGAGAATAGCAGCCCCTGAACTGTGGAATTCCTCCCTCAAAGAGGTGTTTCTGGAACTTTCCTAATAGTTTTCATAACATGTGGGAGACACACCTCTTTACCATATTCTCTTTACCCTGGTTTTTGTTTAGAACTCACCCTCTTCTCTTGATTGAAATCTGTTTTAATTGTTTTTTAATATTTGATTCTTTTAATTGTTGTGATCAACCCTCAGACCTGTAGGGTAAGAAATAAAAATAGCAATAATATTTTAGACGCAGCTGGGAACTTTCTTGTTTTCACAAGCCTATCCAGACATGTAAAGTGGGCAGCTATAATTGTTTTAAAAGTTTTATTGATTTTTATCTGTGTTTTTTAATGGTGATGGCTTGATTCATATTCAGGTATTTTTAAAACAACAACAACAACCCCTGGCTACAAGGATTTTAGCTGCGTTTCCTTCTACATTTTTATTATTTACTTCATAAAAATTAAATACCGTGTGCCTGTGAAAAACACACACCACAAATCAGTTTACAAAGGGAATGAAACAATGAAATCATCAGTTTTTAAAAATTAAAATAAACAATATGCTAAAATCAAACATAAATATTCTACATTTCTGGATAGGCTTAAACCATGGAGGCAGAGGATAGCGATGATGGGACAGGCTTCTCCTCTATGGATTTGTCTAATCCTCTTTTAAAGCCATCCACGTTGGTGGCTACCGCTGCCTCTTGTGGCAAGGAGTTCCAAAGTTTAACTGTGTGCTGCATTCAGAAGTCTTTCCCTTTGTCTGTCCTGAATCTTCCAACCTTGCATGTCTGCAGATTCTAGTGTTACGAGAGAGGTTCTTCTTCGATTAAGCATTTATTAATTTGCCATAGATCAGAGTCTATGTTCCTGTTCCTGTTACTACAACTGCTTTCCGATTTGTAGCCACATGTGGAGAGTAGAATGTCAGATGAGAAAGGAACCTAATGGACGTATTAACTGCAAAGCAAGGATGGCCAGAGGCCTGTTAAGTGGTAGAAAGCATCCTGGTTAAAGGGAAAGGTAAAGGGACCCCTGACCATTAGGTCCAGTTGTGACCGACTCTGGGGTTGCGGCGCTCATCTCGCTTTATTGGCCGAGGGAGCCAGTGTACAGCTTCCAGGTCATGTGGCCAGCATGACTAAGCCACTTATGGCAAACCAGAGCAGCGCACGGAAACGCCGTTTACCTTCCCGTCGGAGCAGTACCTATTTATCTGCTTGCACTTTGACGTGCTTTCGAACTGCTACGTTGGCAGGAGCAGGGACCGAGCAACAGGAGCTCACCCCGTCGCGGGGATTCGAACTGCCAACCTTCTGATCAACAAGTCCTAGGCTCTGTGGTTTAACCCACAGCGCCACCCGCATCCCAGGCATCCTGGTTATGGTACCGTAAATACTTCTTCTGCAGTGGCCGCACAGCTGCTGATTAACATGGGCCAATCCAAACCCTCATCACTGATTCTAATTTTAAGCCCTGATCCTGCACATATCGATATTTTTTTTCATGGTGCTGCTGCCACCGCCAACTCAAATATTCAGAGTGTGACATTGCAGTGGCTCAAATGGGCGGGTCGGTTTTAGAGGATTTGGAAGCGTCCAGCTTCTCATTTTTGCCCTTTTCCAAGGAGCAAAATTATATTTAGTTCAAAGAAATTCTGGTCAGGAGCCACGTTCCTTCCTCCGCACTTCCACAGCCAAAAAGCAAGCAATGGGGAAGGAAACATGGTCAAGTTGATAGGAATGAAGAAAGCAGCTACCTCAAGGGATTTTCTGGTCGCTGCTCTTATTTTACATCCATTTTGAGATGCAATTGGATGTGCACAGCCTGTTCTTTTTGCATTTCGTTGTCATTTGACCTCCTCGCATACCACTTTCTCTCTCTTCTTACACCTGTGTGTATCTAACTGCCGGCAGAGGATAACACTACATTTGTGGGACTAAGCCTCATTGGACTCAGTTGGGGTTACTCCTGAGTAAAACAGTACTTACATCTTGTGAAAATGCATATAGAATCGCCGCTCGTACTTGGGGAACCGGTTCCACCAAAATAGCAGGGCTGTTCTCCAAGTAAAACAGTTTAGGGATTTGGATGCAAAAGCGCTGACAAAATTATTGCAGCAGAAACGATATAATAAATATATAGTCAGCATTTCAGCCATAAGATGCATTGAAAAGATGTGGATCTCTGCCCACCCCTTAGTTTGTCTGCGACTATCTGGATTGCAGAGACTGTAAGGGGCTGGCTAATCTTGTATTTAAATGATCTTACATAATTGCATCCTCTGCTAGTGGAGCAAATCTAGATAGACTTGGGCTCATGACACCTTTTGCATGTAAAAACGTCTGAAATATTACTCTTGCCAGCAGCAGTGCATTAAAAGCCCACCACATCCTGCTTTCCTCATTACTTTGCAAATGTTTGCGTTACAATCTGCTGAGCCACAACATTAAATTCTGGCCTGACTTATGCCAAGGCTTGTTGAGGAGGGGGGACTGAATGAACGCAGGGAGTATGTCATGCCAGAAACTATTGGCATACTCTATAGATTTATGGTGGATAATACTCTGAGGAATACGCAGGAGGGCCTGCTAGCTGCGGCAATGCTTGCATCTGGTGTCATTAATTCAGTTTGAGATTGACGGTGCTCCTTTGCTGGAAAGGACAAATGCCATATGAAGTCTGCCCCTGAATTTAGGAGTCCAGCATTTATAAACCCTCTGATTTACAGCCATGTCATCTTATATGTGCATGCACAGAAAGTGATTTAAATATATATATATTCCCAGCAAATCTAGGGGCATCCTGATTGAAATTTACTCGGAGTCGAGAGTGGATTTCATGCTCTTTATTCAGCTCATAGTGGTGAGGAGGAACAGAAGTTCCCCCAGAATGTCTGCCTTATATACATTACTTACACAATGGGCCCCACGAGATTGGCTAATTCCGGGATTCTCCTGTAGGCCAATCAGGTTGCGGATTCCCATCCACCTGGAGCTGGATTGGGTGGCTCCTGTGGACCAATTAGACTGCTGCATTCTGAATCCTATTGTTCTAGGACCAATCAGACTGCTGCATTCTGAATCCTATTGTTCTAGGACCAATCAGACTGTTGCCTTTTGGATCCTATTCAACTCAGTACATAACACTGATGCTCTTCTCAGACGTGGTTTTCACATGTTGCAATGTGGATTCCTGATTACAGTGGCAATGAAGTCAATGAAGGGCTCTTAGTACATGCTCAGGGACACACTTGGCACCAGCCAACAACATGCAGATGCAAGAAAACCCTTGTGCGTGTCAACCCCTTCGAAATGAGCGTGATGCACTCCTACAATGGAACGGTACACTGATCTGAATCATCATCAGCTGATCTGAATCATGCCGCCTTCATCTCTGATGGAAATAAGACATAATGACTTGCCTCTGTTTTTAGCTTTAAACTGGTTTAAGAAGAAATGTGTCCAAACTGTAATGTAGACAAGCTATAGATGGTACCTCATTTCCTTTTTCAGGGTTCCTTTTATCTCAGGGACGTCCATTGCATGCAGAAGGTCCTCAGGCTCCATCCCTGGGACATTGAGTTAAAAAGGATAAGCTTACAGGTGATAAGAGAGACTTTGCCCTAGCTGCTGCAAGCCAGAGTAGATACTCAAAGGCTGGATCTACAAAGGTTGCATCCACAACATGCTTTCCCCCCAAAGAATCATGGGAAGTGTAGTTTGTTAAGGTGTTGAGATTCTCCCAGGATTCTTGGGGAGAGAAGCCATGAGTGTTGTTAATGCATAGTTTGGATGTGGCCCAGTATAAGGCAGCTTCCCACGATCCTGTCCCATTAGATCAGGGGTCAGCAACCCTTTTCAGCTGTGGGCCGGTCCACCATCCCTCAGATCATGTGTTGGGCCGGACTATTTTTTTTTCCGGTGGGGCGGAAAATGAATGAATTCCTATGCCCCACAAATAACCCAGAGATGCATTTTAAATAAAAGCACACATTGTACTCATAATAATAATAATAATAATAATTTATTATTTATACCCCATCCATTTGGCTGGGTTTCCCCAGCCACTCGGGGCGGCTTCCAACAGAATATTAAAATACAACAACCCTCATTTACTCATGTAAAAACATGCTGATTCATGGACCGTCCGTGGACCGGATTGAGAAGGTGATTGGGCCACATCCAGCCCGCGGGCCTTAGGTTGCCTACCCCTGCATTAGATACTCTCGGCATTGTTTCACAGGTTGTTTCTAAGTTGAACATCATTAATGCCATGAGCCTCACAATTACGTCCAGGCAAGATGCTGTTCTGAGCATCTAGGAAGACCAGCCTCGTATCCATGCCCTCTCCCTTTTTTTATGTCCACAGGTCAAGGATGTTGTTGGGTACGACACGCTGGGACACTGCTTTTTTACTGAAGATGGCCCTGAAGTACGCAATACTTTTGATCACTGCCTTGGACTCTTGGTGAAGCCGAGCACGTTGCTGCCCTCTGACCGAGACACAAGGATGTGCAAGACGATCACAGAAGGAGCTTACCCAGGATACATCCCCAAACCTAGACAGGACTGCAAGTGAGTCAAAAAATTAACTTCTAATTTCCTTTGGCTTATAGCACTGATTTGCCTGGTGTATCTTAGTGTACCATTACATCCCATTGGGAAGCTTCTTATTCCTATTATTGTTGCTTAGTCATTTAGTCGTGTCCTACTCTTCGTGACCCCATGGACCAGAGCACACCAGGCACTCCTGTCTTCCACTGCCTCCCACAGTTTGGTCAAACTCATGATCGTAGTTTGAGAACACTGTCCAACCATCTCGTCCTCTGTCGTCCCCTTCTCCTTGTGCCCTCCATCTTTCCCAGCATCAGGGTCTTTTCCAGGGAGTCTGCTCTTCTCATGAGGTGGCCAAAGTATTGGAGCCTCAGCTTCAGGATCTGTCCTGCCTATACCTTGCTTGGAAAGAGAAATCACCTAAATTTCCACTGTGCATCTCTCTCTCTCTCTCTCTCTCTCTCTCTCTCTCTCTCCCCCCCCCCCCTTTGAAAATCACAGCCAAAATGAAGCATTTTTAGTCCTTCAAGTCTCAGTGGGGAGAGACTTGGGTACACACTCAAGCGAGAGGAATATCACATTAGTTTTCCTGGTTATAATGCTGGCGCTTCTCCTGTTTTCTAATGTTCACACATCAGTACCTGTTGTGTTAGGGAACTGTGACTTTTTGACCGATATACAAGCATGTTGTGCTAAATTTCATTCACACCTGTGGGTGTAGTGTGACACAACAACAAATGACATTAGATGTCGCTCCTCCCCCGCCCTTTCCACAAATGTGAGCTTCTGCTCTCCTAAGAAAATGGCAGGAAAGAAATGTATGCTGGAATAGCTCCCTGACTTTCATCACTTTACTTCCATGGATTTTTTTCTGGAAGCAATTAAACATGGAAATGAGTGCGAATCTTCCACCATATTCCGCTAGATCCCTGGAAGTGGCTTTTACATTGTATAAAAGCTTGAATATAATGGAAAAATAGACATGAGGGAAACGGAATATACTGTTGTCTGAAAACAGCTGTAATTAATCTCTCATATCCAAATCAAAGATTAGAACTTAAAGGCAGGGTGCTGTCTGTTATTATTTCGTGCACGGCAACCCAGGCATACCAGTGTTTCAATGTTGGGGATGTCCACAGTGCATGTCACAGTAAACAGTGGCAAGAAAAATGTCTTGTATACCTGGGACTTAGCTACATTGGTCAAGAAACAGCATTTTGAATGCATTATAAACATGTAACACCAGATGGCACCAGAGAGCAAGAAAAAAAATCTAAGCAATTTTCCATAGCAGTTTTTCTCCTTTTGTTATAACAATTTGATTTCTGACTTATTTATAGCGTTTTATTTCTGTGTGTAGATCCACCCCTGGGCTGCAACATAAAATGTGTTGTGATCTACACTGGCAGCCACAAAGACTAACAAACTAATGGGACAGTTTTGCAAGTAATGTTAAGCCTAAGTATGGCTAAGTATAATTGTGCAAGCATCCAGATATTTGCAGGAAAAATCTCTGCCACTCTGCAGGAAAAATCCTCCTCCAGTCCTGCTGCTGTGAGCTAAGCCATGTGTTAATATGGCTGGTTTTGTGGTTTGTCATGCTCTAGACCAAGCATGGCCAAACTTGGCACTCCGACTGTTTGGGGACTACAATTCCCATCGTCCCTGACCACTGGTCCTGCTAGCTAGGGATGATGGGAGTTGTAGTTCCAAAACAGCTGGAGGGCCAAGTTTGGCTATCACTGCTCTAGACAAACCATGAGTCAAGAAGAGCAAACCTTGGCTACAAACCTTGTAACTTATCTGGATTAAGATAAGCCAAGAGCCCAGATTTGGATATAACACCAAGCCAAATCAAAGCAGGTGTGATTTTTCCCCCTTGCAAGTACCTGTGCTTACACATTCACTCCTAGCTATGCTTTGGCTTAGTGTTACGTGCAAACTATATCTCAATTTCATGGCAGGATTGTGTATGAGATTTGAGCAAAACGATATATTCTTTTCAAAAAGGGAGTTTGGCTGGAAACAGACACATTTTATAGCATTATGTTTTAAGAGCCATGTGAATCCTGGGAAACAGGCAATATGTGAGATAATTACAGTGCCAGCCAGGACTTGGCAAAGCAAGTGACCATGAAAGCCAAGCTGTTTGCCAAACAAGTACCTTTAAATCCTTCAGGGATTTCAGGTACCATGAAAGCACGAAAAGTCAATCAGGTTCTTACTTAAGGCAACCCCTAGCAAACTCAGGGCTTTCTAGAGGTTTTCCTTTGCTTCCTTTTTTGCCGACTCATATGCGGAAACATTCATCGCAGCATAAAATATAATTGATATAGGATAGTTTCATAGCGATAGAAATTCCTTCCGGGATTCCTAAAGGCTTTCAAGGCAGGGCTGTGTCGCAAGTGTGACAGCTGTAAGGATGCTGTAACAGCGACACAGGAAGGTGCCTTGTGCTGAGTCAGAACATGGGTCCATCTGCCTCAGTGCTGTCTGCACTGACTGGCAGCAGCTCTCCTGGAGATGCCAGGGATTGAACCCTGGACCTTCTGCAGGCAAAGCAGGTGTCTTTGCCAATTTACTAAGGCTCTTTTCCATGGTGGTGGTGAGAGAAAGAGAGAGATCAAAGTTACTCTGTTCTGTAAAGGAAAACTTCTCTGCTCGGTTATATAACCTGGCTTGGTTTGATTAAATATACAGTTGTACCTTGGATCCTGAATGCCTTGGTATCCGGACGTTTTGGCTCCCGAATGCCGCAAACTTGGAAGTGACTGTTCCAGTTTGCGAATGTTCTTTGGAACCCAAATGTCGGACGGGGTTTCCTGGGTTTCCGATTCCTGCAGCCAATCGGAAGCCACGCCTTGGTTTCCGAACGTTTTGGAAGCCAAACAGACTTCCGGAACAGATTCCGTTCGACTTCCAAGGCACGACTGTAATGCCCGTCCCTCTGCACACTCCATTTGGGAATTGTGTATTTTTGTTTTTGTTTTGTTTACACTTATCTTTTCCCATCTAACCAACAGTGCAGTCTCTACCTTCTGGCTGGCCAACCCACACAACAACCTCATAAACTGTGCAGCTGCCGGATCCGAAGTGAGTACAAAGGGAAACAATTGCCTAGTGGTGCAGCAATAAAACTTCTAGCGCATTTGCAGAGCTGAGCAGGGTCTGGTATGGTTTCGAATTGGATGGGGGACCGCATTTTGAGATTCCTGCATTGCAGGGGGGTTGTGCTAGATGACCCCCCGGGTCCCTTCCAACTTTACAATTCTATGATTCCAGTTGGAATAACCTTGGGATTCTAATCCTCCACCCCACTACAACCCTTCAGGTTCCTGATGAAACAAAAGCTGTTTGGGGCTGTTCTGAAAAGCAGGCACAATGCCTTAATACAGTTTGGGGTAGAAACATAATCCTCACTCATTTCTTTTCCACCTGCCTTGTGTGAGATCTCGGAGCACAATTGGCAGCATTCAATGACCCGTTCCATTAGTGCGAGGACTTTTGGCTGTGTAATGGAACTCCCCACCCACCTCTCATTGCTCATACATCCGGGGTGTCCTGGTTTTTACTTTTTGAAATAATGGCAACCCTACCTCTCCCATGGAGATGCGGGTGGCACTGTGGTCTAACCCACAGAGCCTAGGACTTGCCGATCACAAGGTCGGTGGTTCAAATCCCCACAACGGGGTGAGCTCCTGTTGCTCGGTCCCTGCTCCTGCCAACCTAGCAATTCGAAAGCACGTCAAAATGCAAGTAGATACATAGGTACCGCTCCGGCGGGAAGGTAAACGGCATTTCCGTGCGCTGCTCTGGTTCGCCAGAAGTGGCTTAGTCATGCTGGCCACTTGACCCGGAAGCTGTACGCCGGCTCCCTTGGCCAATAAAGCTAGATGAGCGCTGCAACCCCAGAGTCGGCCACAACTGGACCTAATGGTCAGGGGTCCCTTTACCCTTTACCTCTCCCATCACTGTTCTGGGTCATCCCCCCCAACCTTTAAGTGCATATTTGGGGAGGCCGTGGGACACACACAGGGAAAGGAGGGGGCAAGTTCCCTGGCAGAAGTAACAATCCTTGTGCTGGAAGAACAAGTGTTTCCCAAAATGAATGGTTGTACTTTGTTCCCTCCACACGCCCCGCCCCACCAATGTGCAGGCTTCTGCGTTTTGCTGTTTTTAATATCTCACGCATCCCAAGTCTGGCATAGGCTGAATCTGTTGTGTTCTCTCTTGCAGGAAACCGGGTTTTGGTTTGTTTTGCATCACGTACCGACGGGACTCTCTGCAGGAATGTATCCCCCTGGCTACTCTGAGCACATTCCAATGGGGACGTTCTATAACAATCGGGCACATTCGAACTATCGAGTGAGTATACATGCAATTGGAAATCCTATCTTCTTTTTCCAAATGCTGTCCTCCCCCCCTTTTCCAATCTCAGTGTCAAGCCATTATTGGCCACCATTCTGCTTCCATAATATCAACAGCATACGTTGTCTCCCTGCCCTGCTCCAAGCATTTTTATCTACAAATTCTGTTTTTAGTTAGCTCCAACTTTTGGCTCTAGATGGAGGAGAGTGATGAATAAAGAGGCCTTTTTCTCTTTTAATCCCCAGCTGATTGTTGTCTGTTGTTGTCTGTATCTGTAAGTTTCACTAAATAGGCATGCACACACAAACGTGTGCTGTTTCTCAAATGCCAAGATCTGTTGAAGCAGCAACCAACGTTTGTGACACATAAGGAGTACTGCACTCAGGACCCAAACTAGACAAGGTGTTAATTGCATTGATGTATTTCATGTGTCCAGTAGCTGGACGCCCCCAGGGCTGTTTAGGAGGAGGGGGGGTGAAACTAGACGTGTAGAGAAAAAATTATTCATTTAATGTGTTGTGTTGTTTGGCCTTTGGGGTGAACAGGGAACAAGTAGGTGCTGAAACAATTATTCAGTCTTCTTAAAAAAGGCACATAGTAGGTCTTGTGGGGCTTGGCCTGGGGCAAACAGCCTCAAGGGGCAAACAGAGAGCCTGGAAAGACAACATTTGGACCCTGAGCCAGAAGCTCCTCACCTCTGCTCTCTAACATAGTTTGTTATTATGGAGAGCTGGTAAACATTCAAACCCTCAGGTGCATTAAAACAAAATGATGGTACAATCTGTTTGTGCCAGGCAATGTTCCAAATTCTTTTGCTGGTGTAAAGCGAATGCATTGAAAGTACGTGCCTATACGTATGTAAGTTTGCATGCTTATATATTTCCCTCCTAAGGATTTGGCTGACAGAATCCCTCCCTCCTTCCCTTCTTTTCCAGGCTGGAATGATAATTGACAATGGAGTTAAAACGACGCCAGCGTCTGCCAAGGACAAAAGGCCCATCCTGACTCTGATCGCAGGGAGGTAATCTGATTTTGATCGGTTTTATTTGGAAAGTAAAGTCCTCTTTTTGCAGCTCAGGCTGGGGAATGAATGCTGATCATAACCGTTATAACCTTTTAATTGTTTGGGGGATACATATGTGCCTGTGTGGAAGGGGGAGATTTTCAACAGATCCACATACATTCAGCCACATCTTAAGCATGTGGTTTCCCCCAAGGAATTCTGGGTACTTTATTAGTTCCCAGGATTCTTTGGGGGGAAAGTCATGTCCTTTAAATGCCTGGTGGGGACCTGCTGTTTACTTTCCTTCAGCCAACTCCCTTCACCCAGCAGGATTTAACACCAGTCTTTTTAAGTCCATACCTTGTTCCCCTGCCGTACCTGCATCATATTCTCTTCTAGTCCTCAGTGTTAAACCTCTCCCTGCTAATTTACTTTTGAATTTACAATCCACACTTTCATTTTAAAAAAATACAGCAAGGTGGAGTACAACATATAAGGATAAAATCAACAAAAGAGCCATAAAAATATCAATAAAATAAAAGTTATTTCTGCTCGGTATTATTTTATTGCTTAAGTTATTAAAGCAGAAGTTAAGTCAATCCCTCCTCCTGCCAGCCTATAAATGAGAATACAATAAAGCAGCTTTACAAACCAAGGTTTGCTGGAAATGCAGCTCATCCCCCTGGAAGATATCCATGCCGATGGTGTTTTCATTTAGAATCATAGAATCATAGAGTTGGAAGAGACCACAAGGGCCATCGAGTCCAACCCCCTGCCAAGCAGGAAACACCATCAGAGCACCCCTGACATATGGTTGTCAAGCCTCTGCTTAAAGACCTCCAAAGAAGGAGACTCCACCACACTCCTTGGCAGCAAATTCCACTGTCGAACAGCTCTTACTGTCAGGAAGTTCTTCCTAATATTTAAGTGGAATCTTCTTTCTTATAGTTTGGATCCATTGCTCCGTGTCCGCTTCTCTGCAGCAGCAGAAAACAACCTTTCTCCCTCCTCTATGTGACATCCTTTTATATATTTGAACATGGCTATCATATCACCCCTTAACCTCCTCTTCTCCAGGCTAAACATGCCCAGCTCCCTTAGCCGTTCCTCATAAGGCATCGTTTCCAGGCCTTTGACCATTTTGGTTGCCCTCCTCTGGACACGTTCCAGTTTGTCAGTGTCCTTCTTGAACTGTGGTGCCCAGAACTGGACACAGTACTCCAGGTGAGGTCTGACCAGAGCAGAATACAGTGGCACTATTACTTCCCTTGATCTAGATGCTATACTCCTATTGATGAGGCCCAGAATTGCATTGGCTTTTTTAGCTGCCGCGTCATTTGTAACGATTTGTATTATAAGTCTGGAATGTATTGCTGATATCTCTGCCCCCCTAAATATTTCATATCTGTTTTTTGAGTCAGACCTTTGGTCTGTTTTGCTCATTGCTTCCCACACTGGCTGGCAGCAGCTCTCCGGGGTTTCAGGCAGGGCACATTCACAGCCCTACCTAGAGATGCTGGGAATGGAAGCTGGCACCTTTGGGATGCAGAGGATGCTCTGTGCCTGAGATCTGGGTTTTCTACTCTGCCCTTTGGTGTCATGGGTTCAGAGTATTCACAGAATCATAGAGTCGGAAGAGACCCTGAGGATCATCTAGTCCAACCCTCTGCAATGCAACTGTCCCATATGGGGATTGAACCTGCGACCTTGGCCTTATCAGCACCCTGTTCTAACCAACTGAGCTAGTCGTCATGATTCCTTTAGCATCAGTAGCTTAAAGTTCTGCCTTAAGCTTTTGAGGTCCATGAATTGAAACACCTCACCTTAATTTGGATAATCTTCTCACTTACCCTGACTCATTTCTAGCAGGGAAGGTTATTTGGGACCAGCTCCATATTTGCATCAGCGTGTAGCTTCAACTTAGGCAAGGAAAGCCTATTAATCAGGGAATTGCTTTCCCCAGCTGCAAAGGCCGCAATCTGATTGCAGTAAGCCTGCCAAAATAAGGTTAATTTTCTGGAACTCTGCAGGTTCCCCTTTCCCAGTTTAGCTCAAGAGGTTGGTTTATTAAGTGAAGCAAAGGGGCTTTCTGGATATCTGTCAGCAAATGGAGCAAATCTCTTCTGCCTGCCTTGCTGAGTCAGGAATTCTTTACTCTTTAGCGTTATCTGTACTTAACACTACTAATCCGTCACGTTTGTCCAAGCTGCATTGTGATCCACGGAGGACAACCCCTTTCACTACAGCCCAAGGCAGCTGACACACAATTCAAAGTGTTGGTGCTAACCTTTAAAGCCCTAAACGGCCTCAGTCCAGTATACCTGAAGGAGCGTCTCCACCCCCATTGTTCTGCCCGGACACTGAGGTCCAGCGCTGAGGGCCTTCTGGTGGTTCCCTCGCTGCGAGAAGCCAAGTTACAGGGAACCAGGCAGAGGGCCTTCTTGGTAGTGGCACCCGCCCTGTGGAACGCCCTCCCATCAGATGTCAAAGAGAAAAACAACTACCAGACTTTTAGTAGACATCTGAAGGCAGCCCTGTTTAGGGAAGCTTTTAATGTTTAATAGACTATTGTATTTTAATATTTCGTTGGAAGCTGCCCAGAGTGGCTGGGGACACCCAGCCAGATGGGCAGGGTATAAATAATAAATTCTAATTCTTCTTCTTCTTCTTCTTCTTCTTCTTCTTCTTCTTCTTCTTCTGGAAAGCCTCGTTTGCTTGGAGCAGACAGGCTTTTCTTTTCCTCTAATGTTCAGTTGTAGAATTTGACTACACCTGAAAGTAGCCTAACTTGGTAGGCTGCATCTTTCTGTGGGTCCCTATCTGGTCCTTGCCTCCTCTCAGTGGACAAGCAATGCATACCCTCCAACATTTCTCCAATGAAAATAGGAACGTCTTACATCATCATAATAATATTTATATCTCGCCCATCTGACTGGGTTGCCCCAGCCACTCTGGGCAGCTTCCAAAATATAATTAAAAACATAATAAAACATTAAACATTTTAAAAAAAACTCCCCTACACAGGACTGCCTTCAGATGTCTCCTAAATGTTGTCCAGTTACCTCTCTCCTTGGCTTGGGGAGGTCACATAACTCCATACCCTCCAACATTTCTCTGATGAAAATAGGGACATTCTAAGGAAAAGCAGGACATTCCAGGATTAAATCAGAACCTGGACAGTGTCTATAAATCTGGAACTGTCCCTGGAAAACAGGGGCACTTGGAGGGTCTGGGAATGTCATGGGGTGACATGGGACCTCCTGTGGTGAACATTGGTCTGTAAATATTGGAAATAAATATACAGCATGGCCATAGAAGCACCCCATGTTACCAGCTCTGAAATCTCTTGAGGGCCAGTGCTCTCCATGTTGCTGACCGCGTTTCCTTCCACCTGTTGCAATTCCAGATACAGCCCGCATAAGGACGCTGACCCTCTGAAGCCCAGAGAACCTGCTCTCATCCGACACTTCATTGCTTACAAGAACCAAGACCACGGCGCCTGGCTGAGGGGAGGAGATGTGTGGCTGGACGACTGCCAGTGAGTGTGGCCTCAGTTCAACCCTCCAGAGTTCAGCTGGGTGTTTATGGCTAGCAGAGGGCTGTGTGGCTAGGTCTGTGTTTCTTGTTTATAACGCTCCGCATCTTTCATCCGGTGGAGATGAATGCAAAGAAAGGGAACCAGGAAGAAAGCAAACCAACCTTGCTGTTTTGCAGAAACAAACCCCTGAGCTCGAGGGTTGTCGAGTTGTTTGTGTGCATACGTGTGTGATCGAGACCCGTTACAATGAGCTGCGGCAGAAAAGGGACTTTAAATAAACCTTTTCTGCTTGAGCCTGAAATAAAATATAAGCAGCTGCGCCAATGGTTTTGTTTTATGTGGTAGCCTGTTATTGCCAAAAATTCCAGTGCCAGGGAGGTAAGACATAAGACAGTGCAGCATGGAGAAGGGTTGTGTAAATAACAGGCGGTTAGAGAGTCTGGAAATGGGAGCAGACGCTTCCTGTCTTCTCCTTCTCCGAGACAAGATTGTCAGGTTGTGCCCTGCAAATCTTAGCTGTCTGTTGCATGGCTGCAAAGCGCCCCCCCCCCCAAATCCAGCAAAGAAAACTTTTAAGAGCTTAGGATCCTTCCTTATACTGGATCAGACCATTGATCCATCTAGCTCAGCACTGTTTGCACTGGCAGGCAGCGGCAGTTCAGGGTTTCCTGCAAAGGACCACCCCAGCCATAGTTGGAGATGGCAGGACTTGAACCCAGGGCCTTCTGCTACGGCCCTTCTTCAGTTAACCACCTTGCCTTTCTCTGCCTCCGGCACTTATGCCCCTTGTTCTTTTGCTACCTGCTGCAGAGTCATATCAAAGCCATGCTTATTCTAACAGGCAGGGAGCTGCAAGTTTTCACGACTTCTGCCTCTGTGGAAATGGAGGGGAACCTAAAGCAGGGGCAGGGAACCTGTGGCACTCTCAGATGTTGGCAGACTACAAATCCCATCGTCCCTGACCATTGGCAATGCTGGTTGAGGCTGATGTGGAGGTGGGAGCAAAGCCTGCAGGTTCTCAGTGTTAAAAGAGACGAGGAAGCTCTCCTGATTGCAACCTGCCAACTCGGAGAGACAACCAGTCACATGTCTGAAGGCTTTCATTCATTTCCCCTGCAGTAATGTGCAGGGGAAGGCAGGTTTTGTGGGAAAGGGAGCCACTGGAACACTGCTCTCCAACAAATTCAATTTATATGGTACAACCCCAAATTTGGGGGGCCTGCACCAATGGCAGCCAGTGCCCACAGGGACTGGTAGCGCAGAAGGCAGGGGCAACAGCCGCCATTGCTGCAGGGAGTGGGCAGTGCCAGCTAATTCTGACAGTGCAATGGCGCATGTCACTCAAGAGACAAATGCTTAGCAGTTGTCTCTCTATGCAGCTTTGATTTCACGCCACTGTTTGCAGGTGAGAACCATACCTGGGCATTTCCTTGCTCCAGACTCAATACCGATAGCTGCAAAAATTGCTTTTTGATGCATGTTGATGATGCTGAATTAATGATCCTGATCCTTAGGTAACGCTAAGCCCAACCACAATCTGTAGCCAAGGTTGTTCTTAGCTACAGATTGTGGTAGAGGAAGAGGCAGCTGAACCAATATCCTGGGTTCAGACAATATGCCAGGCCAAATCTAACCTAAAAAGACTTGCGGGAGGAATAAAGTGAGTTTATGCTCCTCTCTGGAGGCCAGCATGTTTGAGTGGTCCTGGTATGCCATAGTTTGGCTTTCTGTGACGACTGAACAAAGCCAGAGTACCATACAAATAAGTAAAATTTGAGAAGGGTTATCTAACACTGCAGCCACATGTGGTTGCTTCCAACTTTTTCCCTGTTTAGATGCCTTCTCCCTGCTGCCCCAAACGTCCTCATAGCCAAGCTAATATCTCAAACCCTTCAGCTGAGCACAGAAGTATTTTCCATGTTCTTAAGTTTTTGGCAGCGTTTATTTCGGCAAAGTTCAAATCAGCCCCCAGCTCTCGTAACCTAGCATTTTATAGACGTGGGGGTCTAGCCATTTTAATATTTGTTACTGTAATATATTACACCAGAACAATAGATGCTAATGTGAATTGCAACACTCGACATCTTTCAACACTGACTAGACGGCCACAGAAGCTGCAGGAATTCTGTGCAAGCGGTAGTCGTGTGACGTCTCTGCCCTCTTGTGGCGTAATAGCACCAGTGAAAGCAAATCTCTTTCGCCCCTCTGCTGTGCTTTCAATAAGTCACATTTATAATTGCCCTCTGTTCAGAGACATTTCTGCAGTCTGTGGAATTACTCCAGAGCAGGGATAGACAAATGTTTCCATTTGTTTCTCTCAGTTCCCTATTTTTCCAGTCTTCAGTTGTCTACATTTCCACATCAGTTTTAGATTTTATATCCTCATGAAAATTCATTAGTGTTTTAGTATGAATTTGTCCCTAATACAGTGGTACCTCGGGTTAAGTACTTAATTCGTTCCGGAGGTCTGTTCTTAACCTGAAACTGTTCTTAACCTGAAGCACCACTTTAGCTAATGGGGCCTCCCGCTGCCACCGCGCTGCCAGAGCCCGATTTCTGTTCTTATCCTGAAGCAAAGTTCTTAACCTGAAGCACCATTTCTGGGTTAGTGGAGTGTGTAACCTGAAGCATATGTAACCTGAAGCATATGTAACCAGAGGTACCACTGTATACAATTTTTGTAAAGCCCATTTCCCTAATATTTTTTCATGTTGCTTTCACTGCTATGTGCATTTTCAAGCACACTTTATGCACCGTAAGAAAAGCAAATGCCTCTATTTCTACATAATAGATGGGGGAGGGGAATAACCCGCATTGAAAGAAGGTGACCCAGTTTGTCATGTGTCAAAGCCTGGTCTTGAACCCAAGACCCACCAGGCATCTGTTCTAAAGTTCTCTTTTCCTTGCAGGTTTGCTGACAACGGCATCGGGCTCACTTTGGCCAGGTAAGTGCTCCTGGCGCTTCTACGTTTTCTTGTATTTTCACTTGCATAAGATGTTGAAAGCAGGATTTGACCAAAGCACTTCTGCTAACGTGCGATTCCATCCCTTCTAGTGGCGGAACATTCCCACACGACGACGGATCAAAGCAAGAGATAAAGAACAGCCTCTTTGTAGGTGAAAGTGGAAACCCAGGGACAGAAACAATGGACAACAATGTCTGGGGACCTGGAGGCCTGGACCACAGCGGACGGACTCTTCCCATTGGCCAGTGCGTCTTCAGTTTCTGTATTTTCCATTTTGTTCAGGTTTCCAGGAGCGTATAGGGCTTTGCTTCCCCACCCCCACCCCACCCCAATTCACTGTGGATGGAGAAAAGGAAAAAGTTTTTTCCTCCCTCTCTCATAACACTAGAAGTGAGACATTCAGTCAAGCTGAATCTTGGTAGATTGAGGATGGACAAAAGAAAGTACCTTTTCACAAAGTATGTAGGCTTTGGCCAATAGTCTCTTTCTGCTAGCGCAAGGGTTCTTAGGCCAGAGGACAGATGAATTTTATGTTGTGCAACAGAGGGAATCTTGTGGTGCAGAGTGCACTATTTCACAATAGGTAAAGGTAAAGGGACCCCTGACCATTAGGTCCAGTCATGACTGACTCTGGGGTTGTGGCGCTCATCTCGCTTTATTGGCTGAGGGAGCCGGCATACAGCTTCTGGATCATGTGGCCAGCATGACTAAGCTGCTTCTGGCGAACCAGAGCAGCGCACGGAAACGCCGCTTACCTTCCCACCGGAGTGGTACCTATTTATCTACACAGCGCCACCCGCATCCCTATTTCACAATAGTTACCAGCAAACTACTTGTGCATTCTCTTGTGCAACCACGTCCCACAGGCCCAAACATTTCACCAGTGGAACAAGCATTCTGCTGAGGGACTCTTAACTTTGCGTTATGTTGGATGCAACCCATCTTCTCCACCCCCTCCCCCATTCCAGAGTTGGTATTTAGGGTTTGGCTTCATGCCCAGTAGGCTCTGGAGCGTCCTGGCCAATTTAAAACCACCTCCGACAAAGAGCCGCATTTTTATTTCACGTCTTTTAATGGCTCTGTGTTTAATGTTGTATTTCGGAGCTCATTAAGTCTCTGTTTTGGGATGTTATCCCTGCAATGACTGACTGACTGAATGAGTAATAAAAGCAGCTGACCACTTAAGAGACCGGAGACCAAGCTCAAATTTTGCTTTTGATTGGCTTTCGGATATTATTCCTTTTTTTAGGTCAGTGGCCTAACTTTCCCGCAAAGCTCCTTCTAAGAATGCCAAGCAAATATGTATGATCTGCCAAGGCATGAGAGACCCTGAGTTGAACTTGTTAAGAATCACAAGGTTTTCCTCATGTATATAAAAAGACCTAGCAGATTATAGAAGCTAGTTTTTCCAGTGGAGTGTGGAATTGTCAGCTGATGCTCATGTATAGCTACAATGCAATATATGTTTACAGTGGCAACTCACTGCAAGGAGATTAATAACTTCCCCTCTTTTTTCTTTTCTTTTAAAAAATGTGCTTTAGGAATTTCCCAATTAGAGGCATTCAGTTTTACGATGGGCCCATCAATGTCCAGAACTGCACCTTCCGAAAGTTTGCCGCGTTGGAAGGCCGTCACACCAGCGCTTTGGCGTTCCGCCTCAACAATGTTTGGCAGAGCTGCCCCAACAACAATGTCACAAACGTATTCTTTGAGGACGTCCCGGTGAGTTGGCTTTCAACGCGGGCTCACGGTCGCAGGGCTCAGTGCATGCAGAGGGAGGACATTTTGCAACAGAAGAATCGCATTCCATCATTGGCCACCTTCTGAGGGTCACATGGCAGTGGTGGGCGGGGCAACAGGTGCACCTCATATTTCTGTACAGTGGGCTGTAATCTAGCCATACAAAAGTCAGAGGTTCCTACATGTACATCTCTCCAGGAAAGCAAGAGGCCTTATTACAGTTTAAGGACACAGTCCAGCCAGGCTAAGGAACTGGAGAAATGCAAGGACTGGAGAGGGGGGTGGTCTGTGAGGAAGATGATGCCTGTAAGAAGGTGGGGCATAAAGAGAGTCCTGAGGACAAGAAGCCGTTTGCTCCTGGGCCTGAGGTTCTCCACCCTTGGCTTAGCAAAATTATTATTATTAGTGAATTTAGTATTACAGTCGTACCTTGGAAGTCGAACAGAATCCGTTCTGGAAGTCCGTTCGACTTCCAAAACGTTCGGAAACCAAAGCATGGCTTCTGATTGGCTGCAGGAAGCTCCTGCAGCCAATCAGAAGCCACAGAAGCCCCGTCGGACATTCGGGTTCCAAAGAACATTTGCAAACCAGAACACTCACTTCCGGGTTTGTAGTGTTTGGGAGTCAAAACCGTCCGAGTACCAAGGCGTTCGGGATCCAAGGTATGACTGTACTGCTATTACTATTATTTATTACATTTATTAGTCATTTTAAGCAATACATACATACATACACACATACATAAAAACTAGCATTTTTTTTAAAAACCGCTACATTAAACTTCCCACCCATGCAAAAAGCCAGATAGTAAAAAGCCAAAGGCCTTATTAAAAAGGATTCTTTTTGCCTGACATCTAAAGATATGTAACATTGGCATCAGGAAAACTTCCCTGGGGAGAACATTCGACAAGCGGGATGCCACCATTGAGAAGGGCGGTTCTCATGTTGCTGCTCGCCAGACCTCGCATGGAGGGGGCACACAAAGAAGGGTCTCAGATGACAATTTCAGGGTCCGGCTGAGTTCATGTGGGGAGAGACTTCCCTTGAGGTCTTGCACCATATAAGACTTCATAGGTCCAAGCCAGAGCTTCAAATTGGGCCTGGAAATTAATTGGCAGGATTTCAGAATGGGTAGCCCTCAAGCTGTTTTGAACTCCACGATCAGTCCCAGAGTCCATGGCCAAGATTCCAGGACAACTCACACAGGGCTGCCGTGTTCTTTTCAGGGCACAAATGGACTGCAGAAAAATAGGGAGCTTCTGTGTTAAGCTCTGAAATTTTTTTTGGCGGGGGGGGGGGGGGGATAGCTCCAAGAAGTTACAAAGCTATCGGTTCAGAATTAATTGGTTAATGTGTCATATTTTCCCTTCTGTTCAGATAACCTCTCGAGTGTTTTTCGGAGAACCAGGACCTTGGTTCAATGGGCTGGATATGGATGGGGATAAAACATCTGTTTTCCATGATGTTGATGGCTCTGTATCTGAATATCCTGGGTCCTATCTTATAAAGGAAGATAATTGGCTGATTAGGCACCCAGACTGTATTGATGTCCCTGACTGGAGGGGTTCTATCTGCAGTGGTCGATATGCACAGGTAAGACTGATGGGCGTGTTCAGAATTTGGATCTTGCTGGCTCACAGTTCTTTCGCATTTCTGATCTTGACAGCAGATCATTGCTGTGGGGTTACTGGTCTCTTCCCTATGCATGTTCTTCTTCCTTAAAGCTCTTAAAAAGGAAGTAAGTTTTGCTTTGCTTTGACTTCAGGTGTACATCCAAGCCTACAAATCAGCCAACCTGAGAATGAAAATAATAAAAAACGACCATTACGGGCATCCTCTGTACTTGGAGGGGGCTCTGAGTAAGAGTGCCCACTACCAGCAATATCAGCCTGTGATCACTCTGCAAAAGGGCTACACCATCCATTGGGACAAGACTGCTCCCGAGGAACTGGCAATCTGGCTCATTAACTTCAACAAGTGAGTGTGTGGCCCGTAAAAAACAGCATTTCGATTGAGGAATATAGCTTCAAGTTGCTAAAGAAAGCCGGGGTGTGTGATGAAGATGTTATAATAGCCACTGCATTCTTCCAGGCCTGACATCATTGTTCCAGGAAACCCTCTGCAAGTTTTACCATCTTCTCACCTAAACATCCAAGTCCCCTTAGAATGGATGTAAAGAAGTCATGAGATAAATATTTGAGGCACTGCGTGGGCCAAGTTAATCCCTGACTCATAGAAGGTGGTGGCTCGCTACAGAGAAATTGCTCTGTATTGCTATAAGGGATCTTTAGGTTCTTTGGAATTGACTCTGCCCAACATGTAAACATTTAGCCCAGCCATGTCCAAAGTCCGTTTTGGGGGCTTAATCTGGCCCGCCAGTCGATTTAATCCGGCCCCCGTGGCAGTATATGTCCTGCGGTAAAATCCTTAAAAAAGCAACTTCAATCCTAAAAAGCTCAACAACTTCACGTGCGTTCACTTAATCAAATCTGGCCCTCTTTGAATTTTTTTTAGCCAGTTTGCAAATAAATTTATTTTATTTTTGGAGTGAGTGGAATTTGACCTGCGACATGTTCCAGAAAAATCATAGTCTCAGAGCTTGGGGTTGTTATTGTTGCAATCATCATCATTATTGTTTTAGGAATGACTGGATCCAAGTTGGGCTTTGCTATCCTAAAGGGACGACATTCTCCATTCTCTCCGACATCCACGATCGCCTTTTGAAGAAAACCAGCAAAACAGGGACATTCTACCAGGCTCATGAGATGGACAAGCTTGAGTATCGATATGCTTCCAAGGGACACTACTATTGGGATGAGGACACTGGGTAAGGAAACAGCCAGCATGCCCCCCGTGTCCTAAAGCTCCCTGAAGCACACAATTGCTTTGGAGGATTGTAGAGATGTGTTGGGTACAAGGTTGTTTTTAATGGATGCACAAATGACATCCTCGTGTCTAGTCTATATGCCATCTTTCAGATTCAGCTCCGGTGGCAATTTCCCTGTCTTTGGTGATCATTACTCTTCAACAAGTAAAGCCATGCCATTTTGGGTCCCTCTTAACTTGTTGCAGAGTTTTGACCACCTTGTCATATGGAATGATCGATTTGCATAAGAACGTAAATTGGGGATCAGCCCAACGGCCGAGTTCAGCATCCAGATGACCCAATGGGAAGCCCATGAAGAGAATTTGAGCACAACAGTGCTATCGCTGCTTGCAATTCCCAGAAATTCAGAGACACACTACTTTTGACAAATGGAGGTGGAGCATAACCATTATGGCTAGTAACCACTGTAGCCACGATTTCCTTTGTACCCTCTCCGTTTTTAAAATAATGGGGGCCTAATGGTATCATCATTGGGACGCGGGTGGCGCTGCCAACCTAGCAGTTCGAAAGCACATCACAGTGCAAGTAGATAAATAGATACTGCTCCGGTGGGAAGGGAAACAGCGTTTCTGTGTGCTGCTCTGGTTCGCCAGAAGCGGCTTAGTCATGCTGGCCACATGACCCGGAAGCTGTACGCCAGCTCCCTCAGCCAATAAAGCGAGATGAGCGTCGCAACTCCAGAGTCGGCCACGACTGGACCTAATTGTCAGGGGTTCCTTTACCCTTTACCTTTAATGGTATCCTCAAGCACTGTGCATAGGACACTTATACAGAATCAGACCATTGCATACCATCCAAATTTCTCCTATGAAAACAGGGACTTCCTATTCCATTTTTATTATTCCCTGCCCATTTGCACTAGGTTGCCCCAGCCACTCTGGGTGGCTTCCAACATATATAAAAACACAATAAAACATTTTAAAAACTGCCCTAAACAGGGCTACCTTCAGATGACTTCTAAAGGTTGTATAGTACTAATCTCCTTGGCTTAGGGGGGTCACATAGCTCCATACCCTCCAACATTTCTCTAATGAAAATAGGGACGTCCTAAGGAAAAGCAGGACATTCCAGGATCAAATTAGAAACCAGAATGGCTTCTGTAAATACGGAACTGTCGCTGGAAAATAGGTACACTTGGAGGGTTTGCCATTGACCCCTCTAGTTCAGTACTGTCTACACTGGCTGGCAGCAGCTCTCCATGGCTTTGGGCAGGGAATCGCTCTGGGGCTGACCTGGAGATACTGCCAGGGATTTAACCTGGGACCTTCTGTGTGCAGTGCAATGCTCCACTACTGAACTGTGGTCCCACCGCAAAAGAGAAGTGACAGTCGCTTTGTTACGTCTGGACCATCGGGTTGGCAGCAGGGAACCAGCGGTAGCTGGGCAGCCAGTTAATGGGGTGCTGGCACTAGCAGTGAGCTGCAGTGTGCGTGGCAGATCACTGTGCCTGCTGGTCTTCAGCCACCTGCTATCTTCATTTCCTCAAAAATGCCTTCGTGCCTACGTGGGGCCTGGGGCCACTTGGAGGAAATGAAAATGGGAGATAGCTGGAGCTTTGGCTGCCGGAGAACTTTGCTTCATGCCAAGCTGCCCATAAAGTGTTGTTTTGTTTAAAACAAGCAGGCTGCAGTGATAACATGGAAAAGTGGAGGTCACTGACTGTAGCAATAAGGATTATATAAATAAGAAGATCAGCCCCGATACCCAAAACTTTTGAAAGGAAAAAGCTGGCCATCAGTGGCAGTGAAGGGACTGGGGGCCGGCTGGGAGATTTTGTCCAAAACAGCTGGAGGGTGCCTAGCTGGTACTGACTGTCTTACATAAGAGATAAAGGGGCCCCTGACCATTAGGTCGAGTCGTGACCGACTCTGGGGTTGCACGCTCATCTTCCTTTATTGGCCGAGAGAGCCGGCGTACAGCTTCTGGGTCATGTGGCCAGCATGACTAAGCCGCTTCTGGCGAACCAGAGCAGAGCACGGAAACGCCATTTACCTTCCCGCCAGAGCGGTACCTATTTATCTACTTGCACTTTGACGTGCTTTCGAACTGCTAGGTTGGCAGGAGCTGGGACCGAGCAACGGGAGCTCACCCCGTCACAGGGATTTGAACTGCCGACCTTCTGATCGGCAAGTCCTAGGCTTTGTGGTTTAACCTGCAGCGCCACCTGCGTCCCTGCCTGTCCTCCATACACACTTGTAAATGTCAAATTTCTTGAGCAGCCTCTAATAGTATGAGATGTAGTAGTTGCACCTGGAAGTGAGAATGATGCATCGGCGAATACCTGCCTGGGATGGATAAATAGAAATGCTTCTATCAATGGGCCACATAATTCATTTAAAGTATGCTCAATGCACATATAAAGCTCCCCCCCCAAAAAAAAAGATGTTTTCCCCTTCCAGAGATACAGTTCCAACATCCTTAACAAACTGGTTCCCAGGATTCTTTGGCAAGAGCAGTGCGCTTTAATGGTGCAGTGGAAGGGTTTAATATCTGCCATTTCCAGGATGAGCTTCATCCCGTTCCAGCTACAGCGGAGTCACAGAGTCAGGGACGCTCACGGCTCTTCCATCTTTTCCCAAAGGTTGCTGTTTCTCAAGTTAAAGGCTCAGCACGAAAAGGAGCCATTTGCCTTCTGCTCCGTCAGAGGTTGCGAGCGAATCAGGATCAAGGCCAACATTCCCAGGAAAGCAGGGTCCAGCGACTGCCAAGCGAGAGCCTACCCAAAATATGAGGAGCAACCTTCGGTGGATGTGCCAATGCCCAAAAAGTTGCCAAGCACACACCTGGTAAAGTAGCTGATTTACTGTTGCCATTTTCCTGGGTCTTTGTTTCTGATTAAATCAGTGGATAATTTTCCTTCTGGAAGCTCATCAAACATACAGTGGTACCTCTGGTTGTGAACGGGATCTGTTCCAGAGGCCCATTCACAACATGAAAGGAACGCAACCCGCAGCGGCGCATCTACGCATGCGCAGGTTGCAATTCGCCGCTTCTGCGCATGACGTCATTTTGCGCATCTGCGAGTGGCGAAACCCGGAAGTAACCCTTTCCGGTACTTCTGGGTCGCCGCAGGACACAACCTGAAAAAACGTAACATGAAGCAAATGTAACATGAGGTGTGACTGTACTTCAGTCCCATTTTATGGGCAAAGTCTTAGTTTGCCCAAAGTGGAAAATCAACATTGCTGTTGAGAAACTAGGAAGCTGCCACGTACTGAATTAGACCATTAGTCCACCTAGTGTAATATTGGCTACACTGGCTGGAAGCAGCTCTCCAGGGTTTCATCTTTTCTGTGTGCTACCTTTCCAAGGGTCGGGGGGGGGGGAGATACCTGGGATTATACCTTTAGGGTAGGGGGAGCAGTGTACAACAGCTCTCCTCCACTGGCTGTCAGAAGCTATTGCAAGAGCGGGTCCAGAATGCGCTCTATTTGCCTCCAAACGTTCTGAATGTCCATTGTCAGATTTGTAGATCACTCCACGTAAGACTCCCCAAAAATTGCCAAGGAGTTAAATTTCTGGCAAGACATAAACTGGGGACGCCTCATTTGAAACAATGAACCACAAAATGTGTGAGTGTAACTGCCAGAATAAATGTATGTTTGGAAAAAAGCATGTCTAGAAGAATGGTTTTGAAAGTCAATAGATATACCAACTTTATTTTCTGTTTGAAACCAGAACAAGGACCATTTTGTAGAACTGAAGCTGGACAGCTACAAGACCAAATACTTCCATCTCAGGGATGATTTTGCGTATATCTCAGTAAGTCTTTCTTTGCTCTTGAGTAATGTGCTGTATTTTTGACACACACTATGTTTTAGAAACTTTTCATTATATTTTAACATAGCCAAAAGTCGTCTTCTATGGGACACAATTTGTAACAGAATATATATAAAATATGCAGTTGAGGAAAGAAACTCGAAATAATTGAGAAAACTAACAGATCTAACAAAGGCTTATCTGGAAGAATCTATATTTCTTCCTGAATTCTTTTAAAGTACTGTTGAATGGAATCTGAATGGATTTCGTATTACTAGCAAGGCAAGTTGATATTTAGAATTGGGCTTAATTTTCTACCAAATCATAATTAAAGCTGGACTTTGATGTGTGATTTTATACATGAACACACGCTCCTTGGTTGGTATAAATATTATTTTTTTTACATTTCGCTGCAATTTGGAACCAGTCTTATTTTCATAGCAGCAATAAGCTTGCTGCCAATTTGTGGCTTTCTTGTCCTAATGCTCAACAAGACTGCCTTAGAATCAAAGGGGGGGGAGGGGAGGAATATCCTGTAAGTTTTTAATATGCCATTATTACTCAGTGCTTTGGTCTGTTGGGACATCTCGCCAGCCTGTTTTGCCACATCATTTTCTAGCAATACTTTTGAGCATTACTTGTTCAAAAATAAGTTTTATGGGGTTGCTAGATACTTTATATTTCATTTCCCTGCCCCCTTTCCATCAGTGTTTCCAGATGCTTGATACATATGAAAATGAGGTGTGTGAAATACATAAATTTTGACTAATTTCCAGTGTTGCACCTTAAATCAACAACACAAAGTTAAACGTAAAAGTTTGAAAATTTTCGTATTTCGAGGTCTGCCTTTTTTTCTTTTCTTTTCTTTCATATACAATATTTCAAATCAGCCTCTACTTCTGAAAATCCAAAACTATCAACTGTTACTGCTCTGGTCTCCCTGATAACAGCAAGAACTGATTTGTTTCCCAGGTTGACGGCAGGAAGTTTTATCTCTCTGAAGATGGTATCCAAGTAGTTGTGATCAATGGGCATGATGGGAGATTTGTTGACCGGATGAGTTTCAAAAACTCCGTTCTACAAGGAATCCCAGCACAGATGATCAACTATGTCAATAACATTCGGGAAAAGTAAGTTAATGAGAAATGAGGGCATTCAAGTTCTGGAAAAGTGGAAAACCTAGTGGTTGTAGATGTAGCCTAACAAGCCATATGCTGTCGTATAGCAGCCATGTGATTTTCTCATTGCTCCTGCAAACATTATACATACCAACCATTTCTGATAACAGATGTAAGGTGACCTAATTGGATCTGCTTGTTAAACTTCAGAAGAAATTATGCATGCCTGGCGAGACATGATTGAATTGATACAGGGACCAGCACCCCAGAGTTGCACAACTGGTAGCTTTTACCAAATTAAATCACTCAGTGGAAGAATAAACGGTTTATGGATGCCTTTGTCTCCTGTAGTTCTATAGTGGTGATGACATCTAAAGGAAGGTTCATTTCAAGAGGTCCGTGGACTACTGTCCTGGAGAAACTTGGAGCACAGAGGGGCTTTAAATTGAAAGGTAAGTAGGTATTTTATAAAAGAACCTTTGTTAAAAGTGTTGATCATTTCAGTTTACTGTGTTCTTCAATCTTTGGCCCCCAGGTGATCATGCTGGCTAGGGATGAGGGGAGCTGTAGTCCAACAGCTGGGGACCACAGGACAGAGGGCTAGAGGAAGTGTTGTACCACTTCAGATTTCAGGCTCAGCAGAACTGAGCTGCTGGATCTCCATTGAGTTTAAAGATGCGAAGGCTTAGAGAATTCATGGGGAGAACAGTAGCTCAAAAGCAAAATAATTTTTAGGAAGGGAGAATACCTCTTTAACGAAACAGGCAGCACACCTTTGGGCTTTTGTGTTGGAATGGCACTCTGAAATAAGATACTGAAATCAGGTGGTGGTTGTTTTTTATTTAATGACCCTCAGAATTATTTTTGGCATCCCCAAGCGTGCTTGCATTTTTGTTGCCAAAGTTTGGGTTCTTCTCATTTGGGCAAGACTTCAGTTTTCAGAGAGAGGCTTTCATGCTTTGAATAGCTTCTTTGCCTCTGTTCCTTAGCCATGCCTGCATCCTCTTGCCCTTGGTGGGATCTTTCCTGATCTACATTATACATTCTAGCCGAGCTTCCATTATTGTGGTTTTAAGCATTCTCCAAACTTTATGGAGATAAGTGACCCCCTGACTTTATCATTCAACTTCCTTTTTTTAAAACCAGTACCTTCATTTTTGAGAAGCCTCCCATTTTGAAGTTAAAGGTGACTATGTTGGACTTTCTTGGCAGCTGTCCACCTACAGACATGTTGTATTTGATAGAACCATGATCACAGTTCCCAATCATACACCAGGTTCTCAGCACCATTAAAAATTATGTCCATGGTTGTCTCCTTTCTTGCTGGTTCCAAAGCAGTCATTTGGAGGTTCTCAACTACCCTTTTTTCCTTTCATTCAGATAAAATGGGTTTTGTTGGATACAAAGGCACCTTCCGGCCCTTCTGGGTTACGCTGAAGACAGATGACGAAGCAGTGAGGATTTTCCAAGCTCTGCCAGTTCCAGTGGTAAAGAAAATGAAACTGTGAGAAAGTGACCTGCATTGTGTGTTCCTGCTCATTAGCACGCCCTCAATGGAAAATGCGTTGAGGTACACGGCGTGCTCAAGATGTAGTATATTTTGATGATGTACATAGAAGAAACCTTATTGTGAATGGGTTAAATGGCCACATCAGACAACCAACATTCCGTAGGCAGTCCAGGATACAGTTAGTAATAGCTCTGTTCCTCTCACAAGCGTATTTGTGATAAGAAAGGTTTGATTTCACATCATGTTGCCTTGGTGTACTGCAATGGTCTCCTTCATGTCTGTCTGTAGGAGTCTCAGGTTTTGAATCAGTAGAAATGTACAAAGTGTTCCTTCTCCGGTCTCAACTTTCCAGTCTCAACTTTCAGACACCTACTCAGGAAAAAACATGCACTTCTAAGTTGAGCTCCTGGCTATGTATATATGAAAACGTAAGCAGAAGTCAGTATCAGACACAACGGCAAAAACTGAAAATGCTTTGTTGATCTCCTCACAAACTTTCTGGTGTGCTGGCATTCAATGTCAGCAGGACACTTCATAAGCACCGACTGATATCCTATTTCTGCCTGCGCATCAGCGATCCACTGAATACCTGAATGCCGCAGTTGTACAGGGTATTGCAGAGGTTGCTGGATCTTCACAAAGAGTCCCTTGTGACAAAGGACCAAATCACTGTGGCCAAGGATCAGCTTATGAAGGACAAATGCTATCAGTTTCTCAAAAAAAAAAATTGTGCTTGGGCTTCCTGTTACCAGCTACTTTTATTAATAAAAAAGCACATCAAAGTATGTCCCCTCACCCTGCCAATATGTAACTGCTTCAGAAGTGAGGCTGTCATCCAGAAAGGTTTTTTTAAAAAAGAATTAAAAAGGGAGGAGAAAATATTTATGGGTCATCAACAAACTGCCTTCAATGTGTGCTCTTTTTTAACTGAGTGACTGATTGGTCTCTACTAGTAACTGACCATTCGCAATCTGTAAAATTGATTTTCAAAGGTTGCATTGTAGAAATACTGCTTTCTGAGAGCCTTGGGGAGGGTTGTGTGTTGTGTGTGTGTTCGTCACTCCAAGTATTCTACCCGAAATAGCTGGTCCTTTTTCGGAACTAGATGTATAGTGTTTTGTATATTTTCTTAAAGCTCCTGCTGAAAAAGATTTAATTTTCTATTAATTTATTGCAAAAGGCACAAAGAAGATTAAAGCTGAAGAGATAAATGCTGTTATGGGAATTATTATTTTTTTTTGTACAATACGGTAAGGTCATGGAAATGTTTCTTCAGCTAATCTGCTTTGCACTTGAAAACTTCAAAGGGCTGCAGAATGTGGCACTTCCCTTGGCAGCCAGTTTTGTATGAGGACAAAAACTCTTGGAATGTTACTTCCAAATGTTTTCGCTTACAACTTAATTAACATTTAGTTGTTTGGAATACACATTTATTGGAATAAAATTTCAATGCAACTCTTACATGCGTGTGTACCGTTTACTTGTGTTGGATTATTTTATCACAATGAACTGATACCACAGACCATCATCACCCAAAAACAATTGATCTAAACCTGCCAGCAAAATGCATATTGTCAGTCTAAGGATGGTGTCATGTCACTTAGACCCTACCGCAAAGGTGCGTAGCATCAGTAATCCCTCCATAAGACTATTCCCTTTACTGCCACAACCCTCCGTGGCAAGAGGCCCTTGTTAACCCTTCAGATCCAGAACCTTGACTTATCCAGGTATAACTGCTTGTTGGTTAAGCTCCCTCTCCTCTCCACAATGGAGAGGCCAGGACAGAGCGAGGAGAAACTGTGCTGACATTTGCAATGAAGACCGTGCTCCTTGGGTAGGTACCATGTTAACCTGGCCAATTCTTGTCTACTCCAACTGTCACCAGCTCTCCAGCTGCTCGGGCAGAAGGCTCCATCATCACCTGCCTTACAGGCTAAAAAGTCTGACTTTGAACATGGTAATTCTGTCCCTCTTAAATGAGCATGGCCAGCCCAAGGTACTTTGCCACTTGAGGCACAGCACAAAATAAAACAAAAACACACACCCCTTCCATACACAGAAGCTGACAAGCTCTCTTAAATCAAAGGTGAACTCAAGCAATCTTCACTTTCCCAAACGAGATAACCATCCATTAAAATTCACACTTCCAAGTTTTGCAATACAGTTCTCTAGCCACATAACGTGTACAAAAATGTACACAGTGAGGTAAAGTGTGCATTTTCTTTTGCATATTTTCACTAACATTCAAAAAGGCATTGTATTAGGGGAAATCGCTTTGCAAAAAAAACCATGTACTAGGCAAAACTGCATTAGGAGAAACTCACATTAAAACACTGATGAGTTTTCATGAGAATTTGTTTTAAAAAATAACCTCAAACTGATAAGGAAATGTGGAATACGAGAAAGAATACTAAAAATAAAAACAGAGAAACTGAAGTTGACAAGATTCGCCCTTCCCTAACCTGTACCGTTTGAATTATTTTATATTGTTCACAGCCACAAGATTCCCATGCACAGAGGTGTTGTAAGCTAACTCTGGTTTTTTCATGTCTGGATAGTGAAGGCACCAATTTCAGACAAAGGGAAGGGTGATTGGTTCCTTACAACAAATTGGTGCATATTCACCAATGTGCCCTCATAGAGCAGAAATGTAAACAATCCTGCAGTTTGGTCCCAAGTCACTGAAATACTAAGGGCAGAAAACCTGTCCAAACTGTTGCTCTATTTAAAATGGCAGCCCTGCCTGGGGTTTTTACTCAGTCACTGCTCCTTTGTACAACTCTAATTCACACACTTAAAATCACCACTGATATTTTAAGTTTAGAACAGAGATGAAGCGCACAAAACTCACAGCTTGCAAGTCTAAAGAAATCAAACATTTTGAAAACCTGGCCAAGGCACTTGAAAACCTGCTGGGTGGCCATTCTGGAAGGGAAAGCAAGCAAATACAATCAGATTTGGACTTTAACAGCAGAAATTTACTGTGACATTTCCTTATGCTCGACCACCCTCTAGTGGTTCACTGCTGATAACAGAGCATATCCACCACCTATGTCTCATAGACTTAAAAGATTTAACTCCAGACAGAATCCTTGCTGCTGTAAATGCAAGGAAATTATTTTAAATGGCAAGCAGAAACTTGGGAAACCCAAAGACAAAGGTAAACTTGAAAAATGAACACGTGATCTCTCAAAGATGCAAGCGGCAGCTGCAGAAACATCCTGCCAAAGCTCCAGGCACTCATAAGGCAAGAGGAAGTTTGCTTAAGCAAAGAAAAGCTCTCATGGGATCCACCTGACTTGCATACATGAAGAGAAGGGCACACCTAAATAAAACAGGCCACTTCCAAGGGGTTTTAACGCCTCAAATAGTCAAGCTAGCTGGTGATACTTTAAAAATGCAGCTAATTTCTTATTTCTTCTGTATTTACATAAACATAGTAAGAACAACCCAATATTGCCTCTCTCCCTCCTGCCCCCATCCCTTTGAGGAGGCTTATTTGAGACATTTGGATCTGAAGATTGGGAAAAGTGGAACTGTTAGTTGGCTGTCACCCTAGTGAACGTTTTGAATAACTTCTTTTATGTAACTGACTGTCAGAAAGTTGGAAGTTCTTTTTTCCCTTCTCCCTTCCCTTCTCTCTCTTTTTATTTGGGGTCCTCTGTTCTGGGCCATTATCCAAGGATTACACGCACACGAAGCTGGTGGAAGAACCCTATGTAAGAGGCAGGGAAAGGAAGACTTTCCAGAGTGAGAAACTGAGAAGAAAATTCCCAGGTGAGAACTGGCAGGGTCCACCACTTTCAGTGTGAGACGAGGGTTAAGAGACGACTTTGAGAGAGGAGACTGCATTTTTCTCTTCTTTCTCTTCCTGTTTTTAGTTTCTTTTATCATTGTATTACGAAAAAGCTTTAATAAAATCTTGAGGCGCCTTATTTTCTGCAACTAACATTGCGTGTTTACTCAGAAGGAAGTTCCACTGTGTTCAGTGGCGTCTGTCTCCTAGTAAGCATGTTTAGATTTGTAGCCCATGGGTGGAGGTGGTTCCTGGGAAGGCAGCCATCATAACCCAGTTAGGGTAGGAAGCTTATGGTTATTCTTGACCTCTCTAACTTCATGCCATTTAAGCCCTTATTGCTTTAAAACTTTATTAAAGTTTCGCTATTATAAGCCTGCACCTTTGGATTCATTTCCACACAGCTAAATACCAAGTGTATCATGCGATCAAAAACCACAAGATGGTGTCCACTTCAAGCACACTACAAATATTTTCTATCTGGGTTCTAGAACTACTTCAAGCTCACTCTAGAGCTTGTATGCCTCCTGTGGAATTTGTTTTACTTTTAACATGTAAACAAACAGACTTCTGTCATGCGACATCCAGAATAATATGTTTAAAGTTAAAATGAAAAGAAAGAAAGATGTTAACTGATTAAGTTAATTTTATGAGAAAATTAGTTTTGGAAAACTGTTACAATGATATACACTGAAACTCAGCTAGGGGGATTTGAGGAAGTCAAGTAACAATGTTACTAAGATTGGATTAAGTATAACTAAGATCTATGTTTGTTTGTTTCAAAATTTTGGAAAATCAATAAAAAAAATTGAAAAAACCCAACAAAAAAATCCAGCTTCTTCTAAATATTCAGATTAAAAACACGTTTGCCACATGACGTAGGGCCACTGTCAGAGACATGGGATTTACAAAAGCATTCGGGAGATACATAGCAGCTAATTAGAAAAAAAGGTACATTTTTTTCCTGTATTTATGTAAACCCCTACATTAATAGTGTTCTGTGTACAGAAACTGTTCTGATTTATGGTACTCATTTTGTTTTTCCTGTTCCTACAATCTCACCGTTACTTGAATGAGTTGCACTTTAAGTCCCACCTGTCACTCACCAAATCTGCTACAAAGAACAGAATTACCTCTGTCTCTTCGCCGCAGTGCTGACAAGAGTGGATGTCACTGGCCATATGCCAACCAAAGAGATGAAAGGAAGAACAGATTCTCTGTCAAAGGATGCTTTGTCCTTGAAATGGCTGTAGGTTTCACAACAATGGCATTAATCAAGATGAGAAAAATAGTTTCACTCTGGCTGCTCATCTACTTACCTGTGTATGAAAGCTGCCTTATACCAAGTCAGGCCACTAGTTGGTCAAAGTAATAGTTTTCTCTATTCCAACTACTAATGGGTCTCTAAAGTTTCAGGCAGATGTCTTCTCAGTTGTGTTAACTCCGCTCTCTTTCCCCTGCCTCCCTCCACTTGAACTGGGGAGTCTGCACATGCAAAGATGATGTTGGAGTTATAGGCCCCATAATTAGAAAATGTCTAACAAATTAAAACACACCTGATTGCCCTTAAATAGTCAAAGAAACTGACAAAATCAATTCTGAATAATTCATCTTGCAGAGCTACTCTTCTATAACTTTCAAACCGGAGAATCGGGATGCTAGCTTCACGGAACTGAAATCTGCATAAAAATAAATTGCCACAACTGCATTTGTGTACAGAGTGGTCACACGACCTTGGCAGAACCAGAAGACCAAGGCATGATACAGCTAATGATTAAGCCTTGCAAAAAAATCATTAAAAAAAAAAATCATCAAGAATTGCTAGCCTGAATGCCCACATCTAACCTGGTTAGTCATTTTGGACACAATGATGGCTTGAAAGAGACACACACAAAAGCAACTGCTGCTCAGCTCAAACGCTTCCCAGCCAAAGGCAACCAGGTGATTAGTGATCTTCAAGGCCCAATGACTCCAACACAAAAGTGTTCCCCTCCACTAAAATCAGAGGGATATAAAGTATGTGAATTTGGTTGTTTCATACCCTGCATTTTCTTACTGTCCTGCAGGGCATTTTGAAGCCTGCTAAGCTGCCACCTATGCTTATGCCTTTTGTTTGTGTCCTAAAAAAAGCTGCCACCTAGTTACCAGGAAGAAATGTTTACTTAGCACAGGTGACCAGCCAGCTTTTCATCAGGCATACACCAGACAAATTCAGCAGGCAGCATATTCGGAAACTGGCAGCTTTTTAAAAGCACATCTTGAATGTGAGTTTTAAGCGCCTCTGAACAACAAAAAACACATCTACATTTAGCTTAGTTGGTAGAGCATGAGACTCTTAATTTCTGGGTCATTGGGCAAAAGATTCCTGCATTGCAGGGGGTTGGACTAGATGACCCTTGTGGTCCCTTCCACCTCTGTGATTCTATTTCTCAACATTTCCCTGTTCTTTTGTAACAGCAGAATGGAACGCAGGAGAGCCCTTTCAAAGCAAAATCCCTAAAAATCAAGTAAAAATGAAAATAAAACCGGGGGGGGGGGGGGGAAACATAAGTCTCAGGACAAACACAGTACTCAGCTATTCATTAACGCTTAACCTCTCATCTCCTTCAGAACCTTGAATTAGACCAGGAGAGCGCTTTTATCAATGGTATTCATATATAAATGGTCCAAGAATCAAAAGAGGATAGAAGCCACTGAAGGCTTCTCAACATCTGAATTTGGCACTTAATGGTGCCACCTAGTGGCCACTCTGAGCAGATACAGACATCACAAGACAGCTGTGTCCAGACACAGGATTCCACGTGTCCAAACAGAAATTTGTTCTGAAAAAGGTACAAATTTATTGACATTTCGGAGGGAGTGTTCATGGTGACAGCAATATTTTCCCAATTATCTACCAACTTTATATATGAATGAACAAATTAGGGCACCCAGAGTATTGGAAGTATTTTTGGCACCAGAGAAATACAAGCTATATTCAAAAAGATCAAACGTGGTATGATCTAATATGGTGTCCACAGATTTGAAATAAACTTATGCACCAAGGCAGTATTCTTTCAAATTAACATTAAGAAGGAAACCAGCACAACCTCTGTGTTTAAACAGAGTAAGCCCCCAGTTTATAGTCACTGCAATTCTGGAATGCCTTGAGCCCAATTGCAATTGAATAGCTTAACTCCAAAAGGGGCATAAGTCAATTTTGACAAAAAAAATCCAATTTTGGCCTGTAGATGTTTGCCATGAGTGCTACAAATTAGGGGCGGGGGGGGGGGGAAAGAACTTGTATAAAATTGTATAAAAGCCTTGAAAATTGTGTTGGCATTCAAAAAGACTGTACAGTGGTACCTTTATACTTGAACGGTTTGGCTCCCAAAAAATTTGGCTCCTGAATGCTGCAAACCCGGAAGTGAGTGTTCCAGTTTGTAAACATTTTTCGTAAGCCAAACGTCCGACGTGGCTTCCGATTGAGTGAAGGAAGCTCCTGCAACCAATCAGAAGCTGCACCTTGGTTTTTGAACCATTTTGGGAGTCGAACGGACTCCTGCAACAGATTAAGTTTGACAGCCAAGATACCACTGTAGTCAGAAAAAAAATTCTTTCAAATGGAATACTGGTCAAAATTGACTTAAGCACCTTTTGGAATTAAGCTCTTCAATTACTGTCAGGGTTAATTGCATCTTGATACATTTGCTATTCTTGTTACATTCCTCTTACTGGATTGGCTCAGTCTTTTATCACATGGCTACTGCCAGATGTTCTAAACTACAACTTCCAACAGCCATAGCCAGCACGCCCAATGCTCTGAAAGTGATGAGAGTTGTGGCCCAAAACATCTGGCGGGCACCAGGTTGAGGAAGGTTGGAGTAAGTGAACTGGCCCACCATTAGTCTATGGAAACCCTAAATCTGTTAATTCAATAGACGAGTTTATTCCCACTTCAGCTGGGCATTTGACGATCAGCAGTGAAACCAACTTACATAAAAACACTCATTGCATGCATCAAACCTGTGCTTTCCAGAATCTGCTTTGGCACCACAGCTGACACTCTGAGACTGCCACTTTCAAGAAGGGGTATCATTTATTTTCATTAATGAAAATATTGCAAAGGTAGAAACTCCTAGAAAGTTAAGTCTTGTTTCTTATCGCCAACGAAACGTTCACCTTGTTGACTCCTCCAAAATAGCGGATGGCAGAATTCCAACTGCAACAGCTCTTCCCCTCTCATCCTTTGAGGAATGTTCGTAATACTGAAGGTAAACACACAGGTGCTTGTTTTAAACTTTTAAACAGACAACTGTTTGAAAAAAACCAACTGCTTGAAAGTAGACAAGGCACAATATACCAACTCCAGATCTAAAAGAAGCAATCCACTGATGTTAAGCATTAACGTTGCTGTTACTGAACAAATGCCTCTCATTAATAAGTAAACTGGTCCCTTGATTTGAAACCCAGAAAGGCCACCCTATTTTCTCCTTCCTAAACTTCCCACCAATCCTCCTCTACAGTCAAATTAACTTATCAGAGCTCCTCTTTTGGTTTGGTTGCACGGTTGTCATCTTTGAGGGGTCCATGTTTTTTTTCAGTATCTTTTTTCTTTTTGGATTTTTCGGGCTTGGTCTCATTTTTCCCTTTTTCGCTTTCCTTGGCTCCTTTACCAGGGTACACCTGACCTTCCAGTGTTACGTCCGCACACCTCTCCTGTTTTATCAGAAAGTCTTTGATCTCCCACGCATAGCCTCCGTCCCGCAGCATAAAGATGGCACGATTTGAACCGACGATAAACCTAGGTTTTAAAAGGGCATTCAATTAGTGCCTGGCCTTTGAAGTATTGAAAATTTATGTTTCAGGTAGCGAAGAGCCTCCGCCCCACCCCTTGCAAAAAAAGGAACGATAAATAACCCCAAGGATTAAGTGGCGTGTTGCATTTCTTAAAAGCAAGAGGTGTTTGTCTCAGAATGGGGGGGAAAACAAAACTTGCACTGCATGTTTCATTACCTTCATAAGTAAGAATATTATAATTTACTACCTTGTGAAAATACAGGCTATTGCATTTCTTATTCAAATTTATGGTAGAGGGGAGACACACAGATGCAGCAAAGGATGGGGAACGTCAGGCACAAGGTTGAATGTGGCCCTCCAAGCCTCCCTATCTGGCCCTTGGAACCCTTTTCATCCCGCACTGGCCCTGCTTTGCACACTGAATGTTGCTGCCTAGCAAGAGAATCTGTCCCTGAACTGTGATATGGCCCTTTGCCATAGGGTACGTGCAGAAACTATCTTACTGTAGAAAGGTAAAGTTTGCATTTGTTTCTCTGCCTCTTTTTGCCTCTGGCCCAGCCCACGATCAGCATGTGCACTCTGGATGTTGCCCAAAAGGGAATGCGGTCACTGGATTGAAAAAGGATCTCACATCCCTCCTAGAATAGATGGGTCTCAGCTTATTTTAGATGTAATGGAAAAATGCAAAATATCTGGCTAACAAATGCTTAGGGGTTAAAAAAAAGCCTCTATGTATGCTAATGTTAAAATGTTGGCTTATATATTAAGATTTCACAGGAATTTATCCTTGTAGTACACTTAAATAGCTCCATGTTGTCAAAGCTGGATAGCTGGGTAGGATACAAGTGAAGTCACGTACAGTAATCCCTCCTACTTCTCTCAAGCATATTTTTTATGAGTTACACCTATCAGGTGCAGATATTTGGCTCCATGGCTTTCTTGGGAGGAGCTGAAAACAACATAATAAAGAGCTGCTCAGTTCCACAACAATTCCTCCCATAGAATGGTGGAAAATTCAGGACAGGCAAAACGGAGCACTTCTTCACACAGTGCGTAATTGAACAGCAGAAATCACGGCTGCCAGATGTGGTGGGGGCCGCCAATTTGGACAGTTTTAAAAGGGGATTAGACAAAATTCATGGCAGCTAAGACTACAGATAGCAACCAGTCACAATGGATACATTTCTCCCTCTTATACTGGAAGTAGTATCTCTGAATATCAGCTGCTGGGGAACAGCAGCAGAGTATGGTTGGGTTCGTGTCCTGCTTGCTGGCTTCATACAGGCATATGGTTGGCCACTGAGGGAAATAGGTATTTGGACTAGATAGGGCTTTGAACAGGGTGGCTTTTCTTACATCGTTTCTTCAAATTCCAATCGGGGGCGGGGGGGAGGGGACACACACAGACATATTTGTATCCAAAGGGACAAACAGTGTGAGAAGAATACTACCTATAAATAGCCACAAACATCCATTTTCACAGCCCACTGGCAAATTGTAACAGGTTTTAAAGTCGACTACGCTTTTCCAAACTAATCCAAGTGTGTTTCTACGACAGTTAAGTCCTACTATGTTCAATGGGACTTATAAGGTAGGTTTATATTAGATTGCAGCCATAATGGGGTCTAGATTATTTCCTTCCTCATATAGGAAAATATGAGACTATTTCAACAGTTTATTTTTACCAAATGAAAATTGCTAGAATTTTTTTTTACTAATTTTTAATAAAATTCCACACTGCTTTAGACTGCACTCAGCAAGAATAAGCACTGCGCCTCTGTCTCAGGAGGGGGAAGGTTACATGAAAGGAAGAAGACAAAATAAAGCTATTAATTATGATAACTTTATCCATCTTCCTAACTGAGCATGCCATTCTTTTGAAAACTTTTAAACAATTTTTCATATCATTAATACAGATCAAAATACAGGAAAGAAGGTATAAATTTAAAACATGCAGTAATTTAGGTGGTCATACATATAAACACAGCCCATACAAAATGAAAATTAGACCAGGCAAGTGAGGGCAGGTGTGCAACTCCAAGACAAAAATCTTACCTTTGTACGTCATAGTTGGCATTGAAAAGACTTCCCTGCCACAGATTAGTAATTTGCTCTGTCTCTTTTTCTGTAGGTTCTCCTGACACAGTGACAAACATCATAAGAGTCTTCCCTTTCTTGGTCATCTTCAAGATACTCTCAGGCTTGCCCGGGTCAAGCTGGGAGAAGTCTATTGGTGCAGATGGACGCTTGTGCTCAGGAAGATCTCCTTCTTCTATATCATCATCTTTCTGTGTTGGAAACAAAATACAGGAACACTTAAGAATGCATTGGAATGGGCTGTCGTATCCTGATGCAACAAGGTATGTCTTAGAAAAATTAGGTTTATTGAAAGATCTCAGGTTTAGAAGACCATGCACACTTTGTATGCATATGTAGAAACCGTTTGTCTAATGCAGCTTTCTACTTGCTGAAATAATAGAACACAACTTTTTTCTGTTTCAGAAATAGAAATCTGGTTTTCAATTTAGCACTCTGGATGAGTGCATGGCATTACTTTATGTGCCAAGCAGCTCACTCAACAAGCTAGTTAACAGCACCAGAGATCACAGAGGGTCTGGATGTGGGAAGCAAAATGAAATATTAATTCAGACAAGGGAGCGCTAATGAGAAAACTGATTTTAAAAATAGGTATTCTACCTACATGAAACTCATAAGCAGTTTCAGACTACTCTTGGATCCAGCTTTGCATTTAGACAGGTGGGGGCAGAGTTAACCTGGGAAAAGGTTAACCCGCTAATCACATGTGCATTGGTTACTAAAGAAATTGGGCTGCTGCAATGCAGCCTATCTTGGGCTACCCCTGAAAAGTGTCCAAAAGCCTTAATGCAAAATGCAGAGCCAAATCATACGAAACTGCTGCTTTATTTTGCTATACAAAATGCACTGGTGGTTGTCACTACAAAAGCAAAGGGGGTGCTAATTACTATCGAGGTCTGCTTACAATCCTTTAAACTCTTCAGTAGGCCTGCTTCCTGTTCCTTATTTCAGAGAACAGCTCCTAATTTAAACTTTAAAACCCATACTCTGCTCAAAGCTGCATGCATATACGAATCATAGCATTGTAGAGTTGGAAGGGACCCTGAGGATCATCTAGTCCAACCCCCTGCAATGTAGGAATAGGCAGCTGTCCCATGCGGGGATCGAACCTGCAACCTTGGCGTTATCAGCACCATGCTCCAACTAAACTATCCAGGCGCACTCTTGCGCTCTCTATATAACACACACATATACATATATCATAAAACAAACAAACATATGTATAACATAAAACAAAACTGAAACAGTTCGAGCTACTGAACTTAATGTTACTTTTATGAACCTGAAAACTGCAACTTAAGTTTCACGCATTGCAAGGACAGTACACCCCAGGAAAAGTACTGGAAGTGTTCTGACTTCCATAATACTGTACCTGGTTTTCTTATAGGATCACAGTGCGGTTGCCAACCCTACTCTTCCCTAATGAAGACCAATACACTCCACACATGCTCAGAGGCAGCCTCTCCTTCAGGACTATTTCCTCACCACCCCCACATTCAATTAAACTAGTTCTAGGCTCGAACCTCACCCCCTTCAAACCAACCTCTCTCCCCCTGTTCCTCCTCGGCCTGTGCCCATGCCCTACTCGGAGCACACCCACTGAAATTAATGGACCGGGCACACACAAGTCACACATTCTTTCTGCTACTGCTGATTTTAATCATCTCTCGAATGCTTTTAAATGTCTTGTTTTAATCTGTCCTCTTTAAAAACAATGGGAAATGTTTTTGTTTTACATTTTAAAAAAAGCAGTTGAGAATATTTATACCCTGCTAAATGAATAAATAAAAATAACTTAAGCCTGGATAGCTCAGTTGGTTAGACTAGAGCATGTATAGGGAAGCTTCTTCATGTGTAATGTTATATTATGTGTGTGTGTATATACATACATATAGAGTTACATATATACATATATATATATATATATATATACACACACACACATATATGTTGAAAGCAGCCCAGAGTGGCTGGGGAAACCCTGTCAAATAGGCGGGGCACAAATAAATAAATAAGTAACAATAACAATAATACTGCTGATAACGCTAAAGTTGCAGGTTCGATCCCTGAATGGGATACCTGCCAATCCCTGCATTGCAGGGGTTGGACTAGATGATCCTCAGGGTCCCTTCTAATTCTTCTAATTCTAATTTCTGTCAGTTTTCGGGGGGGGGGGGTTGGACTGTGGTTGGATACAACCCTTGGCGAGCGCAACGAACCTGCACTCCAGCCCCAGTTCCTTGCCAAGGAACTAGACGAGGAAGACGGTGGGGACCCCCTCCCCCGACCCTCACCCCCATTTTGGGGTCCCCGCTGCGCCCCCTTTTCCCTCACGGACATACCTCCCACTGCTCCAGCAGCCGCGCCATGTCGGCGTCGTTGTAGTCCCGAATGTCCTTTTTCTTCTTCTTCTCCTTCTTCGCCTGCTCAGGGGACTTTTCCTTCGGCTCTTCGGCTCCGGAGGCCGCGGCCGCCACGGCACACAGCGCCAAGACCAGGCCCAGCCATCTGTAGGACGCCGCCATCTTGTCCCGACGCGCGACGCCGCCGGCACTGGCCGGAGAAGGTTCTTCCGCCCCGATCCCGCCCCCTTGCCAGTTCTGCGCATGCGTCGGGAAGGGAAGTGGGCGGGGCAGCCAGATTTGAAAGCTACAGGCGGAGGAGGGTGGGCGAGTGGGAAGGTGCCGGAAGGAACGAGGGGCAGAGGGCTGTACCACTTCAGCCTGCGGGGGGAGCGGGACGAACCATGTTTTCGAAATTGAATAGAACAAAACTAACTTTCGGTTTACATTTGTTTCTGAAGGGAAAGAGGAAACCATATTTCTCTGTTGTGAAACGCCCTAGAATCTTTGGATGAAGGGCGGAATACAAATGTAATAAATATAATAAAAATAATAACAAATAAAATATAATGATGGTGGTGATGAAAATAATAATACAGTAACATCGTATTCCGTGCTCTCGAAACACTCAGAGAACCTGAGAATCCTGCAATCTCCTTAATGCCTATTCTTATTATTTTAAATTTATATACTGCCTTTCCATTTCCAGAAGAAATACTATGGTGGCTATCAAACACATGAAGGCCGGCAGCAAAATAATAGGAACAAAACATTTTATACTTAACAAAGCCTAGCAATTATCTAAATTCTGTGTTTTTATTTTATTTTAATGTTGGTCTATCTAAGCCCAGCATTGTCTATTCCCACCATCCCTGACCGCTGGTCCCACTAGGTAGGGATGATGGGAGTTGTAGTCCAAAAACAGCTGGAGACTCAAGTTTGGGAAACCCTGGGCTACACTGACAAGCAGCAGCTTGGCAGAAAGATGGTACAGTATATGAATAAAATAATTAAGTATCTTTTCTGTTTTCTGATCTAGGTGTTGTGTGTGTGTGTGTGTGTGTGTGTGTGTTTCCCCCAGGGAGAGATGGTTCTTTGCTGAGGCCAAGACAGCCAAGACCACAACAGACATCATTGAAAAAGGACAGCAACTCCCATCAACATAGCTGTCAACGTTTCCCTTTTTTTAAGGGAAATTCCCTTATTCTGAATAGGATTCCTCGCAAGAAAAGGGAAAAGTTGACAGCTATGCCCATCAACCTCTCTACTGTGAGGATCCCAAAATTACACTGGCTTGCTATAGTTAGGATTGCTCTGTTAAGTTACTTTCCCAAAAGTAGCAGATAGATATTTACTTCTGAAGAAGAAAATGTTGTTGTTGTTGTTTAGTCGTTTAGTCGTGTCCGACTCTTCGTGACCTCATGGACCAGAGCACGCCAGGCACTTCTGTCCTCCACTGCCTCCCACAGTTTGGTCAAAGAAGAAGAAAATAAAAGTATGTAACTTTATTAGTGCTTTGTGCACAGAAAAGTCACCAGTTTGGTGTACAGACAAATATCATTTTACGCGCCAAATACAGGAACACAGCAGACAATGTCTGGATGCCTTTAGTCACAACGTCTTATTAGGCTGAAAAACATAAGCACTTTTCAGGGCGGTCTGCATGGATAACATGACTGATTAAAAAAAACGAGTCACCACCATGAACAGGAATTTGCAGGCGCACCCTTAAGGCCTTTTTTAAAAAAAAACAACAACATCAAAGGAGACTACAGTGCACAAGCACAAAATAAACGGACCCCCACCCTTCCTGAGCTGGACTATATAATTGAAGTGTTATGTCCTGCAGTGACTCTGGGTGCCTTCCGGAGTATATTGAAATGCTTTAGATTGACTTTTCACAGAGGCATTGTTTATATTCTCCAGACCCATAGATTACCGTACCTATAATTCTTAAAGTAGCCCCTTTGCTTTCGATAGTACCATCTCCATTCACACCAGATCATGCCTTGAAATGTCAAGTTGAGCTTAATTTAGTTGCCGAAATATACATAAACATGCCATGGGAGAAGGTGTAGCTCAAAGACAAGACAAGGCGCTTGCACGTTGAAGGTCCTAGGTGGAGAACCAGTGGCCCACCAGTGGACTCCAACTCCCATCAGCCCTAGCCAACGGTCAGGGATGATGAGATGATGTAATGTTTTTGATTTTTTAAAAAAACTTTTACAGTTGTAAAACTTTTCTGTTTAGATGAGCCTACCTGGACATGCAATATTAGGCACATTTGTTTCCAAAACTGTTGGTTTTACCTGTATTTTCACAATTTTATTACATCTACTTGCTTTTAAAAGTTTGCTTTTAATTGCTGTTTTTAATGGATCATAGAATAGTGGAGTTTGAAGGGACCCCATGGGTCATCTAGTCCAGTGTTTTTCAACCTTTTTTGGGCAAAGGCACACTTGTTTCATGAAAAAAATCACGAGGCACACCACCATTAGAAAATGTTAAAAAATTTAACTCTGTGCCTATATTGACTATATATAAAGTAATTCTCTTGAATAGGAATCAAATAAACACAAAGAAAGTATTTTATAATTACTTTATTATGAAATAGTAAGTAAACAGAAATATGAAAAATTATAAAATACTTTATTCAGTGCGCAACCTGGGCCTGTTTGGCTGAACACAAAGCTGATATTCTGGCTGGAATCGAAGAAAGACACACACGTAGCTCTCCGTCAACAGCTCTCAGTCTCTCTCTGTATTTAGTTTTTATAGCAATCATGCTTGAAAAGCTCATGTCACACAGATATGTAGTGGAAAATGGGAGCAATGTCAAAATAGCTTTGTTTGCCAGAAGGGGAACTCCTTGGCAGTATCCAACCAAAAACTGTCCAAAGGTAGATCAGCAAATCTTAGCTTGAAACCACGATTTTGTCTCAGTTCAGTTAGTTCCTCCTGCTCCTGTAAAGTCATGTCCTTTCCACCAACTGATGCTGAGCTATAAGGGTCCCTAACCCAGTCAAGGCATTCAGTGGAGACTGAAGAGAAATAAAATGACAACTTCTCCGGTCCTCCTGGTGACTCGAGTCGCAACGTCTTCTTCTCTCCGCTGCTGCGCACACTGTGCTTGGGCGGGAAGGAAGTCGGAAGATGATGTCCTACTGTGATAGGTCCAGGCTGGAGTCTGGACCAATCACAGCCCGGACATCAGAAAAGTGGAGGGTGTCCCCCTGAGGTGTGCCAATCGGCGCCCCTGCTGGCCGAGGGTGGGGTCAAAAACCCCACCCACCCCATACCCAGGACACAGTCCGGCGGCCGCCTAGTGGGCGAAAATTTGAATTTTTTAAAAAAATCTTTCAAATTTTTCAGTTTTTCCCACGGCACACCAGGCAACATCTCGCGGCACGCTAGTGTGCTGCGGAACAGTGGTTGAAAAACACTGATCTAGTCCAACCTCCTGCAACGCAGGAATCATATCTAAAAATCCCTGACAATGACCATCCGACCTCTCCAGTGAAGGAGAGTCAGCTTATACTATTTTATGTAAACCACTGAGATTTTCTTCATTAAATCTTGCTAAATAAATAACTAGAAGTAAGTAAATAAGTTATCACATCCTAGTTTGTGAGGGAAGTGGGAACGATACATGGAGCAGGGCCTAGACCATGGTGGGGACCCCTGATCTCTCCTTATCAAGCTCACCTCCGCTCATTCTTGCTTGCCTCTCAGGGATACATTAAAACACTTTTCTTGAACCATGCTTTCCATCTCCCACAGGCCTTTATGCACTCATAGCTTGTTAAATTGTGGTCTGCTAATTATCTTTTATCACACATTGTTTTGGTCATTTTATGTGGACTGTTAACATCTCTGTAAAGCCTGGGCAGCTTCCAACAACTAATGGCAGGATGCTGATACAGTGGTACCTCGGGTTACAAACGCTTCAGGTTACAGACTCCGCTAACCCAAAAATAGTACCTTGGGTTAAGAACTTTGCTTCAGGATGAGAACAGAAATCGCGTGGCGGCAGTGGGAGGCCCCATTAGCTAAGTGGTAGCAGTTCGAAAGCATGTCAAAGTGAAAGTAGATAAATAGGTACCACACCTGCGGAAAGGTAAACGGCGTTTCCGTGCACTGCTCTGGATTGCCAGAAGCGGCTTAGTCATGCTGGCCACATGACCTGGAAGCTGTACGCCCGCTCCCTCGGCCAATAAAGCGAGATGAGCGCCGCAACCCCAGAGTCGGTCACGACTGGACCTAATGGTCAGGGGTCCCTTTACCTTTACCTCAGGTTAAGAACTGTTTCAGGTTAAGAATGGACCTCCAGAACGAAATAAGTTCTTAACCCGAGGTACCACTGTATATTCTTTAAAAATTTTAAAATGTTGTTTAGTCGTTTAGTCGTGTCCAACTCTTCGTGACCCCATGGACCAGAGCACGCCGCTTTAAAAAGTAGTAGTAGTAAAGTGTTCTCTAGCCTAGTTGGCCAACAAGAAAACCACAATCCAGTCAGGTGGCAGTGCCCATAGGCTGACCCCATTAGGTTTGCATGCTTGTCATTTTCTCCTCCATAAGGAAAAACCAAAAGAAATGCTTCTGTATTCGAAACGCTCCAATAAACCACTGGCAGCGCCCATCTCAGAGCTCGAAAGATACTTGTGATTTTTCCAACACCGGTGGGAAAGAGGCAGAGACCTCGTTCTATGCCTGGTTCCTTAGAAAGCTATCCCAGATTTCAACAGGACTTCCAAGTAATGTTTGCAGACAGCTGGGAAGCTAAGGTTGCAAAAGGGGGCGGGGATAGATTATACTCCTTTAATTAAAAATAAAATAAAATCGGGGGTGGGGGAAAATCAACCGGCAGGCTGGGCTGAAAACACAGGCCAGAACCTTCCCACGTGTGAACCAACAGCCACGGCTCTCCTGCTCCAAGCGCATCTGCGTGCGTAAAAGTGCAATCGATCCGGCAGCCACAGCAAGGGCGCCGCCGCCGCCTGTTATACCGGGCGGTGACACCGCCTCTTTCCCTTCTCCCACCCGCCCCATCTCCTGCTGGGGTGGAGCCTTCAAGGCAGCAGCGGGCGTGGAGAAGACCGCAGCGTTTAAAACGAAGGGCGGCGACAGGCCGCACAAAAGATTGCTATAGGCTTACAGGGAGGTTACAGCGGAGGCAACCGGGAGGAAGCATTAAAAAAGAGAGAGAGGAAGGGAAAAAAGGCAGCAGCAGCAGGCGCG